AGCTAGCACCTCACAGAATGGCAGGACACGGTTAAATATTGGCACTCTCCTGGGCACCACGACACAGATCCCAAATTGGCACTGTACTGTCTGTATGGCAGGACATGACTGCCAAATTGTCAGCACAACACGTGGCATATAGGTACTGTCATTCTGGATCTGGAATTTAAGAGGTATTCGTTATACTAGCTGTATAAATCAATAAACAAAAATTGGAGCTGGCTATAAAAGCAGAATGGTGTATATTGGATATCTCTTGACTGATATCCTTAGGGTCAGCTAGTGAAAGAATTACAGTGACATCGGAGAAAGCTCCTTATGAGATAGCCGTTCCAGACAAGATTTTATCTGTGGTGCTACTGACCTCTCATTAGCTAAACTGAACTAAGCTGCCAGGAAGTAACAGAACCAGTTGTCTGATTGACAGCCTGGAGGGTGTAACAATGTTAATTCATAAGAGTGTCACTTTGTATTGAAATCTGCTATTTTTTGTAAGATCAAAAAAAGAGAACACACTCATCACACATAAATCACTTCAGCATCCCATTAAGGAACAGGTAACTATTCTGTTTTTTGTTTTTTATACAGTTTTTTTCCTTGTCCTTGCCTTTGTTAAATCTTTAAGAGCTGTTAAAGTATATAATATATTTTTTCCAATGTCTCTACACAGGGAAGGAAGGATCCTGTGTTTATACATGGATGAGTTGCTGTAATACAGGTATTGGTTACTTGAAGAGGTTCATTGAGTATAGATAACACGGACAGGTATGTGTATGACACCACGCACGGCCAACAGTCTGGTATCGCAATGCAGCTTTAAAGTTAATTTGCCATATACAGAGATTTATGCTGGAATTAAAAGGAATTAAACAAATCTTCACATAATAAAAATCTAATCTTTTAGTAACGGGAGAGAAGGAAAACACAGACTTATTGTGGAGCGGACAACAGGACGAATTGTTCATGTTAAGCTGCTTATAGACTGTTGGGGGGAAATTGCTGTTTTTTGTCTGGTTCATGAGTTTATTACTTGTTATACGCAAGTTTTCTTGCAGCACTAAGTCCTTGATCAGCAATTTTGTAAACTACAGTTCCCATTATCCTCAGCCAGCCTAGAAAAGGGCTGCATAAGATGTGAAATTGAATTCATAAATATCTGCAGTGCCAGGTTCACCCGTCACTGAGCTAGATCTGGGTACGATTGAGTTTAGAGAATCAGGTTTGTTTTTCAAAGGGGTTTATTCACTAAACAGTGAAACGTAGTTCAGAAAGTCTCCAAACGAACTGTAGTTAAAGCTCTTTGAACGAGATTTTTGCAATTTTAATTTCCCAAATAACTATTTAATGTTTTTGTTGGGAGTATGAGCGTATAATACTTTTTCCCAGCAATCCCCATAGCTGTGTTTTACTATTAAATTAGTCTGTGTCCATAAAATTATTTAATCCTGTTCTGATTAATCATGCCGTCACATAAACACCAGCTGAAATAGCACTGAAACTTTCTACCAAACCACAAAAACAAATACTACGGTCTCTTCGTTAATTTATCTACAGGCTTATTCAATAAAGTGTCGATTATTAGGAATGCCATGTCAATCTGAGATTTTAGGCCAGCATGGCTGACCTGAGAACATTGGTGACTTTGAGAATTTTAACAATTTTTGTTACTCTGTTTTTTAAAGTTTAAAATTCTCAGTTTTGTCAATAAACCTGCGTGTGTTTCCTGGTTACACCATAGAATGCCGGAGGTAATGATGTATTGAGTAAATACTCTTGAACTGACTGCCACATCACCTAGAAAGTCTCCCTTCTTCCTGCTCTGACACATGCATACATTGCAATCACGCTGACAGCTTAGAGCAAGTAGTAATGCAGAGAATTCACAATACACACACGTTAAACGCACATAGATTTCTATTTATGTAGACTTCGTGCACTGCTTTAGTAAACGCTTTCGATTTACATTATTATAACATCATCAAGCCTTGCATCGTGACATAAACACATAAAATAGACTTTCACTGTGATCTAACCTCCTTTAAAATCATTTAACCCCTACTTCGGGGTACTATTAATTTGTTGCAGAAAATGAGATAATGACTGCACCGAGTGAAGACACTGTCAATAAATTGACTTATGGGCACAGTGGGCGAAGGCCAGGCGTTGGCATAATCTGGACACCGTAATCCAAAAAACAGGTGCTGGGGTAAATACTAAAAGGAGGCAGTCACCTTGGATATCAATAGAATGGAGGATATTTATCAAGGTAAACCAGGTGCTATTTTGGGTGCAAACTGCTAAATGTTGAGAGACATGCTATTGGTTTCCGTGGTGACTGCACTTACTTAGCACTTTGCACCAAGAATAGCACCATTTTTGCCGTGATAATACATCATGTAGTTTTGTTGCCACAGCTGCATGGTGCAGTACTTATTTTATAGGGACATTCCATGTTGGAGATGGCTATACTTTTTAGTACATTATTATTACCGATTGTACAGAAACACATTTTGTAACACTATAAAATGAATAAATGTGGTCACATAACGTGCTTGTGCATATTTTTAAGAAACCTACCTGTATAACTGGGAATGCAGAGTCCCAAATATGCCATCAGAATGTAAATGTATATGCATCCACTTTAAAACCAATTTTGACTCTCCCTCTTTCTACTGCCCCGTGCAATAAGACAGGTTATTAACTCTATATAAAACGTAAAAGGCAATTCATAAAATAAATACACTTGCTGTTTGCAGGTCTGTGCAAACAGTTAGAATACAATAAATAAAGTAATATATAATAATTATAAATTATAATATACACTTTAAAAAATATAATATGATTAAATGATTTATGTATACTGGACCCTTACATGATGTTAACCCTTTCTCCCTGTTGTTTAGCTATGAAGTGAGTGGTACGGTCACTTTTTCCAAGGATAATGGGCAATACAATAGTATTTGTAGTTAGTAGCCAATTCTTTTGAAACTGAGAATTTGATTGCATAATTTCATCATTTGTATCAAAATTTCAGCTGTTCAGTTGCATTCTGGGCGATTAAGTCGAATGTCAAGACCTTTGATTTTTGAGAGTCTACACGAGGAAGTGCCTCTAATGTGTGTCAGTCTGGCAGTCCCTGTAGGAGTTTTCTCTGCAATATGTAAACATTGCCATCTTCCTGAAACAGCAATGTCTTAATTTGCCAGGGTAAAGGGAGAGGGTCTATACACCCAAACTAGGATGCAGTGGTTTTAGTGTTTGAGTGTGCCTTTAATGCAGCTCTCTCACCACTTTGTCGTGTTTTATTATTTTATAAAAAATTAAATCTTTCTGAAATAATAATTTTGACCTCATGGAGATTTAGCTGAAATTCCAACAAAATCAAAACATAGAAAGATAGAAACATAGAATGTGACGGCAGATAAGAACCATTCGGCCCATCTAGTCTGCCCAATTTTCTAAAAACTTTCATTAGTCCCTAGCCTTATCTTATAGTTAGGATAGCCTTATGCCTATCCTATGCATGCTTAAACTCCTTTACTGTGTTAACCTCTACCACTTCAGCTGGAAGGCTATTCCATGCATCCACTACCCTCTCAGTAAAGTAATACTTCCTGATATTATTTTTAAACCTTTGTCCCTCTAATTTAAGACTATGTCCTCTTGTTGTGGTAGTTTTTCTTCTTTTAAATATAGTCTCCTCCTTTACTGTGTTGATTCCCTTTATATATTTAAATGTAGAGGACAGAGTTTCTGCCATCAAGTTTTGTCAGTTCCCTACAGCTGTCCACAGTGACTGTGAGCAACAGGCGTCTTCTTGTGCATGACGAGAGTTGGTGTACGGAGGATCCTGCAGCAGCGCACGTGCAACAGTACATCATTGACGCAGTTCCTGGAGGATGACGCATTTGGCTCTGAAAATGTCCACCTTAATAAAGATTTGGTGCCTGTGAGGGGAAAACTTCCAGTGAATACCCTTATCATAATACAAGACGAATATCACCTATGGGCACACTGGGCATTAAAGGGTTAAAGGGAATTTAAGGACGACCGTCACTTCGCTGCTAATTACGCCACTGTATAAAATAGTAAAAAATACCTACAATTTGTTTTTTTCATAAGCTGCTTTTTATTTACAATGCAAAGACGACAGGGCTGCTTTAATGTTAAAAAAAGCAGTTTATGAAAAAATTATAGGTATTTTTCACTATTTTATACAGTAGCGTGATTAGAAGCAAATTGACGGTTTCCCTTAAATGCCCTTTAACCCTTTCTTGGCCGGTGTGAGGTATATCCTCCTGGCAGTGTGCCTGACCTCAGGGGGTTAAGGAATAATGTTTCAGAATTTCACTATCTCTCCATATAATGAATGAAATAATGATAATAATATAATGAATAAAATAATAATAATAATAATATATTGAATAAAATGATGATAATATAATGAATGAAATAATGATAATAATATAATGAATAAAATAATGATGATAATATAATGAATAAAATGATGATAATATAATGAATGAAATAATGATAATAATATAATGAATGAAATAATAATAATGATAATATATTGAATAAAATAATGATAATATTAAATTAATGAATGAAATAATAATATATTGAATGAAATAATGATAATATAATGAATAAAATAATAATATTAAATTAATGACTGAAATAATGATGATAATATATTGAATGAAATAATAATATTAACGATAATTTATTTGATATCCATTCTCTGAGCCTGACTGACAGGCTATGAGAGGGTCTGATTACTCCATGGACCTCAATGGGTTAACACCATGGTGAGCCCCGGATACTAACTGGTTCATTATCACTAATGGAAGCTGTTTGATCTCTGACTCCACCCATTCTGGCCACGCCCACAGAGGGTGTCCTTTGAAGTGTTTGTCAATAGACACGCCCGCGGTGCTGACTCCGCCCACAGAGGGCGTGGTATTTTGCTGTCACCTCTTACGTGCTTGCCAGGGGTTCCTAGAAAGACTCCGCCCCGATTCTAGTGACGCCCAGTGGGCGGGGCGCTGTCAGTCAGGGCTCGGGCTGCCGGCTCCATGCGCCCCGGGACCCGGCGGTGGCACCATGAGGAGCGGCTGCAGCAGCGGGGCCATCCCCGGCCTCCTCCTCCTGCTGGTACTGGGGACCCGAGCGGACAGAGGTGAGACCGGGGCGGGTTATGGCATCACCTTCTGGGTCCATCACCTTCAGGGCCGGAGGACCAATCCCCGGGCACCAGCATCCCTCCATACCTTCTATCCATCCACCTTCACATCCACCTTCACATCCACCTTCACTATGATCTAACATCCATCCCCATCATCCACCATCCATCCCCATCATCCATCCATACCTTCTATCCATCCACCTTCACCATGATCTAACATCCATCCCCATCATCCATACCTTCTATCCATCCACCTTCACCATGATCTACCATCCATCCCCAGCATCCACCATCCATCCCCAGCATCCACCATCCATCCCCAGCATCCACCATCCATCCCCATCATCCATCCATACCTTCTATCCATCCACCTTCACCATGATCTAACATCCATCCCCATCATCCATACCTTCTATCCATCCACCTTCACCATGATCTACCATCCATCCCCAGCATCCACCATCCATCCCCAGCATCCACCATCCATCCCCAGCATCCACCATCCATCCCCATCATCCATCCATACCTTCTATCCATCCACCTTCACCATGATCTAACATCCATCCCCATCATCCATACCTTCTATCCATCCACCTTCACCATGATCTAACATCCATCCCCAGCATCCACCATCCATCCCCAGCATCCACCATCCATCCCCAGCATCCACCATCCATCCCCAGCATCCACCATCCATCCCCATCATCCATACCTTCTATCCATCCACCTTCACCATGATCTAACATCCATCCCCATCATCCATACCTTCTATCCATCCACCTTCACCATGATCCACCATCCATCCCCATCATCCACCATCCATCCTCATCATCCACCATCCATCCCCATCATCCATACCTTCTATCCATCCACCTTCACCATGATCTAACGTCCATCCCCATCATCCACCATCCATCCCCATCATCCATACCTTCTATCCATCCACCTTCACCATGATCTAACATCCATCCCCATCATCCATCCCCTGTATCAGCTTTCACCGTGAATCCTGGCCACCATGACCCATTATTCCTTCATCCACCTGGATCATGACCGCAGTACATAATGATCCTAAACTCCCAGCTCAGCATCCACTACTACCTGCACCATGACCCTGGATATCACGACCCAAAACTTCCAGCCCTGTATTCACCACTACTACCTGCACCACAATCCAGGATATCATGACCCAAAACTCCTAGACCTGCATCCACTACTACCTGCACCATGTCACCCCCCTTCCCACCACCCATCCCGGGTACCATGATCCACACTATCCACCTGCACTATGACCCAAATCTACCAGTCCTGCATCTCTCTTTACCCACACCATGAGCCTGGATATCATGACCCAAAACTCCCAACTCCGCATCCACTACTACCTGCACCATGACCCTGGATATTATGACCCAAAACTCCCAACCCTGCATCCACTATTACCGGCACCATGACCCAGGATATCATAACCCAAAACTCTTAGCCCTGCATCCACTACTACCAGCATTCTGATGCAAGCCTCCCAGCCCAGCTGTGTTACCCCCAGCAAATCCCCCAGACATCATGATCCAAGCTCTGTATCCATCTGCTACTTGAACCAGGACCCCCAGACACCATTGCCCTAGCTTCTCTATAAACTGCACCATGATTCCAACTTCTCAGCTCTGCATCCACTGCTGATCTAACCCCCTGGCAACATTATCCAAGCTTATACCATGTGCCGACTGCTTTATGACTCTCTCACCCTGGCATAGTTACCCACCTTTGTACCTTTCTCTGTCTGTCTAATCACTTTCTCACCCTAGCATCATTACCCAGCCATGTGCTGACTGCCTTGTCACTATCTCACCCTGGCATCATTACACAGCTTTGCACCTTTCTCTGTCTGCCTTATCACTATCTTACCCTGGTATTGTTACCCAGCCTTGTACCATGTGCCGACTGCCTTATCACTGTCTCACCCTGGCCTCGTTACCCAGCTTTGTAACCTTCTCTGCCTTATCACTATCTCACCCTAGAATCATTACCCAGCCTTGTATCATATGCTGACTGCCTTGTCACTATCTCGCCCTGGCATCATTACACAGCTTTGTACCATTCTCTATCTGCCTTATCACTGTCTCACCCTGGTATTGTTAACCAGCCTTGTATGATGTGCTTACTGCCTTGTCACTATCACACCCTGGTATTGTTACACAGCTTTGTACCATTCTCTGTCTGCCTTATCACTTTCACCCTGGTATTGTTACCCAGCCTTGTACCATGTGCCGACTGCCTTATCACTCTCACCCTGGCATCGTTACTCAATCTTGTACCATGTGCCGACTGTTTTATCACTCTCACCCTAGCATTGTTACGCAGCCTTGTACCATATGCTGCCTGCCTTATCACTATCTCACCCTGGTATCATTACCCAGCCTTGTACCATTCTCTGTCTGCTTTATCACTATCTCACCCTTGCATCATTACCCAGGCTTTTACCATGTGTTAACTGCCTTATCACTAACCATATTCTACCCAAAACAAACATCACTACCAACTCTCGCTGCCATGCACTACCTGCTCCTTCACTGTATCACCCTAAGACATCATTATACAGTATTGAGCCTATCTACACATTGCTGTCTAACCCGTAGCCATCTCTGACCTGCCTTCTGCACCATCATTCTCTCATACCTGGGGTTCATTATTCACCATCAGTATTTTACCAACGGTTATCATTGCCCCAACCTTGTTGCCACCCTTTGCCTGCACCTTCACTAACTCACCCCCCCCGATTAGACTCCATTACACGAGTATTGCACCTAGCCACAGCCCTTATCATCATCTTGCACCATTCCAGCGTTTACTTTATCGCTATTTCACCACCTTTTAAAACTTCCTCACTCCATCCGCCAAACCCTACATTGCCTGTTCTATTCCACTCACCTCCTCTCAAAGCTCCACCACCTTCAACCACCATAAAACTGTTAACCCAGCATTGCCACCTGTCTTCTGCCTATATTCCTGTCCCTGTGTCCTCATCTGATCCACGAAGCCATCCACTCCCTCTGCTGCATCCCACTACCTTATTACTTCATCCCATCCCGACAGCCATTCACTTTGACTGCTGAATTCAACTACCTTATATTACTTTATCCCAGTACCTTATATTACTTTATCCAATCCCAACAGCCATTCACTTCCTCTGCTGCATCCCACTACGTTCTATTACTTCATCCCAACAACCATTCACTCCCTCTGCTGCATCCCACTACCTTATATTATTTCATCCCAACAGCCATTCACTCCCTCCGCTGCATTCCACTACCTTATATTACTTCATCCCGACAGCTATTCACTCTCTGCTGCATCCCACTACCTTATATTACTTCATCCTAACAGCCATTCACTCTCTCCGCTGCATTCCACTACCTTATATTACTTCATCCAATCCCAACAGCCATTCACTCTCTCCGCTGCATTCCACTACCTTATATTACTTCATCCAATCCCAACAGCCATTCACTCCCTCTGCTGCATCCCACTACCTTATATTACTTCATCCTAACAGCCATTCACTCTCTCCGCTGCATTCCACTACCTTATATTACTTCATCCTAACAGCCATTCACTCCCTCTGCTGCATCCCACTACCTTATATTACTTCATCCAATCCCAACAGCCATTCACTCCCTCTGCTGCATCCCACTACCTTATATTACTTCATCCTAACAGCCATTCACTCTCTCCGCTGCATTCCACTACCTTATATTACTTCATCCCACCCCGACAGCCATTAACTCCCTCTGCTGCATCCCACTACTTATATTACTTCGTCCCAACAGCCATTCACTCCCTCTGCTGCATTCCGCTACCTTATATTCCTTTTTGCGGTCCCAGCAGCCTTGTCATCCCTCTGCTGCATTTCACTATCTTATATTTCTTTATCCGATGTCTGCAGCCTTGCTCTCTTCTGCCTGCATCCCACTATCTATATGTTTTATTTACCCCGCAGCTTTATACCCCTCTCTGCATGCATCCTGCTCTTTTCCTTTATCCGGCCTTGCAGCCTTGCACTCCTCCATTCCTCTAGTAATATTCCTTTATCCCAGCCATGCAGTTCCTTCACAATTACTGTGTTGCATTCAGACCCCAGAAAGCCAGTTCCCCATCTTTTCACTGCTGTGCTGCTTGCACTTATTATCTCAAACCTGCTTCCAATACGACAGCCTTGCAGGAATCCTGCTGTCTCAGCTTTGTAAGACCAGCCACTCAGCCAGGTACTCATCCTTCCTGGACTGTTACTGTCAAACCACTGTCTAGTCTACACTGTCCGTTACCCAGGCTTGTACTCCTCCACTGCCTGAAGTGCAGCCTCACTGTCAGCCCTTTTCTGTGCTCAGTCCTGTCAGCCTCCCTGTCAACGCTTGCAATCCACCTGTGTAAGATGCATTATCACAATATTGTGTTTAGTATTATTTAAATCCCAGGATATCAATATCCAATTTGATAGAAAATAAAATGACCCTAGTTGAGCAGAGTATCAAAACCTTTATTCCGCTAAGCAAAACACTCCAACTCCCATCATGCTCAGACACCAGAAAGGGTTGTGATTGTCTTCAGGGTATCTCAGTAGGGTACCCACAATTATTTCTTTATCCTCTCCTATTCACTGGTCCTGTCTTCTTCCAGGGATGAGTCCGCCCATATTCGAGTGTGAAGAGAACCAATTTTTGTGCAGTAACATGCGTTGTATACCCATGCTGTGGAGATGTGATGAAGATGATGATTGCTACGATAACAGCGATGAGGAAGGCTGTAGTGAGTAGCATTTATACCTTGGCCATGTTTCAATATATATGCAGTGTGTTATAATAATTTGGTCACTTAAAAAGTTAAATCATGCTTATTGGTTTGGAGGTGTACATTTGTTTAGGTTAGTGAAATCTTAGTTGTCCAGGGAAACGCCAGTTAGTAGCTCACACCCATACACTGTGTCTATAAACGTACCATTCTATTCATGTCAAAGCAGGTTATTGAACAGAGAGGTCCTTGGCTGCTGCAGAACCTCTTGTAAAATATCGTTCCTAACAGAGCGCTGATTCCTATTGTGGCCTGATTCTACACTCTTTTTTTTACGCAAACTATTCTCTATCGTGTGTATAATGTTACCCCTGCTTTACTTTCCTCGGGGTTTGCACTATATGCTTGTAGCATGTGATATTTGGAATGCACTGGTTTGGTATATTGTCTGTCTATCAATACCTGCATCTGATTCGCTCAGCTTGGTGTTATACATACCATCCAAAATGGTTGACTTGTTACGTCCGTTAAAAACAAAAGCATTTATTGATGAACATTTCAAAATAAAAACCTCTACGTCCACGGACACTTCTTTCCAAAATCGTAGCGTAGATGTTGTGGATTTTGTGTTTTTAATATTGTATTGTATTGTATTGTATTGTATTGTATTGTATTGTATTGTAGTGTATCATTTTTTTATTTATTTTTTTTAGAAAACATATTTAACAAGTTAATGAGTGAGTGAACTTATAGTGCTGTATTAATAACTGTGCAGTGTATTTAGAGCGCTGTATAAATAACGGTGCTGTGTAGTTAGAGCGCTTTATAAATAGTGGTGCAGTGTGTTTTAGAGCGCCATGTGAAGTGGTGCAGTGCGTTTCGAGCACTGTGTGAACAACAGTGCAGTGCATTTAGAGCTCTGTATAAATAACTGTGGTGCAGTGTATTTGGAGCGCTGTATAGATAACTGCAGTGTATTTGGAGCACTGTATAAATAACTGCAGTGTATTTAGAGCACTGTATAAATAACTGCAGTGTATTTAGAGCGCTGTATAAATAGTGGTCCTGTGTCATTAGAGTGCTGTATAAATAACTGTGGTGCTGTGTAGTTAGAGCGCTGTGTAAATAATGGTGCAGTGTAGTTAGAGCGCTGTGTGAAGTGCAGTGCATTTAGAGCTCTGTATTAGGAGCAATGTTTATTATGGCACAGATTATTACAGTTTTGGTTACAGCAGGATTACCACAATGTCTGACTGTGCATTATGTCAGAAGTTGTTGTTAAAGCATGTCGTGGGGCATTCATTGTTTATTGGATTTAATACAATTTACAGGTGATTTCTGATCTCTATGGGGATTAACGCTGTGTACGCTGAGAGCAATAACTTTATATATCAGTCATTATACCTGGTACATTGATGTGCATGTTGGCATCATTTATAAAAAAATAAAAAAATAAAAAAATTTTTAATGAAATTACCACAAAATTACCATTCGTTGAACAAAGTCTGATACTATTTTATCTTTTACGTAACGTATATTAGATTTATTTACGAAACAAGGTAGCCAAAAGACAGACCCCAGCAGTTTAACTGCAGCTCCCATGATTCATTTCTAGCCCAAAGTGAATCTGTCACATGTGACATTTTTGCACAGACCATTAAATAAATTGGCTGTTAGTTCAGCATTTATTTTATAATTAATGCAAAATGTGTATGTGCGAAATACCATTACAGTACTTACAAGCGGATATCAAGCATCATGGGATGATGACATTGCCCTGGACAAGTAAGCAGGCGCACCCCACTTAATGCATCAATTGTATTTACTTGGATGAGGCATTGAGAAACTGTCACCAACAGAAAAGTGACAATACCCCTTTAAATGTTTCAGTGCATCATGGGAGTTGTAGTTCTACTTTGGCAATTCTTGTAGAATCTCTGTGATGATATAGGAATAAGGATGTTTGACACATGCTGGTCCCCTCTCCCTACTGCTCCACCTTGCCTTATCTAGCCTTGTCTAATCATATACTATGTGTCCAGACTGACTTTATGAATGAAAGCTAGGAAAGCTACATGTGTGGCTGTTGTTGGCTGCGGCTGAGCATCAGATCTAGTCACATGCAGCCGAGGTGGCCAATTGGAAGGCTACGATCGAGCACACACCCCTCAATCTGTGAGCAGGAGGGAGTGGAGACCATTAACCGTTGCATTGCTGTAATCACGTGGGAACACAAACCTGTCCGTCTACCTGTCATATATTCTTGTTATATTGTATTTGTGAAAGCCACATGGATTGTATAGCTGTGTGTTTTTAACACACTGGGACTTCCTGATGGGTTTTTAATTGTGATATTTTTAGATATTGATTTTACATTATTCTCAGCATTGATCGGTGTGGTTTTATCCGTTGCTGTATATAGTTACGTGTGTGAATATTTGTATCGTCCTCTATATATTGGTTATTTGTCTGCTGTGGGTACAAGACCTTGTTACAGCCCAGATCGTGCTTTGTCATGCTGTCAGTGCATTGTATGTTTGCCACTCCCACTCTTTCGATGACACACGATACAATAAATGATGATATACTCTTGTATACACAACACCTGTCTTGGAATTCAGAGGAAATGAATACAATTTACTGTATCTTTCTTATTCTATGAATTAAAGGACATGCAGGGATTTGTTCTAACCCTGTAATGTCCATCATCATTTGGTATTGTCCGAATGTGATGTTTGAAGACCCAGTCTGCATGGAGTCCCTTGGCTTTTTAGCATCAGTACCTCTGTACATGTCCTGAGTGCTACATAACAAGGTTATGTTTGAATAGGTCTTAAAGGACCAGAGAATGAAGATGGCTCTATGTATTTTATTAAACGTAGAGTATATTTTGAATGCAAGACTGTCTAGGCACAACCTGGCACACTATGCAAATACTAAATGTTACATTATTATCTGTAATATAATCATGGGAATAAACTGCCCAGGCACAGGTACACAAGCAGAGTGTATTTGAAATAAGTGTGCGAGTTTTGTCGTACTTACACCTTGCACACTTGACCCCAGTGAGTGATCTCCAATAAAAAATTAATCTGGATTGATCCTCAAATAGTTTGAATGACAATATCACTCGCAAATGTATCATTTAGAGTAGCTAAGTATTTTGTTTTACTTGCTACATATTTTCAGTATTATTATTAATTTTATTTCTTTTCTTTTATGTGAAGTCAGTCAGGCAAAGATGGGGAGTCAGTCAGAAAATGTTATAGGGTGCTTGGCTGTCTATGCAGATACAATTAAATCCATACATGCATTCACCCCTCCCCCCCACCCTTCCAAGTGATGCAACTATTAAGGCAAAATTGTCACTGTGGGTTTTTGCACAACTTGTTGACTAACTAAACGTTGGCTCTGGGTTGTGCTTTTTAAATGTATTTTTTTAAATTCACATGAGCAATGGGCGAGTTCAAATGTGCTCATATGCCATTTCTCGATACGTGCATGTCATGAGGCGATGATGTTGCCTTGAACACAGAATTGCAAAGGGCGTAAGTGTTGTGGGGGTTTTTTTTTTGTTTTGTTTTTTAAATCATCTCACATTTTCTCACCTTCTTAGAGGAAGAGAAATCTTCAATAACTCTGTTACAACCCCTTTGATGAAAATCAAACCCAATCTCTTAAATACAAATATGTAGTTTAAATATTGCTCATAAGAACTTTCCTGGGCAAAGTAGATATTTTGAGGATACCAAAGGGCTTTCAAAACTATCACCTATCACCTGAACACGCACTCACCGCCTTGTTCAAAAATAAAAACCAGGGGGGCTGCAGGTGTTTTAAACTCCTAATTTAATGCGGTTTTAAACTCCGAGTGCACACTGTGTCAGTAGAACTGTAACTTGGTTTCTGAGCTAATAAGTGGTCTGTTTTTGTGGATTGCAGTGCCTGATTGTATGCAGATTGACAGAGCTCCAGATAGGTGTCTTATTAGAAAGTGATTAGTGACTTCCTAGGAGCCTCTCCACATTGTGAATGATTCTGGGAAAAGTGATGGAGCTACAGGGATACTTGCTGGTAGCTATGGCATTAACTAGTATAGTGGATTAGCCCGGCTGGAATCCAGCTCGAAGCACAGTTCAGTTTTTGTAATGTGAAGTGCCTTAGGAAGTTATTCATGAGCAGATTAAAAAAAAAAATTAACAAAGTGCACTTGTCATTTACTGAATAAATACTTGTGCTGTCGGGATATATTCACTAAATGGAGAAATCTAAACTAACCTCAAAAGACCCGAGCTGGGAAAGTAACAGTTGGTGAGGTGTTTTTAATTTTTTTTATTTCTTTGTTTGGCTTATTTGACATTAAAATTCTGTTTATGCAGCCCTCGTAACACCTACCCTGGCTGTGGCTCACACATCCGGCATGATCAGATGTTGACTTACTTTGGAAGTTTTATCTCCTGCTCTATAAATTGAACTTAAATCACACACACGAGGCTCTTACGGGATATAGAAGGATATAAATAGAGCAGGAGATAATACATTATAAACTTAAACCATGTGCAATAAAGTTAGTTTAAATATTAGTGTTTAGGAAGGATGTGCAAATCTCATTCAGGGAGGTGTGACTAGGGCGGTATAAACAAAATGATTTAACACCTAAAGGGCAGAGAATTGAGCTGTGAGACTGGAGGGGCATGATCTATTTGCCAAAACTGCTTCATTAAGCTAAAGTTTTTTGGGGAGCCAATAGTGTCCCTTTAACTAGTTTGTCAATAAGCCCCAGAGTGACCTATTTAGCTATTTATCTCTACACATAATTTATATTTGTGAGTTGTGAAATTGATGTCTTTTTATAAATAAAGAGCTTTGATATGAGAGCCACATTGTAAAAAAAGAAAAGTCAGGATGACTCTGCATACTTTATTTCAATATTTCTGTAATGTATAATTATAAAGGCATTGCAGTCGAGAGCAACAGACTGTCACTTCCCTGGAATTTACAGGGAAGTGACATTGTAAGTCAGCCTTCACTTGCAATACATTTGTATCAAAGATTTAGGAAATTATATCACAATCCAGTTCAGACAAGGCAAAACCAGGGCAAACATTGTGCAATGGAGAGGAGAAGTAGATGTCTATCTATTGTTCCTACATATACATAATTTTTTATTTTTTATTTTTTTTATACTGGTAAATGACCATTCATAAAGATTTAGTAATTTTAAAAAAATTTTTTTTAAACCTTTATTAAATAAGCATGCAAAATTTTGTTTATGTGCAAAACAGGACTCTGATGTCACCTCTGGTGGTGGCAGCATGATTCTGATTGGTTATCACAAAAATTAATCAGATAGTTTTACTTTATTTTTTGCCTTCACAATTGCTAAATCAATTGCTCCTCTGTGCACTCCACCAAAGGTGTTTGGCAAACGTAGTCAACTATAGAAGATTAATTATAAATAACTACATTTTAGCATTTGCTATGGAAACAAACTGACTATACCTTCTGATTGCTCGAGTTCTGAACTTTACATTAGAATCGTTCTGTTGTAAATAACCTACGGTGTTAATCAGAGAAAACATTGGCTCTGAGGTTTACATAGTCTTCTGATTGCTTGAGGATCATCTGCCATTCCAGCACACAGAATTATGCTGCTATCTACTAGAGACCTTATGATACAAGGTGACTTCTAAGAGCATACATCATCACGTGAAAAAGTGGGTCCATCCCAAAAGTGCGACTTCATCTGCTCTTTGATATCTTTAAAAGGGACCCGTCATGTCCCAAACTACTTATGCTGTTTGGAAAGAGCGTGCAAATTAATCTATACATTGTGCTGGCAGATTTGGTAATGAATGTATAGATTGGGAGAAAAACCCACTTCCCAAACCTTCGGTGTGGAAACTGTGCCGACAGTTTGACTGTCAAGAGAGAGTAGAAGAGACCTCCCACAGGCTGTCTTTCTACTCACCCAAGTAATTGCTATGGAAACACTGCTAGCCCTGGCTAGGGTGTATAACCGCGTAGTGAGTGACGTCAATCCAGATACCGGGATGCAGCAAAGCTAGTTTGTCGGCATAAAACGGGAGGTTTGTACTGCTCTGGGAAGCGTTCCCAAGCAGGCAAAGCGCAGAAGACCATAGGAGGAACACAGGACTAAATACATATTCAGCGGTGCTGAAAGTGAGCCGAGTATATCGCTCTATTTTACATTGAATACTTAATGTATCTTTGTGATATGATATATCCAGTGTATATGTGATGATTTCAAGGAAACCTAATTTTGTCATTACATGTTCATGTTAATCTAGCATTTACCGCCCTATTTATTTTTCAAAATCCTATAATCCCTAACTAGCAATTTTTTAAAAGAATTTCAAATGTGTCACTCTGCTACTCATGATATAGTCATGTGATCATAAACGGAACTGATAGGTTCAAAAGCTCACGTCTGCAACAAAAAAAAGTGTTGTATCTTACATTTTTATTGTGGCACTTATCGTAATACAAAATATACAGTGCAACGTAAGAGTCACCCGTGATTGCAGTTGCAGGCGATAACTATACCTTATTTTAACATGGAAAAATATTGCGTAAAAGTGAGCACTGTCTACGAGTAATGTCACAGTAACATATAGAAATCGCCATGAATGCAAGCAGTAGCACATGTATACAGAGAGCCAATAGTCCAGCGTAGACCAGTATGAGAACGGCGTCAGTAGCAGAATATAAGATATTAGAAAGTTATTCGATTAGATAAATATAGGCTATACTTGCCATGAATGTTGCGCTGCAGTTAACTAAAAGGTTAGACTAATAAGCAAAAAAAAAGAGAAGTAAGAGACATTGGATGGACTGATTGTTAAATGCTAGAAACTGCATACAAATGATTAACTTCAACACTAATCAGAACAACTCAGGGTTATAAAACTATGGTGGGATAACCCAACTTAAATAGGTTAGAGAGGTAGGACACCTGGAATTCCCTGGTCACAAGGCTATGATCCGCCGATTCCCTTTGGGTACCAAGTACACTCCCCCAAAGCGGTAGGCATCTGGGTGGCCCAAGTGGTAAGTAGTAACCCGATGGTAAGTAGATGTCGACATAGACCCGCATGCTATGGGGACCACAACAGCACCAGGGAGTTGTTGCCTGCAGGATTGATATGAAGCAGTGGCCTGCCAATCGGAAGGTGAAGACGGTTTGGGAGCCATAACCACACGTTTAACGTGAGACACTCAGAGGTGAAGGTAGAGTATTGGTCTGCTTTGCAGGTATGGAGATCTGCATTCACGTGAAGTTTGGCTCAAAATACAGCAAATAACCACTCTAAATTGGTCACAGTAAGAGATGTCAGACAACGTCAGTCTAAAGTACTCATGGCATCCGCCATATTAGGGAGGATGGTGCACCTTATAGTTACACACCGAAACATTCAGCTATATCTTTAGTGAGTATACTGCTTGTGCAGGAATGTCCCTCACCAGCAGAGAGGGGATAGTAGGAGTTAGGCAGTAGTTACAGGCTCTTACTCGAGTGAACTACTGGCCGATAGATTGGCCACCTCTCCCGTGCCCACGCCGCTATAGCAGAACTTCCTGACTGCCAAAGCTGCTTGGAGACACTCCAGGATGCACTATCTGTGCACCCACAAAAGCACTGAAAAGCACAGGGCGGCAAACCTAAAACAAGCTTAAAAGTCGGCTGTTCGTTTGGGACTCTTCTGCATGGCAGTCAGGTTCTGCCACCCCCCGCCCCCCTTTTATTTTTTTACCTTTTGAGGAAACCATAAATTGACAGATATTCCTAATTTTCTTTGCTTGACTTCAGAGTATTCTGGTTTTTGGTTTTCTTTCATCTTTCAAGCTGTAACAGCCCTTGATTATAAAGTGGAAGCAGAATATAGCTACCTTGAGTTTTCCAATGCTTCTTGTTCATTAAAAATTTTTTTATTTTTTTTTCTACCATACCAGTAGATTTCTACATTAAGCATGAACTCTTCTTCTGAAGTAGCCTTCATATATAATTCACATAGGTAGGAAATGGGCAGAGTAAGAGATGCTATATTTTTTTTCTTCTTTAATTTTTGTTTCATCTAAAGTGCACTTTAACCAATTAATGGAACATTCTAAGCTTTGTAACAACCTGTGTTATGAGGTCGCCTGTCGCTGGAGATGGAAACAAACCCACTCAATGAGTGATCAGAGGAGGAAGCTCTTCTTATTTTATTTATATTTGTCCCATTAAACATGTCAATATATAGTTTAATTAGTGGACGACAAGAAGTAAATGAGACGCGCTGGTCTCCCGACATTTAGGATATTTCCTTAAAGAGTGCTTTTTATCAGGTGTACACCGGTAATATGTAGTAGTGAACATGCATAGGTCTCTTCAGAAATTGAATGTGAGAGATCTACATACTGGGAGGCAAAGATGGAACCAGACATTTAAAAGATGATGGAAGCAAGCTATAGGTTGTCCTCTGAGGTTTGAATTCCAGTCTCTGTGTCTCCATCTCCTGTCTCTCTCACATTTCTCTTCTTAGGGCCTCCCACTACCCCCGTCGCCCGTCCTGTGTCCCCACCACTGCCCTGTCCTGAGCTGTCAAGTCGGTGAGGATGCTCTTTTAAGCGCAATGTGTGGTTTCAAGATGCCATTTTCGTATATCAAAAATTGTCCTTGTGTTCCATGCCAAACATTTATCTTCCCTTCCTCTCCAGCCAGATGAGATCAGACAAGAGGTTTGGGTTAGAAGCTGTTTTTTCCATTGCACTAGATGTGCCTTATATTGGGGTACCCTGGGGACTGAAGGCACTGAAGGTGGCAGCAAACAAATAATTTTCTTTAGGACATAACCATTGGGCTCATGAGCACTGTGACATTACCACTGTGAAAAACCATAAAAGATGGGAAAATGTAATACAAAGAATGAATCGTACTTGGCGTAGTGAATACATAAAATAAATAGCAATATGCATACACTACACTCTTTAACAGGCTCCTGCACAGCTTAATGTAAGTGAAAGAACCACAGTGATGGAGAAGATGCAAACCCTGAGAGATGAATGGTGTACAACACCGTTTTAGTCTTAAACTTTTGAAGCATTTTCCTCTTGATGACATTTCGAGCCATGGCCCTTTTGCCCTGGCGGCCGACGTAGATTTCTTGTACGGAGTTGCTGGGGGAAGTCTTGAGATAACCTCCACTTTTTTTTTAAATCAGGCCTGATTTAGTGTCCTCACGCTGAGAAATCGATGTAGTAGCGCTCACATTAAATAAACATATTTGCTCTCAACCCTCATAAACTTACTGTGCAAATATCAATATCAAATATAGTTTGGATAAAGCAAGTGACTTCTAATATTTGCATGGTAAGTAAATAAACATATATTTCAGAAACATATATTTTCCTTTTCTTTTTTTCTTTTTTTTTTTTTTTTTAAAAAAAAATAAGTCTTTTTTTTTCCTTAAATGACCACTCCACAACCATTAAAGCGGCACTGCCACCAATCCCTGCAAAATGAGTATTTCCTAAAGATAAAATCTTTTAAAAATGGATACTACCTTGTCTCAATATTTTTCCTACACCTGACACTTGTAGACACTGGACGGAGTTACCGCTGTTTTAAAGTGTCAATCTCTCTCCCGTCACCAGTGATGCCTGCAGAGATATTAGCTGTATCTATGGAAGATCTTGTGGAGTCCTCTAGACCTCAGTGCTGAACTCTCGCACATCCTGAAGTTCCAGGATCAGAAGAGGACTGTCTGGAAGGAAATTAAAGCCCTACGAGGCTGACCACTGGACTACCAGCAGCGATGTCCATGTCGGGAGCCTGTGAAAATTAGGCAAAGTCCCCAGATGGTGACCGTGACAATTTGAAGCGCTTCTACATGGCATTATCTTATATAAACTGCACTTTATAGTTTAAATAATGACCCCCCCCTTCCCTCCCACCACTGCTGTCCAACAGCCAAGGAGGTTGACTTCTGGTTTCCGCCTCTACTTGAGCTCGAATGCCTCTTCTCAGACCTCGGATCAGACAAGTGTTCAATCTGAAATCTGTGCATGCGCAAGGAGGGAAGCTTCTCAATAAAAACTGCAGCTTTTACAAACTCTCTTTTACGATATATACCCGATACATACAAGAAAAATGCATACATGTAATAATTGGGGGGATACTTTACTAAATTGGTTTTGTTTTTAAATAATTTTGCACGGTGTAGTGTTCCTTTCAGATGCTCTGTTAAGACAACACTTTTTCTAAGAAAATTGACTGTATGACACACATTTTAAAACGCGTGTAGTTGAAAAATAACCTATGCAAATCTATGCATATATCCCATTCCATGCTGGAAAACCCAGAGCTTGCTTCAGGCCAAATATACAGTGCATGGTGGAGCCTCGCAGTGCGGCTGGAAGGCCTATATTTATTTATACCATTAGCTAGATTAAAATAGTACTGCTGACTCTTATAATATTGTTTCGCTGGATAAAAATAGCAGTGCCTCATAACCAGTCATTTTAGAAAATGTGTACGTGCGCAATTAAATGAAGCTTGGAAGCAGTTGTATAAATATTGGGCTATAATACTGCGGTTTTATTGCTAGTCAGGAGACCTTTTTAACCATTGGCGCCTTCTCTTATCAAACCTATTTTTGTTTTTAAAGTGTGTGTGTGTGTGTGTGTGTGTGTGTGTGTGTGTATGTATATATATATATATTTTAATCTGTAAACTGTTAGGAATATGCAAATATCACTTTGTATTAACCCATTTGTATCACTGTACATTTCTGCAGAGTATGTAAATGGATTGACTATACTAGGCGTACGGTGAATGGGTAAGGGAGGCGTTGAAGCGTTTTGGTTTGCCTTTTAATGCTTTTTTTTGTAGTAGTAGCTCTAATAGGTCTCTCAATTGGAAAACCCCAAACTCATGGTAGCATTTTCTATTATAGCTATTAAAGGGGGAAAAAAGTTGGATAACAAGTAACTAGGCAAACCTATCCATTTCTTATATGGTATTTTGGGTGACCACAGGTTAAGAGAACACGATGGTCTTCTTTTTTTTTTTTTTTTTTTTAAACACAATATTTTGAGCAAGTGTTTAAATTTATACATTTTTATTCACTATTTATCACACTAGCGAAATTATATTCACGATCTTGATTTATGACCGTTTTAACCATCTTTAGGGAACTTTAGACAGAACGCACATTACTTTTCTATTTTTAACTATTTTACGGTTTTATATTGCGTTTGGTTAGTACATGCACCCTGACATGTTTAATGGACTTTGCTCTAGTGTAATATGTCTTGACAATAGCATTGGCCAAGCTGAGAGCAGATCTCACATTAGCACATTTTTAGCATCTAAGTGACAAACTGCTAAAATACACTTTGCTGTGACCATTTGTAGATGGAAGGCATGTCTCTGCCATTTAGCACTCTTCAGTTTCGAGCATGGCCATTCAAACACATCTTTGCCTTTTTGTATACTGGTCAAGGGTATTTAAGCTGTTGAACTCCTTTATGCCCCAGTGATACAATTTGCTGTCACACCAATCTGATCATGGCAAACCTCGTGGCAAGCCTTATTTGGCTTTAGCATCTCCATATGGTCCTGACATCGATAATTGACTGGGACTTTCCATTTTAGACTTGGATCTTTACTGATTACTGTATACTTCCATTCAGCAGCTCTCTCATCCACCTCACCCCAAACCAAAACATTTCGTTGGAATTTCACCGATATTCCAACTTCATCAAAAGTTATATCTCAAGACACTCTTGCGCATGCACAAGAATACAGCACTGACGTCGGCTCCTTGCAGATGAAACATGGAATAAGATGCCCAGGGCCACGAGCGATAAGTTCAGATAAGTAAAACGTACCTTTCCCTGCACTCCGCTGCCAGCGACAAAGGTGACAGAAGTTTGAAGGTTTTACATATGACCTGTTACCTGTCAGTTATTTTGCCAAAAACGGAATTGGATTTATATTCAATTTGTTGTACTGTTTCGTTTAAGGATACATATTAATCTTTTTTTTTTTTTCAACCTGACCGTAATATCTTGTTGCCCTTTGTACGACATGGTATGAATATGTCTACAAAGATGTTTCGATAACTGTTTGTGCAAATAACATTTTTGTCTGCTTGCTCTAAACGGCTATATTGGCTTTGAGATGAGGCTTGAGGAAATCACCTAAAATTTCTTCCAACAGTCGTCCCATGTCCCACGTCCAGGCTCCATTTAATATTTAATTATTGACCATGGAGACTCACAATCATTCCTTCCATAGAATAAAGAGTGTTATCGTTGTACAAGAGCCGGAGATTTCTCATGTGTCTAGGGCCACCACTTAGTTTTTTAATAAACAAACACGCTGGTTCCATTTGATTAACATCAGGTAATCCGGTCCTAACTTGTCTTTTTAAATGTGCCCGTCACATGAGCATAAACCGTGTTATCCACGGATCACAGGGTGAAAAACTGGGCCACAATGCACTCCACTGTTTATATTTACACACATTTCTGGGGTTTATGAAGTAATTCAGAGGCTATGAATGATTCCTCCAGTTAATACTGACACATGAATGGTTAATGTTGACAAATTAGAACTTTTTTAGACGGGTTGGCCTGCTTAACATAATACATATGCTTTTGTGTTTCTGGGAAATTTCAATGCTTTATCCAGTGATTCCGTTTTCCCTTTGCACACAGTGACATAGCTGGTAAAATCCACAGAAAGCACTTTTTCAGCCTCTTTTGTTAAAATGTCTACTTTGTATTCTGCTTGGAGACTTAAGCCTTTTTGGGTCTGACAAAAACCTTAGTTACTGGGAGGTGTGATGATGGATTCTAAGTGGGGAAAATATGGCACGCTATTTTATGGGCTTTTATGTTTTAAAGAGGTTACAACAATGATGTATATTTTATAATTCTTGTTTATGGTTGTCAGAAAGTGGTGGAAACAGTCTATTCTCCGACAAACAAAGTATCCAGCAAATTTTAATATATATATTTTTTTTCTATTCCACAAAAACATTTTGATGGTAGATAAAAGCTGCGTTGCCCATATTATAGTTTGTCTTCTACTTTTTATGTAAACCTGTCGCCTACACATTTTATGATCATTTCATCTATAGGGCGTTTATATATTAAATAACATTGTGTTGACAAAATAGGCAATATTTTATATTTTGATTAAAAAAATATATTTGTTTAGAACGCTCGAGCAACATGTCTGCTTCAGATAGAATAGATGGATTACAAACGATTCATATATTATTTAGCCCTTCTAAGCATGTGCAAAGAGATGAGGCATATTAAAGGGTTACTTCAAGAACCTTGACCACTTCAGTAATTGACGGAGTTCAAACCCTCTTCTGCCCGTGCTTGTAACTACACCTTTTGGCAGTATTATTGGGGGGTTTTCAGCCAGCCCAGAACTAGTCATAGATTGACTGACTAATATCAATTCTGTGCAACATTTGTCATGTCAGTCATTGGCTAACAGAGATCAGCTGATGCTCTTAGCCAATGTATAGTGACGGCCACAACTTTTGGCGTCTGCGGCTCTGCAGAAGCCGTAAGCACGTCACTGGACCACCAACTAGAATTTGCGCCTGGTAGAGACTCATGTAAGAGTACAAACCATTGCTAAACAGTTTGCCCTTTTACCAGGGCACTGGCCCAGGGTACTCCTGGTAAAACTACTACAGCGGGCTATAATGGTTATAATGCATGGAATAACTCTTTATGGAGGTAAAATAATTAAACTTTCTGTCTACATTTTACTAAAAAGCTAAGTAGCTTTCTTCTTTAAAAAGAGATGTGAAAGGTGAACATATCCTAAAACAGGGGTAGGCAACCTTTTAGCAGCACTGTGCCGGAATAAGATTGTGATGTCCCATAGCGTGCTGGTCCTATTTTTTTAAATTGAGGTGTGAATGTTGCCGTATTCTGCTTGTGTTATTTATACTGCAGTTGCTTTGTATCATTGTATTTGTGCGTTAATGAGCTATTATATTGCATATGTTTGTGGTATCGGGTCTGATACATATTAATGTGGGTTGTGTGTGGATGGATATGTCACTGTGTGTGTGTGTGTGTGTGTGTGTGTATGTGTGGGGCTGTTTGGGGTATTACATGTGAGAGGCTGCTTGCGGGGTTGTGTGCATGTATGTGGATTGTTAGTGATGTTGATGTTGTTTGTGTGTGGGCTGTTTGTATGAGGGGAGGGTTTAAAGACTTAAAAGTAGAGGTACACTGCACCCAGACCACTTCATTGAGATAAAGTGGTCTGAGTGCCTTTTGTATCCCTTTAAGTGTTTGGAGGAAAAAGCTAGTGAAATTTGTATCTGCAATAAGTGCATTTGTCTGCAGGAGCCTGGTTGCCAGTTGATACGATTTTCAGCGATCATATTTAGCAGTTGCGAACGAACCACATCTTCGTTAATTTTGCTTAGCTACGAGCAATCGAGCTGCATACATACAATGTAGCAACCTCATAAACAGGGACCCTCCCTAAAGTGTGAATTTTTAGACATTCAAATGGAATTTTAGGCCAAAACCTCTAAACTGATAGCTGGCTTGGAGATTTTCTTTTCCAATGTGGATATTTTGGCCTAAAAGTTTTTTAAGGGACATTCCAGGTACCCAGACCACATAGCCCATTGAAGTGATCTGGGTGCCAACTCCCATCACACTTAATCCAGCAAGTGTAATTATTGCTGTTTTTTATAAACTGTAATAATTACCTTGCAGGATGAAGTCCTCCTCTAGTGGCTGTCTACCAGTCAGTCACTATAAGGACTTCCGGCTTCTTAGACTACTTTTGGTCTAAACGATGCCGGACGTCCTCACGCTATACATGAGCACCTCCAGCGTCGCTGGAATCCCCATAGGAAAGCATTATTCAATCATAATGTGAGCGTGGCCATTGCCGTGCATGCACATTAGCTCTCTCCCGCCGGCGGACGCCAGCAGGAGAGGAGCGTGGGCGGAGCTGAGCCTCGGTGCTGTACCCAGGTAAGTGACAGAAGGGGTTAACTGTTATTAACCCCTTCTGCACCACGGGGGTGGGCCTTGACAGAAGGGGGAACTATAGTGCCAGGAAAACCAGTTTGTTTCCTTTCCACTATAATTTCCCTTTAAATTTACTTTGAATTCATTACATAGCTATTCTCAATTAATTGAATAACCTTGATATGTTTTGTCAAATTGAGATCAGTGTTACTGATGTTGCTATTTTAAAGTGCAATCTTGGGGCCCAGAGTTATCGTACTCGCGGCTATATTTTCTTAAAAAACTTGAGTATATAACGTCATGTTACAATGATTTGTTTTATTCTAGAATCAGTATTAATCTAACATTATGAATCAGGACTGGGCTTTGAGGAAGCCTCTTGTTTCTTGCTTGGATATTCAGATACAAAAATAGTTTTTCCAAAGGTTCTGAAAACCATATTGTATCTTCTGTGATCAATGGACAACAGGGGTATGCATTATTAGGTGGTATAATTGTTTGTCTGGGAATTATTCCATTTTGTTTGCTGAGATAGTTGTTTGGGAGGGGAAGCAGCAAGTTGTGAGAGTTCTGCCCTTAATCTGCTTGACTTTTGTGATCATACGAGTTCCCACACGTATCCTACAGGGTACCGAGGATAGCCTGCTGGGATAAATAAGGAGAACCGGAGACTTCCCCAGCAGGTGCACCAACAAATCTTCACTCCTGAATTATATGCAGGACAACCGAAACTATAATCATGTCACAAAGGACATTTGAAATGGCCAGTTTCTAGAAATGGCAAATACTGTTAACTCTTTGAGCGTCAGATATACCCAACGCATTGCTGTGCAATCAGTTGGACACCCCGTGGCTCTTGGTTAGTTAATCATCAGTCAGGCCTTAAAAGGACACTCGAATACTAATTTTTTTTTTTCTTTACGTAATTTGACAGAAAAAATGAGGACTCTCCTAAATGCAAAATCCAGGATCTTTGCAGATACTAGACACAAAAAAGGTTTCACTTGTCTGATCCAAGGGATATGTATATGGCTGAATGATCCTGTCATATACTAGAGATTGGGACGAGTTTATCTCCCCTTTTTAAATTTCTTTTTACATATACTTCATTTAACAAAGAATCTATTTCCTTTCAAAACTTGATGAAATTATCAAGATAGTGTAGAGGTGATAGTTCTTTAATGCGATTTTTGGAATGTGATCTGTAGGCATTGTGATAGAATTTACTTTGATTCCAAGGTTCAAGCTTATAAGTGTCATATTAGATATCCTATATTAAAATTGGCTAACTTGGACTCAGGAAATGCTTGATGCTTAAAACGACACTTAAGACCGTATATATTTAGTTCCCAGTGCAGATAGCCCCCACCTGAGCTGTCTCTCCTAAATCAGTCTGTTCTTTCTCTTTCTCGGAACTTATTTGTTATATGTACATGACGTTCATCCCTATGTCTTATCAGTACTCCTTTCACTCCCTTCCTACTACTGTCCTATGAGTATTTGCACGTAAGCACTTATTTTTTTTTTAATGTATAAAAACACAGCTGACAAAATAAAGGTCAGAGGCTTATTTTGATATCCAACACGCGTCTGGTGTCTAATTCACGCTTCTCCAAGTGCACTTAAATAATAATTTGGGCTTCCTCTGAATATAACAAATATCAATATTTGGATCTAGATCAGCATAAGATGCATTTTTATCACTATTAATATATACAATAGTGAATACATATACAACAACTACATTAAGAGATAAAACATCAAGAAAAATAATTAAATTAATGAATCCAAGACTAGACCAGAGTTGAAGAATTTCTCCAAATCCACAGTTTTAGCACAATTACGATTGTGAGAAATTATTGATAAATTGGCAATCTTGCTTCTTTATTGCAATCTCTTCCTCTCAAAAAAACTTCTGTTGTGTTTATAAATCAGTTTTTCACCCCAGGGCTTTAGATCTGGCTGAGGTTCATGGGAATTCTTTGGATGCCAGGAATAGCTGATGTTTCTCTTGGATAGAGATGTGTACATTGCTTCTATTTACTAAATGTGTTGTTTGCTACCTCCCTGGCAGTAGGATGCATGTGCCCCATGTGAGTCATGCCAGGGTGCCAGGCTGAGAATAAAGTGGACAAAGGATCTGAGATTTTGAGAAGCTCAAGAACGCGATCAGACTGCAGAGTGTGAAGTGGAACAGGGGTCTTTGTGCACAGGGGGCAGATAGGCCATCAGCGCTGGGGGGGATAAAAAGCTGGGGTGGGGGGGGAAGGATAGAATTTGGGAGAGGAATTGAAGATTGTGTGTGTTTTGAAAAGTGGGATGGAAAGAATCAAATAAGGGGGTAAAGAAGTGTAAATGGGCAAAAGAGGGTGTGTAAAGGAAACCTGGGGCGCCGGGAGGGAATTGGCCTGGGGAGGAGGCAACAAAAACCTGAAGGAACAGGAGAGGGGAGTGAAAGAGGTGGCACAGATCATGGGTAACCGAGGGAATAAGAGATTAAACATTAAAGAGGAAATAGACAGAGGCAGCAAGGTGTTAAAACTAATTAGTTGCTTATTTTTTCTTGCAGCTGGACATGAGCCCCTCTAATAAAGCCAGCGTATAAAATGTTATTTATAGACCACCAACATACGCCGTAACACAGGACTTAAAGGTCACAAACACACACTGGCTAATGGTGCAGGAATACATTTGACAACGGTAGTGTCTGTGAGAATTTACTGCCAGTGCAGACCAGGGCCGGACTGGGAGAAAAATTCGGCCCGGGCATTTTTTTTAACACAGCGGCCCACTAAAAAGGGGGCGGGGCAGAGGAGGTGTGTTTTGTCATCACCAATGACAAACACGCCTCCTCTCAAAGTGAGCATGTTGGTTCAATGCTCTTCCAGGGCAGACCATGCGCAGAGCTCTGCTGAAGAGCTCTAGCATGAGAAAAAAAGTCCTGTATTTGTTCTGCACAGTGCAAGCAAATTTAATAACATGCTTGCACTGTGTTTCCTTGCAACTTGTCTCTGGTGTCTCTATAAATGGATACCAGGAGACAAAAGGCCAGGAAAGAGTATTGTGCATGTGTTTGGAGCCTGCTTGTGGTATTGCGTGTGTGTAGAGTGAGCTGGTCGTGGTGTGGTATTGTGTAATAAGGTCGGTTTTAGTCGTGTTGTGTTTGTGGTGTAATGTGATGCATATGTGGCTCAGGGACCCCCTCCCGCCCGGCTCTGGAAAGGGGTTAAAACTTACCTTTTTCCAGCGCCGGGCGGGGAGCTCTCCTCCTCCGATCCGCCCCGTCGGCTGAATGCGCACGCGTGGCAAGAGCTGCGCGCGCATTCAGCCGGTCGCATAGGAAAGCATTTATAATGCTTTCCTATGGACGCTTGCGTGCTCTCACTGTGATTTTCACAGTGAAAAGCACGGAAGCGCCTCTAGCGGCTGTCAATGAGACAGCTGCTAGAGGCTTTGGGGGAAGGCTTAACCCATTGATAAACTGCTATGTTTATAAAACAATGGGTTAACCCTAGAAGGACCTGGCACCAAGAGCACTTCATTAAGCAGAAGTGGTCTGGGTGGCTAGAGTGGTCCTTTAAGAGTGTAGTGTGTGTGTGTGTGTGTGTGTATATATATATATATATATATATATATATATATATATATATTTGGAAGTATTGTGTATGTGTGTGGTGCAGTGTGTTGGGGGGGTTCTGTGTGTATGTGAGGGGTGCAGTATGTGTGTGTGTGAGGGTGCGGTGTGAGTGATGGGTGTGAGAGTGCCGTGTGTGAGATGGGTGTGAGAGTGCTCTGTGAGAGTGCTGTGAGTGTGATGGGTGTGAGAGTGCTGTGTGAGAGAGTGCTGTGTGTGAGAGTGCTGTATAAATGTTATTGTGTGTGTGTGTAGGGGGGGTAAATAAAAAAAAAAAAAAAAAACAGGCATTATGTCCCCCCTCCCTTCTTACCTTTAGCCTGGGAGGGGGAGGGGGGGGTCCGGCACGCTGGGACTGGGAGGGGGGGTCCGGCACGCGGTGTTCCCTGGTGGTCCTCGTGGGTGAGTGAACTCTAGCCAGCATAGCCTGTGAGGCTAGAGTTCACTCTCGCGAGATCCGGTCGTTGCCATGGCAACGCGCCGGATCTCGCGAGAGGAACCCGGCGGAGCTGCAAATTAGAGCTCCGCCGGGTCCTCTCTCCAGCCTGGCTGTCTCCCTCCCTCTCTGCCCGCCGGCGGCCGCATGTGGGCCGGTCAGGGAGATCCTTGATCTCCCCACCGGCCCGTCGTGGAAAACAGCGGGGCCGGCGCTAGGAGAGTGCCGGCCCTGCATAGACCGGCAGGGGAGATCCTGGGACCTCCCCTGCCGGCCTCGGCCCCACGGACACCGCGGCCCACCGGGCATTTGCCCGCTGTGCCCGATGGCCAGTCCGGGCCTGGTGCAGACAAATATGATACAATGTGGTTTATGTGAGGGTGATGAGAGGAAGGGGAGGTAATAATGTGTGGGAGGTGGGTGATGGTGTGAGGGAGAGGGGACTAAATACCTTCTGTCATTTCCTGGTGGTCCAGTATGGGCTGACTGATAATCCAGTGGGCTACCTGGTGGTCCGGTGGTGATATCAGGTCTGCAGCTCGCGAGACCCGGTCAGAGCGTTGCCATGGTAACCCGCGGCAATGCTCTGATTGGCCAGATCTCGCAAGACACATGGTTTGCAGCTCTGCACAACACTGCGGAGCTGCAGACCAGCGGCCACAGGCGCTCTCCGACCAGGCAGCCTGGAGGGGCCTTGCACCTGGCAGCATATTGAGCAAGCCGCCAGGCCCCCTCTGGTCACTTACAGAGGACCCGACACAGTCTGCCCTAAGGTGGTTTAGGCAGCCGCAAGGCCTTAGGTGCACGCCTAAACTGCTTAGAGAGCCGCCTCTGAAGGCGGACGTTTTTAAAATTATTTAGGGCTGCCTGGGGGGGTGCATTGTCTTCCTGTCCCCTGTCCCAGTCCGCCCCTGCTTCTATAACAGGAATAGCCCCGTCTGACTTCAACTCCAATGATGCGTTGACAAACTAAACTTTGGCAAAGCATCATGGGAATTGTAATTCCACCACAGTTGGGGGATGTTCTCTGTGGCTTAGTCTATTTAAATAGTTGTACTCACTGCTTACCTTTTCTAACGTAAAAGTTGTTACAGAGTTTTTTTTTTGTTTTTTTGTTTTTTTTAGATTTATTTTAGTTTTTTCTTCTAAATTCAGTGGTGATGGTGAAACTTCACACAACGGTGCAGTTAAATGCTTATATTTTTGTTAAAACTGAATAACCTGCGTTGGGTATAAAAAAAGTTATGATTTGCTCTTTTCATTCATTCACTGTATATTGCACACGATTAAACTATCTGTAGAGAATCTGGGAGATGTAGAGCTAGCTGTGTTATTTTAGGGTAAGTGTTTAACACAGACTATTAAGCAGATGTTCACGTTATGAATTCTCAGCTCTGCAGTAATGGTACTGAAAGCTTTCTGCAAATAGGAGAATGCTTAATAATGCAAGAAGTGTTACACAGCTAGCTGTATGGATTCAGATATTATCAGGACTTGGCAACCTCGAACGGTTGATGAATTTAAATTCCTTATACTTGACTGATTATCAGCATCCATTGCCGAACACAATGATGACAAAAGCACACGCTTACGATTATTCCGGCGCACTGGGCTGATTTTTTTTATTTATTTTTTTTCTCTCTCTACCTACACCCAGAACATGAGCTATTCACTGTACAGTGTGAAGATATTTTGTGTGATTTTATATATATTTTTTTTTTATTGCTAAAAGGACATTTCCTTTTGTAAGTGATCCCTATCTAGTTATTTTTTTTTAGCTCTCTGTAGTTGTCATGGTGCCAATATGCCCTGGTACCAACCTGTGGTTATTTGTTGAATATGCTGGTGGTAGGGTAGAAGAACTCTGGTGGGCTGAGCTGCTCTGTAACCATTGACCATCGGCAAGTGTGGTTCAGATCAGCTTGTGGGCCTCAATGTCAGGGCAATTCAAGTAGGTATACGGTTATGTCTGGCATGCTAAGGAGTGCCCAGTTTCTTTTTATTTCATGTCATCTTGATCTTTTCTATAAATTAAATGGAATTGGTGCATGCTGGTCCACCACCTTTTCCAAAAACGCTTAGTTTCTGCAGTTTAAAAAAAGAACAAAGTGAATAGTTGATGAGACTGAGACAAGATAAAGGTAAGACAAGACGCTCTGCTCCCAAGAGCTAGAATTCAAAGGTGGCCATGTGTCGTGTGAACACCTCTTTAAAAATTCTAACACTTAATGAGCACGTTGTTGTATTTATGTATTTTTTTTGTTATATTAAATTATTCTTATTAAGCAAAAAAATTAAATCTGAATTTACTTCTCAGAGTTCGCAAAAGCAGAACAAGCCCAGATTGTGAGTGGTGCGGAGAAACTTGCTTTAATTTATTAAATACAAAAAAAGAATGTTTTCGTACAAAGCTAAACCAGAATGACAAACATTTAAATGAGATTATCCCGTGGATTAAAACAAAGAACAACTTTTTTTAATGCGTAGGTGCTCCCTTTTTTCATTTTGCACTTGAATTAACCTCACAGTGTAGACACTATAGACACCCAGTCCACTTCATCTCATTTAAGTGGTCTGGGTACAGTGTCCCTTTTGCACTTAGTGATGTAATGATACATATTACACCACTAAATCAGCCTCCAGTGGCTGTCTACCAGACCACTGGAGGAGCTTCCTGCATCCAAATGGACCTTTGTATTCCTGGCACTTATTATATCCTTTTAAGTGTTTTGTAATACAGGTTTGTATTCCATGGCTGATCCAAGTATCTATTACTCTCTGTAATGTAACTTCTCTTGTGGTATATTTGCTTAATTGTGCTGAAAGGCAATAAAAACATTTAATGCCATAGATGTAATTGGATCAAAATAATAGCCGTAGAATGTTTGTAACCCAACTGTTCCTGAGCCTGAACTTTGTTTTTAGAATCAATTCAGTACAATTCGATGTTTAGTGAAAAAGCTCTGTGTGAATAAGTCTCTTGCTGTGTTACTTCAAGTGAAGTTATTAAACTCAAGCAGAAAATTACATTTTCCAATCATTCCTGTCTGTTATTCCGAAGTGTTGTGATCTCTGGGGAAATCAAAAGGTGGATATTCGGTGCAATCCCTGGTGTAGGCATGATGTAAACCTTTCTTCATCTTTTGTTTCTGCTGGCAATCTGCTCAGATAGGAATGATTTCAGATTTGTGCCTGCTCGCTCACATCTGTCTGTCTGTCTCTCCATACACTGTATAAAATGTCATTGTCTGCTAGAATTCTAAGCTTCAGACCTCCCCCGTTCCTTTTTCAACTTCATAACTACTCGAGTGTTGTTGAGAACAGGTGCACAGTGTAGTGCAGGGGTAGACAACCTTCCGCACTGCAGATGTGGTCTACTACAACATCTACTACTATTGATTTTGCCAACGTTACGGCTGTAAGAGCATTTTGTGAGATGGAGTCCAAGGAGCACGATTCAAATTCTTGGAGGCACAAGTCTCTCTTCTTTCATTCTTCCTATCCAATGTACACAGTCGTTTTTTTTGTTTTTTTTTGTATGGTAAATTAGTTGTGGTTAAGTGTTTTTGTACAATAGACACACAGACCTATAAAAAAATATATATAATGACTTGGATTGTAAGCCCATTTGAGAGCCCTTTTCACCTCTTATATTCTGCATGTAAATTACTTCTTGTCAAATATCCTCGTTCTATAATTGTAAAAGCTGCGGCATAGGTTGGCGCTATATAAATGTTGATGATGGTAATGATCGTAATAACTCGTTGTTAAAACATAGACTGAAGAATATCCCTGAAGCCATGTCCATGCAAAAATTGCAGTGATTGAGATATAGTCATGGAGGGGAAAAAAAGTACACTCTCTTTGAATTCTATGTTTTTACATATCAGGGCATAATCCCTATCATGTGGTTTTTTTTGTTTCTTTTAGCAGCTCTTAAAATTGGTTAAATACAAAATCAGACTGTATGACTTTATCAGTCTCTCACATCGTTGTGGAGGAGTTTTGGCCCACTCTTCTTCACAATGTTTCTTGAGTTGATTGAGGTGTTTTTAGTATATAGGAGTTCATGGTCGACTCAATGACTGCAAGGTGCCCAGGTCATGTGGCTGCAAAACAATCAACCTTTCCACCACAGTGCTTGACCATTTGCATTAGGTGTTTGGCGAAAAAGATACACAGCATATCAGCACAAACCTCTCCACCTTGGCCTCGTCTGTCCAAAGAACATTGCTCCAGAAGTCTTGAGGTTTGTTCAGATGCAACTTTGCTAACCAAAGCCTTGCTCCCATGTTCTTTTTAGAGAGAAGAGGCTTTCTACTGGCAACCCTTCCAAACAAACCATACTTGCTGTCCTTTTCTAATTGTAGTGTCATGAACTGTAGAATCTGATCTATAATGGATATAAGCTATGGTTTTGGCAATTTCTCTGAGAGTTGCACAATCTGACCTTTGGTGAATTTGCTGTGACCTCCACTCCTGGGTAGATTTTCCATTGTCTCGAATGTTTTTCACTTTTGAATAATCTTTCTCACTGTAGAATATTTGGAAATGGTCTTATAACCCATCCAAGTTTGATGGGCAGCAACAAGTGCCTTCTCTAAGACCATTACTGATGTATTTCCTCCTTGGCATTGTGTTAACACACACCTGAATGCTCCAAACTAGCAAACTGCTTAAACTTCAACTTTGTCTGCTGCCTGACCTCTCAATTCCTTTGGAAATAGTAAGGGTGTGTTTTTCCACATATGGGTTCTCCATTTTGTTAATTAAATAATGACACGGTGTAATATGTCGTGTTATTCATCTGTGGTCATATTTATTCCTGCTAAGGAACATATAATTATGTCCTGATACGTAAAACCATAGAATTCAAAGAGGGTGTACTTTATTTTTTGTGTATGGATATATGGCGACTCAACAGTGAGAACTTATACCACTATAACTCCACTTTAGTAAAGTTAAAATGACACTTCTCCATTCAATTGTACTTTTTTGTAGTGTTTAAAATGTGTGTGTGTATACTATGTTTATTTTAAAAATGTGGTTTCCTGTGCTTTTTGAAAGTTTATATCTTGGCACAAACTACAATTTTTTTTTTTTTTTTAATTTTTAAAAAAAAAATGTAATTTTTTTTTTTTATGGGTTAATGGGGAATGTCCCCAAGCTGCTGTTCTCGAATCAGGGCAGCATCAGACAATTGAAATTAGGACACATCTCGAGGATCAATCTGCTAAGCATTTTGTTGTACTGGTTAAACTGGCATCCCCGGGACAGATGGCACGTAGGCTTGCCTCGCTCTGTACAGCTTTATTGGACCTTCATCATTTGATCGGAGGGTAAAAGTTGCCATATAAAAGGTGATACTGTTTACAGCAACCATTACTTGTTCTTTAATAGTTTAATAAATCATTGGGTGCAGGTTTCTGTTGCACTATCACAAGGTGGTTACAGTTTTCAAAGGAAAATATAGTGTCAGGATGACTGTGCACTTAGATTAGACGCCTAATCAATAATAGTGATTGATCAAACCTTTTATTACCATCCTACCGCTATATCTGTATATGGTGAATTATGGGAGCATACAGAATAAGGTAGTTGGTGAGGAAGGGACATGCATCCAATGGGACAGTGACGCCTCTAATAGTATGCATATGTCTGGCTCTATTGATCTGGAAATTGTACTGGGATTCTAAAATGGCAGCTTATTTGCTGAAACACTGGCTTAGTCTTAAAGGGTTAATTACCGCTGAACGTTTTTGCACTTCGATGAAAATTCTCTGGCGTTTATTGCTTTAAAATGATTTATGGAAAGACCTTTTCAGCTGACTATGCACCGTCACAAGGGGAGGAGATTTATCAAAGTGTTTCTAACATGTTAATGGGTTTTTATTTGTCCAAATTTCTTGTTGCAGTTTATTAAAGGACCACTATAGTGCCAGGAAAACATACTCGTTTTCCTGGCACTATAGTGTCCTGAGGGTGCCCCCACCCTCAGGGTCCCCCTCCCGCCTGGCTCTGGAAGGGGGAAAAACTTACCTTTTTCCAGCACTGGGCAGGGAGCTTTCCTCCTCCGATCCTCCACTTCTCCTCCCATGCGGCTGAATGCGCACGCGCGGCAAGAGCTGCGCGCGCATTCAGCCGGTCACATAGGAAAGCATTATCAATGCTTTCCTATGGATGCTTGTGTGCTCTCACTGTGATTTTCACAGTGAGAAGCACGCAAGCGCCTCTAGCGGCTGTCAATGAGACAGCCGCTAGAGGAAATAGGGGAAGGCTTAACCCATTCATAAACATAGCAGTTTCTCTGAAACTCCTATGTTTATAAAAGAATGGGTTAAGCCTAGCTGGACCTGGCACCCAGACCACTTCATTAAGCTGAAGTGGTCCTTTTAAATTTGTTGAGTTTTTTTTTTTCATTTGTTTGTTTTGAACTTTAAAGGGACACTATAGTCACCAGAACAACTACAGCTTAATGAATTTGTTCTGGTGAGTAGAATCATTACCTTCAGGCTTTTTGCTGTAAACGCGGTCTTTTCAGAGAAAATGCAGTGTTTACATTACAGCCCAGTGATAACTTCACTGGCCACTCCTCGGATAGCTGTTAGAGGTCCTTCCTGGGTCATGGCTGCCTTAAATGCATCCAAACATTTAGTGTCTCCACCCTCTGCATGCAGACACTGAACTTTCCTCATAGAGATGCATTGATTCAATTAATCTCTATGAGGAGATGCTGATTGGCCAGGGCTGTGTTTGAATTATGCTGGATCTGCCTCTGTCAGTCTCAGCCAATCCTATGGGGAAGCACTGTGATTGGATCAGGCTACCGCTTCTGATGATGTCAGCAGACTGCTTGTTTTTCTGAGTCTTAACACCATGCAGATCTACAGCTTCTGGCTTGAATACAGTAACATTTTTAATATATTTATGGAGGCATGAGGGGCCCAGGGGGGCTAGATGGGGTTTTTTTACACTATAGGGTCAGGAATACATGTTTATGTTCCTGACCCTATAGTGATCCTTTAACCATTGTTTTTGCATGTACGCCATATGTCTCTAACGCACCATGTTTTTTTACATTTTCTTTCCTGAGAAAAGAGTTCTGTTTCTCTTTTCCTTTTTTCCGCCACCTTAGATTTGACGGATTTCTGGAATGGAAGTTTTTGTGAAAACAGGCTGAATTTGCTGGGAAATATATTTACTTATTTATTTAAAAAAAACAAATGCAATAAAAATGACAGAATTTAACCGTAATTTTCCAGAACATTTTAATAAATATTCCTAAATGTGCTTTAAAGTGACACAAACCTTTCTCATGATAGGCTAACAATAAAGTAATTTCAAGGGATACTGTAGTGCCAGGAATACAATGCTGTATTCCTTGCACAACCGATCCCTCTGCCTCCCTTGCGCCCCCCCCCCCCCGATAAATAAATGGTTAAAAACACTTTATTTACTTACCTAATCCCAGTGTCCCTCGGCGCTGGGTCGAAGCTCCGCCCCCTCCTCCATCCCGCGATGAGTTGGGGTCTAAATGCACATGAGTGGCATGCTTACCCATGGGGAATCTGACGCTGGAGCGTGAGGATGTCCAGCGTCGGATAACAGACCAAAAGTCTGTGAACTCTGTAGTGATTATGGTGCTTGTAGTGTTCCCATTCACATTTTTAAAAATCTACATTGTGGGAAGTGATAAGTTAACGAAACCGTGTTTTTACTGTACAGAAATAATTCATTAGTGGTGGAGAATCTGACCACAGCTGACACATTGGGAATGTAGTTTTGCTGAATTTACTTTCTTCATTCTCCATTCCAACATGATACATTTAATTATTTTCTTTCATTCTGCTTGTATCAATAGCTCTCTAACAAAGGTGCGTAAAAAGCTTTATTTTATACCATTCTTTTTGGAACACTGGGGTGGGCTACTCTAGATAGGGACTGGGACACTAAAGCGTTTGGACAGGTTGTAGTCCTATACTGTTCCTTTAAGTTCCAAATAGCCTAACTGGGAAAAAAATCTTCAATCCAGCTATGCTTAAAGTTCAGCTCTTATGATCTTAAATGTAAAATTCACTTTGAATTTCCGACAGGTTTTTTTTTTTTTTTTTTGTGAGTAGCACTGTTAGTCCTCCAAGATCCTATTCAGAGACTGAATATATGTATCTTCCTTTGGCAACGTTCAGGCTGTGCAGAGCAGCAGACAAAAAGTGCACAGAATATAATTTGGTTTTTTTTCTTTTATCTTTTTTATTGTATTTGAAAACCTGTTTAAATAAAAATAAGAAAAACTTCTACTACCCCTACTCCACCCTACCCCACATCTGGAATAAATAATTTATAAAACTATTTGTTTGAGTCTCACCTTTTTCAGATTATAAGATTTACCTGTTGCCAGTACCTGTTCTCTGTAAATATCCTTTACAGTTAGCTCAACAAATATGACCCCAGGCTTTCATTGGTGACCTGACAAGCGATTGCTGGCAGTTCAGCATTACAGAACCAGCATGTATTGCCGTAGGCCGGAACTGTGACTATGACATGTCTAGTCAATGAAGCTAGGGATTTAATAAAGGACCTTGCCAAAGTCCTCCAGGGATACTGTACACACTGCAGAAGGTGAAATCTTTACAAATTTTTTTTACTTCATTGCTGTTATATCTGGTCATAATCTTTGTTAATGAGTCACATTCAGCCTGTTGTAACATCTCAGACTGATATAATTTTTTTCAAGAGTTTTATTTACATTCTAAGTGTTCATAAATCTATAAGCCCATATCTTAAGGCAGTGATGCTTTAACTTGTACTGCACATTCCTATCGTGCGTTGCGACCCTCATAGGAAATGTTACCCAGAAATTGAAACCTCTCATTATTTTATTTTATTTTTTTTACATTTTTTTAAATCTGTAAACCTCTTAACAGACCACACCACACCACACACTATTTAAAGAAGAGACAAAGGAGGGACGGCAGTCTACCCATAAATTGAAGAAATGTAGTTTTGTAGCAAAAAGAAAAACGAAATTATTAAAATTCCCCTAACACGTTTCACCCTCTTGGAAGTGCTAAGCGGCAAGTTCTTTAAAAAAAAAAAATGAGGCTGAGTCGTAATTGTCTTTTGGATCAAGCATTATTTTATCACGCCATGATCTGAACATGTGAGGATTTAGAGAAATAAAACTATGACAATAATAGTATGTGAAATCTCTACATTAATCACTTTCTTTCAGAAACCAGGATAAACAAATCTCATTTTATATTGATGGTTGTGAAGGTTAATTGTTATGGCTATTTCCTTATTATGCAAATATAAATACTGTGCATTTTAATTGTTTGAAACGGAATGTTACATTGAAACCAAACAATGTCTTGCGATCTGAGCACCTGCTAATGTAGGTGTACGCTAATGGCCCTTGCGTCCTGCTGAGATAATGGTGTAAATTGTTTCCATGGTGTTAATCCATACACTATTCTACTCCTTTTTAAGGCATGTTATAGAGTCAGGCTTTGCTGGCATGTAATATTTAGGTAAAATGAAAAATCTGAGCCAAATTTTTTTTAGTTCTTTAATTTATTATGACACATCCAGGGTCACTGACACCTGGATTGCTGGACTATTCATTGTCGTATATGGATATAGATTAATTGCTCTTCCCTTTCCATCTTCTGTTCAACTCACTTTTTATATCTGCTCCTTTTTTGTGTGTTTTTTTGACATTCTTTATTTTTGCGTGCGTAGCAATATATAAAGTTAGTACAGACATGCAATTATTTAGATTTGCAAGACAAAAATTGGCATAGATAGGATGTACATTGTCATGGGATTGGTCAGCACATTTTAAAATGATGGTATAACCAGGTAAAACATTGAGTTGTACAACTTGCTTTGCTCCCAGTAATGTAAAGCAAGTAACGAAAATAAAATACATGTGATATCATTAAAGTGAAGTACACGTTAGCCATATTCAGATTTCAAAAGATAACACATTCCGTGCAGGTATGGCAAGGTGGGAGTTGTGGCTACTATTCTGACCTTTGGGGTCCCTGTGCAAGCAGTGTGTGGTACCTGTATCTGCTGGCTAATGATGGTTTTGTCGCTTACAGGAAGGTCCGAGGTCCTAGGTTAGTAGGGGTGAATGGCTGGGTAAGTCGTAGCATGGTTAGTCATTGCCTGCACATGGGGTGGCCATACTAAGGGTGGCAAAACGTGTACTCTGCGTCAAGGAGCATTGCTGTAAGGTCGGAGGGCACAATGGAATGGGTCTCGAGAGTAGCAAGTTCCTTAACCCCGGAACTCTAGTGGATAGTTGGGGAAAGGCTGTTGTTAACGGCGTTCATATGGGGATTCCTGGATATCAACTGGTGCTTAGTGAAAAGCCCCATGTAATTACTTAGCATTGTGCACTTATTTAAACTAAAGCAAAGAAAAGAAAGTAACGAACAGAGTCAGACATGGTAATCTCAACAAGAAAGGGAGTGATAGGAAAAGAAAAAAACAACATATAAGTGTGGCAGTATCATGATGTGCCGCCGAGTGGTTTAGGACAGTCTGTGTCGCCTTAACCGCCGGGAGCCGTATATCTTGATGCGGTAAAGACTGCCACATTGGCAACATGCCAGTTGTGAGCAGGCTGTGTAGCGTTAAGTAGCGAACTGTAGAAACGCTGCAGTGTCTGAGGGTGATGTCGGCTGGCTTCGGTGTCCATCTCTTTTGGCGATGAGTGCCGTGGATATCCCAATTTGTACGGGATGTATGCGGCTCGGAATTGGGAGGTTATTTCCTTGAAGGAGGCTCTCCATTGCAGGGTTGTACTGTGGCAATTCAGCTGCATGAGTGGTGGCAGGGACCCCTCGCACTTTCTAATTGCGAAACCGGGCAATGTCTTCCAGTTGTCTGACCCTGGCATTCAGTTGTGCGTAGTTAGTGGATAGTTCCAGCATTTGTGTCGCAGATGAGTCTTGTTTGACCCTTGGATCACGTAAATCTTCTTCTGTAGCTGGTATTCTGCTTGTCAGGAAGTTTAGCTCTTCTTTCAAGACAGCTATCTCTGAGGCGAAGAAGGCCTTGAGGTCTGAGACCATGTTGAAAAGGTCTGATCCGTAGCCAGGGGGCTCCAGTGCGATTATGGGGCACTTCTCTTCCCCTGCTGAAGGGATTCTGTGTCACGGGAAATCCCAGGTCTTTGTCCTCCGAGGCTGGCAGGGAGTCTGGCTCCAAGTCAGGCAGTAGGGCCTCGATTTTGGGCCTGCTGGCTTGGGAGAGAAGGTGGCCAATATCGTGGGTATGCCCCTCGCTCAGTCCTCAGATCTTGCGGGAGTGCTTCCCCATAGTTCAGTATAGAAGTATTCGCTTTCAGTGCTTATAAAATTGGTTTTGGAGTGCTTTAGTTGTTGTTTTCGTGTGGCGTTTTGCCAGAGCTCCAGCACCATGCATCTATTCAGGTCGGTAGTTAGCTCCGCCCCCATATCTGCTCCTTTTATACGTCCCTTTCCTTTCTAAATAAAGGACATCATAGGAAACGGTTTTAGGAAATCTATAGAAAATCGGTCACTAGTAATGATGATGGTAATCATAATATTACAGATGTTAGTGGACATTCTTCCCATTCCCAACATCCTAAACCAGCCTACAAGTACAGATTTTGTACAACATTCTGTTTTTGGTGGTAGTCCCTATTTTAGGATACCCTAGTTTCAATTGCACTATTCAGCTCTAGGAACCTGCACACCAGTCATTCCTTGGTGGGCTGGTCTCCAATGATATGTAACTTAATGACTGGGACGAATGGGTATAGATAGGGATAGGTGGCTGTGTGTGACTGTATATTGTATATTAGAGTTGTAATAAAAAATTATTCAATCCGGGGGCGGAGACTGACCGCCAAGCCAGCATGACGCACTGAGGCTGAGCTCCCAGACCAAAAGCCAAATTAAACGAAGTTTACCTGCAGAATCAGGACTTTATTGGATTGAGCGTGTATTCTACGTACCTGCAAACCTCGGTAGTCTTTCTTTTGCAAACATGATGCCGGCGATTAGCGGTCCTGAGACAACGGGAAGTCGCGGCCGCGGGCTGCTGAGGACAGGAGAGTCGACCGCTCTCCTTCCCCTCAGACCAAAGGAGATGACTCAGCGGGCTCTCATCCCCCCCTCTGGACCAGTGGGGGTTATCCCGGTCCCCACTGGGCAGCTAGCTAACTCACGTAGCACTGGACGGAGGGGTCCCACAGAACTTTACACCGACCAGCATTTGACTAAGATGGCCGCTGACGAGAGGCCTGCCTTGCTTCTAACGCCACCATCTTGGGCCACATGGTAAGACCGCATAGAAAAAGCATTTGCCAGGTTCTGGGAGCAATTCTGGACCGTCACCCAGCAAAGAAAGTGGAGGCTTGCAGACACAACCACAACCCAGAGAACCTCAAAGAAATGCTGAATGATGGGTCTCCACAAGGACCGGCTCCAGGTACCGGCAGACCACCCAGACTGAGGACCCCACAAGGGTTTCCCCCGCTACACAATAAACGCAGACAAACGACTATCACCACCAACCGATATCAACCACGTGGACTCACCCGCACTCCCCGGACGGAGAAAGGCTCAACCACAGGGAGGCTCCGGGCCGAGGGGCACAGACAACTACTCCACAACAAGGATAGAGGCTGGAGAGGCACAACACAAAGGAGCAGAAATGCCGCAAGCCCCAGCAGACAGCCTGAATACCCGGTGTACTTACCGACCACAGGGGTTGGGTAAATCCCGCCCTCCCACAGTGATCTCCACCTGGGAACTTTCCAGCCTTACCACACCATTTTAGTGTTCCCCCGCGTTTCGTATATTGTTATCTATACTTACCCACATCCTAACACAGCATACTCTTTTGGGGATTATAAGCCATAAACTATCACCCATCACTCTGTGGCCATAATCCTAGAAACTTCTACCACTAATATAGGTAGAGGGTTATTAGCCAGTGGTATTACCAGTTGAAAGTAACCAAGTACAGTACTATATTATACATGTTTGTTTCTCTCTCACTCAGTCCATTATATAGAAGCTCTTATTCTGTTCTTCCATTTATTCTAAGGAAAGGAAAATGTGCAGCAATGTAAGCGACCAACATTAAATAGAATATCACTCACATGTCTACCTCTTTTACCTAATTGTTCCCACGCCGAAGTAGACATGCCAGTCTAGCTTATTTAAACATAATATAAAAATGTGCAGCCTATATGTGCCCAGTCGAAATCTTTGTTTAATCTCCTGTGTGCTGTTGTGGCACTTTACTTATTCCTTTAATCTAATTGCACAGAAAAATAAAGAATAAAAAAAATAAATAAAATTATTTAACCCCCATTGAAAATCAGGTTTATTGTCCAAATGTACTGACTTTCAGCTGTTTGCAATGAACAGAAGAAATTGAAATATCTAAACACTGAATGCTTAAAGTGGTTTCCTCAAACTGAATTTAAAATGCAACTTATAATGGCTTCTCCAGGCTCAAAATAATTTCAACTCCTTGAATAGAATCTCTCACAAAAACACAAATATGTCTCAAGCACACCAAGGCCTTCCTTAGTGCAACTTGCACTACGTGTGCTTGAGAGCACTTAAATTACCTGAACTGGTTAGGGGTTTGAGTGTCACGTTTCATTGTATGTTAGAAATATGGCTAAAGAATGGTCCACAAAGTTAAGAGAAGAGATGATCGCCCTTAGTAAACAAGGAACAGGATACATAAAAATAGCAAAGGCACTGAATGTTCTTAGAGACACCGTTGGAAGCATAGTTCTCAAGATCAAAGTGGAATCCTCTATTGACTGCAAAAGACAAAAGACAATCAGCAAGACTTGGTGGCAACAGGCACTGAGGTTTCAGTGAGGGCAGTAGGCATGTACTAAATGCAGAAGGTTTCCAGGCATACACCATTACTGACCCAAAAGCACAAATTAAGGTTTCCATTCCAAGGTTTCCAGGCATACACCATTACTGACTGAAAAGCACAAGAAACGTCGGCTCCAATATTCTCAAACTCATATAAACAACAGAAGTTTGGGGATTCTGATGTTTAGAGAGATGAAACAAAATTGAAACCCTTCAACCAAATGGATCTGCGGTATGTCTGATGGGAGAAGAATGAAGCATATGCTGAAAACAACACTCTGCCTACAGTTAAGCATGGTGGTGGCTCGGTGATGCTCTGGAGTTGCTTTGCATTCTCTAGCACTGGAAACCTGCAGCGGGTGGATGGCAAGATGGTTTCATTAAAGTATCATTCAAGAAAACGTCATGCCATCTGTGAGGAAGCTCAAGCTTTAATTGGACCAAAATACCTCAAATTCCACCAAGGCTTGGTTGTAGAAGAAGACCTTAAAAATTCTACAGTGACCATCAGTCACCTGACTTGAACCACATAGAAAATCTCTGGTGAAGACGACGGTTGCAGCACTCATACCCAAGAATATTACTGAACTGGAGGCCAGTTCGATTCCTCAGGAACTCTGCCAGAAGCTGGGGTCTGGCTATGCATCTCATTTGCAGCAGGTCATAACCGCAAAAGGGTGCTCTACGAAGTACTAAAAATGCTTGCCATGAATGGGGTTGAATAATTTTGAGACTGGTGAAGTCAGAAGTTGCATTTTCAGTTGAATTTGGGGAAACCACTTGAAGCATTTATTGTGTTGAGCTATTATATTTGCTTTGATTGTTTGATTTGTTCATTGCAAACAGCTGAAAGTCTGTAAATATTGACAGTAAACCTGAATTTCAATGGGGTTTGAATCATTTTGATTACAACTGTTTATTACAGGTTTTATAGCGTAGAACACGGTTTGACTTTTTTTCCATATATACAAGTTAGCTCTTATTAGACTAATAACTTCAGTGAATAACGGTCAACCCTCCTCAATTCATTGTTCAGTGAACAAACCCATACAAATTGAAAAAATAATTTAAAAAGCAACCTCTTCCCTAGACAAGGGGAACGGGGGGAAAAAAGAAAAACAAACCTGAAAATATAAATCTTCAGTGAAGTGGTTATGGTGCTTGGAGTGACCCTTTAATAATACTTTGTTTTTTCATGCATTGCTCTCTATGTAGATGCAGTTTTTTTTTTTGTTTTTTTTGTTTTAATTGATATTATCTATTTCTTTGTTTATATTTGCATTCAGTTTTTTCAGTAAATGCGTCATAGTAGTTTACTAGGATAGCATGACACGTAAAGTGCATGAAATTCATTGTTGCCTGAATAACCTTTGACCTCCCTCAGGTCCGTTCTGCTTTACCGTCCTGGCTTCTTCTAGTCACAGATCTGTCCCCCAATCCTCTTTTTCTGCCTGAATGGGTGCGGACTTTCAACATCATCTTGTTTTTAGATTATCCCCCCTCTCCCCCCTTTTAACTTTAGAGATTTAACTTTTTGACAAAAAAAGGTGCCCCCTCCCCAATCCATTTTTTTTTTTCATTGTGCAGTCAAATTCCTGTCTTTTTGCCCTGAATCATCAAGGGTTTCTATTGAGGATAAAACAAACAGCGCTTAATGTTATGTCTAGACTCTTACAAGCCCCTCTCATGACACCCTTGTGCAGTTTGTCAGAACCAGAGACTAAATGCGGAAATAGGCCATTTGTCTTAAGAGAACAAAAAGTTCAGCTTTATTTGCACTAGAGCCCTTGGCAGAATGGGTGTCTAAAAGGGGTGAGGTGTGACAATAAGGTAGGGGAAATACAAGCATAATGTTTCAGATCTAAAACATATTTAAAGGGACTCTCCACTGCCCAAGTAGAACATAAATAAATCGCTATTAGATCTACACCAACTAAAAACATGTATTTTTCACTAGGGGAAATCTAAAATCAACTTGCACAAGCTGCTGATCTCTTGTCTGCAGCCTTCGCAAGCTCTCCCCTTCTAGTGGTCCAATCAGACTTCTTCATGCAGCTCAATGAGAAGTCATTGCAAGGCAGGTGCTTTGGGCAATTGTTGCCTCTTGAGTTTATCTCCACTGAGCCAAACTACCAGGAAGTAACAGGATCTGTTGATTGACAGCCAGCAGGATATAACAAGGTTAATTTAAAATAAAAAAAAGCCAATTCCTGCTGAAATCTGCACTTATTGGAAAAGAGGGCACAGTTTTCATACATAAAACAGTGTAAGCCAAGGTGCGTTAGATGTGTGGAGTGGAACTTTAAAAATGAAACTCACATCCCAGCTCAGTTCTGGTTTTGCTTAGCCATCTACTCACTAAACAAGGAATTATAAATAATTGACCACCCATCAAGTAGTAAACCTAAATATCTGCGCTGGAAAAACTCTGTCCTTAGCCATTCCCAGTTTTGTCAATAACTGTATATGTGATACAATTGTATCTTACCCTGTTTGATCTACACACAGTATGAATGCTAATAGCTGAAGGTTGACATCAAATGGCCCCAAATAGAGCATGTTGTATGATAAGACACAAATCCTCTTGGGGTTCCCTTCCATGCCAAAGCAGACCATCTCTAAGCGTTTAACTTTGAGTCATCAATTAGAAGATAAGTGTCTTTACATATGTATTTATTTTTACATTATAGTAATCACTACATAGCTATATTCAATAAATAAGCTGGAGTGTCCCTTTACGGTGCCACAGACTGGCCAGTCCAGGAGCCATTTGGAGGGTCACAGGTTGCCAACCCTATTTTCTTTGTTCACGTTAAATACATTGAAGGGACTCTCCAGTGCCAGGAAAAAATTCCATTAAAACCCCTTAAGTCACTTACCTGAATCCAGCGCCTATGTCTCTCGGCGCTGAGTAAGGCTCCGCCCACGTTCCTCCCCCGCCGTCAGCCTTCGGGGAGACCTAATGCGCATGCGTGGCAATGGCCGCATGCATTAAACCTCCCCATAGGAAAGCATTATTCAGTGCATTGCGTGAGGACGTCCATCGTCGTTTAAAACACTTTTCGTGTTCTAAGAACACGGAAGTCGGTCTAGTGGCTGTCTTTCAGACAGCCACTAGAGGAGGACTCAACCCTGCAAGGTAATTATTGCAGTTTATAAAAACTGCAGTAATTCTACTTGCAGGATTAAGGGTGATGGGAGTTGGCACCCAGACCACTCCAATGGGTAGAAGTGGTCTGGGTGCCTGGAGTGTCCCTTTAAGTTGACCTCCCAACTCTCACTACATTTATATCACAAATCTTGTGATCAAAATTAGCTCAGATTAGTAAATTCTAATCTGGAATCCTGATTTATCTGTCGTAATCATTATCGGTATTACACAATGACCATGCTTCCCAGTGAAAATGTTCTCTAATCAGATTTTTCTGATAAAACCATACCATAATATGATACACTACGGATTACATGTTAAATGCTGATCTGTAAAGTAGATAGGCCAACAAATAACTAGTATTCTCTTATTAGACTTCTGTGTACTGGATGAATCCGCTACCGGAACTGTGCCCTACATAGACCGCATTCTTTGCTATTGTTCATAGACCATGCTTTAGCCCGGAAATGCGCTTGGTAGATTGGCTATTTTGTTTTTTTTTAAATTGCACTTGTCTCTGTCGTTTTACATACCTGCATCTGTTTCCAAACCTGATGATTGTCGGTCAATAGAAATTTGTTTTTTACTTTAGATGTATATTTATTTACTAAACAATCAATTGTGCCATATATGTTAAGCTTACTCGTTTTTGATTTACAAGTTCGTCAGAGTATTTTGACCTGAAAATAATCAACTTCAATTTCAGTTCAACAGAATTTCACTTCTTCGTTTACAAGGCCTTTAGGCAAAAATACTTGAATTTCAAAAATTTGGCCTGTTTTCTAACTCAAAAATGTAATTCTCTTAATTTCCCTTGTGTTTATTTACAGTGAATTGATGTGAACTCCAAATACAACATTTAGGCAACGGTATTTAAATCAGAAACATTCTCCATCAGGGCAGTTACCGCTTGTTGTTTCCCCTCCCTCCCCTCCCCCCCCCTTCATTGTGTAGTTTGACTTTCGGTTGTTATTATTATTATTATTTTATTTATATAGCGCCCTCAGATTCCATAGCGCTGTACAATGGGTCAATGCAATTTTTTAATTTAGTAGATACACCTGCAGTTTATATAATAACCCCATGTGCTGATTGCAGATGGGTTGTGACTCGCTGCGTGAGACCTAGTTAGCGAGGCTCATCAGGCTTGCAGGAGGGATCTGACAGAAGTAGTTAAGTAAAATACACTGGGAGACCAAATGCATTACATCTATATTTAATATAATTGCTTTTATACATTCTCTGCAAAATCCAACACCTCTGCCATGGGCGCATTAATAATGTTTCACATTTATTAGGAAGATAAAGGGATGGCAGAGAGAGAGAAATGAGACAAAAAATAAATTTTGTCTAAAATTACCATAATTTGTTTTATACTCCCATGCCCCCAGTTTTATGTTTATATTACAGAATCTCAAGTCAAGAATACATTTATCAATATTAACTTGAATAATCTATTGTCTTAGCCATTCTAAGGTAACTTGGCCTCTGATCAAACTCGGCAGTACACACCCTCTCCCTAATGCTGTAAAGCCTCATTGCAGCTCTCCGTAAATATTTGATTTTCAATAAATTATGCAAATACATGCACCTGTTGCTCTGCTCGGGTGTTCTGAAGCATTTGACAGAAGCAGGGTGTCCCTGCTGTATATGTGATCAGTCAGACTCGGGGCTGCTCCGTTTGACAAGTGTTTTGGAATTTTCAAAACAGTCACACATGAAACAGAATTGGTTATACAGAGGGAATAGCACGGCCTGTCAAACAAGCGCTTTTTATTGATTCACCGTGTTTGCCGCGGACCACCTCTTTACACTGCTAGGCATCTCACGAAACAACCGCCATGTTGTATATGAGATTCATATGCTACATGATTAAAGCATCGATTTCCTGTGGACGGTCTTAAAATGCAATTTTTAAGAGATGTGTATCTAATAAAATATGGTGGATGAGGCAACCGTACTTTGCTCACTTGATTTTGCTGAACTACAATTCCCATGATGCTGTGTCAGCATTTCCCGACTTGCTTTCCCACACACTCTTGACGTGCTATATATATTCCCCCATTTCAGCTGATCCAAAGCTGTTAAATCCCCAGATAATCATTATGCAGAGAGGGTCTCGGCCTCTGCTTGTTGGCTCTTGAATGAAACAAGTGTTTGATTGCAGTTTGCTAATCCTGATCATCTCCTGTTTATCTCCAATCCAGCAGGTCTGGGCATCTCCTCTCATACAGACAACTCCCACAGACAGATGGGAGAGAGTTATATAACACGTCTGCCTCTGCCCCACTCAGAATTTTGTGTGTTCCCGTGCCGTGTACACACGGTCAATGGCTTGGTCACACTGATCATAATAATGTATGATGGCTATACTTACACAAGCAAAAAAAGTTCTATACTCTGGCAAAGTGCTACATAAATTGGCAGTCCCAATGGAAACCAATGAGAAGTATCTGACAATGTTGCATCTATCATTTTTGAAAAGAGGCCAAAATAAGAGTGGTCCGGAAAAGAACCAGTCAAGACTGGTATTAAATAGCAAAGATTTGTTCACGTTCATCAGGCAAGTCTGAAAATAGAAATCCAATACAATGGAGGAGATTTATCAAAGTGTTCTAACAAATGGTCAAAATTACTAAATGAGGGGCAGTCGCCATGGGAACCAATAGAATCAGGAAGCATTCAGTCAATTCCATTGATGTCTCTTCTTCTCCCCCCATGTGTGTGTGTGTGTCTCTATTGTGAAAGTACTTTCTGACAATCCCTGTTTTTTTGGTGTTTCCTAACCTAATTTTGTGCCTGAGATAATTCATCCTGTTTAATTCACCATGCAAATTCTCCCACAGATTACATTTAACCAACAAATTTGCTTCATTTCTCATTTCCCACAGCACTCCAATTAACAGAATTAAAACATGCATGTGTAAAACAGGGCATTGATTTTGAATGTGTTCATAAACAAGTTAACAAGCTGCTGTAGTTATGATACCAGGAGCACCCTGGTCCTTTTCCCCAGTGATGGGGCAAACCGTTTAGCAACAGTTTGCCCCCCCCCCCCCTTACCTGGTTCTTGCCGGGTTCCAGGGCTGCAAAAACCGGATGCCGATCCTGGTGGGTATTCATTGGCTGAGAGTCAGCTGACCATTGATTGCCATTCTGTGCATGGAACGTTGTTCATAATTGACCCTAGCAAGCCATTTACAGTTGCATTAGCCAGCCAGTTACATCCCAGTTACACATGTAGCAGCATAGGGGTCAATCTCCGAAATGTGCAGCATTTCACTGAAGTGGTCATGGTGCCTGGAGTAACCCGTTAACAAAATGGTGCATCCTGAAATACATTGTGGGAAAGGCTTGTATTCTGAAGACACCATGTGATATGAGCTATTGATTAACCACAACTTCTACTATTACTTTCTGGACAGTCATGGCTGCCCTAGGTTATTTACAGATGCAGTATCACGGCTCGTGTATTGTTGCACAGCCTTTACACCGACTGTACACTAGAGTGGTTTTTCTTAGAAAGCTTTGTGAATCCATACATCCCAAAATTTCAAATCGGCAAAGAGGGACACTTTAATTTTTGGGTTGTGGCTGGAAACAGGGCTGTTCTGATACATTTTACGTGACTTACAATAACCGTTTATACAACAATGTATCTTATTTACACATTACTGGGAGTATTATTACTGTGGAGCTTTGCTATACACTCAGACACACCAAGAATATTGAGCTCCTAGAAAAGAGGGACATTGGGGTAAAAAAGAGGGACAGAGGGATTTGGACCCAGAATAGGGACTCTCCCTCCTAAACAAGGATACTTGGGAGATATGTGAATCCTTGGAGGGGTTTGAGTGCATAATTTCAGTATAATTATAGAGCACAAGTCCCAGCGAGTATCTTTGAGCTGGTAAGATACAGATGTTGGTTGTATAATTTGACAGAGTATAGTCCTGGTCTATTCATAGATTGTACCTGGTTGGTTTTGTCATTCGTTTTACTGGGAATAATGGAGGGGGAAAAACTTGTAGAATTGGCTGTGCACTTGTCAGATTATTTATGTTCCGTCCCCATATTGCCCGTTTTAATCTGAAAGTGACTATTTTATAGCTTTTGCCTCACCAGGACTTCGCCACCCGCTCTGACAGTTCCTTCATAGATGTATTTTTTTTTTATTTTTTATTATTATTATTTTTATATATATATATATATATATATATAAAGGAACCTGTGCTGCAGTAACATTTGTAGATCCATCCGTGAAAAAAATGTTGGTCTTGTGCAGCAGTTTTCTTCATGTCTGTCTGTTGAAGAAAATGCCGCAAGTGCTAAACTGCAGCATATCGAACACATAAAACCTCTGCTAAGCAAAATAATGGGTTAAATATAGAAATTTATTCCAGTTTGCAATATCCCTTTACTCCTGGATTAAGACCCAGTACAGGATTCCTATGCAACTTTCAAAGTTTGTCTGCAGGGAATTCATGTTAAGACGTGTCAGTTCCATGATACTTGCCAATAGTCCTGATTTTAAGAACACAGCCCTGATATTGGGAACATGTTCTAATTTCGTGTTTTTTTTTGTTTTGTTTTTTTGTATTCTCAAAATGTTTATGGAGAATCCTGCCTGGCTGCCATGCCAGGAAGCCTGTTATTCCGATATATGGGCGGTAGAACACTCCCCATTATATCTTGGCATGTAACCAGTGACACAAATTACTTTACTGGCACTGCCCTCTTCCCCTCCTTTCTCAGCCTTCATACTTGCTTGCTGTCTTCCAGTCTTACGAAATTGATTATTGATTAATCCAGGAATTTCGGGAGAGATAAGGGAATTTCTATTTTTTCGCCAAAACAGTTGAACCGGGAAAATTCCCCATCTCTATATGTCCAGCTTGATGAGTTTGGTCTAAAATTAGCAACTTCCTTGTCAACTCTCCACAGTTGACTGGTTTATGTACTACCCTAAACGAGGGATACTTATTAAAATCTGTCCCCGCAAGTAATGCCATTTGCAGAGCACAATACCCAGGGTTTGCCTGTGGAACTAAATGGGAAAAATTACTGTAGAATTAGATGGCTAAACTGTTGGCATGTCTGTGTTTCACGGAGTAAGATTTGTCGCATTAGATCAGATTTTCTCGGTTCCTTTGTGATCTTTCTCAAGGTTACGTTGAGTGAGACTGTGAAAAAGCAGTTTTGTTTTTTGTTTTGTTTTTTTTCTTGGGTCTCCTGTACTAAGAATGACATTCCGTCTGGGTGTTTAGTCTGTGACCTTTATTCTTCGGAGCCTTGTTGTGGCTCAAACCTGGCCTTGGCTTTTTAGATACAGTGTTTTTGTGGCAATCTCAAGGGTCAGCTTGACACCGCAAAATTGTGGGTGATATGTTTGGAAGTACTTAATAAGAAAATGTGAGATAATTGCTGATGCTCCTAGTGAGATAATTTAGTGGCTCAGTAGAAAAAATGTTCTGGTTGAGATTTCTGAAAGAGAGCACTGAACAACCCCGTTCTGGGTGAGATTGCTGAGGAGAATGGTACAGACTACTCTGCTGCTATAATATTTATAAGGAGCCCATTCATTAACCTCTTTATCACAAGGATTTGGATAGCTCCCTCTATGTATCACATTGCTCCCAACATTCAAAAGGATGAAGACGGACACTTTAATTTTAGGGATGTGAGTGCGTGTGTGGCCAGGGGCGCGACTGCTCTGAGAAACATTGTGATTCCATATTTGTAATTTATGCAATTCAAATGTTATTTAGAACAAGTACAAGGTATCTTATTTACACACACTGATTTCTATTCACATTTATTGCAATTCAGACACATTACTGGGAGAATTATTGCTGTGGAGTTCTGTTATACACTCAGACACACCAACAACATGGATCTCCTAGAAAAGAGGGACATTAGGATAGAACAGACAGAAGAATTTGGGTCCAAAACAGGGACAGTCCCTCTTAAATAAGGACACTGTGTTGTAACGATATGATGACCATCCTGGGAAATTTATTTGTCACCAAGGCGGTTAAAGTATATGGAATTTTACACACTTTGGAATCAGGAGGGAATCACTTTCAAATGTATTTTAGTTTTGTATAAAGTATAATGTTATTGGACCAATCGTGTAATAAAGAAGATGTTTGCACCCCGTGTTGTGTGATTATCTAGCATGGTTTGTGAATAAAGCACAAGTAAAGCTGTTAGGAAATATTTCCTTAGATGTTTATTCATGTTGTCCATGAGTGAAACTACTTTTGAATCCTGAACTACTCATTCAGTAAATCCCAATTCGGCAAAACTTTGTGATCTATGAGAGCAATCACCAGGATTGTGACTGAAAGACTTTAGTAACTTATTCTGGGCAGAGATCATTGAATGCAGGAACCACAGAGACCTCCGCCTGGTCCAAGACAGAAAGATGTCTTCTCAGTCCATCAGTAGGAAGTCTTGTGCTGCCACTCCAAAAACCAAGAGTTAACGTTTTTACTTTACCAACACCTGTATTCTGGAGAGGTGATGTGTTTTTTTTTTTTTTTACAGTTTTTGTTACTTTTACATCCATATGAATACTGTGCGATAGCCGTGTCCCACGTTACGCATTCTGCTTTGCTTAATATTGCCGTCACTAGTCTGTGAGCAGGTGCAGTCAGACAGCCCTTCTATGATAGACACATCACTCACAGTGTTTTTATAGAATTCTGATGGAGCCCCACTGGGGCAGACAGACCCATGCTGGGATCTTGCATTGAGATGATTACAGTAAAATATGAACTTGGTCATAGTAGTACTTAGAGAGGAAATGTCTGTGATCAGGTTTCCTAAGCAGATGTATAAATAGCAACGATTTTAGTTAACATGGAAAGTTATGAGTTATGCGGTGTGGGGTAAAAGGATGGGTTTTAAAGCGGCACTGTCATGCCGAACTTACCTTTCTCCTATTGATTCCTCTTCTCTTCCTCTCTCAGGATCTATTCTTCTTTTCTTTCTTTCTGATTTAGTTTTATTTAAAATGAGGGTTATTAGGGGCTGTTACATGAAGTAAGAGCAGGGGTTATTAGGGGTTGTTATATGGAGTAATAGTGAGGGTTATTAGGGGCTGTTATATCGAGTAATAGGGATATTAGGGGCTGTTATATTGAGTAATAGTGAGGGTTATTAGGGGCTGTTACATGGAGTAAGAGCAGGGGTTATTAGGGGTTGTTATATGGAGTAATAGTGAGGGTTATTAGGGGCTGTTATATCGAGTAATAGGGATATTAGGGGCTGTTATATTGAGTAATAGTGAGGGTTATTAGGGGCTGTTACATGGAGTAAGAGCAGGGGTTATTAGGGGTTGTTATATGGAGTAATAGTGAGGGTTATTAGGGGCTGTTATATCGAGTAATAGGGATATTAGGGGCTGTTATATGGGGTTATTAGGGGCTGTTATATGGAGTAATAGTAGGGGTTATTAGGGGCTGTTATATGGAGTAAGTGCATGGGTTATTAGGGGCTGTTATATCGAGTAAGAGTATGGGTTATTAGAGGCTGTTATATCGAGCCATAGTAGGGGTTAAAAGGGGCTGTTATATCGAGTAATAGTGAGGGTTATTAGGGGTTGTTACATGGAGTAAGAGTAGGGGCTCTTATATGGAGTAATAGCAGGGGTTGTTATATTGAGTAATAGAGGTTGGTTATTAGGGGCTGTTATATGGAGTAATAGTAAGGGTTATTAGGGGTTGTTATATGGAGTAATAGTAGGGGTTATTAGGGGCTGTTATATCGAGCCATAGTAGGGGTTATTAGGGGCTGTTATATGGGGTTATTAGGGGCTGTTTTATGGAGTAAGAGTGAGGGTTATTAGGGGCTGTTATATGGAGTAAGAGTGAGGGTGATTAGGGGCTGTTATATGGAGTAAGAGTGAGGGTTATTAGGGGCTGTTATATGGAGTAAGAGTGAGGGTTATTAGGGGCTGTTATATGGAGTAAGAGTGAGGGTTATTAGGGGTTGTTATATGGAGTAATAGTGAGGGTTATTAGGGGTTGTTATATGGAGTAATAGGGGTTATTAGAGGCTGTTATATGGAGTAAGAGTATGGGTTATTAGGGGCTGTTATATGGAGTAATAGTGAGGGTTATTAGGGGTTGTTATATGGAGTAATAGTAGGGGTTATTAGGGGTTGTTATATGGAGTAATAGGTGTTTTTAGGGGCTGTTATATGGAGTAATAGTGAGGGTTATTAGAGGCTGTTATATGGGGTAAGAGTATGGGTTATTAGGGGCTGTTATATGGAGTAATAGTGAGGGTTATTAGGGGTTGCTATATGGAGTAATAGTAGGGGTTATTAGGGGCTGTTATATGGAGTAAGAGTGAGGTTTATTAGGGGCTGTTATATGGAGTAAGAGTGAGGGTTATTAGGGGCTGTTATATGGAGTAATAGTGAGGGTTATTAGGGGTTGTTATATGGAGTAATAGGGGTTATTAGAGGCTGTTATATGGAGTAAGAGTATGGGTTATTAGGGGCTGTTATATGGAGTAATAGTGAGGGTTATTAGGGGTTGTTATATGGAGTAATAGGTGTTTTTAGGGGCTGTTATATGGAGTAATAGTGAGGGTTATTAGGGGTTGTTATATGGAGTAATAGTAGGGGCTGTTATATGGAATAATAGTGAGGGTTATTAGGGCTGTTAGATGGAGTAATAGCAGGGGTTGTTATATGGAGTAATAGCAGGGGTTATTAGGGGCTGTTAGGAGTAATAGCAGGGGTTATTAGGGGCTGTTAGGAGTAATAGCAGGGGTTATTAGGGGCTGTTATATCGAGCCATAGTAGGGGTTATTAGGGGTTGTTCTATGGAGTAATAGTAAGGGTTATTAGGGGCTGTTATATTGAGTATTAGCAGGGGCTATTAGGGGCTTTTATATGGAGTAATAGGGCTTATTAGGGGCTTTTATATGGAGTAAGAGTATGGGTTATTAGGGGCTGTTATATCGAGCCATAGTAGGGGTTATTAGGGGCTGTTATATGGAGTAATAGCAGGGGTTATTACGGGCTGTTACATGGAGTAATATCAGGGTTTATTAGGGGCAGTTACATGGAGTAATAGCAGGGGTTGTGCGATGTAGCATACTAGGTGGTGGTGGGTTTTTTCATGAAGTTTAGTTGTTTTCCTATGAAGATTTTATATGCAGTTTAGTTGAGTTACACATCTGGCAGCATTGTGTATGCAGTGTTTCATAGTAAAATACCTCACAGACACGATACTGTATCCTTCTGCACACAGATAGTACTGGGTCATTTCTGGATCTTTACATGTAGGAGGAGAGAGGAACTTACTTGTGATCTCTCATCCCTCTACATCAGTCACTGTATAGCAGGTATGTGGGCTTACCATTGCAACATGTGAAGTACACACGCAATACATGCATTTGGACTGGTGGCTGAAGATTTCTACAAACTATACAGAACTTTAGACTGCCAGTGCCCATCTCTCTATGTAATGCCATCTTGTCCCACAGCAGACAGATTCTTCTGGACAGTTATAACATTTTCAAGCCAAGAGATTCCAATAAAAATGTTATTTATTGATCTTATACACAAAGCAAACCCTTGATTAAACCGAACATTTCTAAACCGTAATTCTGACAGGTGGCATTCCCTTACAGACAGATATACAGGCAAAACTAGAAACCTCACCAAAAGGTTGGACCACTTATGTCACATATCATAATTCTTAGCTTAGATTAAAGGGACAAAAAACAAGATAAACAAGTATATAAGGTGCTATATAATTACTCTAAATGTTGAAGTGCCTTGATAAAATAAAGTGTCAACTTAGCAGCACTTTACGCGTGTATTAGTTAAAAAATACACTAAATATCAAACAACAAAATGAAGTGCGCTGTGCCTTATACTGTGTCAACAGACTATTGTGCATTTCAGTTTAAATCAAGATGCTTAATATCAAAATAGGGCTTATTTGATATCGTGCAAAAATAGCAACAACTTGTGCAAATGTACTGCAAATCCAAAGTGCTATTTTCATTCATAGGTGTGTACAAAATTATTTAAAGTGCTTACTATACCAATTTACACACTATATATAAAAAAAGTATTAACACTTCCCTTGCAATGCTTAACCACAGTACATAGTTCAATATGAAAAAGAAAAACATAAAGACATAGTGTGATATTGCAAATACACCAAAGTTAAAAACAGCCGAGATACAATTGAACAATCTTTATTCCAATTTAAAATCAAAGCAGGCACGTCATGAAAACCTTGATGCCTCACCAGTCCCTTGGGTAAGGTTGATAAAGTCCTCAGTTTTACCAGTTGCCAGCACTCCTGGCTTTGCACACTTATAGATGGTCAAACGAGTGTCTATCTGTATAGTAATATTTCCAGATAGTCTTCTTTAACTAAAAGCAATGACAAAGGAAACCCAGAAACCGTTTTAAGATTTTGGTTGGATAGCCTCCACCTTCTAAATGTGTGTGCCAGTTAAAAGGGCTTAAACGGAGGGTGGGCATCAATCAACAGGGAGATACATCAGGGTGGGTGAAACTGGGAATGTGAGAACAATACCGCACGGCCTAGCAGTGAGAGCCAATATTTGGTGATACAGCTGTTGTAGCCTGGAAGATTACCCGCCACTGATCTGTAGCCTTGTATTTGGGGCGGCAAAGTGCTACGCTTGCTGGCATATTGGCTACTGTTCATCTAATTGAAGTGGCAGAGAAGGGGGAGGTGGGACTGGGTAAAAATGGTCTGGATAGGATTAGGTGTGCATGGCCTTGGTTGGACACCTACGCAATAGAACACAATGCACTGCTAAATGCCACAATTAAGGCAGTTCTTATTTACAATACATAAAAGGCTTTTACATTTCCCGCATTGTCTCCTGCTCTATAGAAACCTGGAGCTGATTTCAATAATAACTTTCAGCAAGCCATTGTTACTTTGCTTTCCAACGCTGCTAAGAGCTTTTTCGTAAATAACAGGATATCTCCCAGCATGCACTGACATTAAATGGCTTGTATTTGGGGGTGGGGGATCACACCGTGACCCTAGTGACTTCTGTCTTGGCTTGGAACAAAGTAACAAGCTGTGATCTCACAAACAATGTGCCGATTTCCCCCTCGCACAAAGGTAGAAGGATTGTGGTTTCCGTGGAGGGGAGTGCCGGTATGGACCATTAATAACACTGTGCTTTGTATACTGTTTGTCTGTGCTGACCCTGCTGCCTCTGTTTACTCAGTCGCTCCTCGCATTTGCATGCCGCATTGGTACTTGCTGCAGAAGAAGTGATTTGTATTCTAATGGCGGCTGTTGTCTTGGTAACTCACAGGAGACCAGGAAACTCGTGCAAAAAAGGAAGTTTTTGTACAGGCATTAGTTGCTGATCCTTAAATTGTAAAGAAAGTCCGGCTATGTGCTGGTGCGTTTTTACCATGTCCCCTAAGTAGCCTCAAATTGGCACCAACTCTATTTTATCCCAGCTCTTTCTTTTGTCTGCGAAGCGTTTGTTAATCCTCGCCATTCTGCAGGCTTTATACACCATTATATATAACCCTTCCGCTACGTGGAGTCCTATTTCAGGTAATGGCTTTTTACATGTGGTTACTGTTCTGCTGCTTTTGTAACGAACAATCGATTTCTTGATTCACCTGTGTGGATCGATTATCCTGCTGCGAGGTTAAGGAATTTCAGGATTTTATTCAAGGAAACCCTGTAGGATTGGGAATACATATTTCAAACGCTACAGTCCTAGATAGTTTAGATGGAGGATCTGTTTAAAAGTTCAACGTCCTCCTCATGTTGCGTCATTCTGGAGTTATGCCTCCAAGATGAGGGGAAGTCCAATGGTCCTTATAGAGGAGCATTGGGGGACGTAGGTGCATTTGCAATGCCCCTACAATTCCTCCATAGAGAATCATTGAATAAAGTAGGATTCTCCGTTCTCATATTCAAAAGGCTTGAATGTGTGGTTTGTAACTGCGCTTCCAAGCCTTCTGTATAATGTAATATTGGTTTTTGGGTGGTAGGACTGGGGGGCAAGCCTGCTGGCACTATAATTACTTCAATGTGCCTGCAGTGTTCCTATAAGGGCTCTAACCTTTGTAGATAAATTAAGTTTCCCTTTTCATACTGAAATGTTTTTGTTCTTGCCCCATGTCCCATTCACGCCAAATATTACCAGCCTTCCCGTGTGGCCTTCTTAAAGTGGCTCTGCCTCTCCCTCCCCCAAAAAATAAATAAAAATGAATTATTTTGATAAAGCTAAACTCTTTATGAAACATTTACATTGACTGTGTTGCAATTTCACTGAAATTCCAATGCACCAAAAATATATAAGACAAGGTAGGGACTACTTTGTCTTCTGTACTTTTCCTCCAAATGACACCACCTGACAAAAGGCAAAGCTACCAGCTACGTCTGTTCTGCCAGCCATAAGAAAAAAGGCTTTGTCTATTGAGGGCCTTGTGGGAACCTCCATAGACATCAATGTATCTTGTGCATGTGAGATCGTGGTGGCCACAAGGAACAGCTTCAGGTAAGTAAACCTACTTTCCAGAAAGCCCTGGACACTGCACACCATCTTTTAAAAATATGAGAATACCCCAGAAGGTGACAGTCTCTTTAATTTCTATACCAGGCCCTATACCAAAGGGAGGTGGTACTTTCTTTGCGTGGATATTGATTGATTCCTGATGTTCCAGATTTTCCAGTCAGTATATGAACTAGCTTTGTAGCCAGCGATCTGCTAGTGAAAGGCACTTAGTGACTAGCAGTCTGTGTACAGCTTTTTCCATTGATACACTGCCTGCACACTAAATCATGTCATCTGCTTCAGGGTAAATTAATTTGTTAAACATAATTTGCTCGATTATACAGTATTAAGGTAATGGAAATTGTCAATGCTAAGCGTCCGTAGATCTGTGTGATTTTATTTATTTTTAATGTATACGTGCATGACTTGTCATTGGAGAAACCAAGACACAGTAGTGCTCAGATTTTGGTCCATGGAACATGTTTGTCTTTTAAAAACAAAAAAGTGTTGGTGGAACAAAAATGTTTCTTAGATTAACTCAAACCTTCAAATTAAATATAAACCTTTTTTTTTTGGCTATATCATATAAGCTTTAAAATCTGCATCATGTGTACAGCATTCTGGGGCAGATTGCAAACCATGCTGGGTCAGACAAAACTTCCACATGCCAACCAGTGTGGCTAAAACCAATGTGGACACTGAGATTAATGCCTACATAATAGCTTATTTTGCTATTTAGCTTACATAGTGTAGAGAGGTAACAGTTGGGGTGGGGGATCATTATGAATAACAAAGTCCTCTTTTATTAGATCTTTTTCTTCTTTCCTCATGAAGTTCGTTTTTGATGTGACTCTAATATTTCTGTTTAACAGTTAAGAAATCTTGTGCGGAGAATGAGTTCACCTGTAACAACGGACATTGTGTCCCGGCGCACTGGAAATGCGATGGGGAGGAAGAGTGCATTGACGGAAGTGACGAGTCCGAAGCTACCTGCAGTGCAGGTAAGTACCCTCCGCTTGGGTTTAACTCTTCTCATGCCTGGTAGGAGACTGATGCTTTGGAACACAAAGTAATTAAAGGCTTATTGTAACCCTTTCTGAGGTGGTCCACCACCCCTAAGTTCAAACAAATAATAACCTCCATTAATAAGTTCTCATTGCAGTTTGATCCTCCATAGCTGATGTTACTCCCCCTCTTCAGCAGCGTAAGGAGGACAGGGGCGGCATGGCGGTAGGGCAGGTTTCAATTATATCGGTGTCAATTTTGCACAAAAATGACATTAGCCAGCCTAGAACTTTATCCTGGAATGGCTAATGACATTGTTGGAGTTACACCTCCTGGAACAGAGGTTTTGCTAGGATGTATTTAAACTAGGAGGGGGGGAGGGGGAGGGGGGGGCAAAAGGGTGATAAAACATCAATCCAATTGTCCCCCAAAACAAGGACAGAAGGTGCCTGTAGCAAGTCTGTTTAAAAAATTATAAGCTTAGAGTCATGTGTACAAATGCTCGCAGTTTAGGGAAAAAGATCCATGAACTTGTGGCAATAATGGCAACTGATAGTGTAGATTTAGTCGCTGTTACTGAGACATGGTAGAATGAGAAAAATGACTGGGACATAGCAATACCAGGGTACTCTTTATATAGAAAAGATAGGGAAGGCAAGAAAGGGGGAGGGGTGGCCCTGTATGTGAAGGATAGCCTAAAATCTAGCCTAATAAGTTAGTGAGGCGAACATAGAGTCAGTTTGGGTTACGTTAGAATTTGGTAATCACACAGTAACTCGTGTAGTTGTGATTTATAGGCCCCCAGAACAAATTGAAGAGTTAGATAATCTACTAGTTGAGGAAATAGCTAAAATGACAATGAAGGGGGAAGTTATCATCATGGGTGACTTTAATCTTCCTGATGTAAATTGGAAAAAAAAATTAGCTACTTGTGCCAGGAGCACACATATTCTAAACTCCTTACTGGGATTTTCTCTAAAACAAGTTGTTGAGAAACCAACTCTTAAAGACGCCATACTAGATTTAGTTTTAACAAATGGAGATTTGGTATCAGATATTACTGTAGGTGAAAGTTTAGGATCCAGTGATCATCAGTCAGTGTGGTTTAATATAAGAACAGTCAAGACTGAGTCACACCACACAAAAACAAAAGTTTTAGACTTTAGAAAAACAGACTTTTTCTAAAATTAGAATATGTGTAAAGGAGTCATTATCAGACTGGAGCAATTTAAATAGAGTCCAAGAGAAATGGGATTATTTAAAAGCTGCACTATTGAAGGCAACAGAAAATTGCATTAGGCTTGTCAGTAAAAGCAAAAAATTCAAGAAACCACTGTGGTACTCCGCAGATGTGGCCAAAATAGTTAAAAACAAAAAGTTAGCATTTAGGAATTATAAAAAAACCCAGAGTGAGGAAGACAAAATGATCTATAAGATTAGGCAGAAAGAGGCTGAGCAAGTTTATAAGAGCTTCCAAATCACACACAGAAGAGAAAATAGCACAGTCAGTAAAAAAGGGGGACAAAACATTTTTTAGATACATAAATGAGAAAAGAAAAGTAAAACAAGGATTAGTTAGATTAAAAACAAAAGAAGGAAGGTATGTAGAAGAGGATAAAGGTCTATCTGACTGCCTCAATGAATATTTTTGTTCTGTATTTACAGATGAAAATGAAGGAAAGGGACCTCAGTTGAGAAAAAGGATAAATGAGTCATTTATTACACGTGAGTTTACAGAGGAAGAGGTTCTATTTCAACTGTCAAAAGTAAAGACAAATAAGTCAATGGGACCTGATGGAATACACCCAAAGCTATTAAAAGAGCTTAGTGGTGTACTAGCAAAACCATTAACAGATTTATTTAACCAATCATTGTTAACAGGAGTAGTCCCAGAAGATTGGAAGTTAGCGAATGTTGTGCCCATTTACAAGAAAGGTAATATGGAGGAGTCGGGCAACAATAGCCAGTAAGCCTTACTTCAGTAGTGGGGAAAGTGATGGAAACCATGTTAAAGTATAGGATTGTTGAACATCTAAAAACATATGGATTTCAAGATCAGAGACAAAAACATGGGTTTACTTCAGGGAGATCATGCCAAACCAATCTTATTGATTTTTTTTGATTGGGTAACTAAAATTATAGATCAGGGTGGTGCAGTAGACATTGCTTACCTAGATTTCAGTAAGGCTTTTGACACTGTTGCACATAGAAGGCTTATCAATAAACCGCAATATTGTTGAATGGGTAAGGCAGTGGCTGAGTGACAGGCAACAGAGGGTTGTAGTTAATGGAATATATTCGAAGCTTGGACTTGTCACCAGTGGGGTACCTCAGGGATCTGTACTTGGACCCATTCTCTATAATATTTTTATTAGTGATATTGTAGAAGGTCTTGATGGTAAGGTATGTCTTTTTGCTGATGATACTAAGATATGTAACAGGGTTGATGTTCCAGGAGGGATAAGCCAAATGGCAAATGATTTAGGTAAACTAGAAAAATGGTCAGAATTGTGGCAACTGACATTTAATGTGGATAAGTGCAAGATAATGCATCTTAGACGTAAAAACCCAAGGCCAGAGTACAGAATATTTGATAGAGTCCTAACCTCAACATATGAGGAAAGGGATTTAGGAGTGAGACAGGGGGGATATGATAGAAACATTTAAATATATAAAGGGAATCAACACAGTAAAGGAGACTATATTTAAAAGAAGAAAAACTACCACAACAAGAGGACATAGTCTTAAATTAGAGGGACAAAGGTTTAAAAAATATCAGGAAGTATTACTTTACTGAGAGGGTAGTGGATGCATGGCATAGCCTTCCAGCTGAAGTGGTAGAGGTTAACACAGTTAAGGAGTTTAAGCATGCGTGGGATAGGCATAAGGCTATCCTAACTATAAGATAAGGCCAGCGACTAATGAAAGTATTTAGAAAATTGGGCAGACTAGATGGGCCGAATGGTTCTTATCTGCCGTCACATTGTTTCTATGTTAAAGGGGTTCATCTCTGTATGTGCGGCGTTTCATGCTGCATGTAAAGTGTTTTGTAGCCATGACCATTTTATGCTATATACAGGAATTTAATGTCTGATCGCATACCCTCTGCAAATACAGACCGTGAATTTGTGTCTAATCACGTACTCCCTGCTAAATACAGGAAGTGAGTGTGTATCTGATCATGTGCCCTGAATACAGACCATGAGTGTGTCTGATCTCGTAACCTCTGCTTAAAACCCACAGTGAGTGTGTCTGATCACGCACTCTCTGCTCAATACGGGCAGTGAGTGAGTGTCTGATGCGCCGTGTAGATGATCTTTTGCCCTCTACTCGACAGTCTGTAACCATGATCTATTGTTTTATTAATTATGGATTTTGAACAGAGTCAATGTCTGGGGTTTGTTCTGCTCAGGATTATTTAGTAAGCTAATATTAGGGCAGTAAATAATTAATGGCACTTGTTTCCACGAGATGAACTAGTCAGCAGATCTAATTGAATGACGAATACACAGGACCAGCTTACATCCTCGCATGGGATATCGTTTTCATACATTCCATGTAATGTTTTCATTCCACGCTGCTGTGAAGCCGCAGGTCAGAGTCGGATGTTGTGAGCGGATAATTCTCTCATCATTTCACGCATCAGTCGTCCTTTCAGTTTTCCGTCCATCAGATAATCTGTAGATTTGGCTCGTCTGATTTAAAAGATCTTTTCTTTTGTAAAGCTTTTTATTTTCTCAATAGCAATGGCAGAATTTTTCATTATCCGTTTGAAGAGAGGTTGGGATGTTACTGAGCCTGTAATTAATGTGACAGCTGTCTCAGGGACACAGATCTGATCATGTATCCGTCTCAACCCTCTCGAGATGGGGGTAGGGTGACGATTTTTATAAAAATTTTTTTTACAAAGGACAAAAAAGAGAAAACTAATACATTTTGCACCTTGAATAGAGTCCATGGTTAATAAAATGTCATAACTTATCATTTCCAAAATTATGCTTTTCTTAGATCATCCCTAGAGATAAATAAATAGATTTAATCCCTGTCTACATTGTAAAGCTTACCCATATCTAGGCCAAACATGTTTAATTCTGTTACTGTAATAATCTTTTATATCAACATGTAACCTTAATAAGTTTTTTTTTTTTTTTTTTTCATCAAAAAAAAGCCACATCATTTTTGAATTTGAGACATTTGTAAAAGTGTCTTCAAGGCTTTTGGGGTAAAATGTAGACTTAATAAGCACATCTTACTAAGAAACACTGGCCGAGCTTTCTGGAGTTGTGTGGGCAGGACAATTTAACTATTTGAAAAGTTTGCATAAATACCTAAATCATGGACAGATACTTCCATTAAAAATCTGTAGCATAATTTAACGTCATGGACTGCTGTGCTATTTATTGGTAGAGGTTTTCAGAGTAATATTATATTATTAAATTAAACATCTCTGGGAGGTCACTGTGAGAGCTTCTCTTTAAATGAACCATTTCTATTTTGCCCTCAATCTGCAGTGAAAATACCCAGTTATACCTCTGAATTGGTCTCCATGGTCTGCGGAGATCAGGAATTGGGCTATAATTCCTCAGCCAATCGTAATCCTCCATTTATTTTGTGTTCGTGGGAGGAAAGGGAATGCAATTTCTTATTAAGCTACCTGTAATTACTTTCTAACTAGTTTAATATTTTCTTTTGTGTGTGAATGATTTTAGAAACCAGTGTACTCCTAATGAAATGCAAGATAATGAAAATGCATGAAAACTTTGATATCCCTTACTCCAAGTTGGTGTTTAAAGATGTTAGTGTCCCTTTTCAGATGAAAAAGATTTAGATCTTATGGGAAGGACATTTGCGTGTTATTGGGGCAGCAAGCTACAAGTTAAAGGAACACTATAGTCACCTAAACAACCTTAGCTTAATTAAGCAGTTTTAGTGTATAGATCATGCTTCTCAGGATTTACTGCTCAATTCTATTTCCAAACTTGCACCGCATATTCAAGGTGTGGTCTTACCAGCTATTTATAAAGGGGCAAAATTATATTTTCATCCCGAGAATTTATGCCCCTATTTATACATAAATACATACAAACAGGTGGAGTATCTTGGTTCGTTGATGCAAAATAAAATGTAATTTAAATGAGAACCGTAACGACAGAAAGATATGACAAAATCTAGTGTAGTATTATAGAGTACATAAATAGTTTCATGTATAATATATGATTCGGTACTCACAAAAGGAGAGCCAAAAGAAAATGGCTCAATTTAAACGCCTGTGGAATAATTATAAGGGTTCCCACTCCCTCTCTGTGCAGCAGCTGTATCTGAATCCCTTTGTGTTATTCCATGTAAACCTTCCCACTGCCCAATAAATACACAGACACCTATTTATACATGACAAAACTTTACTGGCCTTAGCAACTGCAGATTGACATTGCATATTGCTGCCTAATTTGTTGTCTATAACAATTCCCAAATCCTTCTCGTGTGTGGTTATCCCTAATTCACTACCATTTAGGGTGTAAGTTGCTTGTGCATTCTTAACCCCAAAGTGCATAACTTTGCATTTCTCTACGTTAAATTTAATCAGCCATTTTAGTTCCCAGTCCCCCAATCTATCCAAATCCCTCTGAGCAAAGCAATATCCTGCTCACATTTGATTACTTTACAAAGTTTTGTGTCATCTGCAAACACCGAAACATGGCTTTCAATGCTTATTTCAAGATCATTTATGTTAAATAGAAGCGGTCCCAAAACAGAACCCTGAGGGACACCACTTACCACTTTTGTCCAGCCTGAAAATGTACTATTAATGACAACTCGTTGTACTCTGTCCTTCAGCCAATGTTCTACCGAAGAACAAGAATATTAATTTAGACCGATTTCTTTTAGTTTGAAGACTAACCTATTGTCAGGAACCGTATCAAATGCCTTGGCAAAATCCAAATAGATCACATCCACTGCAATACCCTTATCTATACTTCTACTTACTATGTAATTTACCTTAAACAAATGTATCTTTCTCTGTAAATAGAACGTTAATCACATACAGGAGGCTTTTGCAGGGTCTAGCAAGCTTTTAACGTAGCAGGTGATAAGAAAATCTAAATTAAACAGAACTTGCAATAAAGGAGGATAAACTTTAGATGACTCTTTACAGGAAGTGTTTAGAAAGACTGTGCAAGTCACATGCAGGGAGGTGTGACTAGAGTTCATAAACAAAGGGATTTAACTATTAAATGGCAGAGAATTACGCAGCAAAACTGCAGGCACATGATCTATACAGCAAAATAGCTTAATTAAGCTAAAGTTTTTTTTGTGACCGTAGTGTCCATTTAAATATATTTATTTTCTGCACTCCCACATTTCTGTCTAAATGCCAGCAGTATGGTGTTGGGATGTGTAAGGTGTGTGTTTGTGTGTATATAATATACATACAATATTTGAGGGTTCTATTTACTAATGAATGCAGTGGTATAAAAAGGCTGTATTGCAACATTTGGTAAAATATCTTGAATAAGAATTTTTCTTCCCAAATGTAATATTTTGACCAATTTAGGGAACGACATCTATTACAGTGACCTTCCAGAGATTTTTTATTTTATAATCTAATGTTACTCTAAACATTTCTACCAATACCACAACCGTCAACAATATGAAGTATTTGTTAAACATTTCAGTATTTAGGCAAACTTTAAATAGGGCATCAAGTTTAAATAAATTGTCCTGCCCACTCCACAACAGAAAAGCCTGGCCAGTCTTTCAATCACTGGAGGAAACCGTGTGTGTGTGTGTGTGTGTGTGTGTGTGCGTGCGCGCGCACACTATTTATATTCTAGAACCTCGAAACAAATGAAAAAGTGTGGGGGGAGAAAAGTATTGTTATATAAGCAATATTTAATAGAAACGCTGAAGTCTAGCACAGTTTATGAATTGTAATAGATTATGCGATGCACATAGCCTTTGTGGGCTTTCTTTATATAATGTTCTCGTTATTTTGTAACTCAGAATGTATCCTTGAATCACTCCAAATAAGATTGTCATTGCTTGATGAGTGCGTAGGTGCTAGAATTCTTGACGACTAAAGTAAAGTCAGATTACACATTTAGCGATGTAAAGGTGTCCCATTTTCATGTGAACTTGTAACAGGAGCAGGAGTTCTTTTGGGCAAATGTTCACGGAAGACTAGCAATCTAGGTTTTATATTTAGTGAGGTCTACAAATAGAGAACTAATTAAAGTCTAAGTCTCGCAGGAGGACAAAGCAGTTTAATTCAGGGTTGTGATAGGAGCTGGTGCAATTAGTGACATGCATATTCATTAAAAGCCCAGCTGGGCATCAGCGAAGTGTGCTCAGTCAGTGGAGAGGAGGCAAATTTGGCAATGCCCCAATACCGCGCTCGACCCTTCTTTTCCTGCACTTCTCTTTATGACCTGGAATTTAATATTTTTTTGGTTTTCAAATTATTTAATATTTATGTATACATTTTATAAATGATTTTTGATATTTGTATATTTTTTTTTATATATGTTTTTTTCTCATGTGTTTTTTATACACGATGTATTTTTCTCTCTAAATTATTTTCACATTTTATCCATAATATATGAAGTCATTTGAAAAGCTTATTTGAAAATATTAAATTAAAGGCCCAAATATTTTGGCATCAATCCAAAACACTCCTGCTTAAAGCACACTAATCCGAATTGTTACTTATTCAAAGGCTGTTTGTTTAGCCAGTAAATCATTTTATAGTTTCTCTTCAAATTTGCTGTTTTGTTCAGTATCAACTGCAGATTTTAAACACATGGGCATCTACTCAGTCACGTACAGTTTTACAGCTGTGGATAAATTAAAGGACCACTATAGTGCCCGGAAAACATACTTGTTTTCCTGGCACTATAGTGCCCTGAGGGTGCCCCCGCCCTTAGGGTCCCCCTCCCGTCAGGCTGGATGGAGAGGAAGGGGTTAAACTTACCTTTCTCTCCAGCGCCGGGCGGGGGACTCTCCTCCTACTCGGCTGAATGCGCATGCGCGGCAAGAGCCGCGCGTGCATTCAGCCAGTCTCATAGAAAAGCATTCATAAATCACAATCACAGTGAGAAGCACGTAAGCAGGCTATCAATGAGACAGCCACTAGAGGCTGGATTAACCCTATTATAAACATAGCAGTTTCTGTGAAACTGCTATGTTTATAGAAAAAAGGGTTAAACCTAGCTGGACTTGGCACTCAGACCACTTCATTAAGCTGAAGTGGTCTGGGTGCCTATAGTGGTGCTTTAAGTCAAAAAGCAGACAGCCCATGTTGGCATGTAGTACAGTTTCTGACAGCAGATCGATAACACTATAAATAATAATAGAATCACACAGGATTATTCTGTAACTGGCACACCTCCGCAAACTAAACGACAAACGAAGAAAAAATTTTTTTTTTTTTTTCTGCTCCAGTCGTAGCTTGGCAATTTTTGTCTACATTTTGCCATTTCTATTTAATTTGTTACAATTCGAATTCTACTGGCAATTGCATTGAGGCTTATTTGCTAAAGGTACATTGTTGCTAGTTTCCACATACGCCCTGACATCTAGAACGTACTGTCACCCATCTTACAGGGCTACTTACTAAAGTGACAAGTCACTTTTAAGGCCAAAATAGCAAAACTTAAAATTTAATTTCACTTTGAATTCACACTATAGTGAATAAGCCTATTGACTTTACTCATTTTAGGACCTCAGACAAGATGAGCTGAACTTGTTGTTCTGAGATAGTGTTTATCGACCACATCATTTGAGTATTGCTATTCTTTGTCTACTGTCCTGCCACCTTATATCATGTGCCCTCTAATACATTTGCTGAAAGTGCCTGGGGTATGCGATCTGCTGACACACACTGTGTTAATGGGACACCATAGGCACTATAACAATTCCATCTCACTGAATTGGTTATAGTGCCTGGCGTCCCCGGCACTGTCCCCCTCATTCGTGCTAAACCATTTTTGAGCAGTTTAACACTGAATCCCTTGCTTCCCTTAGTCCCACCCCCACTAGAGGTATGGCTAAGGCAGAGATTATACACTTCTTTTTCGTCATACAGATTTATATCTGAAGGGGCGCTGTGATAGGCTGAATGCAGTCAGCTGATAATCTCAGCCAATCACAGCTGCCCATTGCTGCTCAGGCTAATGCTTCCTTATTTGCCCGAAAAGCACAGAGAGGATGGACTTCTGGGAAGTCTTGTTTTGCATTGAAACATTAAAAACGGTTTAACACTGAATGGAAGGATGGCGACAGGGGACTGTAACCACTTCAATGAGATGAAGCCGTTACAGCGCCTGCAGGGTCCCTTTAAGGTGAATGCTAATACCCTGCTGTCTCTTTACAGTGAAGCCGGTATGTGCAGCACAGAAATTTAGCTGCGGAGGATCAAGCAATAAGTGCATTCCGTTGTCATGGCAATGTGATGGAGAGCGAGACTGTGAGAGTGGCATCGATGAACGGGGCTGCCCCACAGGTAAGTGTTACCTACCTGGCTGCTGGTCCTATATTCCGTAATGCTATTAGTAGTATGCATTATGTAATGCATACAAAAACTTAGTTTTCAGATTATTATTTTTTAATAAAAGTTACTATTCTCATCATAGTTATTGGTTAACCATATGACATTTATTTTTAATTGTCGATGAGTGGCCTGTTAAAGCGGTATTTTGGTTATATATATTTTTTTTACATTTCCTATCTCACAAAGAAAAATAGGTACATAGTAATCACCGAACATATATGGTACATGTTTAGATGAGAGAATTTTTTGTCACTGATAATGTTAACGTGTTTTGCCATATGTTCACTAGAATGTATAAAATTGACTAATTTGTACGTTTGTGCCATTCGGTATCCAATTTAACCCCTTAAGGACCAAACTTCTGGAATAAAAGGGAATCATGACATGTCATGTGTCCTTAATGGGTTAATGGTAACCACTTTAGCAAAGCCAAAATGTTACATTTTTATTGCAGTTTCCAGATCTGATAGAGGTGAATTTTATTGGAAAAATATTGGAATCAAGTCTGGTGTAAATTCTGTGGAAAACAAATAATGCAACTGTCAAGTTAATCCCTCCGACCCCCCCCCCCTGTTTTCTGGATGTCCTACTGAAAATCTTGATTAAATTGAATGAATGTATAGTTATACATATAGTTGTTAGTTACTGATATACGCTGTTGCAGATCTAGATTTAATGGTTTGTCCCGCAAGCAATGGAATCTCAACATTTTCCCAAAGTGTTTTGAGGTTAGACTAAAATAATGTTATTTTGCACCCTATGTGATATGGGGTATATTGAAGACTAGTAAAACTAGTGTTAAAGCCCGACACAAATGGTGCTAAAAGGAACACTATAAGGTCAGGGACACAAAAATCACTATCTACCCCTATAGTCATAGTTTTTATTCAATACTGTAAATTACAAAGAAGTGGCATTAAATGGGTTAATTAATGACGGAAAAACTGTAGGGTTTATTCATTAACATGGGAAGTATGGACAAATGCAAACGCATTGCAAATTTTAGGACAAAAAACGCAGTTAAAGAGTTTTTTTGTTTTTTTTTTTCTCCCCTCCCATCCCCTCCCAGCTTAACTGTTTTTGACTAAACTTTGTATTAGTCCAATCCCCAATTAAGTGAATAAGCCCCATTATCTCTGCTCCAGAACCATGATTATGAGATGGGTTCCGCACTGCATGTGGCGCAGGGTAGCGTACATGTGATCTTGGAGTTGGGGTTAATAGAATAGGATGGATTAAATGAAACTTCGAATAATGAATGGCATTGGGGAGCGGACTGGGTGTTGCTGGCACTGTGCCTCTGTAAGATCACTGGAATGCAGCAGGCTGTGTACAATACATCACAAGCCCAGCTCATCTATGTTTCATTGAAACCTGGTTGTTATAGTGTGTGAGCTGAATGCCGATTAGTAGAAAGAACCCTAATAATGGTGGGTGCCTGTACATAATGTAATGTCACCTCTGTTACTACGTGTTAGACAGACGATGCATAACTTATTCATTATCTATTGATTTCTCCTGCTAACAGATTCTAGGGCAGACCTAGACAGTGCATGGTTTATACATGGTGATATAGTGATTATCAGGACAGGCTCAGACAGCACATGTTTATACATGGTGATGTATTGATGATGGCTATCAGGACAGGCACACACAGTGCATGGTTTATACATGGTGATATATTGATTATCAGGACAGGCTCAGTCAGTGCATGGTTTATACACAGTGATATATTGATTATCAGGACAGGCTCAGTCAGTGCATGGTTTATACACTGTGTTGTATTGATTGATTATCAGGACAGGCTCAGTCAGTGCATGGTTTATACACCGTGTTGTATTGATTGATTATCAGGACAGGCTCAGTCAGCGCATGGTTTATACATGGTGATATATTGATTATCAGGACAGGCTCAGTCAGTGCATGGTTTATACACTGATGATATCATTGATTATCAGGACAGGCTCAGTCAGTGCATGGTTTATACACAGTGATATATTGATTATCAGGACAGGCTCAGTCAGTGCATGGTTTATACACAGTGATATATTGATTATCAGGACAGGCTCAGTCAGTGCATGGTTTATACACTGTGTTGTATTGATCAGGACAGGCTCAGTCAGTACATGGTTTATACACGGTGATATATTGATTATCAGGACAGGCTCAGTCAGTGCATGGTTTATACATGGTGATATATTGATTATCAGGACAGGCTCAGTCAGTGCATGGTTTATACACTGTGTTGTATTGATTGATTATCAGGACAGGCTCAGTCAGTGCATGGTTTATACACTGTGTTGTATTGATTGATTATCAGGACAGGCTCAGACGGTGCATGGTTTATACACTATGTTGTATTGATTATCAGGACAGGCTCAGTCAGGGCTTTGCATTTGTTAGTAGTTTGATTTCCTGGCAGATGATGATCTGGGGAGCCTCAGAATACAGCTCGAAAAAGGCCCCCACTCGGACTGTAACATCACAGCTTCTTTATGTCTTACTGAGGGGAAAAAAATTTATAAACCGTCTTCATGCTCATATATGTTTGTGTGTGTGTTTTATATACAATGTAATTTATTTGTATGTGTGAATTATTTACTGCATGCTGTGTATAACATGTGTGATGTGATCTGACTGCATTACATATATACAGGCATTGCGGGATGTTGTACTCTGTGTACAGAGCTGTGTGTTTCTGCCTCTTTCTATGTACCTCTGTCTCTTTGCCGAGGCTTTAAATGGGATTAGGGAATTTCTCATCCATCTTTCCACATCCTGGTTTCTATGGAAACAACCAATGATGGGGGCCGGACCCCATGCACGTGTCTCTTTGTCTTCAGCGAGATTTACTGAGTGAGTGGACAGGGTTATGTGAAATGTCACACGGTGCTATTGTTTCTGTACTCTGTTTAACCTCCTCTCCCATACTGGAGCTGAACCTCCTACCTATATATCTGCCATTGCGTCTCATGGCTTTTCCCATGCTTTCTCTATAATTCATGAAATCTATCTGGAGCTACAGAATAACAGACTCCTTTGGGTGTGTAAATTAACTTCTATTAACAATGTGACACAGCGGCAATTCCTTGGGGTGTGGGGTAACCATAAAGGTCTCGGTTAAAGCGGTTGGGTTTAATATCGGGAGATAAGTGGCTCTGTAATGGCCTCACAATGTGTCAATGATTTCCAAGCCGCATTATGAAAGAAACGTTTAATTCCCAAATTCCTGCTGTCTCCGTGTTCTAACTAAACCGGCTATTTGTATATTTCCCATAAAACTGAACATCATAGCAAATGCAGCCATCAACAGCTGGAAGGCCCAAGGTTAGACGTGGATAACTCTTTGTTGTGTTACAGAGACCTCTAGTGGTAGACTGCAAATTTGCATTGTTACTTTGCAATGTTAATGTTTCACATTTAACCATGGATTGGGGAACTATTACTTGTCAGGATTTTAAATATTATTCGGATTTTTATCTCCTATAGTTAAAATTTTGTACATTTCTCTCTCTCCCCCCCCCCAATGCAATTTATGTCCTGCCTGTACTTGGACAGAACTAGGTTCTGATGCATACTTTTAGTTTTTTAAAAAATTTTTATTATGATTATTAATATTATCTTTGTTATGCCCTATTTGGCATTATAGATCGTGCCCACCCCCTTATTGAATTACATAAATCTTTTAAATAGATTTAAAGCTTATTGTGAATCCAGCGTTGGGCTTAAAACCAATCATCCATTTTGTACCCTGCATTTATTTTCTGTGTTTAACTGCTCCAGATGCTTAAATAATCATTTATATAAAGACTGTTTGAAAATATACCTTATTATTAACTTGTTTGCACAACTACCCTTGTACCATAAGATTCCCAGGAAATGTTCAGTAAATATCTTTGGGAACAAACCTAAACAAAACCGCATCTTGGCCAAGCTGGCCCTCTTATTTGATAACTTGCTTCCTTATCAATGCCAAGTTATAGGTAATGTCTGCCTGGTGATAATGAGTATTTTTTTTATATGGTAAGACGCCTATATAATCTGATATGTTTTACTAGTAAACTCAGAATTTAATCGCAACTTTACTGTGTGTCTGTTTATTCTCCGAGATGTGATAATCGGATTGGATTACGAAGTACGGACTGCAGCTGTTAAGATATCCCGTGGAAGAAATTGAGCCCTAACAGGCTTCTCGCTTCATTTCCACGAACACACTCTGTCATCACACCGCGCTATCCGAAGTCCTATAAAAGGCGTGGAGCGCAGGGAGGGGACACTGAAGCTTCTCCCTTGCAGATCTGCCAACTGCAAGGTAGATGCTAATTACATCTACTGGCTGTGTGCAATGCAGGCTGATAACAGGCTTAATAGTTGCACAGAATTACTTGAACTGTTTTCCTGGCTACCTAAGTCACATGTTCCGGGGGTGCAACTAGCAGAAGTGGTCATGGTGGTTGGAGTAACCCTTTAATATTCTGTTATATTGTGTACCATTTTACACTGATGACCCTTCAGGGACTGGCTATATGCCCCAGAGCCATTACATTAAGCTGTGGTGGTTCTGGAGGCTATAGTGTCCCTTTAAAGTGCTACTGTCACTTGCGAGGGCAGTTTTTGTTCCCCTACAGCTAACGGAAATGGATATGGAAACTTTACCTTCTGCCAAAGATAGGCAGCTAAAAAATACAAAGTAGTCCTACTCCCTACCTTGTCTCATGTTTATTGTTTGAAATCCAACACAGTCAGGGTGGGGGGAGATTGTCTGTCTGCTTTTTTTGCACAAGAAATTCTGCACATTCCCTCAACTTCTGAATCTTGAAAGGCAGCTTGCTGGGAGTGGAAGCTCTGATACATGGGTTTGGAATAGTACTGCAAAAAGTCAAGCCAACTCTGTTATAAGAGACATTAAGATAGAACTCCATATAATTCAGATATATTTGATCATTTTTGGCCCCTTAGTAATGGTGTATTTTTTTCACATTCCAAATTCAAAAACGTGCACTTAAAGCAATATTACAAGCACAAACTGTAGTGGTAGTGATGACAGGAGTCACCTAGTACGGCCCATCATAATTTGTAAAATCATTTTACAAACTTTGCTCTGTCAGGCGGTCTCTCTGGTCTACTCTGATATACTCCCTCATTAGTAAACCAGCTTTGGACATTATTATTTAGCTGAGAGTGTAAGTTGCTGTCTGACAACCCTCGACCTTCTAGGGCACCAAAGGTTACTGTCACTGGCTTAGAGGAATTTGGTAAAATTTTATAGCAAAATGATATGGAGACGCTTAACACTCCCCATAGATATGCATCAAATCAGTGAATTTGTGTCATAAGTTTGTTATAAGTTTTTGGTGTGTTGTAAGTTTGGTAGAGGACCTTTGGCAGTTAAAAATATATTTTCAATTCATAGATTGTCCTTAAAACAAAGTAATTTAATTACATATTATAATAGACATATTATTCTCCCTACATAGGATCCGCCAGACAGCTACTATAGTTAGGCGACCTTTTTTGGTCTGGACGTGTTCGCGCTCTGCGTAAGGACATCCAGCGTCCGCTAAAACCCCATTGGTTCAATGCTTTGCTATGGGGTTGTCCTAATGCGCTTGCGGCGCGTGCCAATTTTCGATTTAGTTATTGTTTTTGTTTATAGAGAACGAACATATTCAACAGTGCTGCACAGTTATACAGAGGATATCTAAAATAACTAATATTAACATACAAAGCAATGTAGAAACTGTATGTGAAGACGGACTGGCACCAACGAGCTTGCAGTCTATAAAGACAATGTTGCTTCATCAATTATTTATATATTTTACTGAATGGATTAAGTGACCTGGGACATGGTAACTTTTGGGTGTGCTGTTCTCCATTAATTATTGCTGTTGGTTGGTTGTTTGTTTTTTAAATCTTTGTTTAAAGATATTTTTTTTTAGATTTTTGATACAAAGGTTGACAGTGAGAAATCGTAAACAAAGCTTTTCCAAACATTTGGAGTGAACCGGTGCGATCATAGATTTTCAGTGTTCCCATGTTGTTCAGAATCTGATTAAGAAGCATTGAATCAACAAGTATTGATCTCCGACCATCGTTCTTTACAGAAAGTCCAAATTTGTTGTCTTTGGCTCTATAACAATCACTTCCAATTCTCTGTCCTTCAAAATATCCGAATTTTTTTTCCAAATGATCTTCATTGCATTCTCCTTTTTGTGTGTTAAGCTTTGCTTTGATACATTGGGAGTGAAAACCCCTCCATGATTCAAAAACGGCTTCCCCTCACTGTTGATAATCGTGGCCATCCAATCTTCTTCTTCCAAATATAACTTTATTGTGCATTTATCTCCCTCTTCTAATCTGTTTACTGCCAGCTTGTTCTCAAGGATTTTATTGATTAATTTTCTTAGTGCAAATTCCTCTTCTCGCCACCACGCCCACGCAACATCTTTTTTTAGCAATCTGGTCAGAGGTTTTTGTAATTTGCTGTAGCCCAGGGTATGCGTTGCAGCGCAGTTCAATAAACCAAGTATTTTTTTTAAATCTTCTCTGTTTCTAGGAGATTTTATATTTTTTACTTTCAACAAATAATTGTCTGTTAATTGAATGCCTTCCTCAGAGAAACTTCTTCCTAAGAATTCAACTTTGAACTTGCAGATCTGCTTGGTATTTTGTCTTATCTCAAATCCTGCTTTCTCAAGGTGTTCTAGAACTTCATTGGTAAATATAAAACATTCTTCTATTGTAGATCCGCTTACTAGCACCGAGTCGACATAATGTGTCACCCGTGGTCTAATTCTCTGGTTTAACTGATCTAGTATTTGCCCCAGGGTCTGGTGGAGTATAATTGTTGTATTCTTGAAACCGTAGGGCAACCTTGTCCAGATATATTGCTGACCATAAAAAGTAAATGCTGTCTTATAGCTCGTTTCTTCATCTAGTGGAATATGCCAGTGTCCATAGAAGAGCTGAAAAGAAGAATAACATTTCCCCAAAAGTATTCCAGAAATGGCTTTCATTAGGGTCATTTCTCCTGGTGCTTTCTCTGTTCGTTTATTTAGATCATCATAGTGGAAAACTATCTCAACTGTCCCATTGCGTTGTCTACGCAATTCAATGAGAGAGTTGCAACAGCTGTCTACTGCTTGGATAATCCCTTGCCTCACCCATCGGGAAATTACATAATTGGCCTCTCTCATGAGATGTTTCTTTAACCAAAATTGTGTCATGTAGGGAGGATCGGTGCCTTTGATGACCACAGGTGATACATTAACAGGGTTTTTTTGCGACCTCGGTCTATACATATTTTCCTTTTAATGTACAGCTCCGATTTGAAATTTTGAATATTTTTGGGGGATTAAGAAATGACTTTAATTGGTCTACAATCCACCTGACACTGTCCTTTACCACTTATATCCTGCGATCGTCTAAATTCCGACTCGTATCCTGTTAATGTCAAAATATATGTACTGTAAGATGAGAGATGGAGATGAGATTAGTTCGAAAAATTGGTCATATGCTCTCCCTCTTTGTCGTCTTCTCACAAAAGTCCTGAAAAATAAGTCATCATATTTTTGTAAGTGTGTAACTTCACTATTGTTCGCTATATTAATTCATTATTACATCATCTGTAAAAAGCTAGGTCAATTATTGGCAGAATAGGTCTGTATACCTTAAATTGGTTATTAATTTTCATACTGGTGAACTTGACATTATTTAAGTGAGCACGGTCTATTCAAGCACAGTTTGCTTATCCCATAATCCATTATTTACAGTCATACAAAGCAGTTACATGTACATGCTGGTAAACAAAAAATGAAAAAACAAAAAAACATCGCACCAAGCAACTTATTGTAAATAAATTGCTTAAAGGAACGCTGTCAAGTATGGCAGAGTTGTGCATTAAATATTCTGCAAATTTTATTCATTCAGATTATCTACAATTTTCTGTGATTAATTGCGTTGCCAATATGGGAATGCACATTAGTGTCGGAGGTATAGTGGAAAAAAAGTGACCTGTGCTTATATATATCCATTACGGCAGCCATCTTTGAGGAGGCAGGTGAATTATTCAGGATAGGCCTTGGTTTAATAAGCTTTCTAAACAATGTAATACTGTTGAATAATTTGTTTATCTATCTACAGAATTCACAATTAAAGTCTATGGAGAATTTTTGTAGATAAATCATTTGGGAATTTTTCTAACTTTATTGAATAATTTGGAAAGCTTATTAAATTGAGGCCGTAACTGTACTCGCATGATTTTAAATATTAATCGGCTGCTGCAGTCACCTTTATTAGGTCAACGTTTCAGTTTGACAGGACAAATGTTCATCAGGACCCAGTTGAAAGTTTGCCCTGTCAAAATTATGAAGTGTAAGATTTTCTGTGTTTATTTTATCTTTCTTTCCCCTCTCACCCCCAAAAATAGGGCACTCAAGCCAGATTTATTTATTCTTATTTTTTTAACTCGAAAGTGTAGTTACTGTCTTATTTACATATTAAGCAGATAAACTCTCTTACACTGAAGTTTCAGTCCACACAGGGACTTTCCTGATGAGATAAAAAAAGTATTCGAAGATGCTAATTCTGTGGGTGTGTGTATATATAATCAATGGAACCTTGAGATCTATGTAAGTATCCCTAACATGGTTTATATTGTTTGCCCGATGGATGTAGGGGGGTGGGGGTGAAATATAATTCCCATGATTTTCTTTTTACCCCGTGGTTTTTTCTTGGAGAAATCCCATATGGTAGCTGGCTTTTTCTAGCCTAACAGCGTACATGAAAGAAGGTTGACTGCTTGGGTTTATCCCTTAGACTGGTCATGTGAGGCACCGATTGTGCAACCTGCAATAATTCCCTCTGATAGATAATTTATCATGGTGTTTACTAATTTCCAAGGATGAATGGCGGGCCAGCAAATACCCAGCCTGTCCAAGCAATGTTACTCAAAGTTCGGTATTCCTGTGCATTGAATAGAATCACAATCTCCTTCAATTATCACAGGAATTTAACCTGCTGCTTTAAACTCTTAAACCTCACATACAAAGACCTCTGCTGCTCTTACGTCCCTGAGCTTAGCGCTAAATACTCCTCTGTATGGCCGCGCCATTCTCTCCCATCGATCGTCCCATGTTTGTTGGCATGCATTCAAGACATTTCTCCAGCTGATATGTCCGTCTGTATTTTAATCCCAACTGCATCCCCCTCCTTCCCCATATCCGAAGTCATTCCCTTGTAGTGGGCACAGTTCTTCAAACATTGCAATTATTTATATGGCACCAAAATATACTGCAGCACTGTACAATAGGTAAACAAGACAAACCATTCTAACAGAGCATGTTTGACATACTGAAATTAAATAGTAGGCAAGGTGGGTCCTCACAGCTCTGTGGAATATAAGTAATTACCTGAGTGATTACTGCTGCGTACCCCCTGACTTTACTTTGTTATACCACAACGTCGCCAACCCTTGAAGCGGGTTGCCAGTGGGTGAGGTAAAAGGACGGCCAGTGACACAAATTGCATCACTGGTGCTGCTCAAACTGGGTGGAACTGCATGGAAAGGGGGCAACCCAAAGAACTGGCCGGTCTGCTTGGAATAAAAGCACCAGGCTGCCTGCCAATTAAACCGGCCGTCCAACCAGTGGCAGACCATGCACAGTGCTGTAACAGCTCTCTCTGCAGGGTCCTAGTGCCTTGAGTGTAGCGCAAACATGTCTAATGATGGTTCCCTGGTGCCCCCTCAGAACAAAGGCAGCAGGAAAGAACACTAAAATTATGACTGTCCCTCCAAAATTGTTATTGTGGCGAGGGCTGCTTTGTGTTCTTTGGGCTCTCTTTGCGTTGTAAAGTATGGGCATATTTTTATTTCCAATGACTGAGCATAGTGGCAAACACTTTTTAACTAAAATGTGATCTATGGGAAATTCAAAAGAGAATTGCAATTTTTAGACCAAAGTAGTAAAACGTTTTCAGTTCTAAAATTGAAATTCACTGCTGAATTTGTTCGGTTGTATGAATGGTAAGATACAATATAAAACATAATTAAAAGGACTATAGGAAAATTAAATTGAAAATAAAATTCCTCTGCGCTCAAGGTTTAGTGATTTAAAATTATTATTTAAAAAAATAAAATAAATTTAAACCAAGCCCCATTGACGGGCCTGACAACATTTTGGTAGTGTAGTATCTTTGTCAAGCCCCAGGCTTCCCCAGGTTTTCAAACATAATCAGATAAGAGGCCTTACTTGATATATTCACAAGTCCTTTGAAATAATGTGTGATTTGTGCCTTCTAAGGCTGACTAGATAAGTGGTAACAATGTAGCTTACAAATGCTTGAGGGTTGAGATTTAAAAAAAAGGAGAGAAATAAATCAAGGCTATTCAGTTTGGTTATAGTCACTTAGACCTTGAAAATACTTAAATATGCGGCGGGAAAAAAATAAACAAGCTACAGTGTGAACTGCTGAAATAAAAATGATGATAAAGTTGTATTTATTTGCCTCTTGGAACAAAGATACCCGTTATGAGTGTGATGTTATGTACTGAATATTTTTGGTTTATGTATACTGTTGTGCAGTGCTGCTGGATATATTAGCGCTATAAAAGCACAATATGAATATCAATAATTTATTATGATGGGTTCCAATAAAAGAATTACATTTCTTTGTTTAGACAGCGCTGCCCTCCTGATGATGCATTATTGCAGGACTGTAGGACCGTAATAGGAAACTCCTCTATTGGCTGTCTGAGTTACAGAGCCTAGAACAGTGCTATGGAATTTGCTGGTGCTATATAATAATAATAATTAATAATAATAATTAATTATAATAGAAGTGTCATTAGGGACAGTCTCATTGCACCAAAACCATTACATGAAGTTGTAGTGCCGATGAGTTTCCCTTTAAGGTTATAGCTCTCTACTAAGAGTCATTTCACTTACGGATTAAGTAAGATATAACCCACCATTACAATATTTTGTTGTGCGCGGCTCACTTTATTTGTTTGCTGTGTCTTTTATTGGTTTTTTTTATCGTGATTGTTTCCACAGTGATAACTAGCTGCACTTTAGTATTTATTGCACTTTGTGAAAGCGCTTTGTCTGTCTTACTAAGGTGTACCCACCTTAACAAGATTAAAATAGTGACCCCAGACCGAGCGTGTAGCGTGGCCGGCGGCATCATTTGGTGACAGGCACCACTCCTACAACGGCTGCCTGTCACCTCTACTCCATGGCTGGCTCCCCCATGTGATGCAATGACACACCTCTCCACTAGAGGTGTCTGCTTCATTCACTCCTCAGCTCATTGCATATCTTAACATGATTTTTTTTAATTGATTCCTTATATTAGTACATTTCTCTCATACATCCTACTCAGCTGCAAAATAGACATGATGATGTGTGCTGAGCAGATAACTCCCCATTTCCTCTTTTCGAATCCAGTCCAAAGTCCCCAACCCACATGGTGCAACTAAATGTAAAAGTCATGTAATAATCCGGTATTGTGCTGCAAATAATGTAGAAAATATGTATTTTTGTTGTGGGGTGGGTTCTGTTTTCAACCAACGTTTAAGACTAAATCCGTAATAATAATTACATCACTTAATTATTTGGCATTTGTGGCACTCACAGAAATTTTTTACCGTAATCACGCAGGAACGAATTGCTGTGATTGTGGTACATTTGTTATTGAAACACTTTTATACTCCCCCAATTTTCCTTGTGTAATGGCGAACGTTATCTAAGACGGGACTTTAATATTGCACACCTGCCCTTGCCCTGTTGCTGACGGGAGTTGCAGTCTCAAGTGCATTTTAAACACTGATTAATGATCTAGAACCGAAAGCTATGATTTGTTATGAAGAAAAAAACCTCTTTATGTAATTTTCAGGATATTCCAGATTGGATTTTGATGTTTTACCCCATAAATATTGACAAATACGATCATTGCATTCATGGCATTTAATTAACCCTTGAAACCCTGCTGTATGGATTTTTCATGCATGGCATTCTTTATCTCACCCACATCTATCAAACGGAACGTTTCACACCCATATTCATTACCTTTGAAAATATCTGTTGTGTTTCTGCTTTTTCCGCTTGAAGAAATGTTCATGAAGCTCAAATAAACTCTGCGAATGAGTCTGAATGTGTTGTTTCTACCACACGGAAGCACAAAACCACAGTTTGGAGAGAAGTTCTTGTTTGAGCAAAAAGGCGGTAACATCTGGATATTTATTTTCAACTGTTAAACTTTCCAAAAAGACACTCCCAATCAGATTCTCTACATAGTGCATGTTATAAAAGCGTAATCGTATCACTCTGTGCATATTAACACACCACGGTGGGAGGACATGGCCGTGGGAGGTTATTGCGTGTGTGGGGGGGGGGTTTTGTTTTGTTTTTTTGTAACTTTGGGCTCTTATTAAAAATTCTAGAGTATTAAGAGGTTACTATTGCTCTGTATTATAATTTAAACTGGAATCATGAGCTTAAAGGGACACTATAGCCACCCAGACCACTTCAGCTAATTGAAGTGGTCTGGGTGCAGTGTCCCTGTCAGTTTAACCCAGCAATGGTAATTATTGCAGTCATTGAGAAACTGCAATAATTACCTTACAAAGCTAACTCCACCATTTAGTGGCTGTCTACCAGACAGCCACTATAGGGGCTTCCGTGTTGCTTTTTTACTTTTGGTCGCCAAACTGACGCTGGGCACCCTCATGCATGGGGGGACCCAGCTTCACCCAATGCCCCATAGGAAAGCATTACACAATGTGATATATATATATTTTTATTTTTTATTTTATTTTTTTTTATTATACAGAATTGGTCTGGCTAAACACATCTGGCTATAGTAAAATAGTCTGGAAATTGTCAGTGTGGTGGGAAGTCAGTTGTTTTCATTGGATTTTGTCCCAGTGTAATAACCCTGTTAGAGTCTAATTACTATTTTAACGTATAAAAATAGGTTTAAAATGCTTTACAATCTCCATATCTACAAAAACGCAATAAAATAAAATTTTTACCAAAAATAAAAAGCTTTACAATGAACTGAATGTATTCCTGCCTGGAGTTTGCCTTTAAGCAAACTGATTAAACTATAGTTTGTTTTTTTCCTTCTGCCTTTAAAAATACATGTGGAAGTTTGTACACTGAAGAACATAAAGAAATTAACAGCACATATTGTTGAATTGAAACCCAAATTTGCAGCAAATTTAATGCTGAAATGTCTGAAATGGAGACAGAACTAACGTAGTGAATTTGTCCAGGTGCGTTTTCCTGGAGACTTCCTGACCGTTCCAAGTTTAGTGAATAATCCAGATTGTATTAAACTGACTATAATTCACTTGTAGTAAATAAATAACCTCCCTTGGGACTGCTACTGCAAAGTAAATCGTTTGTGACTAGCTTTATGATTATTTGCAATTTTTTCCAATGGTGGATCAATTACCCAGTGTTCCCTGGTGCAAGACATTATTTTGGCGATGCCAAAGGTAAATCTGATTTATGGTTGTTAGGGCAATCATGTCCTTCTCAATGTGTGCTTATATAGTGTGAATGCATGGTTTGTATTTGTGTGTGTGCGTGTGTGTGTGTGTAGAATTGGTGAAAATGCGTGTGTACATTTGTGTTTTACTCGTATAAAGACTGTGAATGTGTTTGTGTAGTGTCTGTCATTCCTCTTCACTGTCCGACCCTGCTGCGCTACTCTCTTATAGCACCCTCTTCTCTGTGGTCACCGTGGCAGTCTTCCCTTGTCCCGCTGTATGCTTCATACAGCTCACACTTTGGTCTTTGACCAGCATAGATGGGCCGTGGTGTTAATGTCCCTTTGGTGGTTTCATCACAGGACATTTTAACTGTCTGACCGATTGATATGTTTTAGCCATTTAACTTTGAGCTTAATTTCAACTATTTATATTTTGCTGTTGTTATAAGTGTTGGGAAATACTGCCAACATAAAACGAATAGCATAATTCATTAATATATTTGGAAGTTGTTGTCAAAAGACAGACTTGCCACTAATCTGTATGGAGATGATCAAATCTGTTCAGGACTGGTGTTCCATATTATGGTATTTGTTTCCTTTTTCAGGTTGTTCCCGTGACGAATTCCAGTGTGACAACAAGTCCTGCATTGATTCCATCTTTGTCTGTGATGGCACCAATAATTGCGGAGATGCCAGTGATGAGAAGAACTGCTCGCCGCTAACTTGCAAACCGGGAGAATTCCGCTGTGGGAAGGGTGGCTGTATCTCCGAGAAGTGGGTTTGTGATGGGCAGTCGGACTGCGCCGATGATTCAGATGAGTCTGGGGCTCACTGTGGCCTGAAGAGCCAGCCGCAGCCAGTTATGCAATGTAAGGAGAATGAGTTCCGCTGCAACAATGGCAAATGCATTCACCTTTACTGGAGGTGCGATGGTGATGAGGACTGTAAAGACAAATCTGATGAGCTGGACTGCCGTAAGTGAAATTGGAAATTAGCTCTTGTTCGTTTTAAAGGACATTTCATTATGATTTAGCCCTCTCTGTATGTAACATTTATAGTGATTCCTAGCAATGTCCAACGAAATCCAGGAATTGGCTGAAATTTGCATCTTGTTCATAGACTGTGATTGATAATGCAACGAATAGGACTCAGCACTGGTATTGAGCCGTCTTGGGCAACTCCATTTCATGATAAAAAATATTGTGCAGGTGTTTACGGGAAACGTACGGCTGACTTCCTCCTGCTTAGGGTTTAAATACTTCCTCTTAAAAGTGAGCGGGCAAGGCTTGGATTTAGATAGCAATTCAGATGATGTTTGGATACTGTGTCCGTTTCACTATTGTTGCTCTGGAATCCTTTCAAAAGTCACATCAAAGCCAATAGGAATTATGTGCGCTGACAGGCCAATGATTTGCGACCATTGACGTATAAACTGTACAAATAACTTTAACTCTGATAATGTAGTTATTAGCTATGTGCTGTTTTCTGATAGTTTATATATTATTGTCTTGTGGACATTTTTGATAATTTTTTTACGGTGCGGGGTGGAATAGTACATGGTACCCAGGCTAATTAAAATAGCATGGGTATTCCTTTGGTAATATTGGGACCTTCTCTCCCCAGCTGTGGTTACCTGTCGACCTGATGAATTCCAGTGCGGTGATGGATCCTGCATACACGGCATGAAGCAATGTAACGGACTCCGAGACTGTCTCGACAGCAGCGATGAGGCAGGATGTCTGAGCGGTGAGACATGTTATCAAATCACAAAGAGGGTTTCACATTCAGGGATTTGCACTAAGCCCCGAATTTTAGTGAATTTTAGTTTTAAAGTCATTTTGGAGTTCAGGTTTTTTTTAACTGAAATTTTTGCCATTTGGACTTCTCTTCTCTTCAGTATTTAGTGAATAAGCTCGATTAAGTAAATATCATTTCCATTTTGAATAGGATACTGCTTTGGGTAACCAACACCCCAGTTTGGTAAATCCCTAAATAGCCTGATGTTTATTGATGGTGACATTAGTAACACAATACAAACATGTTTAAATTCCTTGCAGCGGCTGAATCTCCCTGTGACACAGAAGAACGGTTTCGATGTAAGAGTGGGGAGTGTATCGACAGCAGTAAAGTGTGCGACGCTCACAAGGATTGCCGAGACTGGTCTGATGAGCCATTGGACGAATGTGGTGAGATTGCCTTTTCCCCCTTTTGTCTCTTTTGTTTTTTAAATAACATGGCATGGAGCTCAAAATATTATTAAATCCCAAATAATATTTTTCTTGCATTTTTATTTAAAACCATTGTTAAATACAGGCAATAAATTAATAGTAAATAACTTCATGTTTACACTGAAAGATAGCTGTCGGCACAGTGTAAAGTGTCAAATCTAATTATTTCAGATTCACAATATCATAGCTCAGATTCCGATGCATCATTCAGAAATGGGTGGCTGTGAACAAGCTGTGTGTGATTCCACGGTGGTCACGCACAAGCAGTGTGTAGGATGTCCGTGTGGCCAAAGTAAAGGCTTGTAGAATCTTTAGGATCACAACATGGCCACGGAGGAGCTGGGTGTAGGATATGAGTGTGGTCATGGAAGATTTGTGTGTAGGCCTGAAGGGTCGCACAAACTAGCCAAAATTGCAAAAAGAAATCTCAATCTTTAATGTCTAATAACTTATTTTGTAATGCTGTATAACGCTGTGTCTCTATAGATGGTCTTCATAGCATTTGGCAAGCTCTGAATAATAGATATATTAATCCGTGTGCCTTTTACCATTTCTAAAATATATTAAGCCTTTGTTATGCTTATGAGATGCAATCTTTTATTCTTTAATAAAAACAACAGTATAGCCTAATATGCACAGAACTGGTATTTTTATTTCTTAAGCATTTAGCTTAATGTTACAAAAGAAGATAATTAAAGTCTCGCTTTAAAGGGACATTATAAAACACATTATAAAACACACCACCTCTGAAACTGGGTTAAAGTGGTTAAAGGGTTACAATAGGCATCCAAACAACTTTAGCTTAAAGGGACACTCCACTGGCCAAATGGACAAAAAATATTAAAAGGGAGGCTTGGCACCCTGTGACTTTGACTCCGTAACCACTACATCAAGAAGTAGCAGTTATGGTGCTTGAAATGTCATTCCACAAAGAAAACCTAAAGAAGAAGAACATATCAATAATTATTTTATTCTGCCAGGATAATATGATACTTAATTTCTACACTTGACGTTTTACTTTACTCACCATTTAACAATGCCCCTCTGTGCGCCTTGCCTTCATGGAAGTTTATTTATTAATTTGGAAATTGTGACAAGTTAGAAATGGCGGCACATGGGGGGGGGGTGGGGGGGGAGGGAGGGCGAAGAGGGTTCCAATACTGTTAGGAATACAAAGATGTATTCCTAACACTATAATGTTCCTTTATTTTCTTAATGTTCTACTCTCAACAGTCTAGTGAATAAACACACACAGCGTGGAAGTTGTGACAGCTTTATGTATAGCCATTATAGTTGTGCTTAGTTATTACACAATCTGTTGTGTTGTAATAAATCTACCATATTTCTTTTTCAAGTTGTGGTTTTAGTATGGTATTTGTCTAATGTAGTCAGTGCTGCGGAAGGTGTTTGTGTTGTATCAGTGAATATAATCTTTTTTTGCAGGTTTAAATGAGTGTCTGATTAACAACGGAGGGTGTTCACACATTTGCAGAGACCTAAAAGTGGGGCATGAGTGCGATTGCCCCTTTGGCTACAAACTGATGGACAAGAAAACCTGTGGAGGTAACCTCTCTTTTCCAAAATCCCCTTTTCTATCAAACCGTTATTTTTCATAACTATCTCAAGTTGCCTTTAATCTCGGCACTGCTGCGACCAATAAGTTTAAAAAAATCAAATATCTTATACAGACTGGGATACTTTCCAAGTTGCTTCTATTAATGGTTGCCACCATTAACCTATTTCTAGATGAATCCATGCTGTGCTTTTACAGTTTGCTTGCATTCAACCATTAGACATGCCCACTCAACTTCCACTTGTAGCTGTAAACGTGCTCTCATCACTGTGCCTACTGTACTCAGTGTCCATTAGCAAATTCCGTTCATGAGGACCGTACCATTAACAATCAATCTTTCGTTTCAGACATTGACGAGTGTGAGAACCCCGATACCTGCAGCCAAATCTGTGTTAACTACAAGGGTTCCTATAAGTGTGAATGTTACGAGGGATACGTGATGGACAGTGTCTCCAAAACGTGCAAGGTGGAGGGTGAGTTGGGATAACAGTGAAACAGAGTGAAGTCATGCATAGATGGGAGTGGAAGTGTCAGAGAATGATGAGAAGGGAGGAATATCCGGAAAAACATCTAGGGAGTGAGAACAAAAATAGTGTGAAAAGGAGAGTAGGAAATATAGTTAATAGAGAATAGAAGAAGCAAAATGCGTTGGTATGAGAAAAAAAAAATCAAAGAACACAAGAGGAAGATATTATTTTGAAGACGTGATTTGGTGAGGAAGAAGTGAAAAAGGTTGCCCATGGTAAAAGCATGGACAAAAAGAGAGAAAACAAGTATCTTGGGGAAAAACAGAAACATGCATAAAAACAGACACAGATAAATAAAGTTGAGAATCGACGTAATGGCAAGTTCAGCTATATGCTTGTATCAATTCTGAATAGTAGCTTAGTAGATTCCGTTTAATAACCGATATCTGAATGTTCTATACGTATTCCCTGTTTAATCTTCCAGGTCATAGTCCGTATCTAATCTTCACCAACCGCCATGAACTGCGTCAGATTGATTTGGTGCACAGAGATTACGCTCGTCTGGCTTCACAGCTCAAAAATGTTGTGTCTCTAGACGTAGAGGTGACAAACAAAAGGATTTACTGGTGTGACCTCTTCTACCGAGGAATATATAGGTAACGAGTACTGTGTTGGCAGCAGGTTCACATAAAATCTGAAATGATCCATGTGATTAAATAAATATAGATACCTGGGGGTCTGTCAGGTTATTGCCTGTCCTACTTGGTTTCAGGCTACTGTTACAAGTCAGTTAAGATGGCTAGTTATTAAATGGATCCTGTCAATCAAAAATAGTAACCCCAAATGGAATGACTTAAAGGACCACTCTAGGCACCCAGACCACTTCAGCTTAATGAAGTGGTCTGGGTGCCTGGTCCAGCTAGGATTAACCCATTCTTTTATAAACATAGCAGTTTCAGAGAAACTGCTATGTTTATGAATGGGTTAAGCCTTCCCCCATTCCCTCTAGCGGCTGTCGCATTGACCATTGACCGCCCAGCGCTGGAAAAAGGTACGTTTTAACCCCTTTCCCCCTTCCAGAGCCGGGCGGGAGGGGGTCCCTGAGGGTGGGGGCACCCTCAGGGCACTATAGTGCCAGGAAAACGAGTACGTTTTCCTGGCACTATAGTGGTCCTTTAACACACTTTTATTGTATTTCCTCTTTCTTTTTATTTTCCTTTCCCTTCCCCTCTTGTCAGTGTTGGTGTTTGCTGGCAGTCAGTCTGGGGATTTATTATTGCACCATTTTAACAGAAATAGCCAATATGTGTCTATAGCAAAGTTGGAACATTTTTCCAAATGTACTATTTCTGCCTAAATTTGCAGATATGGCTTTCAGTTAGCTGCAATTCACTGTTTAGTAAATAAATCTCTCTGTATTACACCAGTCACCCTTCTCAGCAGGCACTGTGCAAGGATTTAGTATACATTCCTGATTGGCCAAGGCTGTTCAGACTCCGTTCTAATTTTTTTTTTTTTAACGGATTTGAAAAGCAGCAATATTTAATCTAGAGCAGGGGTGCCCAAAAGGTAGATCCTGAGATGTTTTAAAACGACAGTTTTCATGATGCTTTGTCATTCTAAAAGCAATTTATTTTCAAAAGGTATGCAAAGCATCATGGAAGTTGTAGTTCTACAACATCTGGGTATCTACCTTTTGGGGACCCCTGATCTAGAGCATCTCTAGGCCTGATATGGAATTGACTGATTAACCCTAGGAGAACCGTTGCAGTGTTATTTCGATGGAATGGTATTTGCAAGTTTGGCATTTATTTGACTCTTTAGTGCTCCACCCACACAATATTCTGATATGTTTATTAGATATATATTTTCTACTATATCATATAAAACTGACTGAAATATTGTCTCTTTCTGCATCCTGTATAATTTGCCTACTTGTTGATTTTGTTGTTGTTTTTATTATTTCTTTATATTTGGGGATGGTGAAAGGGAATCGTATCTTTCTGCTCTCCCATCACAATTTTCTTCCCTTCAGTGCTCCCATAGACCGAGCTGGGGACCCTGCAGCGCACACAGTGCTGATCAATACTCAGTTACACACCCCTGAGGGTCTGGCTGTGGACTGGGTCCATAAGAACATTTACTGGACTGACTCTGGGAACAAGACCATATCCGTGGCAACCACAGATGGCTGCAAACGCAAAACACTCTTTAGTAAAGGCATGAGTGAACCGAGGTCTATCACTGTGGATCCCACCGAAGGGTGAGTGTCTCCTCTCTTGTTTTAGTACCATTGGGACTTTTTCAAACCTCTCGATAAACACAACTGATCTATGTTGGTTGACCTGATCTATGTTGGTTGAATATTTTTCACTGAGAACTTTAAGTGTAGAGTCTATTTCACTTTTCAATTAATTCTTCTACACTTCAATACTGTAGTCATTCGTGATATCACGTAAAACCCACATTGTTCCTAGAATCTGTTTTAAGAAGCAATGCAATAATTATTTGTCTTTCCATTCTTAGGTTCATGTTCTGGTCAGACTGGGGGGATCCTGCCAAAATTGAAAAAGCCGGCTTGAATGGAGGGGACAGACAGATCCTGGTTTCTGATAGTATTGAGTGGCCGAACGGAATCGCTTTAGGTGAGGAATCTGAACAGGAAATCCGGGGAATGATTCCAGAAACTAACAATCTTTCAAAGGCAAAGCTACAGAACTGGAACTAATCATGGTCCTGTGTGTCAGTCTCATGCGTGTTTCTATCATATTTTGATTAGAATTAATTATGTGAAACATAGAATGTGACAGCAGATAAGAACCATTCGGCCCATCTAGTCTGCCCAATTTTCTAAATACTTTCATTGGTCCCTGGCCTTATCTTATAGTTAGGATAGCTTTATGCCTATCTCACGCATGCTTAAACTCCTGCACTGTGTTAACCTCTACCACTTCAGCTGGAAGGCTATTCCATACATCCACTACCCTCTCAGTAAAGTAATACTTCCTGATATTATTTTTAAACCTTTGCCCCTCTAATTTAAGACTGTCCTCTTGTTGTGGTTGTGGCAGAACCAGCCTCGCCACTGGGCATTGGAGAAGACTGATTGCCAGTCTCCTGCCCTGTGACTATGGCCCAATGTTGAAATGCTTGATTTTCCCCTGCAAAGACCCGAAAGCCGGGTCATTCGGTACTTTCACTATGTGAGCAGTGTTACCCCAGATAGCTATGCCATGGAGCCCATTCGTATAACGAAAGACTATGTGAAAGACTTTGGCTCCATGGCAATTGAACTGTATGTATGTGATCTGAGCGCCATTCAGTAATAATGTGCGCTCAGATCTAAGCTATCTGAGGATATGTTGAATGGACCTGTTTTATGCAATAACTGCACAGTTATATATTTTTATGTATTTTATTGTATTTTGCAACCATGTGGCTAATGGAGTTTTGCCTCTGTCCTTGGAGATAATTGGATTACTTCCCAATTATCTCCAGGATAGAAGACTCTGTGGAACTGGTTTTGGGCAGAAAAGCCATGCTTCATTTGGTCACAAAGGACGTTGATCTAACTTTTGACCCACTGGACGTATGTTAGTATTTGGAGTACGCTGATTCTGAAAATATAAGTATATTTGAATGTGATGCATACTTTTAAAGTTCTGAATATTGTGTAAAACTGTGTATTTTCCTGCCTGTGATAGTTATATTAACCTATTGTGTAAGGTAATTGTATCACAGGCAGAGGGGAGGATTTTGTGTGGGAGTGTCTGACTATACTGTACACTGTGTTTATTGGTTGTTCTTCAAAACCCTGTGGGCAGTACTATGTTTGTAGAATGTGAATAAAAGAGGCTGTATGGGCCAGTACAGTCAGTTCTACTTCACCCTCAATTTGGAGTGCCGTCTCTTATTGGGGGAATCTGCTACAAGGGATTGCTATGCTTGTCATACTCCCTTGCTAAATCACTACTAAGCTCTTGTAAGAGCTTGTTCCTGCCTTGCTCTCTGGAGGAGTCTATGGTGGTTATGGTGTCTGCTGGAGTGCTTGGAGCCCTCAGAAAGTGCTAGGAGCATCCTTCAACGGAGGTACCCAGTCGGGGTGCCAGGTGATCCGTTACAGTGGTAGTTTTTCTTCTTTTAAATATAGTCTGCTCCTTTACTGTGTTGATTCCCTTTATGTATTTAAATGTTACTATCATATCCCCCCTGTCTCTTCTTTCCTCCAAGCCATACATGTTAAGATCCCTTAACCTTTCCTTGTAAGTTTTATCCTGCAATCCATGAACCAGTTTAGTAGCCCTTCTCTGAACTCTCTCTAAAGTATCAATATCCTTCTGGAGATATGGTCTCCAGTAACATTGTACATTGTGGGGATGAAGGCACATTCTGAATTGTTTATAAAACTGTATATGCCAACCTATATTATTATTATTACTGGCATTTATAAAGCGCCAACAAAATCCACCGCGCTGTAAAATTGGGAAAAAGACAAACGCAATAAGAACAGACCGATACAACAGATAGAGGGCCCTGCCCGTGAGCTTACAATCTAAAGGTTGAAATGGGGAGATGAGACAAGAGGTAGCAGAGGAATTTGTATGTGATGGCAGAGAGAGTTAATGGTATAACTACAGCAGCTGATAACATGTGAAGGTAATAGGGAGGTGATTGACTGTGGTTCCATAGAGCTGGAGGTGCATGCAATATAGTTAGAAAGAACCAGGGTGGGCGGGTAGAGCCTAGTAAAATTAAATGGCCTTCATGTTGCAGGAATGGATGGTTTGGGTCTAAGGAAGAGAGGTAAGGCAGTTGCTTTACTTTAAAGGAATTTACAACTCGGGAGTGGCAAGCAGGGGGAGGAGGAATGGAGAACGTCAGCCATTTGTTATAAACAAATATTTGCTAACCAAAATTCTATCGGCCAGATTATTAATAACTACAAGTAACAGCAAGTACAAAAAATTACAGTAGTTAACCATATGTAAAATAATACCAACTAAAATGGAGTATGAGGTATATTGGGTAACCCCTTACTCATACAAATACTGTCCTGTAGCTATAGGTTTATTTGTATTATTTGCCTTCGAAATAAGACCGAAATTACAGGCTGGTGACCTTGCATTGTTTGACGAACTGTCATTTTCTGCTACATTCAATGTAGATTAGTCTATATTCCAGTCCTGCATTCCGTACATAACTGCTGGATGCTTTTGGTTGAGCAATAAAACGTTTAGTCCAAATTAGCTGAATTGGAAAATAATCCTTGCAATTGTGTAGAAATGTCGCACTTAGTGATTTTCCAGCTGGTGTAAAAGAAATGTTGCTGTAAATACTCTGTATCTCAACTTAACGATAAACGTTATTAATCTTGCTTTAAAGTGCCCTTAACATCTGTAACATCACCTGTTTCTTGTCCTGCATTGAGCAAAAAGTCCCATTCCCCCCATCCTTTCACAGTCTCCTGGATGTTAAGCAGCTCTGCTCACTATCTCCCCCTATTGGTTTCCTTAAGATCTGCTCACCCGGCGGTTATATTGGTTGGATGCTAAGCTGCACACGATTTCTAGTGTCGACTTCAATGGCGCCAATAGAAAACTTCTCATTTTCTCAGAAAATGAACTAAGTCACCCCTATGGGCTCGCTGTTTTTGAGGTGAGTGAGGAGGGTTAAAATTTACTTTTTTTTTTTTTTTTTTTAATTGCTGGATGGCTTTTGTATGTTCTAATATTGCAATAACACACACATACAGCACCCTTCACACATTCAGCACCTCACACACACAGCACCCTTCACACATTCAGCACTTCACACACACAGCACCCTTCACACATTCAGCACCTCACACACACAGCACCCTTCACACATTCAGCACACATGCAGCACCCTTCACATATTCAGCACACATACAGCACCCTTCACACATTCAGCACACATACAGCACCCTTCACATATTCAGTACACATACAGCACCCTTCACACATTCAGCACACATACAGCACCCTTCACACGTTCAGCACCTCACACACAGCACCCTTCACACATTCAGCACCTCACACACACAGCACCCTTCACACATTCAGCACACATGCAGCACCCTTCACACATTCAGCACACATACAGCACCCTTCACACATTCAGCACACATGCAGCACCCTTCACACATTCAGCACACATGCAGCACCCTTCACATATTCAGTACATATACAGCACCCTTCACACGTTCAGCACCTCACACACAGCACCCTTCACACGTTCAGCACCTCACACACAGCACCCTTCACACGTTCAGCACCTCACACACAGCACCCTTCACACGTTCAGCACACACACAGCACCCTTCACACATTCAGCACACATTCAGCACCCTTCACACATTCAGCACACATTCAGCACCTCACAGACAGACATAAAAAAGAAAAAGTATAATAGAAAATAGAAAAAAAGGGAAGAAAATAGATTAATTTTAGTGCAAATTAAAACAAAAACCCCAAACCTCCTTTAAAAAAAAACAAAAAAAAAAAAACTGGTGGGCAGTGGGGAAATTTTACCATCAACAAAGATACAAAAGTGGGCGATGGGTTTTAAAAGGTTGACTAACCCTGCTCTAGTGCATCTTTGTAGAGCTGATTATAGAGCGAGAGGTGGAGATGGGGCTGTCTAAGAATTCTGTGCCTGAATCTGGCTGTCTTCTTATGGACTTAGAGAAACCATGAACTAAAATATAAACCATTAATTTAACGCTTTAAGTGCTAACAAGTTAAAGTTGTGGCTCACCAGCTCAGCTTTCAGATGTGGGGAAGCTGAATAATTCTATATAAAAATAGATTGACACATTGCCTCGTGTTTACAGAGGTGGAATGGAATGCAGAAGTTCACATTTCCTTCTGCTGTGCAAACTGCGTATTGGTCAGCCACGATGAGGAAACAATGTGTGTCACCAGGTTATTTAACATATAGAAACCCCCACCGGCTGTGTTCCCACCCGTTCCTATTAATGCCCCCTACCCACTGACCGTGGGTGGTGGAAAGTGACCTGTCATCCCCCCTGCTATTTAATATATAGAACTTCCACCCAATGCCCACAGAACCCTCCTCTATGTTAGCAGCAATTCTTGTCCAGTAGGTAGTGTTTTATAACTGCGAGCAGTCACTGGACATGTGCCCACTTGCAGCATGGTGAACAGGGGCACAAGGGAGGTAATAAACCTCATATATACTAATGTGGATGTAATATTGTACCCCCATTTGGTTTGTTTTTTTACGGTTTTCCCTGTGGCTGCTAATCCTACATCTTTTTGTAGTCAAACTTTTCAATACCATTAATTGAGGTTAGGTCCTTGATCAATAGCATTGAATCACTAAATCAGAAGTTTCCTATGGTTTAAAAGAGACCAATAGTTTCCCTAATTAAATTGAGGCATTAATTTGGTACAAATAAACATGTTAATATTTTTATGATTGTTATGACTTTTATTCATCCTGTTAACATATTTGCATATTGGTTCATGTTAATTCACTCTTCAAGCCTAGCTATATATGTTTTTATTTTTTTTTTATTTTTTTCTCTGATACATTTTTATTCTTCCAGGATAAAGTGTTTTGGACGGATCTGGAGAATGAAGCCATCTTCAGTGCAAATAGGCTGACCGGACAGGAAATCTCCATCCTTACCGATAATTTAAACAACCCCCATGATATTGTTGTTTTTCATCAGCAAAAACAGCCGAGAGGTTTGTAGCCCCTCTAACCCTCTATGCTCAATGGTTGTTCTCTTGCTGGATCTGCTACAGAAATTAGTGAAGAGGTCTCACCTCATGGGGTCCTCGTACAATGCCAAAACCAAATTGTAGTGAACTGTAAACTGAAATTGGCTTAAATAGCCAAACTGTGTTTCAATTAACTATTGATATTTGGTGTTTAGCTTAAAAAAAATCCCCAATCTGTTTAGTTCTAAATGTAGATATTAGAAGTCCAATTGGTTTTGTCTTGTTTTCTCAGGTTGCAGTAATCCTGTTGTCTTTGTACATCCAATGGCGATAGAATGACTCTGTGCTAATTAGTGTTATTTTTACCAATCAGCCATTGATGCGTGTAACGATGGGCTTGTTCCAAATGGCGGCTGTGAATACCTGTGTCTGCCTGCCCCTCACATCTCTGCTCATTCACCGAAATATACATGTGCCTGTCCAGATGGTGTGGAATTGGGACCCGACATGAGGAGCTGCGGTAAAGGTAAGAACTTTGGGATTGTGAGGTGGAGAGTAGCGGGGTATGGAAAAGTGGCCTATGGACAGTAACCAAATCCCCACATTATTTTACAGGAGGTGTGTTTATGTAACATTCCAAAAAAGTTTAAAACCTGTATGTTTTTTTTTTTGGGTGGGGTAGGGCAGGGGAATTTTTTTTTGTAATTGTTTTTTTGTATTCTGTAGTTCAACTAAATTCATTACATGGAGTAAAGAACCACTATTTGTGTGTAGTTATCAGAAACTCACATTGCACGTCTGACTTTTTTCTTTGTCATTAATAAACTGTTTTATTTCAGTCATTACAGAAGTTACCACTTCTTTGGCTACTGTACCTCCACTTTTGACTACCAGCAAGCCCCCTGCCACAAATTCCACACCAATGACTCAAAATAGCCCTGCTGTTCCCCCATCTCCAAGTATGGTAACCTCTATCACAGACACTACCGAGATGGCAAGCAATCAGTCTGTTCTGACAAGCAGCCACCAAACTACCTCTTCACCCAGCCTTGTGGACATTAACATCAAAACTACAAGGAGCAGCAACGTATCCCAACACTGTAAGGATAACTAATACTGAATAATCAGGGATCCAGATCCCTACAGGGAAATAGTCCTCTGATTCAGCAGATATATCTAAAATTAAAAATCCCATGCATCTGACCTCATAGGAGATGACACAGAATTGTTGCATGAAGTAACATCACATACAGTCTCGCACTTTAATTGTTGTGTTACTTTAAAGAAAATGAACCTAATTTAAATACCCATGCAACGTACGATATGAAACTCGGATCATATAAAGTTTCATACTATATATAGTATCAAACGTTGCTAATCTGTACAGCTGTTAAAAATCGTCTTTGACAAAACTCCAGCCAAGGACAGGAACTCGTAGTCTGCTTCAGTTTAATAAAGACTGTTAAAATGTTACATTTTAGTCTGATTCAAAATCTAAATTCTTTGTAACAACATTTTGCTATAAGAATTAAGGTGACATTCCATAACCACTATCTTTAGTGGCTGTCTTTCAAAAATCCAACTTACCGTCCTGTCACCCAGTGATGATTTGACTTGGCTTGACTAAGGTTGTTATTCACCAAACACCAGATTTTGTTTAAATGGCCAAAATCTGGTGATAATGACCAAGTTCCATATTGACAATTCTCATATTTACTAAAGTCAAATCTGTTTGGAATTCAGTTGGCCCGAGTGAATCTGCAGCAATGCCCCAGATGAAATTGGCAGGCAGTTAAAAAAAAAAAAAAAAAAGAAACCCTTGGTGATGGAAGAGTTAATTATATGGTGTCTGGCAGGCACTTAAAGTTTAAGGTTGGGGGGGGGAGGAACTGCTTAAAAGAATGTTAAAAATTAATAAAAAGCCTATGAGGGTCAGTAAGATCCTCAAATTACTGTAAGTGGGTTAATCTAAGCTTAATGTACCCCGTGTCTCCTATATGACCCTTTTCAAATGTATTTGTTCCTACAGATGAAAATGCTAGCTCTGATCTCAGGTCTACACTCACTGCGGCAGTGATTGGCGTAGCTGTGCCTGTCGGTGAGTTCTTATTCCTGTATTATCTGTCTAGTGTCTCAGTAACGGTTAATTGTAATATACAGAACATCTAAAATATAGAATATATATATTTCTGCCTACATTCCCTGCTTCACTAATATCACCTCTTGGGTGTCTCATGTTTGTTTGTTTGTTTGTTTTTTGAAGGTCTGTTTTTATTAGGAATGCCAGGCATCATTACTGAGATACTTTTGAGATTAAATAAACTTGGAAAAATCTGCAGAATATTTTTTTTTTCTTTTTTTCTTAATAATTTCCTCAACCCCAGCCATCTCCTCATTAACCCATAGATGGCGCAATACCTATTTAGGTATCCTCTTTGATTCGACCCTGTTCTTTCACACACATCCTTCATTGACACCACCTGGTACTCGCAGCTCTTTAATTTCTGAAAAATCTATCTTCTCATCAACTTCTAACGATCTTGATTGATTACTTTAATTCTTTCATCATTGACACTAGTCAACACATCCGTTTCCCACCATTCATAGTGCTGCTGCCTGTATCTTCCTTCACATTTGCTGGTCTGATTTTCAAATCTATAAATACACTGTCTTTTATTAAAGCCCTCTTCAATCTCACACCTCTGTCTCCTTATTCAGGAGATCACCGTGTAAGCACTCTGAACTGTGTGGTTGCTGCATAAGAGGGAGATCTCCCTCTCTCTCTGCCGATTCTGATACTCTACCTGGGCAGTATGTGCAGTCCAGTAGGTCAGGGAGGGGGCATGCAGGAAGATGCTTTTAGTGTGTGGTACATAAAAGAGCTGTGCGCAATTCGCAAACTAATTGGAAAGCGTAGAATCTCTAAATCTGGTCCCACCAGAGAGGTATTGATAACTGGTTCTCCCAGGTACTAGCAGAGACCTAGCCTTGCTGGCATGTAAAAGGCATGATGTTCCATGTCCAGTCTTAAACTGCAGGATGGCATATAGTTCCACTGCATCTTTTGTAGAATGACCATGGCATTACTGGGAATTATAGGAGGGAAGTGGTTGGATACCACTCTCTGGTAATGTTTTTTCATTGTTCAGGATGCACACCACTAAATTCCAGTTTATGTGGATGTTTTGTCTTGTTCTAAAGAAACCAGGAGAGAGATTTATAAAAGGATAAGTGAATGGGTTTGATTAGCTGTCCGTGACCTGACCATTGGTTATAAATAAATCTGGCCACCTTTTCTCAGCTTCTCTAACAGTTAATTCTAGCTATGGCTGCCTTACTCAACATCTGCATCTTAACTAAGTGACCCTTGTCTTTCCACAGCTGTTCTTGCTCTCCTGTGTCTCTCTGGATACCTGATATGGAGGAATTGGAAAAGAAAGAACACGAAGAGTATGAATTTTGATAATCCTGTATACCGGAAGACTACAGAGGAGGAGGAGGAAGAGGAAGAAGAAATCCACATTGGTCGATCTTCACAGATTGGACATGTCTATCCAGCTGTGAGTAAGGACATATCCAGATACTAATAGCTGTAATTTCTTCTGGACTTTAGTTCAAGGGATAACGTGGGCTGGATTCCAATTATTTTTAATGTGATTAGCTATACAGGGCTGTAGAACATGCCCCTGCTGTATTTAAATTCCCATACTTAATGTAACATCTTTATCTGTATTCTTGCAGCGAGTGGCATTGAGCGTGGAAGACGATGGCCTGCCGTGAGAATCGAAGAGAACTGTTACACATGAAATGTCTCAAATCACTGATTCTATGTTTTGCAAGGAATTAACAATCCCATCAAGGATGATGTGTGACTTGTCACAGGTCCTGTTCATCTTGTATTTACGTTAGATATACCACACATGCTGCTCTAAATGTAGACGTATGTAATATGTTGCAAATCATATTCTACTTGCAGTGCTGTGTGACAGTGTCACAGGGCCTGTGATGTACGCAGTGCTATGAGATAATGTCACAGGGCCTGTGATGTACGCAGTGCTGTGAGATGATGTCACAGGGCCTGTGATGTATGCAGTGCTGTGTGACGATGTCACAGGGTCTGTGATGTAAGCAGTGCTGTGTGACGATGTCACAGGGCCTGTGATATACACCGTTTTACATTATCTCTAGTAAACAGAGGGCTATGCAACATTCACTGAACCTTCTCTACAAACTGTGCTGCGAGACATTATGCAGGTCTTTTGCTACATGCTTTGCTGGTAGATGTGTTACATGCAATGTAGGAAAAACACAGATTACACTCTGCACCTGTACAACAAACTGAACATTTTCTTATTTATTTTACTGATGGAAAACCACAAAGATTTAATGTTTCAAACATCCAAAGGATGTGAGAAGTTCTATGTATAATCTTTTATACAGATTTTTACTTGGTCCTCGGCCGAGGCTCCCCACTGCTGTCTTTGTATATAACAGCCTCCCAGGACAATCTACCATTTTAAGATATTCTATTTATAGACGTTTTTGTACATACCTTAACAAACTTTGTGGTTCTCCATCAACCCATACATTAAATGAATAATAAAACGTAGGATTTTTGTAGCGTATTTATTAACTTTAGAGGACTGCAGGGAGGGTGACTTTCTGTAAATAGATGGAAGGTGAGAGTATTTATTTTTTGTATGTTCCAGGTTTATACGTTTGCATTAGAACCTGGTGTAAAAATATGGTTTGTGATTTCATAACCAGCTGCCTCTCATTCATGAACATCCCCCAACATACCCGAAAAGCAACTTATTGAGATGTGCTGCATCTAATACATTTTTATGTAATAATTTCAGAAAACTCTGAACTGCACCTACATTCAGAATCAGTAAATATTTATTAAGCCATGGCTTTATGGACCATTTAATAAGACTCACAAAGAGAGTGCATTTGACAATTTATGGATCATTTACAATATGGGGGAAAATCCAAAGTACAAAATTATTTCAGTTGTTGCAAATTACATACAGCTAAGAATTAGGAATATAGCTATTATCATTATCTATAAACCAGCATTATATTCCGCAGCCCCCTTTAACACAGGATTCCGAGTGGGAAAGGCTAATCACGATTTATTTAAAGTTGAAATTAACGTTTAATTTGCTATACAAGATGAAATTAATGACTATAATGAAACTAATGGTTCATTCTATAAAATGAATCCTGTAACATGTATTACAGCCTTACACCACTATTGTAACTAAAGTCTTTACGAGAAACTTTGGATCAAGGGCCCTATCCACTATGAAGAACAGTAGGGGTATGCAATCTTGAAAGAACTGTCACTACCATTTACATTGAAATTACTGTAATTAAAGCATTTTAATCTTCAATCCTAGTGATTGCTAGATCAGAGACATTTGTTTTTGTTTGTTTAAAGAGATGGAAGGTATATACATGCCATAAGGTATAGTTGGCCCCCAAATCCTCAGTTGTTTTGGAACTGCAGTTTAAATTATTTATATAGCGCCAACATACTCCGCAGCACTATTCAATATGTAATTCCTGTATATCAACTCTACACAGGGATTTTACTGTTGGTTATCCCCAGCCTAAGGATTAAAGAGGTACGTGGCTTTCAATTCAGTGCAAGAAATGTACCCAGTCCCTTTTGTTTTGTACATATCTTATGTATTAACCACTTAAGGACGGAGGCATTTGTCCAATTTCTGAACCAAAACAACCTAGAATTTGAGCTATATGACTGTTTGACCACAATTGACCTCTTTCATTTTAAGTGTACCCACACTTGTATATCATTTTGTTCAGGAGAAATAGGGCTTTCATTTTACATCAGATAATTATATATGAAACATAATTTACTATGAATACAATCTACAAAAGTGAGAAATTAAGCAATTTTCTTATTCTCTGTGCATGGCATTTTAACTGTTAGTCATAATGCTGTTAGCTGTTAAGGCAATAAAAGACACATATTTGTAAGCTGTGATGTCCCACGAGTAAAACAGTACCCCCCATGTACAGATTTATGTAGTTTTGGAAAGTTACAATGTCAAATACTGGGCATGCAAGTGAAATAATCTGTCATTTCTGCTGGGCTGTTATTATATTAATAACAGTTATTAATAATTATTATTAATTAAATATAATAAAACCCAGATAGTCTCTCTGCAGCCAATCCAAGACATAATGGCTGCTTTGGAATGCCTAGGTTGTCCGACATGTCCCCCAATTGCAATCGTCCACTATGGTATGTATTCGAGCCAGAGGGAAGACCAAATGTGTTTCAGGTTAACACATGGAAAATCTTACATTAAATATTGTTTAGTGAAACTTTCCCTTTTGAACTTTTATTAAATACTGTGTAATGTTTCACTCTGTATAGACTCCCACGTGGCCCTAGGGTGTGGGGTCATGGGTCCCCATCCAGACCTAAATCGTCCATCCCCATGATAAATACCTCTAACATCAAGGTCAATTTATACGAGGTTAAAGGAACACTACATCATATGAGCATTTCATAGCTTTTGTGAATCAGACCTGTCCACTTTTGATGATGTAAAAATTAACTAAATTAGAAGTTCCCCCTGATATTGTAGATTTATTATATTGGACATTTGAAAATATATTTCAACAGTCACATGGAATCTCATCCTGCTGCCTTCAACTACATTACATTATGTTATTATGGAGAATACATTTTAGATATACACAAATTGAAAATAACTTGTAATTCAGTGAATATTCCTGTACAAGGCGATGACACTTATAATACTACACGCTTTCAACAAATATGCAATAAGCATCAATCGAAAAATGGTAATATTGTGTCAAGGTAACCCTGTAATGCAGGGGTGCCCAGAGGCAGATACTCCTCTGTTTTAAACTACAATTCCCTTGATGCATTATAGGAGTTTTAGAAAGGATCTGCTTTTGGTCAGCTCTGATAAAATATATAGAATATAAGTGCATGCACTTTTCATATTTGTTTCTTATCACTCATCTTTCGCCTTGCACCATTGTCAGTCATTACATAGTCTTCCAGTACCCATTAGGATTCATTTCAAGATATTAACACACCTACATATACACAAATCTCTTAATAATGCTACCCCAAATACTTTTTCAGTGATTCATAGGTTACATCTCTTCTCGGTCACTCCACTGTACTCCATTCCTGTAAAACAGGCTCTCCCATTAGAAACTACCCTGGTTTTCAATCTTAAAGAAACACTATAGGGTTGGGAACACAAACATATATTTCTGACCCTATAGTGGTAAAACCACCATCTAGCCCTCCTGACCCTCTCTTGCCTCCCTAAATATAGTATAATCTTACTTGTATTTCAAGCCTGAAGCTGTTGGCTCTGCCCCTGTCTGCCTCAGACCTGCAAGCTGTCTGCTGACATCATCAGAAGTGTTGTTCTGAGCCAATCACAATGCTTCCTCATAGGATTGACTGAGACTGTCAACGACGCAGATCAGGGGCAGAGCCAACACAAGTCACACACAGCCCTGGCCAATCAGCAGCTCCTCATAGAGATGAATTGAATCAATGAATCTCTATGAGGAACGTTCAGTGTCTCCATGCAGAGGGTGGAGGCACTGAATGTTGTGATGCACACTAGACAAGACTGAGATATGAAGCAGCTCTAGCAGCCATTATACCAGTTCAGGCATTTTGAACTTAAATTGTAAATTCTCTTTGAATTCTCACTTTCGTGAATAACTTCGTAAAATTGTAAAGTGCTGCAGAACACGACGATGCTATTTAAATGACAATAATAATAATGAATGCCTTATTAGATCACTGATCAAACTTGACTATTTCCAAATAACCATTCTGACTGTATCTGTTTGTAGAGTTCATCTGTAAATAAGAATATAAAACATAATAAATACCATTGATAATACTAATATTAATAAGTAATGGAAAATCTGATAGTAATATATACATTATGAAACTAGTCTCTTAAAGCAACTGTTGGCATTAGAAATAAATACCGGTGAACGTCTATTCACTAAACTGTAAGTTGTTGGAAATTGCAAAATAATAGGAGTTCCTGTTTTTGGGAATACCGGCAATCCTGTTATCCAACCTCTCGACAAATACAGCTTAATGTTACCGCAACTGTCTGGCAGTTGCTCTTAACCATGTTTGATGAGATTAGATATTGTTTAACTGTGTATTATACAAACACATTTACCAAACTTAACACTGAGATAGTGCTCATTTAGAAATAAGCCCAACCAGTGCTTAATGCTTGTACAGAAACGAGGACAGAGACAATGCTAGGGTTCTTACAGAATGTATATAAATATCGGTACTTGGTAACTATACTTCCGTCAGCAAACACAAGGATTACGTTCAGTTGCAAGCTAAAACTAGATGGGATCTGAGCTGCAACAATCATGTTACTGGATGAATGGAAGCCTGGAAATGTTTGGTGGAAGTATAGTTTACAAGTGCCAAACTATCTATTCCTCTCTTTTGAAGTAATAATTGATATACTGATTATATACGAATAGTTTGAGATTTATAAAAATGGACGAATCAGCAGGAACATTCTTTAGTTCCACTGGTGATTGCTCCAGTTATAGCACTTCTCTGTCAGTGGAACTTTTCATACATCTCTGGAATTATAAATATGTTTAGAGGCTAAAAACAGTCTTATATCTACTGCAGGCATTTCACCTTATTGAGGTGAATACGAGCCTTATATCTTTTGCTCCCCGAGGAAAAAAAATAATAATTATTATTATGAACAATTTAACTCCAAAAAAATCTAATAGATAAATCCGTCAAACAGGCGCTTAGAGCTTATATATTGGTGTGATGATCCCCAATGTATGATTAACAGCTATAATACTCATGTGGGTTTAACTTACTTGCAAAATGGATTTAAGGGGACCGATTAAAATATTTTAACATGTAAAGTGAATTGACATTTTTAATATTGACTGTATCTTTAAAGAAAGGCATTAGGTAAAGTACAAGCTTTGACAATGTTTTGAGTTCCATTGCTGTTTTTTTGCTGAGGAATCCTACTTTGGTTAGGCCTCAAGTAGACCACAGGTGAGGAGACATTTGGAGTTGTCCATCCATCTCTGGTCATAGTGACTAAATCTGCTAATCTTTGTATGTGACTGGATACACTGTATAAATATTAACACTTTTAAAGCCATAGAATCTCAGAATTAAGGATGTGAGTACTTTAAATTTGCCTTCGTGAAACACTTGACAGACTTTCAGTGCAGACTCTGATACTTAGACTGTTGGGCAAATTAAGGCTTTTTCTTGAATCGCAAGTGAACACATTTGAGATTTTCCTCTGTTAAATGCATATGTCATATTACAACCGCTCATTTCCTAGAAATCGCTGTAGTTTTATATAGTTAATGGGTTTTCCTCCCACTTTTCATTAATGATTGAGATGTTTATAAAAGAATATGTCTGTTGCATAGCCAGTCTATTGTGGGCTTCCAACACAGCCAGCCTGCAATAAACCGGTCCATATCATACTCTGAATCTAAAAATGACTCCAGCAGAGCACAGAATTTATCAGAACTGCTGAAATGGGTGTGTGTATATTTATGTTTGTGAGTGTGACTGTACATTGCTGTGTGTGTGTGTGTACACTGAAATATCCACACACAGAAATACTATACAAAACAGTGTGTGAATGCATTGCAGGCTGGCCTGGAATCGTATGCGAGGGGCAAGTTACGCTGTCCTAATCAACAGTGGTAAAACTCAACCAAAGCTGTTCATATTTTTTAAATAAAGGTTGAATTTCTGGTGTATGTTTTTATAACAAGTCCCGACCTGTGCCCTCAGGCTCACAGACTCTTAATCCCCCTTTATCCTTCGTATAAAGACGTTGGAAAATAATTTAACCCCTCCACCCACTACCACCAATTTCCCTTGGTCACAGTCAGGCATGTTTGCAAGCAGTCTGCTGACTGGTTTTAAAGTTTCCTGTGTGCTAAGGTTTATTATGATGGTGGGGTTAGCAAACTACATCTGTACATATATTCCATGTCTTAACCCTTATTTTTAACTTGTTGTACAATGACCTGTTTCTACATAGATAAAAAAAGAAATAAACTTTTTTTTTATCCAATGACTCGTGTTTAGTGATTTTGTAATAAATACACAGTAGTGACATATGATCAACTTTACTGAACAGAAAAGCTGGGCGAGCGCTAATAGTTTGGTCCTCTATACTATAATTTTATCATTATTATGATGATGAAAAATATATTTTAATTTTGCAGCATGTTATTGTTTTTATATATAGGATAAATCTTTTGATATTTAAATATATTTGGGGGAGGTTTTTTTTTTGTTTTTGTTTTTTTTAACAGCCTATTCAAAAATAATAAATCATTTGAAAAGCCTTTTTTCAACAGTATTAAACCTAGGTCATAGCATGAGCACATCTTTGTTACTTGTAGAGATTTTATATAGCTGTGACACAGGACCTTTTGCGATGTAAGCTTGGGGATGGTTCAGATTTGGGCTACAAAACTGGTTCATGGATTGCAGGATAAAACTTACAAGGAAAGGTTAAGGGATCTTAACATGTATAGCTTGGAGGAAAGATGAGACAGGGGGGATATGATAGAAACATTTAAATATATAAAGGGAATCAACAGAGTAAAGAAGGAGACTATATTTAAAAGAAGAAAAACTACCAGAATAAGAGGACATACTCTTAAATTAGAGGGACAAAGGTTTAAAAATATGAGGAATTATTACGTTACTGAGAGGGTAGTGGATGCACAGGAATAGCCTTCCTGTTGAAATGGTAGAGGTTAACACAGTAAAGGAGTTTAAGCATGCGTGGAATAGGCATAAGGCTATCCTACTATAAGATAAGGCCAGGGACTAATGAAAATATTTAGAAAATTGGGCAGACTAGATGGGCCTAGTGGTTCTTATCTGCCGTCATATTCTATGTTTCTATGTGTATCGACAGTCAAGAGTTACCCTGTATATTAGCAGTAATATGTAGGAAACCAATACCTCATGTAAAAAATAAATTGAGGGCTTCCATTAATGGGAGGTATTAGTGCAGTGTTTTAGATCCTTCAAGATGTGCAAAATGTGTTTGCATGCTAGCGAGTCGAGTTGAGCGGACACCTGGATGTTTGGGTTCGGCGAAACTTTGAAAAAAAAGTCCGGGTTCGGGCTCGAACTTGACCCCGAACCCCATGGAAGTCAATGGGGACCCGAACTTTTTGGCACAAAAATGGCTCTAAAAAACTCCTGGAAAGGGCTAGAGGGCTGCAAAAGCAAGTAAAATGGGGGTAAGAGTAGGACAAGTGCCCTGCAAACAAATGTGGATAGGGAAATCACTTAAAAATAACATAAAATAAACAGCCGCTTAGTAGATAACTTCCTAATTCCCACGGTATTAGGGAGCTATCTACCAAAAGGCTGATAGACCTAGATTGGTCTTTCAGCCACATTTACTAATACTAGGTAAAGATTACTTAGTATTAGTAAATTCAGCCCCTACTCGCTATACAGCGAGTAGGGGCGTGTCTAGTAAACAGTGAGCAGCCAGTGGCTGCTCGCTGTTAAAAAAACCAACAAAAAAAACCCTATTGCCCCCACCCCTGTGCGACGGGTGAGGGCCCTAAATAAGAATGTGGAGGGGGTGGACCTACTGTCCTCCCCCCACCCCTGAGCGGTAGGTGGGGGCCCTAAATAACAATAAGGGAGGGAACCTACTGTCCTCCCCGGCCCCCACCCCTGCGCGGCGGGTGGGGGCGTTCAATAACAATAAAGGGGGGACCTACTGTCCTCCCCCCCCCGAGCCCCACCCCTGAGCGGCGGGTGGGGGCCATAAATAAGAATGTGGGGGGGACCTACTGTTTTCCACCTGACCCCCACCCCTGTGCGGCGGGTGGGGGCCCTAAATAATAAGGGGGGGGGGGACCTACTGTCCTCCCTCCCCGGCCCCGGGTGGGGGCCCTAAATAATAAGGGGGGGGGGGGACCTACTGTCCTCCCTCCCCGGCCCCTACCCCTTACCGGTAGGTGGGGGCCATAAATAAAAATAAAATGACACCGAGCACTGATTGGTTAGCTTGAAATCCAGCCAATCAGATTGCTCTGTGTCATTTTAAACAGCGTAGGAAAGTTCTTTGGAATTTTCCCACGCTGTGTAATTTGACTCATAACACTCTGATTGGTTACTTAATCCACCAATCTGAGTGCTCTGTGTCATTTTACACAGTGTGGAAAAATTCCAAAGACCTTTCCCACGCTGTGTAAAATGACACAGAGCACTCTGGTGGATTTCAAGCCAACCAATCAGAGTGCTGTGACAGGTAAATATAGAGACTTGCCTATCAGAGCACTCTGGATGGCTTAAACCCACCAATCAGAGTGCTCTGAGCCTAATTGCAGGGCGGGGGCAAGGCTTTATAAGCCTTCCCCCGCCCCCTGCAGAGCTCAGTCTGCGCAGAGCCCTCCATGGGTGAAGAAGGATTTTCTTTTTGTTTTGTTTTTTTAAAGTACGTCGGTTATTCTGGATTTTTATTTGGCTTTTTTTTTTCTTTTTTTTACCAGGTACTTAGGTAATGATCATCCCCCATTATTTTTAGGGTGAGTGGGGTAGGTAGGGGTAAATTTTTTGGGCGGGGATTTTTATTTATGGCCCCCACCCACTGCTCAGGGGTGTGTGTCAGGGGGACCACATTAGGTCCCCCCCCCCCAATTTTTATTTATAGCCCTTACCCACCGCTCAAGGGTGAGGGCCGGAGGGGAGGACAGTAGGTTTCCCCCTTATTGTTATTTGGGCCAGGGGGAGGACAGTAGGTCCCCACTCCCAATTTTTATTTATGGCCCCCACCCACCGCTCAGGGGTGGGGGGCGGAGGACAATAGGTCCCCCTCCTTATTAGTATTTAGGGCCCCCACCCGCCGCACAGAGGTGGGGGCCGGGGAGGACATTAGGTGTGTGTCCCCCAATTTTTATTTATGGCCCCACCCACTGCTCAGGGGTGGGGGCCAGGGGGGAGGACATTAGGTCCCCCCCAATTTTTATTTATGGCCCCCACACACTGCTCAAGGTCCCCCCCTTATTGTTATTTAGGGCCCCCACCCACCGCACAGGGGTGGGGGCCAGGGGGAGGACATTAGGTCACCCCCCCAATTTTTATTTATGGCCCCCACCCCCTCCTCAGGGGGGAGGACATTAGGTCCCCCCCTCACAATTTTTATTTATGGCCCCCACCCACCACTCTGGTGGGGGCCGGAGGGGAGGACAGTAGGTTCCCCCTTATTGTTATTTAGGACCCCCACCCACCGCTCAGGGGTGGGGGCTGGGGACACACAATAGGTTTAGTTTAGTTTAAAAGCCCCCACTTGCGCGTCGCGGGTGGGGGCTCAGGAGGGGGGAATTTTTTTTTTTTTTAAATTACAGGCTGCTCACTGTTTAACAGACATGCCCCTACTAGCTGGGTCACATGCTGCACTGGCCAATCACAGCCATGCCATTAGTAGGCATTGCTGTGATGGCTTCTAAGGGCACACGAATCAACCACTTGTTGATTGGCTGCCCTGCAGCCTTTCAAAACGTGTCATTAAATTGCCGAACTCCAACCCGAACATACAGTGATATGTCCGTGTTCGGGTCCGGGGTCCAAAAAACTAAAAAATTTAATGTTTAAGTTCGGGTTCGCTCAACTCTACTAGCGAGCTGAACTTTCTCCGGCTAGTACTATCGATGGCGTTTTAAGAAGTCTTTAAAGGGACACTCCAGATCCCTAAAGCACACCAGCTTGCTGAAGTGCTTTATATGTGAAGGTATTTTTGATCCTTAGGGATGCACCTGCAGCTTCCGTATCCAAGAACTCCAATCCATTAGCCACACCTACGAGCTCGAGCTGATTCGGACACTGGCACACAAGTGCAGTTAGAATTAACTCTTAATTTATTTTAGAATACAAAGGGTTACCCAAAAATAGTTTCTTGAGCTTTGCTGAATTTTTGTTCCCCAGAATGTAACCTTGAGATAGCCGACTTGTTTGATCGAGAACTTACAGCAAGCTAAGGAAAACTCACTGAAGGGAATGAGAGTTCAAAACATACTTGGAAACAAGGACAATACAAGATAGGCAGAAATACAAAATAAAGTCAAGGGTACAAAATGGAAGGCCTGCTGTATTGGATTTTACATTTATCATGCCCTTTTAAATAGATTATTTAAATTATAAATTAACCTTGTCGCACCCACTTGGCTGTCAATTCAACATACAGCCATGGCGCCTGTGTTTTGAAACCCAGCCAAACAGAATGCAGAAATCAAACCTATCTTGCAAAAGACACAATCCCTAACTATAGTCCAGTAACAACTATTGTTAAACAGGTTTGCCATATTCACAATTTTTCCTGTGTACATCATTCCAAATGCTAATTTACAGTTGATGGAATAAAAATAGTTTTTTTACCCTCTGATATACTTCTGTCTAGGCGATAGTCCCTTCTTTGTTTTTATACTTGACTAACTTGCTGCTCTAACTATTAAAGGACGTTGCTCATACTTTCTGGGGAGTTTTTCAGCAAACTAATTTTCAGCTACGCCGCAAATAACTGAAAATTCACAAGCTTTTAACAGAGATGAAACAATACCATTTAGGGGGTGATGGGCTGGATTTATGGCCTGCAAGACCTTGAGTTTCGAAAATGTTAACTCTTGATTCAAAGTTACAGCACACCCTAGCTATGAATACACTTTATTATGTTGCTACGCATTAACATTTTTGGCAGTCTCTACGATCCTAGCACCTGTGTTTTTGTTGTTCATTGGGGCTCCTCAGCACTGCAAGAAGGGTTCAGGTTAAAGCAGAGATCTCTAAATTGAAGTCCATGGCATTCTGGTCTATCGTATACGAGGCTCTCCACCACTAAAAATAATTTTCTAATAATGTATTTGAAAATATGATCTTTAATATGTAGCATTCGTATACTACTATAAGGAAAATAACAATCTGCGGTAACCCACATGAATAGCGATCAGTTAACACAATTTCCCCACTGCAACTTATGAATGTTACATGCTGGCTAGCTGTTCATCAGAGTAAAAGAAGTAATGTGTCGAGTTCACACCAAAGTGAACACACCTGGCAGTGACGGTGAGTGAGGCTGAGCCTCCACATACCTGCCAACCTTTCAAATGGACAAAGGGTGACACTTTAATTTCAGGGGTGTGTGCCCAGCGTTACTTTTCTGAGAAATTTTAGGTGACTTACTAATAACAATTTATACAACTAAAATGCCATTTATAACAAGAACAATGTATCTTATTTACACAGACTGATTTCTAAATAAATGTATGGTAGTTTAACCCCTTAAGGACACATGACATGTCATGATTCCCTTTTATTCCAGACGTTTGGTCCTTAAGGGGTTAATGACACATTACTGAGCGTATTATTGCTGTGGAGCTCTGTTATACACTCAGACACATTACTGAGAGTATTATTGCTGCGGAGCTCTGTTATAAACTCAGACACATTACTGGGAGTATTATTGCTGCGGAGCTCTGTAATACACTCAGACACATTACTGGGAGTATTATTGCTGCGGAGCTCTGTTATACACTCAGACACATTACTGGGAGTATTATTGCTGCGGAGATCTGTTATACACTCAGACACATTACTGGGAGTATTATTGCTGCGGAGCTCTGTTATACACTCGGACACATTACTGGGAGTATTATTGCTGCGGAGCTCTGTTATACACTCGGACACATTACTGGGAGTATTATTGCTGTGGAGCTCTGTTATACACTCAGACACATTACTGGGAGTATTATTGTTGTGGAGCTCTGTTATACACTCAGACACATTACTGGGAGTATTATTGCTGTGGAGCTCTGTTATACACTCAGACACATTACTGGGAGTATTATTGCTGTGGAGCTCTGTTATACACTCAGAAACATTACTGGGAGTATTATTGCTGTGGAGCTCTGTTATACACTCAGAAACATTACTGGGAGTATTATTGCTGTGAAGCTTTGTTATACACTCAGACACATTACTGGGAGTATTATCGCTGTGGAGCTCTGTTATACACTCAGACACATTACTGGGAGTATTATTACTGTGGAGCTCTGTTATACACTCAGAGACATTACTGGGAGTATTATTGCTGTGGAGCTCTGTTATACACTCAGACACATTACTGGGAGTATTATTACTGTGGAGCTCTTTTATACACTCAGACACATTACTGGGAGTATTATTGCTGTGGAGCTCTGTTATACACTCAGACACATTACTGGGAGTATTATTGCTGTGGAGCTCTGTTATACACTCAGACACATTACTGGGAGTATTATTGCTGTGGAGCTCTGTTATACACTCAGACACATTACTGGGAGTATTATTGCTGTGGAGCTCTGTTATACACTCAGACACATTACTGGGAGTATTATTGCTGTGGAGCTCTGTTATACACTCAGAGACAATGGATAAAAGAGGGCGAGAGAGATTTGGACCCACAATAGGGACTCTCCCTCCTAAATAGGGACACTTGGGAGCTATGCTTGCAGTGTGTGACGTTTAGAATGCCGTTTGATGCCACATGGAGCTTAGCACTCTATCAGAGACCCTCATGCATCGAGATATTTTTACTTCCCGAATAAAGGTGTCGCCGAGACTGTGTGGCTCTAGCGCGTGGATCTCTAACTTGGGCGGGTCCGTCACTCGCCTCACTGTGATTGGCTCTGGCTTCCCGCCAATCCCAGGCCGGGGTTTCCGCACGTCGCACGTTGCGTGCAGCGGGCGCAGCCAAGTGACGCATTTCCCAGTGGCCGCAGTCGCCCCGTGTTGTCGTCACTGAGCAGCGCGAGCAGAGCGGTCGCCATGGGCAGCGATTTCTACCTGCGGTATTATGTGGGTCACAAGGGCAAGTTCGGACACGAGTTCCTGGAGTTCGAGTTCCGGCCAGACGGTAAGAGTCCGGGGGACGGGCAGCCCGGCCGCTGGTTTGTGTTCGGGAGTGAGGCCTAGTGCTGCGACCGGGCGGGCTGGGGCTTCCATGGCCCATAGTGCGGCTCTCACAGCCCGGCTGGCACGGCCATCCTGATCTAACTCCCTACCCCGGGTCCTGATCTCAGCCCATCTCTCCCCGGGTCCTATCTCATCTCAGCCCATCTCTCCCCGGGTCCTGATCTCAGCCCATCTCCTCCCTCCCCCCTGGGTCCTGATCTCAGCCCATCCTGATCTCAGCCCATCTCTCCCCGGGTCCTGATCTCGGCCCCATCTCTCCCCGGGTCCTGATCTCAGCCATCTCTCCCCCGTCTCTCCTGATCTCAGCCATCTCTCCCCCGGGTCCTGATCTCAGCCCATCTCCCCCGGGTCCTGATCTCAGCCCTCTCTCCCCGGGTCCTGATCTCAGCCCATCTCTCCCCGGGTCCTGATCTCAGCCCATCTCTCCCCGGGTCCTGATCTCAGCCCATCTCCCGGGTCCTGATCTCAGCCATCTCTCCCCGGGTCCTGATCTCAGCCCATCTCTCCCCCCCCGGGTCCTGATCTCACCCTCCAAGTGTCCCTGTATGGATTTTGAGCCCAAATCCCTCTGTCCCTCTTTTCTCCCGTTCTAGGAGCTTCATATTGTTGGTGTACTCCCAATAGTAACAGTTGCATCATTATTAATTCACCTAAAAATTCTCAGAACAGACTTGCTCCTCGCCTAACCACCTTCTTATTCCCCTAATATTAAAGTGTCCCTCTTTCTCCATTTTAAATTTTGTGAGGTATTTACTTAGTAGTTATGGCCACTATAAGAATCATGTGATAACAGTTGCTGGCCTACATTTACTTGTGTGCTTTGTTTTATTTACCTCATGTACGATGTTGGTTTATAAGGAATGCTAGTACCTGTAGAAGTATAATCCGTCCATTTCATTAGGGTATGTATGCATCAAAGGAATTTAAACTTATTTGTTTTGTGATAATAAAGAACAAATGTTCACATATGGATCCTACTGGGGTGGGGAGGGATAAAATGCTTTATGTGCCTCAGTAGACATGGCACGTCCCTTAGTCAGGGCTATTATTAAGCACAAATATACCTTAAAGGCACTTGGCACATTGCAATCTTTGGTGTGCTGCCAAACAGGGTTATTCACAAAGTCCAGACCAGTGTAATTCGATTAAAGAGAATCTATGGTCTTTAAAACAACTTTAGCTTAAAGGGACATTGTAGTCACCCAGACTATTTCAGCTCATTGAGGTGTTCTGGGTGCAGTGTGTCAGTACTCCTTAGTCCCACCAATGTCTGCTGTGTCCATCAAAGTCCTCTCATGCCAGTGCTTAGAAGTCAGACTATCTCTTACAGGGATTCTAACTGGCTCATGCTGGGAGACTGTAGGCATGAATTTCTGTCATTTGGCAACTGATGAAATCAAGATCATTTCCAGAGTGGGAAGATGGAAATAACCAGTGTGGCTGTTTAAATTAAACCCTTTATCAAATATAAACATCATAAATATAATTGGAGATATTGGCTGTTTTTCATCTATACATATATATTTTTTTTTTATACAGGGAAGCTTCGTTATGCAAACAACAGTAATTACAAGAATGATGTGATGATCAGAAAGGAGGTATTTATGTTTTTATTCTATTATATTCCCTTGTTAACTAATAATATAAATCACAATACACATAGAAAAAAATATAACGCTTCTGTAAATATTAATAGGTAGTAAACACTTTAGCAACAATCCACTTTAGACTTAGTTGCAATGAAGGTATAAAATAGCTTCAATCTGCCTGAAATTGCACAGCAGGACTTCAGTATAACCACACTGCAGACCACCCAGCACCATATTTGACCTGCAAGATATTGCACAGCAGGATTTTAGCACAATTGCACAGTTGTCTTCGGGTTGTTAAGACTGCTTTGCATCAGGAAATCAGGTGGAACTTTGAGTCAAAAGCAGGGATAGCTACTGCTTATTAGACAAAGAACTTGTTTAATGGCTTCATTATTTTAAGATCAGCATCTTAGTGAGTATGCTGTTGAACTATATCTATGTATCTTTTCTTCTCAAAATCAAAGAGAGTTTACTTCTAATTGCATAATAAATTTTTTGGTGTAATGTACATGTCATTGAATAAATCAAGTTCTTAGGTAGTGAGTGTATTCAATCAATTATTTAAGATAAGAATGAGAGCAGTGTGATATAATATTATCCAATAGTAGATGTAAATGCACTTTGTCCCAATAATGCTACTTCTTTAAGAAATTTTCCATTACAGGGTTACCCCAAGAATCATGACCACTTCAGTAATGTGAAGTGGTCATGGTGCCTGGAATCTGTCTTTCCAGGAATCTTGTCACTTCTTGCTGCCTGAGGTGTGACTCCAGCACTGGCAGCATCATTGGGTTATATATCTCAGAACAAGAGTTCCAGGCTGACTAATGCAAATTCTGTGCATATTTCTATGCACAAAGTTGCTTTCATTGGCTGAGAGTGGACAGTCAACACTCTTATCTGATGTGATTGGCATTTGGCTTTTACAGTTCTGCTGAAGCAATATGCATGTCAATAGGCCATAGAAAACACTGTGTGCTTGGTGGCTACCTAGGTAAGAGGGCAAACCATTGCATTACTGAAAAATGAGGACAAATTATTTTAATTTTATTTTGTGCTGTATTTTACGGTTATGTACTACCAGGTGTTCTAACTTTAGTTGCTTGTTTAGTCTGCAGTAGGCAAAGCACATTTGAACATATTTAAACTATAAACTGCCTTTCTTGTCCTTATGTAAACACTTGCCACATCCTTACTCCTAGGCCTATGTACATAAAAGTGTGATGGAGGAACTAAAGAGGATCATTGATGACAGTGAAATCACAAAAGAAGACGATGCACTGTGGCCCCCTCCAGACAGAGTAGGACGACAGGTTAGTACATTTATGAACCATTTTTTATTTATTTAAAATTATTACTGAAATCTAACAAAACCATGCAATCCTGTCTTTCCCACAGAGTTTTTGCTAATTTGTCTTTTTTCTGATATTTGTTACAGGAGCTGGAAATAGTGATTGGCGATGAACACATCTCTTTTACCACATCAAAAATTGGTTCCCTCATAGATGTGAATCAATCAAAGTAAGTTCTAATTTCCTGTGAAATTATTTGCATAAATACCATGGCAGGTAATACCAAAAATGTATGGACTATATTAGAATGCCTGTACTGCTGTATAGATAGTATTTTGTATGCCATTTATACATGTTAGGTGCGGAGCAATAAAATCACATTATACGGGTCTCCTGTGAAAGGGATAGTTGAGCTCAGGGAACCCTAACATGGCTGGTGATGTTGTGAAACAAGGATTTTGTCAACATCTCTTTTTGGTTGTGCATTACATATAAAACAGATTTTATTTTTTATATGACCATTCCCATTCTGATACTATAATTGCAGTATTTAGTGTATTGTTTTCAATAAACTCCACACCTAGCATGCAATCTCTCTGATAACAACTGGAGATCAATTGTATTAAAGTGAGCCTGTCACTTACAAACTGGATGCCAAACTAATTTCGACCTTGTGCTGACAAGCAAATCTATAGGTTAAAAGACTGACTGGAAGATAATCTATTCACTCTCCAAAATTACATTAAAGGGACACTATAGTCACACAGACCACTTCAGCTCAATGCCAGGTCCCTCTAGGGCTAACCTTGCCTGCTGTAAACATAACAGTTTTAGAGAAACTGCTATGTTTACATTTGGGGTTGAGCCAGCCTCTAGTGGCTGTCTTCTGGACAGCCATTAGAGGCGCATCTGCAACGCTGGAGGCATATTATGCCTCCATCACGCAGAGTGTCCATAGGAATGCATTGAAAAATGCTTTCCTATAGACACTTTGGATCCATGCGCAGCATTGCCACGCTTTTGCGCTACGCTGACGTCGGCGTGGGAGGAGAGGTAAGGGAGCCGGCGGCTGAACAGAGCACCACGGGAGGGAGACCCTGAGGTTGGGGGCACCCTCAGGGTACTATAGTGTCAGGAAAACAGATTTTGTTTTCCTGACATAATGATCCTTTAACAATGTCTTTTGTAAGGTTTAAATTTTGGCAGCACAATATGTGTGATTTTTTTTTTGTTTTTGTTTTTTTAGGACCGCCTCAAAAGATAACAAATTGATGATTGTTCCATTATCTTTAACTTTGTTCATATATTTCAGAGACCCAGAAGGACTACGCGTTTTCTACTACCTGGTGCAGGACCTGAAATGTTTGGTGTTTAGCCTTATTGGACTACACTTCAAAATTAAACCCATTTAGCTTGCCGCTTACTTGTTTTGTTCATTTTTGGATGCTGCGCGAAAGTTTTTTGTTTTTAATGTTTAGTATTTTTTTATTTCTATGAATCTTTAATAAAATGTTGGTAAAACATGAGTATTTGGGTGTTGTATTCTGGCATTTTGGATGGCTCTCAAAAGCCACTGGCCACACTATCAAGAAAACAATCAATAGGACAGTATTGCTGATCATGAATATAATAATTATTGCCATTTATATAGCGCCAACAGATTCCGTAGCGCTTTACAATATTTTAAGAATCATAGGTTGAAAAGGACACTGTTCAAACGAGCTTACAGTCTATAGGAGGTGGGATGTAAAACACATTAGGACAGGGAATAGCAATCAAACAAAGAGTGAAGCAGAGCTGGAGGAGAGAGCAAGAGACAGGTATGTGAGGAAGGGGTTACTCTGGGAGGCCATAAGCTTTCCTAAAGAGATGGGTTTTAAGGCACTTCTTAAATGATTAAAGACTAGGGGAGAGTCTGATGACGGTAGGCAGGCTGTTTAATAGGAAAGGAGTCGCCTGAAAGAAGTCCTGCAAGCGTGAGTTGGCTGTACGGGTACGAGCAGCGGACAGGAGAAGGTCACGGGCAGAGACAGAGTAGGGGCGGGGCACACCTATCGATCTGTGAAGAGATATCGGGGGGGGGGGGGGCTAGAATTGGTCAATGCTTTATAGGTATGGGTTAGCACTTTGAATTGACTCCTATATGATACAGAAAGCCAATATAAGGACTGACAGAGGGGTTAGGTGTGAGAGGAAAATCAGTCTGGCGGCAAATTTTGGGAAGACCTATTAGGAGAGGGTTCCAATAATCCATGTGGTAAATCACTAGAGCATGGACAAGCTTTGTTACCATCTTGTGTAAGACAGGGGCGGATGCAGGTTATGTTTTTAACTTGGAATCTACAGGATTCGGTAACATGCTGGATGTGAGGCTAGAATCAAATATGACACCAAAACCGTGCACTTGCAAGGATGGACTGATGTGGATACCACTTACTTGAAGGAAGCGCAAAAGAAGAGGATCAGTATTAGGAGGAGGAAAGACAAGGAGCTCAGTTTTAGAGAGATTGAGTTTCAGAAAGCGGGAGGATATCCAATCAGAGATGGAAGAAAGGGAAGCAGTGACACGTTGCAGGACGGCAGGGGAGCGGTCCGGGGAGGAGAGCTATATCTGGGTGTCATCAGCGTACAGGTGGTAGTGGAATCCTAATGAGGCAATAAGTTTGCCAAGAGAGGCAGTATAAACAGGAAATAGAAGGGGACCAAGGACAGAGCCTTATTTCCTTGTTACATATTTGAAGTGGTCGTGGTGCCTGCAGTCTACATGTGCGGTGTTTAGCTATGAAATGCTGCTATTACTGAGTTAAACCCTATTGCTGCTGGCAGCATCATCAGCAAGGCCAGAAAGAGAGTTCCAGGATGATTAATGTCCGTTCTGTGCACAGAATGACATTCTTAGGTTGATATCAGTCAGCTGATGCTCTCAGCCATTGTATGGTGATGGAATTGGCTTTTGCAGCTCTTCTGAAACTATGAGTATGTCACCGCACATGGAAGAAGGCCTGGCTCCCAGTGGGAAACCAGCTAAGTGGGCAAACTGTTGGGGTGTGCCCCATTACCAGGGAGCGGTGTCAGCTCATTCCGTGCATCATATTCGCTACAGTTTGCTGTTTTGATTATGATACTTGGAGTAACCCATTAAGGGGTTAATTTACTGAACACCAAACGGTAGTGAATTAAAAACTGAATCACTAGTTCTCAGAATTAACGAACTGAGAAATACTGCAACCTAGCCATTTTAGCTTTTAGTTTGCTAGTCTGTCTTCAGTCCAATACAGTTTAGGATATAGTGAATAAACCTCTTTTGCCTCTGGAATATTCTCATATGATTGTATGGACAGTCTAGGTTATAAAGTTTATAATCTTCAAGAGTACACAATACATTAAGTGCACAAAAGTGTGAGAAAAAAAAAATGAAACGCGTACCCCTGCAGGAACATGGTAGAAAAGCAATTCTGAATCTATAAAAAGTAAACAAAAAAGTACTTTCAGCCACAGGCCAGACAATGCTGGCAAAGCATCAGGGGAGATACAACATTGGATGTGTCTAAGGTTTGTTTATGCCTGGTGTAGAGATTAGGTGTTCACAGTAAAGCGTTGGCTGGCGTCATGCAAAGTGGATTCCGTGTAGAGACTGGAAACACAGCGCAAAGGTTAAAGAGGGCTTCAGGGTCAGTACGGTTAGTTGCTCAGTGTGTGCTACATCACTAGGAGTCTGGAAATTTCTGATTACACTTACGATTGATAAATCTAGTTTACATAGAATTCATATTCTAATCATTCATGTAATACTGTTGTGAATCTCACAATGTTACATCACTCAAAATCACATGTTTAACCATAACCACCATATATCCTGAATGCTGTCCCAACCAACAACCCGTTGCCCCTCAATAATACACGTGACACCTCATTCTTGTGGATAAGGGCAACGGTAACAGCTTTATTTAAATTAATTTAACTCAGTCCAAATCTGCCAGCTGTTGAGTGTTTGCCCAACAGGCAGTTCTCACACACATTCGGTACCATGAGCCTCGACAGCCAGCTCCTCACCATCAGCTCTGTGCTGGTTGTCGTCTCCCCAATGTTCCTTTCTTCCTCTGCGATGTCCAGGGAAACCGCCAAGCTGTGACAATACAAGACACAAGCCACAACACCAGAAACAGGGAGGGAGGGTGGGAAAACAGTCAGGAGCCCTCAACTGATCCTGCCGACTGGTAAGTCCCCTCCCTTTCCTTAAGAACCCCCAACATTAGCAACATTGTATCTTCCATGATCGATCCCACAATCTTGGGCAGCAGTCATGTTCCCCCTTCCTTATTGTTCCAGGGGGAATCTTAATGTTCAATGCTGTACTGCACTCCCTCACAGTGCTAGTCGCTACAGTGGGACTTTTTGGAAATTCAGAGTTGATTCAAAGTGGATTTAAAATGTTGTGCAAAATATATGAACAGAAAAAATTCAGTTCAGCGATTTAGGTGTAAAATGTGAAATTTCCTTTGAATTTGCAATAATTCGCTCCCTTTAATTATCAGCCCTGTAACATAACTTTACTTAATATGCGGGATTTCACTTACTGCACTTAATCCATTTTTCAAAAGCAACACCAGACCATGAAGTTACATAATAGGGATAAAAAGAAGAAATATTATTACCGGTTAACTAAGTGAACAACAGGGAAATCTAAAAATGAAAAACATGCAGCACTTTTATCTATTTAGCCTGAAATATGTTATGCCTTTTTATCTTAAAAGGTAAATAATAATAATAGATTTCCGACTCTGAATATGTAGCCACATCACACATGTATATGCAAGTAGCCCCCCTCCCCTGGCTGTGTTGTCCTGGATCAGTGGTCTGCGCTCTACACGGAGCAGCCAGCAGGTGGCGCGCAATACACGGAGCAGCCAGCAGGTGGCGCGCTATACACTGAACAGCCAGCAGGTGGTGCGCAATACACGGAGCAGCCAGCAGGTGGCGCGCAATACACGGAGCAGCCAGCAGGTGGCGCGCTATATACTGAACAGCCAGCAGGTGGCGCGCTATACACTGAACAGCCAGCAGGTGGCGCGCTTGCACTTCCAGTCTGATAATCACATCCCCAGCCGTAAGGCCTGTGTCACGTGACTCTGGTAAGGTGACGACGCAGGGCTGGGACGTAAATACGTAAAGAGGACGCGCCGTGACGTCATGGTGGTGAGTGCAATGTGTCTCCCCTTACAGCGGCCATAGGGCACAGCCTGAGCTGCTGTCTGACTGCAAGGCATCATGGGAGTTGTAGTTCTACATTAAATGGGACCTGTTCTGCTTCCTGGTCTCACAGACTATTAGCCATTAATAATTTATTAACTGGGGATTGACACTCCACATCAATAGCCTAGCGCTCTCATACACACCGAGTCCATGGGATATTTATAAAGCGCCAACAGATACCGCAGCGCTGTACAATATGTGGACTAAGAGACCAGGCGCGTTCGATGCACAGGAACCCACCGTGCCGTGGGACCCGCTCTAACGAGATTACATCCCGGGGGGAGTGGGGTAAAGTCACCAGAGATTTTAGGAAATTGAAACCCAGATTTAACAAAAAATGGCAGATTTCTGGAAACGTCTCCATATCTGCTAATTGTCACACCTTATTATTTTAGCAAAATATTGCAGTTCTGTGTTCGGTTCTTGACAATTCAGTGCTTAGTGGACAAACCCCTTTTTATATTGAAATATTTTCCGCTGTGTGAAGAATGGAGGTATGGCGGCCGCTCCACGATTACCAGGGTGCTGTCCAGAAATTATTCTCATTAATCACATCCATTCCCTGATTTATTATTTATATAGCGCCATCAGATTCCGTAGCGCTGTACAATGGGGATCGTTAACACTTTGCTATTCCTCCAGTGATTTCTCTCAGAAATGGACGCTAGAGAAATAACCCACTGTGGTTGAATGTAGGTCTCAAATCAGGACTGTGGCACTAAATGCATTTTTTAATTGGGGGTATATTGAAAAACATTTTGCAAAAGCTGCAGATCTCTTGTCTGCAGTCTTTGCAAGCCCTCCTCTTCTGATCTTGCCCAGACTTTTTTTTAGCAGTCCAATCACAGACTTCCCAATGCAGCTCAATGAGAACTCTGTGCAAGCCAGGTTATCTGGGTAGTTGTTGCCTCCTGAGTTTAGCTCCACTGAGCTAACCAAACCAGGAAGTAACAGGACCTGTTGTCTGATTGACAGCCAGGGGGTCTAATAAGATTCATTTATAATGTTGACACTTTCTATTTAAATCTGCCCTTTTTCTGAAATGGAAAAAAGAGGACACACTCTTCACACTTAAAGCACTCCAGCAAGCAGACGTGCTTTCGGCGTCTGAAGTGTCCCTTTAAGCTGACGTTGATATGGAGCTTACACTGCCCCTTTAACTATACATTTGCTGCTGAATTTTCCAGCACAATGTAGAGATAAAATTTATCTCTGAAATATTTACAGTATAGGTTTCTAGCACAAACAGTTGAAGGCAACTCAAACAACCAAACAAGAGTCTCTCTGTTCCGATCCAAAAGAAAATGTGTGTGGTGGAAGGAGGGAGTAGCAGTGTGATCTCAGAGATAGAAGTAGTCTTGGTAGTAGTTGAATGTATAAAAGAGAATATAACTAAATATAGTGCAGTTTATTCTGTATAAAATAATTTAGAGTAAGAAGAGCACTTACTGAGTGTAGAGCTTGAGTAGCGCTATTATGTAGCGCCTGGGTGGAATGATCCCTGCGTAAGGATGGTTGGTCTCTTCTTCAATAAGGTACTTGTGTGCATGGGTGACCTCAGGTAGGCAGGTTAGCTCAGGGTGGTATAGGTCTCATATACCAGCCAGCTAACCTTAGGCTGGATCACACCGCCCAAGCGCTACGTAGTAGAGCTACTCTAGCTCTACACTCAGTAACTGCATTTCTTTTTAATCTGACCTATTTTATACAGAATATACTACACTATATATTTTGTTGTATTCTTTCTCTTTATACATTCAGCTACCACTGAGACTACTTCTGCCTCTGAGATCAAACCAAGGTGCTATCCCCCTCCTTTTACCATACGCATAAAATGTATCTCTATTTGACATCCTCACAGATTACTGGTCTGTTTGAAACCTTGGTATACACTTTCATTAATGTATTATAAACAGTACTCACTATTTCATAAAGCCATGCTACTAACATTTTTTTTTTTCTTTTTATAAAAATGCAGAAATTTGCATTGCAGTTTAAAGCCTCTTTGGAGAATATTACTCGGCTTCGGCCGCTCGGAGATGATTTTCGCTGGTTCCTGAAGGTGAGAGATGGCGACCTGGATGCTCTGCTGTCTTTCTTATAGGTTGCCATACATGTGATTTGGTACTTCGTTTATAAAATACAGGCACCATTCCACCTTATGGACATAAAGCAAATCGAAATGCCTTAAATGTACCCTCCGAGCACAATAACTACTGCAGCCCCGTGTAAAGTTTTATCTGTTATGGTACAAAATTTAAGGTCATAGTACAAAGGGGGCACATGGAATATAGAACTTCTCATATCTCTTGGTTTAGAGCAGTGAATGTATCCAGGACTAGGAGTGACATGTTAAAATAACACAGCAGGACTGATTACTAAAACACTGTGTATGTTCTGTTTCCAGTTAAAGTGTGGCAACTGCGGCGAGGTGCCCGACAAATTGCAGTATATCACGCTAATGGTGAGCTGGATCATTTTTCGTGTACTCTGTTTTCATGGATATTGCATTGGGGGCAGAGGTATAAAAGCAAATGAGAAAATTATTATTATTGGTATTTATATAGCGCCAACAAATTCCATAGCGCTTTACAATATTTTAAGCGCAGTGCTTACAATTAGCTGTGAAAACAAATCAAATCATGTCGGTATAGAATGTGTTGTGTCTTTCAGAGAAAGTACCAAACAATTTTGGATTTTGTCTTTTGTTTGTCTTCCCCTCTATGAATATTACCATTTTTAACAAGTTAACATGGTGCTGGAAAATGTATGTCCCCAAATACTTTTTGGATAGATGGTATTTCACATTTTCATTATAGGAATATCTCAATGCGAAATAAGGGTGAATACAAATCACTGTCGAACAAATAGTTTGAGGCTTTTATGTTAATGGGAGAGAGCTCTGTAGATACAATATACAAATAGTTTTAAATAATAAACAGGTGTCCATTCATTCCATTAGAATCTAGAAAATGCTGGACCCTCATGATTGCATGGTAACTGTCACGGCGCAGGGGGTCTGTATCAATGCGGCTGCGCATGATCAGTGCTGCTGCGTCGAAAATCCTCCAAGAAGACGGGTCCCAGCTGGTGCGGCGTTCCCTACTTCTGATATCCCGACCCTTGGCTAGTTACTCGTATTGTCTCATTCTGTATCCCTGACCTTGGCTTGTTCTTTGATCATTCTCTTTTACGTTTAGTCCGGCCATTCTAAGGTTTGTGTTAATATAGTTTTCGTGTTGGGTCACACCGTAATCGTGACAATAACACAGCTTAAAAGAGCACTTTAAGCACCATACCCACTACAGATCATTACAGTAGTTTTGGTGCAAAGAGTCTATGAGCGTTGTCTTCCTAGTTTGTATTCAACGGTTTCCTAGAAATGGGGCTCAGCCAGTGCCTCAAAACTAACCCCTCTGCTTCTACTAGGTTGAAGCGGAGTGGAATTTGCTCTTAAGCTGTCCATAGCGCTGCCTCAACCTATCAACTCCAAGTTAGATGACAAATGCAAAAGTTCACTTCTGCATTAACCAAGCTTCAGCAAAATGTCCACATATTGAGTGATGTAAGAGCAATTATAGAAACAGTGTACAGACCTAATGCTCTGAGCAATACTGAATCATTGTTTTATCCTTGTACTAAAACTGTCCTTTTTCCAAACATAGGACAGCACCCCCCTGAAGGGTGGTAGGGGTAGTGCCAGCATGGTACAGAAGTGCAAGTTATGCTCCAGAGAAAATTCCATTGGTGAGTGACAAAACAATTTGAAACATTTAAATAGCTGTTTGGAATCATAGAAACATAGAATGTGACGGCAGATAAGAACCATTTGGCCCATCTAGTCTGCCAAATTTTCTAACTACCCCGTAAATACGCAGTTGTCGTTTTATTGTTAATACTCCCTATGTGACAGATGATATATTAATAGCAAATAAGGTTATTATTGGTAATTCAAAATGATTTTAAAGTGAATTTCATATTGTAAGTTAAAATAGCCAAACCTAAACATCTGACCTACAGAATTTGGCCAATTCTTTTACTTTTAAAAAATAACAAATAATAGTTTAGTTGCTAAACAGTGATTTTTTTTGTTTTGTTTTTTGCATGTTTATATGTGAAGCCTGATTTTCAAACTGAAATGATTTAACAAAAATATCGCAACTTTTCAAACACTTTGTATAACTGTATATAGAGTATAACGAATTGAACGGGTATGGTATCCATTAAAAGAAATCTATCTATGGTGGCTATTTGAAAATGTGAACATCATTTCAGCACGCGATAATGCTGTTGGATATAGAAGACCTCAGCGTGATTACAAGGCAGTTCCTACACTTTTACAGGATTAGAATTTTACGTTTAAGATAAAAATAGACTGTTTCCAGTTTGGCTAAATCTGCTGTCATTTCAGTTTGGATGCCCTTTTGTTTGATTTGAAATTCATATTGGATTTTTTTTTTAGTAATAACCCTGTACGATTTCCAAGCTAGGTGGCTTAAAATACCTTTCACTTAATTTATCCAAAGCTGAAGAATTAGTTTGCATTAGACAAACAAAACCTAGTGCCAGCAATCCATGGTTGTTTCAAAATCTTTGCTTTTGTACGATAATTGAAAATTTAATTTGAAACATTTTTATATCCTTACAGATATTTTACGTCCTTCTCTGCAATCATATAATGTAAGCAGTATTTTGGATTGGACATAAAGTAAACAGTTAAAATCTGCATGTGAACCTGGGACTGATTGTTTCTTTTTTTTTTTTTTTTTGTCAATCGGCTCAATACAGGCTGAGGACAGCGAGACTTTTAAAACGATTGTTGAATTTGAGTGTCGAGGCTTGGAACCTGTCGACTTTCAACCTCAGGTGAGTGATGCACAAAGCAATAGGTGTGCATGCAAATGATCATAAACTTAAAATGTTTTAATAGAGGGATTGCTCTACAATAAATGGTATCACACCAGCAAGAATATCAAGTCATGCGGTTATTTGACTGGTGCGGTGATGGAAAAAAGGTAAGTTTAAACGCCTTTTAACTTCACTCTAACGGGGGTCAGAGACCCAAACTGCTACTCCAGCATTATAGTGTTGGGAATACAAGTTTGTATTCCTAACACTATTTAAGGGAACAGGGATAATGCACTCAGACCACTTCAATGCCTATAGTGTCCCTTTAAAGTTAATTTAAAGTGATTTTCAGATTTAAGACCAAAATCGATTTAAGGAACAAATCACTAAGTCAGCAATGCCTATTGTTCAGCTACTTTAGACATCAATTTGAAATTCACTTTGAATTCTCACTTTAATAAATAGCCCTGTAAATAATTGGGACTGCCTGCTGCTGTTACGTATCACAGCAATGTGCAGTGTGTATGTTTGTATAATAGCCACGTGTAGTGTCGATCACAGCAATAAAGTTTGTAGTATAGTGCAGTGTTGATCACAGCAATAAAGTTTGTAGTATAGTGCAGTGTTGATCACAGCAATAAAGTTTGTAGTATAGTGCAGTGTCTGTCACAGCCATACAGTTTGTAGTATAGTGCAGTGTCTGTCACAGCCATACAGTTTGTAGTATAGTGCAGTGTCTGTCACAGCCATACAGTTTGTAATATAGTGCAGTGTCTGTCACAGCCATACAGGTTGTAGTATAGTGCAGTGTCTGTCACAGCCATACAGTTTGTAGTATAGTGCAGTGTCTGTCACAGCCATACAGTTTGTAGTATAGTGCAGTGTCTGTCACAGCCATACAGTTTGTAGTATAGTGCAGTGTCTGTCACAGCCATACAGTTTGTAGTATAGTGCAGTGTCTGTCACAGCCATACAGTTTGTAGTATAGTGCAGTGTCTATCACAGCCATACAGTTTGTAGTATAGTGCAGTGTCTATCACAGCCATACAGTTTGTAGTATAGTGCAGTGTCTATCACAGCCATACAGTTTGTAGTATAGTGCAGTGTCTATCACAGCCATACAGTTTGTAGTATAGTGCAGTGTCTGTCACAGTAATACAGTTTGTAGTATAGTGCAGTGTCTGTCACAGCCATACAGTTTGTAGTATAGTGCAGTGTCTGTCACAGTAATACAGTTTGTAGTATAGTGCAGTGTCTGTCACAGCCATACATGTTGTAGTATAGTGCAGTGTCTGTCACAGTAATACAGTTTGTAGTATAGTGCAGTGTCTGTCACAGCCATACAGTTTGTAGTATAGTGCAGTGTCTGTCACAGCCATACAGTTTGTAGTATAGTGCAGTGTCTGTCACAGCCATACAGTTTGTAGTATAGTGCAGTGTCTGTCACAGCCATACAGTTTGTAGTATAGTGCAGTGTCTCACAGCCATACAGTTTGTAGTATAGTGCAGTGTCTGTCACAGCCATACAGTTTGTAGTATAGTGCAGTGTCTGTCACAGCCATACAGTTTGTAGTATAGTGCAGTGTCTGTCACAGCCATACAGTTTGTAGTATAGTGCAGTGTCTGTCACAGCCATATAGTTTGTAGTATAGTGCAGTGTCTATATTTGTATCTCTCTAATACTTGCACCACCGCACATCAATGTGAGGTTTATGTTTTTCTGTGGTGCAGTGTGTTGAGTTAACGGAATAAATAGTGGGCATTTATTAGTTTTAGAAGTGGCTCAGAAATGGTTAGAGAATTCTTTCTTGACATACAGGGAGTGCAGAATTATTAGGCAAATGAGTATTTTGACCACATCATCCTCTTTATGCATGTTGTCTTACTCCAAGCTGTATAGGCTCAAAAGCCTACTACCAATTAAGCATATTAGGTGATGTGCATCTCTGTAATGAGAAGGGGTGTGGTCTAATGACATCAACACCCTATATCAGGTGTGCATAATTATTAGGCAACTTCCTTTCCTTTGGCAAAATGGGTCAAAAGAAGGACTTGACAGGCTCAGAAAAGTCAAAAATAGTGAGATATCTTGCAGAGGGATGCAGCACTCTTAAAATTGCAAAGCTTCTGAAGCGTGATCATCGAACAATCAAGCGTTTCATTCAAAATAGTCAACAGGGTCGCAAGAAGCGTGTGGAAAAACCAAGGCGCAAAATAACTGCCCATGAACTGAGAAAAGTCAAGCGTGCAGCTGCCACGATGCCACTTGCCACCAGTTTGGCCATATTTCAGAGCTGCAACATCACTGGAGTGCCCAAAAGCACAAGGTGTGCAAGACACACAAGCTGAAATGTCAAGACTGGGCCAAGAAATATCTCAAGACTGATTTTTCTAAGGTTTTATGGACTGATGAAATGAGAGTGAGTCTTGATGGGCCAGATGGATGGGCCCGTGGCTGGATTGGTAAAGGGCAGAGAGCTCCAGTCCGACTCAGACGCCAGCAAGGTGGAGGTGGAGTCCTGGTTTGGGCTGGTATCATCAAAGATGAGCTTGTGGGGCCTTTTCGGGTTGAGGATGGAGTCAAGCTCAACTCCCAGTCCTACTGCCAGTTCCTGGAAGACACCTTCTTCAAGCAGTGGTACAGGAAGAAGTCTGCATCCTTCAAGAAAAACATGATTTTCATGCAGGACAATGCTCCATCACACGCGTCCAAGTACTCCACAGCGTGGCTGGCAAGAAAGGGTATAAAAGAAGAAAATCTAATGACATGGCCTCCTTGTTCACCTGATCTGAACCCCATTGAGAACCTGTGGTCCATCATCAAATGTGAGATTTACAAGGAGGGAAAACAGTACACCTCTCTGAACAGTGTCTGGGAGGCTGTGGTTGCTGCTGCACGCAATGTTGATGGTGAACAGATCAAAACACTGACAGAATCCATGGATGGCAGGCTTTTTGAGTGTCCTTGCAAAGAAAGGTGGCTATATTGGTCACTGATTTGTTTTTGTTTTGTTTTTGAATGTCAGAAATGTATATTTGTGAATGTTGAGATGTTATATTGGTTTCACTGGTAATAATAAATAATTGAAATGGGTATATATTTGTTTTTTGTTAAGTTGCCTAATAATTATGCACAGTAATAGTCACCTGCACACACAGATATCCCCCTAACATAGCTATAACTAAAAACAAACTAAAAACTACTTCCAAAAATATTCAGCTTTGATATTAATGAGTTTTTGGGGTTCATTGAGAACATGGTTGTTGTTCAATAATAAAATTAATCCTCAAAAATACAACTTGCCTAATAATTCTGCACTCCCTGTATAAAGAGCTCTCATATGGCCATTAAGGACAATTCTATTGGCATTTGGAGCACACCCTGATTAATCCAGGACCAAAGTGTTAAAATTCAGCAGTTACTATGTTAAACGAACTACCTCGGAAATATTGGCTGTAAAATTGCCCTGATTCATACTGAATGGTCTTAATATATCTTATAGAGAATAATTGTGATAAGTAATAAACATACTTTATAAATATTTTAGTGTGTCCATATTTAGACAGTGACATTTCCTTGTTTTGGTTCTGTACCCCAGCACATTAAAATGGTGATCTAAAAAAATCAAGTGCCAATTTGAGAATTAATTTTAGAGCATGTTCATTTTAATGATCTGTGTAGCAATTACAAATCTTCATAGTCCACCCATTTTATAGGATTAATAGTTATTGGGCAAATGAACACAATTATTAAATGTCATACAGTATAGCTGGCCTGTCATGAAAATATTTTCAACTATGGCTATTTTTTTTGTTGTTATTATTTTTTTAAGGCTTAACCAGTGCTTTGCATCTGGTGATAAACCATATGTTGTTGTAGTATTCTGTTTATGGTGTTTTGGCAATTTTCACCCTGGAGAATGTTCTTTACCTCCTCAAAATATATATGTGTGTGTGTATATATATAATTTTTTTTTTTTTTTTTCTAGATTCAGGGATCATGGGTGTAAATGCTCAAATTAGGGCCTTGATTTAATACGCTTTGCAAAAACACTTTCCTCATGTTTTCTTGACAAAACTTTCCACATAAGTGTTAATGGTGGCTTTTGTAGATAAATAATTTAGAACATTTATTAAATCAAGGCCAAAATTCCAAACACCATAATCACTACAACTTATTCGGCTATTTGTACTGTCCCATTGGAAGTGGTCTTTGTTTTAAGTGTAAAACCACTGTAAAACTGTTCATCCAAAAACAGGGATTTCTTGCAAAGACTTCAGACATTGTAACCAATACAATAAACTGAAGTCAGTGTTTAAATTAAAAACAAATGCTGAAGGGCAATGACAAAACAAGAAGCATTGTGTCACAGTCCAAAGTCTTACATACTGTGCTGTAAAAATATCCAGTTAGACAAATCACTCAATAAGTCACAGATATACTACAGGTAGGTATCTTGCCCCATCTCCCAAGTATTCTTTTTGCCATTTGAGATGTTAGGAAATCTGAATCATATTATAGGTCATGCTTAGAATGTGGTACAGAATTCTAAAATGATGCCTTGTCTCTCTCGTCCTTTGTGTATCACGTTTCTTTTTTTTCTTGTTTTAGGCCGGGTTTGCTGCTGAGGGAGCGGACACAAGGACTCCATTTAATGAAATTAACCTACAGGAAAAGGTTATTATATTAGTAATTAACATCATATGCTAGTGATTGGAGGTACTAATAAAAAAAGAAGGGTTATCTTTATATTTTTAGTTGGTAAAGGCTCACACAATCTGCTTCCTCATCTTTCCACTTTAACTGTAGTGGACATCAATCTAAACCAGACCTCCATGACTATTTGCACACATTTCTCCAAAACGTTTTTGTATGATCTGACCTGGCAGCTTCAGAAGCGGAGTGAAATATTTTGTTGGGTTAACCAGCCCTCTCTGCTGCTGTAATTACCACTGCACTGCTTGAAAGGACAGAAAACACATACTGAATACAAACAGATTTAGTTTATTGAGAGAAAAAGAATAGAAAAAGAAAGAGTGGCAAAGTTTCTCTTTCAATCCTGAGATACTTATTTTTTAAATGCATGCTTCAGGGTATAAGGAATAATATTATAGGTTAGCGGTATGTCTGATCTTCTTTAACCTGAGGTTTTACAAGCCATTTTCATTTTTTAAAATCTATTCTCGTGGGTATTAATGGGTATTGTTAAGCTCCCTATTTCTGTGTTCACTCTCTAGGATTGGACGGATTATGACGAAAAGGCCAAAGAATCTGTGGGGATCTACGAAGTGACACATCAATTTAAGAAATGTTAAACTGAACAATTGATTCAAATAAATCCAAAATATTTATGTTCCCTTTATGGATGGGTCTCTTTAGCATCAGTGTTTTATTGTATGCGTGATTTTATTGTATGAGTTCCACTTCTCTTCTTCATGCAAATCTGAAATAATGGCACTTTAAAGACCATAGCATTTAAGATATGCTTCATTCTAGATACAATTCTAATAAGTGTATGATGCGGATGTTATTTCTGTATTTCATTTTTATTTTATAAGTGTGCCAAAGGCATAAATCTAAAACACAAAAATTTTAGCTGTACGTGTAAACCGTCTGTTTCTCCCCACATTGCTGAACGCACTCATAATGGTATAGGAGGTAGCACATTTTAGAAGAGCTAAGCCAAGGTCTCGTAGAAAAGCCTTTGATTGGAGTATTTAACTGGCTCAGAGCGCTTGCTTACATGCTCAGCTGGCAAGGGGAGAGTGGCAGATAAGATATAAATTAGCAGACGGTTAGGGAGGACTGAGGGGGAGACGAGCTTCTCCCTTGCAGGCAGTTACATCTGTTGGCAGTGTTTGTTAACAGAATTGACTTTGAACTCTGTTCCGGGCTGCCTAAGTCAAGGCAACTAGACTCCAGCACACAACTGCCAATAACTCTGGGTGTGCAGTGTTCCAAACTAAAACATTGTACATCCAGACTCCTACCACCATGACCACTTCAAATAGTTTTTTTTTAATGCATTAGAAAGATATGCAAAATGAAAGGTGTAAAGACCCATCCCACACATAACAACTTAATTGGATTGAAGTTATGATGCAAGGAGGTCTCAGACACTGGCTTACCTGAAGGGATAAACCATGAATAAACAGGCTTAACCCTACCACTGATTGCTCTGCTCATGTACTTTGGTTCCAGTCCAGTCCAGAAAGCCTCAGATTGTTCGCTGTTGATAGGACAGCATCACCTGATGCTTTCAGCCTATCAGTAGCTCTCCATTCACAAAACATAGTAAAAAAAGGTATGTATCTTCAATCAGGAGGCCTCTGACTGGAACAGAAATAAAGGGCCAAAGCAATTGAAGACTTTGCGGTTAATCCCATTTTATTGGATAAGTAGTTTTGCCACATTTCCAGTGAATAAACATGATAATTGTAACTGCGCAATAAACTGATAATAGCTTCGAACATATTATTCACAGCCAAGTTCAATTTGGTTTAGAGAGCTGCAGACTGGGCATAAACACCTGAGGTTCAGGGGGTTCTTTCTACTTGTGTCTGGACTGTCCACATACAAAATAAATACCGGCATCCTTGCAGAGAGAATTACATCTGCCTGTCTGACAGCCCGGTTGATGTGGTCCTAGACACAGAGAGATATTTTATAATTGCTATAAGAAAGTATAGCAATTTAATAAGTACAACTGAAGCAACAGGGTCCTTGCACCATTACCACTTCTGTTAACTAAAGTAATTTTGTTTTTTGAGTGACCCTTTAACATTCTACACTCATTATCCAGTCACAGTCTGAAATTTCTTACATTATTCTACGGAGGATTATTGAATCAGTCTGTCTACAAAACATGATACTCACACATGCTCTGTCATTTCTAAGTGAACACGCATTAGATTACTATAATCTTCTATATAGTTTCAGCAAACACTGAACTGAAACATAGTTTAAAAATTTAGGTTAAAAAAAGCTGATTTAGGAAATATTTCTAACTGGGCATTTTACAGCTGTGTTAGTTTAGGCAGGACTTTTTTCCCCTCAATTCAGTGTGTAATGTATAAACCATATCATTTTTCAATCACTTGATAGCAAACAAGAATCTCTCAATGGAGGACCAGTTGTCATTCATCTTCCCCCAAGTAAATTACAAACTTGTGTTCCTTGAACATGATTTTTATTCACGTAACTCCAAATATAATAATTATAGCTTTATATTTCCTGCTAAGTTTGTCCGTAAAGGGCTTTCAATTTGTTTTCCCTCTAAACCGACGCAATGAAGGGGGAAAATTGCTTCTTTTGTTCACTGGAGTGTCATGTAATGCTGAGAATTAGCTTCCTTCTAGTTTGAAATGAGTAGTATGTTAAATGAACACTACAGACACATAAAATCCCTCAGCTTGCTGTGTGTAGTGTGTTCATGGTAAAAGTGCCTGGTTCAATAGAAATCAGCACTTGTATGAATGAATAAACAGTAACACACCTCCCAACAACAAGACAGCTGGGAGTTTTTCTTCCTGGTAGTTGCGCTCCGTGGCAGGAATCTGTGCGGAGCCCCTGCCTTTGAATGGCTTTTCAGTGAGATGTAACACTCATTATAGCGTGTTTGTCCTTAAGGCTTTTCTAAGAGATGCCTCTGGTTATTCTCTAGCAAAACAATTAAAAGCATGTTTTCTTTGGCGGTATACTTACTAAACGGTTAATATTTTTATGTAGTATTCCTTTAATTGTAAGCATCTGTGTTCATATTGTATATATCATTGCGCACACACAATGTTACATTTTCATGGTCGGAAGGCTTATGTCTGCATGTGTGACACTTTATTGAATAACAATTCCCATTACTCTCATCCACTACCAGAAAGTGCTAAAGGTGAAACAAATTTTCAAACAGCTGGAAAATTGCAACATGCAAAGTTGTGTAATGGGTATCGAACATTTCTGAAAATTCACATTGTAGAAACAATAATTACTTTTGATTCTGGTTCGATTTTTGTCTTCATTTTAGTTTATGCCTGTAACACATTGCTGGTTTATTTATAGTTTAAAGAGACGGGGGGATTAATTGCGAGAATTGAAAGATGCAAACGTTAGGCCAAATTAAATAAATTACAAAATAGCTGTGTACCAATTCCGCTATTTTGGTGTAAAATTTGCACTGTGTTTGGTGCATAATCTCCAGTAATTCTGAAGGGTGATACATTTTAGAGCTGCTGCAATCTTCCACACATTGCTATTTCAGGTAGAAGATATTCAATCTAATTCATGATCACTAAAGATGATCTGTCAATGATTTAAGCTGTTGGGTACATCTTAACTGTCAGGTGGGGTAAATATTCAACGTAGACTTAACATATTTAGTCACCTCAAGGACATGAAGACTTTTCAGCATGCATCTCTTTAATAAAAATATTAACGTGTTAAGAAATCGCTGGCACAATGAATTTAAATTATTTATTCAATGGGTGACTAAAGGCTTAGTCTACAAATATGAGATTGGCATGAATTATCTGAGTTAATCACAGAAAGCCAATATGGAAACAAGTGCAACAAATTGGATACAACGACAAAAAAAGAAAAATAAAGTGATTAGTTCCCCTACACTTTTAAAGGGCAGCTCATTTTAATGCAGTACTTAGAATTAAATGACATAATCTTACATCTGTTATTATTCATTTGCACAACTCTAAGGCTGTGATTTGGTGTTCTGTGTTTAAGGTCAACTGGATTTAAATATGCAGGTCTTAAAATTTTGAGTGCAGCCAGGCCATAAACGTTATTCACCACTGCAAGCCTAAAGGGTTCATGGCACATTCACCAGGGCTAATTTGTCCACTTGCTATCGGCTAGAAAGGAGTGAAAATTTTGAGCCCTGATGTATGTGATATTTGAAGATTGATTTGCACATCACCTGAGTAAGAGAGGCTCTCTCAGCTGAAAACAGAGTAAAACAACTTACAATATCATCATGATTCTTAACCTGTATATTACTGTATCTGATCTGCCATTTAGTTTAGTTTTTCACAGACTTCTCTTCCAGAACTTTGAAAATGTCCTCTAGCGACTGGTGCACACACTGCACAAACTGCCTAACATCACGAGCTGGGTATGCCGAGACATTACAACCCATCCAGTCATCGTGCATGCCGTACCCCACCCCAAATCCATCTGCTACCACTGGTGCAAACCCTCCAAACTGGACAGCTGGGCTGGTGAGAGTACTGGTGGAGAGGACATTGTGGTTAATCCGAGCATAAGCAGGATCTTGATACAATTCTGGGAGACTCTGTCCTTTGCTTGCTGCCAGGTATCGCATGGCAAAAAGGTGACGGTCAAACCCCTGGCCTGTAGGAAGAGGAAAGAAAGCAGAAGAATTAGTTATTGCGGGATAAATAGGATATTTTGCCAGTACTTTGTTACAGTAATTCCTTGAGATTGTCCTTGTATTACATCAATGGTTTAGTAAACACTGTCAGAACAGAATTAAAGGCCAGCAGTCACTGCATATGCAGAAAGCTTATGGGGGAACATCTAGGCCTTCACTAGTTAACAATAAGAGACACATACACACACCCCAGTATCATGCTGCACTGTCCATCTTTTACTTAACACAAGAATATGACATGTTCCAACACCAGATGCAATACCAGTGGATAAAGCAGAAAATAAATCTATTGTGCTTGGCACAGATCATATTTTCTCCAACTTGTTCACCATATTGGCTAGGTGTGTCATTAGGAAACTCTGGGGATCTGCCTAAAATTTGTGTGCTAATAGGGCCTCCTGCCACCTTTTTATACAGAGTCTTAAAAATAATTACACAGTAATATAGACTTCAGTCCATCAAGTTCAGCTTTTTACACACTTTTTGTGTTGTTGAGAGAAGATGAAAACCCAATGTGAAGAAATTTATAATTTGGCCACAAAATGGGAGATTCCTTCTTCCAGATGTTTAAATATCTATACTATTACAAAAATACAATTACATTTGCTCTCTAAAATAATTGCATTAAAATGTAAAAAAGTCTCAGACAGTTTGTACAGTCCCTCTTGTTTTCTATGAAAGAGCATGTATGACAGCTATGGGAGGAGAAAAAGCAGGACTGTCGCTGCTCACCAGGCTAACTTTCAGCTTTCCTAGTATTTTCATTAGAGTCTTTTCTCAAAACTGCTTCGCCGGTTATGTTACATAAACCTGGATGGGATGTCTTTATGGATATGCACATGGCTCATATGGAAGTTTACTTGTTATGGTATATAGAATCTGTCTATCGATCGATCTATACATTCAATTAAGAGAATTACTATAACAATCTTGGAAACACCTGTGTGTTTTTACTACATATCATCGGATTCTCTAGGATTCGTGAGTCTTACCCATTGCAGCCTCTTTGGTGAGTTGCCCGTGGTATTTTGAACATTCCTGTAACATGCTACGGAGCTCGCCCACACTGTGTTTTGAAAGATTCCTTACAAAAGCCTCAGAGCATTTCTTGGTATAGATGGATGCTGGACGGATGGTCTCGGTGCGGCCATGTTTGAAAGCGGCTGTACTGCAGGATTCGTATGTGGCTGTGGTCTGCCCATATTGCCTGAAGAATGCCATCTGAAAGGAGAGCTGGGCTACAGCATCTGGGCTGAGCTTCTGTGTCTTCAAGAACTCTTTCCCACCTCTTTTGAATTCCATAGACGCAATGGTGAGCGAGCTCATAGTTGCATCAAACGTTTCTTTGGCGGTTGAGATTGCAGATTTCAAAGAGTCATCAAGGTGGAAGACAAGTTTCTTTACAGCTTGGCTGGAGTCCACTTTCGCTGGGATGTTTTGAGGTGATATTGCAGGTCTCTGGGTGCTATCCCTGAACACCTCATTCTGGAACCGTAGGACAGCAACTCCATCTCCCCAAGAGTGCTCAAAGTTCACAGCTGCTGTCCCATCTTGCGTCATGATGATGCTGAAGGACTTGTCGTACCATCGGTTCATACCTGATCCATGGAGCATATTGTGGGACAAGTGGATATGATCCTTTATGGAAAAGTCATCGAGACACAAGCAAAACACAGCAGAATCCACTTTTTTCAGGGCCTCTTCATTTCCATTTTCAAGAAGCTTCCGTCTTAAAACAGCCCACGTGTTTCTTTCTTCACTTGTGAGATATCCCACAGGAAACTCTGCAGCAGGGGTGGCATCTGATAGGATATACTGCAAGTGGGCCTGGATCTCTGAAGCCTTTGCTATGTTCCCATCTTTGTCAAAGACATCGAACACATAGAAATTCCCATTCCTTAACACCAACAGGTGCTTTCCGTTCTCATCTGTCACCAGTTCGTCACGGTTAAGTTTCGGCAGACGAGTCGAATTAAAAAGTCGAAAGTACTGTGACATATCTAATGGATAAGCATTCACCATGTATGCTCCATACCAGGACAGTGATGATGGCACAAATCTGATGAGTTTCTTAAATCTCTGTGTGTCACTTTTAGCTGGATTAAGGTGAAAAATCTCAGGTTCAAGGTAACCTGCTCGAATAGTCTTTAGTAATCGCATAGCAGACACAACCATGTTAGTGGATCTGATCAGCTGGTTGTTATATTCTGGTCTTGGGTCAGGGGTAAAGGACATGAAGGGATTAGAATTCAGCACAATGGATTCGCGAGCACATAAATACATATCAAACCAGGGACCTGTAAATTAAAATGAAGAGCAATTAATGTGAAGCCGTGGCTACAATGAGAGTCTATAAATTTATACATCTTTATTCCTACTTCGAAAGTGCTTCAAGAATGAACAATTTTGTAATATTAATTGTCTGTAAAAATGGGATGAAAGTCAATTTTGACATAAGCTTTCATAATAATGTAAAGTTACAGATTACACTACGTGTTTATTGGGTAATTTAGCTATGTTGGCTTGTCTACCTAATTCTTATTTATTGAGAATAAGTATCAAGCAATGTTGCAATGCAGGATCACAAAACATCATGGGGCATTGGTCAAGCTTGACAAAATGCCCCACAAAGCTTGACAAAGACCATGTAGGTCGAAACGTTGCAATTTGGCTGTGGGTTTAAATAAATTGTCTTTTGTTGAAATCTTGAAGTGCCTGGACATTTCTACAGTATCAGAAACAGTGACAGAAGATTGGGACCACATTTGATCTGTAAGCAACTAGATTCCCTCTTAGAGTTTAAACACAACAACAATGAAATTACAGTAAAGAAGTCCTCTGAAAATTCCAAAGGAGTCCTAAATTAGTCACTTTTGGAACAGAAGCTATGTTGTTCTCAATGTGTCATTTATAAGTCCATGCCTGAAAAGGCAGTTTTAGGGCAATATTGTTGCTTTATGGACTGGATCTTCCTAAATACTATGACTCCCATTTTATTCTTACCAGAAATGTAACTTGTGTGCTTGTTTTGTTTGTCTTGCAACACCAGTTCCTCGTGAAGCTGCTTTCCGATCCCATTCTGGAAGCTCTTCGCCAGCTGCTCAGTCTTCCTAGAACATTAACAGAACAATTCTAGGTGTTGTCAAGATATTTTGAAGAAGAATCACAGATTCACACTATTAGAATGTGGCTCACAGCACACAGCCACACACTGTTGGACTATAAGGTAAGTACCTGAATTGTTCAGAATCCAGAAGAGGTGTCTGTGCGTTCAAGTATTTTTTTATAGAATCTTCAAGTTTGGGAATAGGTAACCTGCAAACCAAGACACAGTGGTATTATTTTATAGATAACACCTGCATATATACTGATATAAAAGAAGGCTAAATGAATCTCAGACCACGTATTAACTACCAGCTACCATGTCGAAGTTGTTTTTTTTCTTCTATTCTTTAAAGGGACACTAAAGTGTCTTGTTCTGATGAGTATAATTATTCCCTTTAGGCTTTTTGCAGTAAACACTGTTTTCAGAGAAAATTACAGCCATGGAATACCTCTACTGGCCACTCCTCAAATGGCTACTAGAGGTGCTTCCTAGGGAAGTGCTGCACAATGTGCAACACTGCTTGTGCTGGCTCTGCCCCTGATCTGCCTCCTTGACTGTCTCAGTCAGTCCTATGGGGAAGCATTGTGATTGGCTCAGAACACCACTTCTTTTTTTTTTTATTTATTCTTTATTTAACAATCGGCAATGACATAACAAGCAGACCGCCGCACATATATTCTCCATTTTCCAGCTGATTACATTGCTAATGAAAAAAGAAAAACAGAAAAAACCCAAGACCCTGGGCCCCGACCACAGTCCCCCAGCTCCCGCTCCTCGAGCCCAGTCCCATGGTCTTGTACTTTGCTCAGAGTCCCGGCTTGTATATGTGTCCCCTCAGCTCTTGAGCAGTCCCTTCCCATGTCAACGCCACATTACTCAGAAGTCCAACTTAACAGTAATAAACCAGAAAGAATGAGATTGACTCCATCCTCCTCCTAAATCCATCACCTAGTCACCCCAGGCCTCTGAACCCCCATTCCATCCCCACCCCCTTCAACCCCCCCTGAGGAGGAACGCTATTCCTTGGGCCAGTTTCCGTCCACTGTCCTGTTGACCTCCCTATAGCAGCCCGACAGATGAAGATAAGAACTCCACTATTCACCTACCAACCGGTCGTCTTGCTTTTTGGAGAAAACGACCGTGTAGTTTGCTATGTCCCTCCCCAAGTCCCCGATTGGGGCTCACCAGAACCTTTTGCCTACACTATCTATAGTGGGCCTGTGGTGACTAACCTAATCTTCTGATGGAAACCAGAATCGCGAGAGAGGAGTAGGATCGCAAAGAAAACAGAGAAGAAAAAGAGAAGAAAAAGAGAAGGAAGAAAAGAGGGGTGGGGGGGGGGGGGGAGGCGGGGAGGCAAAAAAGGGGGGCACATGCTACGCCCCCCCCCCCCGTGCCCCCAAAGGGAAGAACACCACTTCTGATGATGTCTACCAAGCAGGTAGATCAGGGGCAGAGCCAGAAGCAGCAGTCTGGAATTAACGTAAGCTTTTACAATATGTAGTGGGGTAAGTGGGGCTAGATGGTAGTTTTAACACTATAGGGTCAGGAATACGTTTATGTTTATGATCCTATAGTGTTCCTTTAATTTAGATTTAACATCAGGATATTATTTAAAGTGAAAGACACCATAGCATCTTTTCATGTCTTAAAGGGACACTATAGTCGCCGAGACCACTTGAAGCGCTTCTGGGATTGCGTTCGTGTCTTAGCACACCCTGTCGGATGACTTTGACCCAGTGCCAAAGGACACCGGCGCTCCAATCCAGGGAGCAGGGAGATCACTGCTCCCTTACCGCCTGCACACCAGCCGCTCAGCAGTCCCACTGGACCCCATGGAGCGCTCTCCAGCCGCCCAGCAGCCCCACTGGACCACAGGGCCGCTCTCCAGCCACCCAGCAGCCCCACTGGACCACAGGGACTCCATGCCAGCACTCTCAAAAATTGTATAGGTGTCTGTTAGGGAGTTTGTATGTGTGTGTCAAAGAGCATATGTGTGTTTGTCAGTGATAGTGAATGTGTTCTTGCCAGTGAGAGTGTATATGTGTGTCTGTAAAAGAGTGTGTGTGTTTGTCAGTGAGAGTGTATGTGTGTCTGTCAAAGAGTATGTGTGTCTGAGTGTGTCAGTGTGTGTATCTGTGTGTCAAGGTTTGTGTATGTGTCACTGTGTGTATCTAAGTGTGTGCCTGTGTATGTGCCAGTGTGTCAGTGTGTGTATGTGCCAGTGTGTATCTGTGGGTGCAAGTGTGTGTATATTTGTGACTCAAGATGTGTGTGTCAGTGTGTATCAAGGTGTCTGTGTGTCAGATGCATATACACACACACACACGGACACACACACACGGACACAGAGATACACACACTGGCGCATACAAACACAGATATCCACACCTTGACAGACCGGCACATACAAACACAGATACACACACTTTGAAACATAGATACACACACCTTGACACACAGTGTGTGCCAAGGTATGTGTATCTGATCTGTGTGCCACTATCTGCCAGTGTGTGTATCTGTGTGTCAGATTCATACACACTGGCACATATAAACACAGATACACACACATTGACACAGATTTGGTATTGCTGTAATCTTGCTGAATTTCCGTTTAACAATAACATTGAAGTGAGCAGTTATTTGAGGTGGATACCTGTTCACACTGCAATTGCATAGTTATTTATTGGGTTTTAAATACAGTGTATTACTTGACTTAAAGGGACACTATAGTCACCAAAACAACGGTAGCTTAATGAAGCAGTTTTGGTGTATAGAACATGCCCCTGCAGTCTCTCTGCTCAATCCTCTGCCATTTAGGAGTTAAATCCCTTTGTTTATGAACCCTAGTCACACCTCCCTGCATGTGACTTGCACAGCCTTCCATAAAGACTTACGGTAAAGAGAGCCCTATTTAGGCTTTCCTTATTGCAAGTTCTGTTTAATTAAGATTTTCTTATCTCCTGCTATGTTAATAGCTTGCTAGACCCTGCAAGAGCCCCCTGTATGTGATTAAAGTTCAATTAACAGAGAAAGAGATACAATTGCTTAAGGTAAATTACACTTTGTTGATGCAACCCTAGGCACACCTCCCTGCATTTGACAGCCTTCCTAAACACTTCCTGTATAGAGTCATCTAATGGTTAGACTTCCTTTATTGCAAATTCTATTTAATTTTGAATTTCTTATCTCCTGCTCTGTTAAGCGTGCTAGACTCTGCAGGATCCTCCAGTATGTAATTTAATGTTAAATTTACAAAGCAGGAGATACAAACTATTAAAGTGAGCTATGTCTGATTGAAAATTAAACAATTTTGTTTTCATGCAGGCTGTGTTAGTCACAGCCAGAGGAGGTGTGGCTAGTGCTGCATAAACAAAAGCAAAAGTGATTTGACTCCTAAAAGGCAGTGAAGTGAGCAGTGAAACTTCAGAGGTATGATCTATACACAAAAACTAATTCATTAAAGGAACACTATAGTCACCTAAACAACTTTAGCTTAATGAAGCAGTTTTAGTGTATAGATCATGCTTCTCAGGTTTAACTGCTCAATTCTCTGCCTTTTAGGAGTTAAATCACTTTGTTTCTGTTTATACGGCCCTTATGACACCTTCCCTTAACTCTGAATGAGACAGCCTGCATTCAAAAAACTGGTTTCACTTTCAATAAGATGCAATTTACCTTAAACAATTGTATCGCTTTCTCTGTAAATTGAACTTTAATCACATGCAGGAGGCTCTTGCAGGGTCTAGCAAGCCATTAACATAGCAGGGGATAAGAAAATCTAAATTAAACAGAACTTGCAATAAAGGAAGGATAAACTGTAGATGACTCTTTACAGGAAGTGTTTATGGAAGGCTGAAAGTCACATGCAGGGAGGTGTGACTAGGGTTTATAAACAAAGTGATTTAACTCCTAAATAGCAGAGAATTGAGCAGTGAGACTGCAGGGGCATAATCTATACACCAAAACTGCTTCATTAAGCTAAAGTTGTTTTTGTGACTAAAGTGTCCCTTTAAGCTAGAGTTGTTTTGGAGACTCTAGTGTCCCTTTAAAGATAAGAAAGAATGTCTCAGAGGTGCAGATCCACTTTAAATTTAGTCTGCATTTTGTATTTTTCTCAGCTTGGTAACTTTGACCTAAATCTTGCCACACGGCTGTCACAGGTCTCAGTTTATTTTATGTGGCCAGTTACTAACCAAATATATAGTACAAGTGCAGCTGAAGCAAGCACAGCAAATGCATGGTCACAAGTACGATTACATTTTATTAATATCTCAATCTATCTTACCTTGGAAGGCTTTTCTGGAAGTGCATTGTAGGAACAATGCTCTTGTGCAGGTATTCTGTGTCTGAGTTTCCTGCACTGTAAGCTCTGAGCAGAGCAGAGCATGGTGGGGCAGCGGTTACTCCTCTCCCAAAACATGACTTGGTCAGTAGGTGAGCCATGGACCCTTCTGGATAGTGGTAAAATAACCTTAAACAGTAAAGAAAATAAAAAGATACAGGGATTGATTGAATTACTATATATACATACACTGATCAGCCACAACATTAAAACTGCCTGCTTAATATTGTGTTGAACCCCCTCGTGCTGCCAAAACAGCTCTGATGCATCGAGGCATGAACTCCACAAGACCTCTGAACATGTTCTGTATCTGGCACCAAGACATTAGCAGCAGATCCTTTAATTCCTGCAAGTTGTGAAATGGGGCCTTAATCGATAGGATTTGTTGTTCCAGCACATCCCACAGATGCTCTGTAAGGATTGAGATCTTGGGAATTTGAACTTTGTCATGTTCCTTAACCCCTTAAGGACACATGACATGTGTGACATGTCATGATTTCAATTTTATTCCAGAAGTTTGGTCCTTATGGGGTTAAACCATTCCTGAACAATTTTTGCAGTGTGGCCGTGCATTATCCTGCTTTAAAAGGCCACAGTCATCAGATAACACCACTGCTGTGAAAACATGTACGTGCATCCATATGAATGCCAGGACTGAAGGTTTCTCAAGAGAACATTGCCCACCAGCATTCTGGCATTCCCCTAGTGCATCTTGCTTCCTCAGGTAAACAACGCACCAAGCCATCCACCTGATCTAAAAGAAAACATGATTTATCAGACATTTATCAGACCAGGCAACATTCTTACACTGCTCCATGGTCTAGTTCTGATGTTCACGTTCCCATTGGAGGCGTACTCAGAGGTGGACATGGGTCATCATGGACACTCTGACCGTTCTGTGGGTACACAGCAAACTGCGATGCACTCTGTGTGTTCAGGCACCTCTCTATCATGGCCAGCATTAAGCTTAACAGCAATTTGAGCTACAGTAGCTCTTCTGTGTGATCAGACAAGAAAGGCTAGCCTTCGCTTACCATGTCCCTATCTATTTTCCCCTCCGCTACCTCCACAAAAACGGTCGTGTCACTTTGTGGGGTCTATGTAAAAAAATATGCAAATACCTCACAAGTGACAGTGATGCTTTAACCCCTTAAGGACACATGACAGGGAACAGTGAGCAGTGATCTCCCTGCTCAGCTCCCTCGCGCGCACAGCAGTGATGCTGGAGCCGGAATATGAAGTCACTCCAGCTCCGGCATCACTAAGAGGTGCGCGAGGGAGCTGAGCACGGAGATCACTGCAGAAGTTTGGTCCTTAAGGGGTTAAAGGACCACTATTGGCACCCAGACCACTTCAGCTTAATGAAGTGGTCTGGGTGACAGGTCCATCTAGGATTAACTCTGCCTGCTGTAGACATAGCAGTTTCAGAGAAACTTGTATGTTTACAAATGGGTTAATCCAGCCTGTAGTGGCTGTCTCATTGACAGCCACTAGAGGCGCTTCTCACTGTAATTTTCACAGTGCGAAGATGCCAGCGCCCATAGGAAAGCATTTTGCGCTCACGGCTCTTGCTGCGCATGCGCATTCAGCCGATGACGACCGAAGGAGGAGGAGAGTTCCCAGCGCCGAGGGAGCCCGGCACTGGAGAAAGGTGAGTTTTTAACCCCATTCCTCCCCCTACAGCCAGGTGGGAGTGGTGCCAGGAAAATGAGTGCCAGGAAAATGAGTTTGTTTTCCTGGCATCATAGTGGTCCTTTAAGCATCCCTCCTGCTCTTGGCTTGGGTTAGTAACTTATGGGTTTATTCTGTAAATTGTGAAAAGTGAAGAACTGAATGAAGCGCAACATCGAGGGTAAAATAGCCAAACTGGAATATACTCAGACATATTCTCATCCATTTTGAATTACCATTTCAAATGAATGATGATTTTTTTAATATGATAAACCCATAATTGTGCTTGGACAAAATAAATTTACATTTCTGAATAAAAAAAAAGTGAAGCTTGCTTTGTACAGGCTTTTTATTCTAAACATTTCATAGGGGTCAAATGTCTTCTGACAACAGAGTGGGATGGTGAGATGGAGACCCTCACTGTCATTGTCTGGATACCCACTGTTACCCTCTGTTTGTGGGGCACTCACTTGTCAGGATAGATTTCTGAGCAGAGTATCCCAGCGGTGAACATGTATTAGTAATTGGTGTTACATTCCTACCAGACATTCATTAAACATGTCACCCCAGCATTTAATGGGGGATCTGTAGCCCACAATAGCTGGGTCCTAAAGGGAGATATCAGTGTCCTCACTGAATGACACAGCCCTGCCTGCCTGCCTGCCTGCCTGATACTATAATATACTATACTATAATATAATACTAGAATAGCCCAATGACAGCCCCCCTGGGGTCTCCTCTCACCTGTCTGCAATCTGCTTCCTGCCTCAGCCTGTTACTTTTACCTTTACACCAAATATTCTCCTCCCACTTCCCCCCCTCACCTTTGCTCAAGTTCTCCCCCCTCTCCTCCTTCTCAACTTTACCCTACCTTCTTGTCCTAGCCGGTACAAACTCCTTGTGCGTCACTATATACCTTCCCCCCCAGAAACATTGTTATCTTCCCGAGGTTCCGGCTATAGAGTAATAAACTGAATACACATTAACCCAGCATGTGGGTGCACACAGTAACAGTGTATTCACAGAGCTGCCTTGGGGTGCACACAGTAACAATGTATACAGAGCTACCTTGGGGTGCACACAGTAACAATTTATACAGAGCTGCCTTGGAGTGCACACAGTAACAGTGTATTCACAGAGCTGCCTTGGGGTGCACACAGTAACAATGTATACAGAGCTTCCTTGGGGTGCACACAGTAACAATTTATACAGAGCTGCCTTGGAGTGCACACAGTAACAATGTATACAGAGCTGCCTTGGAGTGCACACAGTAACAATGTATACAGAGCTTCCTTGGAGTGCACACAGTAACAATGTATACAGAGCTTCCTTGGAGTGCACACAGTAACAATGTATACAGAACTGCCTTGGAGTGCACACAGTAACAATGTATACAGAGCTGCCTTGGAGTGCACACAGTAACATTGTATACAGAGCTGCCTTGGAGTGCACACAGTAACATTGTATACAGAGCTGCCTTGGAGTGCACACAGTAACAATGTATACAGAGCTTCCTTGGAGTGCACACAGTAACAATGTATACAGAGCTTCCTTGGAGTGCACACAGTAACAATGTATACAGAGCTGCCTTGGAGTGCACACAGTAACAATGTATAGAGAGCTTCCTTGGAGTGCACACAGTAACAATGTATACAGATCTTCCTTTGAGTGCACACAGTAACAATGTATACAGAGCTTCCTTGGAGTGCACACAGTAACAATGTATACAGAGCTGCCTTGGAGTGCACACAGTAACAATGTATACAGATCTTCCTTGGAGTGCACACAGTAACAATGTATACAGATCTTCCTTGGAGTGCACACAGTAACAATGTATACAGCGCTTTCTTGGAGTGCACACAGTAACAATGTATACAGATCTTCCTTGGAGTGCACACAGTAACAATGTATACAGATCTTCCTTGGAGTGCACACAGTAACAATGTATACAGCACTTTCTTGGAGTGCACACAGTAACAATGTATACAGATCTTCCTTGGAGTGCACACAGTAACAATGTATACAGAGCTTCCTTGGAGTGCACACAGTAACAATGTATACAGAGCTTCCTTGGAGTGCACACAGTAACAATGTATACAGAACTGCCTTGGAGTGCACACAGTAACAATGTATACAGAGCTGCCTTGGAGTGCACACAGTAACATTGTATACAGAGCTGCCTTGGAGTGCACACAGTAACATTGTATACAGAGCTGCCTTGGAGTGCACACAGTAACAATGTATACAGAGCTTCCTTGGAGTGCACACAGTAACAATGTATACAGAGCTTCCTTGGAGTGCACACAGTAACAATGTATACAGAGCTGCCTTGGAGTGCACACAGTAACAATGTATAGAGAGCTTCATTGGAGTGCACACAGTAACAATGTATACAGATCTTCCTTGGAGTGCACACAGTAACAATGTATACAGCACTTTCTTGGAGTGCACACAGTAACAATGTATACAGATCTTCCTTGGAGTGCACACAGTAACAATGTATACAGAGCTTCCTTGGAGTGCACACAGTAACAATGTATACAGAGCTTCCTTGGAGTGCACACAGTAACAATGTATACAGAACTGCCTTGGAGTGCACACAGTAACAATGTATACAGAGCTGCCTTGGAGTGCACACAGTAACATTGTATACAGAGCTGCCTTGGAGTGCACACAGTAACATTGTATACAGAGCTGCCTTGGAGTGCACACAGTAACAATGTATACAGAGCTTCCTTGGAGTGCACACAGTAACAATGTATACAGAGCTTCCTTGGAGTGCACACAGTAACAATGTATACAGAGCTGCCTTGGAGTGCACACAGTAACAATGTATAGAGAGCTTCCTTGGAGTGCACACAGTAACAATGTATACAGATCTTCCTTTGAGTGCACACAGTAACAATGTATACAGAGCTTCCTTGGAGTGCACACAGTAACAATGTATACAGAGCTGCCTTGGAGTGCACACAGTAACAATGTATACAGATCTTCCTTGGAGTGCACACAGTAACAATGTATACAGATCTTCCTTGGAGTGCACACAGTAACAATGTATACAGCGCTTTCTTGGAGTGCACACAGTAACAATGTATACAGATCTTCCTTGGAGTGCACACAGTAACAATGTATACAGAGCTTCCTTGGAGTGCACACAGTAACAATGTATACAGAGCTGCCTTGGAGTGCACACAGTAACAATGTATACAGATCTTCCTTTGAGTGCACACAGTAACAATGTATACAGAGCTTCCTTGGAGTGCACACAGTAACAATGTATACGGAGCTTCCTTTTGAGTGCACACAGTAACACTGTATACAGATCTTCCTTTGAGTGCACACAGTAACAATGTATACAGAGCTTCCTTGGAGTGCACACAGTAACAATCCATTTTTGTCCCTTGAACCCCAGCTTGTGGTGTATCAGTATGTTCAAGTTCTGGTTAGTAGAGTTTTTTTTTTTATGTTTTTTTTTTTTATTGTATTTGTTTTCAGTAAGTGTTTATTGTAATGGACGGAAACACAAGGATACAAAAGTACAAAAGTTTGTACAAGCAAAACATATTTTAAAAAAATGTAAGGAATGTACTGACCTGCACATAGAATGACACTCTGCACTGTTGATTCTTTCATTCCTGACCATGTGCCATTATGGCATGATGTATGAAAACAAACTTTGTGCAGGGTTATTTACTAAGTGAGAATTCAAAGTGAATTTCAAATTTAAGGTCACAATAGTCAACTATGCTGTTAGTTAGGGTACTCTGGCCTAAATGTGAAATACACTTTAAATTGAGTGAGTCATTGAGACTGGGAGGGGGTATTGACACATGGATGAAAAGGGGGGGTTGATACATAGAGGGACAGTGGAGGGTGGAATTGACATATGGAGGGGGGATTGACACATGGGGGGAGAATTGATACATAGAGGGACACTGGAGAGTGAAATTGACATATGTAGGGGGGATTGACACATGGAGGGATATGGGGGGGGGGAATTGATACACAGAGGGACAGTGGATAATGGAATTGACACATGGAGGGGGGCTTGACAAATGGAGGGAAAGGGGAGGGGGAAAATTGATACATAGACGGACAGAGGAGAGTGGGGACCCTAATTAATTAAAGGGGGGACCTATCTGTCTTTGGGAGGGGGTTACGGTGGAGAGCCTGGGGGGAAACTTTGTGCACCACTGTAACACTATTGTATGTAAATAGGTGGGGGGCGAGGTAGTATAAATAGATGTGCTATTTTCAATAAAGCAGAGTTGTTGTTGTTTTTAACCTTTACCAAGTGTCATCTGGTATTTGTGGTAATGGCTATGATCACTGCACTGCTGGAGAAAGGGTTTCCAGAGCTATAATTCCAGTAGCCAGGCCCAGGATGGAAAAGGCCCCAGTCAAGCGATTCGGTGACTAGGTCTGAAGCGCTCCTGGGTCCCTGATAATGGTGAGGAAGCAGACTTGGCAGAGGTACTCGGTCGGAATACAGGATCTCCGTCACGGGCCCAAAACAGGGTTGTCCCTCCTAAATAGGAACACTTGGGAATTATACATGCAAAGTGATTTTATTCAATATGTCATATTGTGAATTACCTTTCTACTGCTTGTTGACACATTTTAAACTCATACAGAAAAATTAAAACAATATATATATATAGAGAGAGAGCTCTTTCTATGCTGTAACAAGGACACCTAGTGGGGTTTTGAGATATGACAGAATAGAGATAAATTGAAAATAAGATGGAATTTGAATATTTTTTTCTTATTTATGCATTATTGTTATTAACAGTTATGTAAAGCCAGCATTTTCTGCTAAGCGTTACAATTTTACAGTTGTAAATTGGGAAAATAAACAGATGGCAACTAACAAGCAAAATTATACCAACAGCACCAAAAGAAAATGGCGGCAGAGGTCAGGGAATCTTACTAAAACATTTTGTTAGTTTAGAATGTTGTATACAAGAATTGAGCAATCAGCCAGTAAGAGCAGGACAGGTTTATAAATCCTAAATGAACTCTTTGCAGGTTGAATTACACATCCTCGAAACCCAGCCCATTAAAACCATTTGATGACTTGAGGCAGCTGCCAAAATTAGATATAATGCTAAAATGTTATTGAATGCTTTCCCACAAGTTCAAACAGTTTTCTTTATTCAATTTGCTGTTGATTAACCGGGTTTGTCCTCAGTACTAAGCTTAACAGATCTAGTTCTTGAAAAATATATTAATCCACAAACTATAGTGCACGGAGATACCAATATATCTTTACTAAAAATATTTATAACGTTTGATTTCTGAGAAAGGGCACCATTTATATTTTGCGAGCCTCGTGGCTCTAGTGGCTGACATACAGAAAGCCACTAGAGACCTTGAGCAGTGTTTAAAAACCGAGAGTGAGTCTTAATGTTGCTACCTGTTTCACTACTTACACAGAAGCAGGGAAGGCCACAGAGATTATTATATTAAAAACGTTTCGTGGTGACTGTTGTCCTTTAAAACAAAACATAGAATCAAGGAACATATAAGTTACCTCCTTAACCCGAAATACAGGAGGACAAAACCCCAAACCACTTCCTCCACCTTCCTCTCTTGTCCTGGAGGAAATTGCCATGATCCTCTATATTTATAAGAAACATTGGATGAACTTCTCATGTCCAGTTTGTGAATACTTTGAACGCTGACACCGGATGTCCAGATGTTTCCTTTCAAAACTTGATTAAGGCTTATTATATTAGAAAATAGACACCAGAAGATCTAAACAAAAAGGGCACAATGCAGAAAAATACCTTTTTAAAGTGTTTTAGGCGCAACTGCCCCTTAATCAAAGGTATATTGGTATCCATCCATGGCAGGGTAAGAAAGATCATCGAATGAGTGGCTTTCCAAACTAAACCTGAATGGTCACTCCACATTCTGATTACTTGTTGGGGTGCATCATTTGTTCTTGCACTAGAGATTATTATTATTATGGTATTTATTTAGCGCCATCAAATTCCGCAGCGCTTTACAATGGGTGGACGAACAGACATGTAGTTGTAACCAGACAAGTTGGACACACAGGAACAGAGGGTTTGAGGGCCCTGCTCAATGAGCTAACATGCTAGAGGGAGTGGGGTAAAATGTCACAAAAAGGTAAGGATAGTATTAGACTAGTGACAGTTGCAGAAGAGGAATCAGTCAGGAGCTATTAACAGTTTAATTGATTATTTAATGTGATTTGTGTTTTGTGTAATGCATAGTGAGACAAGTGAGAGTTACTAAAGAGAGAGACAAGTGAGAGTTACTAAAGAGAGAGAATAAGTGAGAGTTACTAAAGAGAGATAAGAATAAGTGAGAGTTAGTAAAGAGAGAGGTGTGAGAGTTGCTAGACAGAGAGAGACAAGTGAGAATTACTGGAGAGAGAGCGCTCTACTATAAAGAGAGAGCCAAGTGAGTTACTAAAAAGTGAGAGAGAAGTGGGGTCTGGTAATCAGAGAGATAGACAAGTGGGTAAGTGAATTATTGAAATAAGGAGATCTGAAGAGACAAAAAAAGAGAAAACTCATACAATGGAGTCCAGTAATAGCCTAGTCTAAGCACATCATTTTGTGTCTGTGAATTTTAGATGAGCTCCCCCTGAATGTACACATACTGTTTTAACTTACCAACACACCAATGCAATAAGAAACACACAAACCATACTATGATTGTATATTCACACCAGGTGACATACCTTACAAACACTATTTATTGCTAATCAACTATAGGATTCATTCAATAAACAGTTATGTTTAGTGACCTAACACCTTAATGACCGCTGACGTTTCAGGACCGTCATCGGAAAAATACCCTTGAGGTAAATATCAGTGATGATATTGTCAGTGAAAGTGATGTTTTTTTGCATTTTTCACACACAAACAGCACTTTCACTGATGATATAATTGTTGTGATATGTTTTACTGTTTTGAAACACTAATATTTGTGTTCAGCGAAGTCTGCAGAGTATAACAGTACCCCCCCATGTACAGGTTTAATAGTGTTTTTGAAAGTTTCAGGGTCAAATATAAGGGTCAAATTTTTTGCATTTTTAACACACAAACAAATATAAATGCTAACTTTGGCCAGTGTTTGTGACTAAGTGGCTACTAAAAAAGACTGGTATTGAATACTCTGGGTTGTCTACTTTAAAAAATATGTACATGTGAGATGTAGTGATGTCGCGAACATAACATTTTCGGTTCGCGAATGGCGAACGCGAACTTCCGCAAATGTTTGCGAACCGGCGAACCGGGCAAACCGAGCGAACCGCCATATACTTCAATAGGCAGGAGAATTTTAAAACCCACAGGGACTCTTTCTGGCCACAATAGTGATGGAAAAGTTGTTTCAAGGGGACTAACACCTGGACTGTGGCATGCCGGAGGGGGATCCATGGCAAAACTCCCATGGAAAATTACATAGTTGATGCAGAGTCTGGTTTTAATCCATAAAGGGCATAAATCACCTAACATTCCTAAATTGTTTAGAATAATGTGCTTTAAAACAGGTATGATGTTGTATCGATCAGGTAGTGTAAGGGTTACGCCCGCTTCACAGTGACAGACCAAACTCCCCGTTTAACGCACCGCAAACAACCGCAAACAGTCCATTTGCACAACTGCAAACTCCCCATTTGCACAAGGTTGGATACCAAGCTAGCCATGTCCCGTTCCTTGTCCTCACTGATGTCATTGAAGGTCTCTTCCTCCACCCAGCCATGTACAACACCAAGGGTCCCCAAAAGGTGACAACAAGCCCCCTGGGATGCCTGCTGTGTTTGGTCTTCCACCTCCTCAAAGTCACCTTCCTCCTCTGACTCCTCTTCTCCAGACTCCTCTCTCTGCGTTGCCTCTCTCTGCGTTATTATAAGGTGTGTTAAGTAGTACTATTCCTATCAGTTTAATCCCTGTTACGTCCCCTATCAGGGGACGTGTATATGGCATCGATTTTAGGAACCGGGAGATGGAAAAAGATGCTTGGTCGGTCCTCCTACTTCAAATTTGGGGCACTGCGCGTGCAATCTAATGTGCCACCAGATAGGAGTGGTGTGTTAAGTAGTACTATTCTTATCAGTTTAATCCAAATGTCACGACTACTAGTGTGGTCCAGCACGCAGAAACTATGTAAACATATACATAAGCAAGAAAAGGAAAATAAAAGGACAGAGCGTAAACCGGACCTTAGAAGGGCCGGATTAATACGCTAGAGACAGAGAATGGTCAAAGGGAAAGCCAAGGTCAAGGAAGCCAGAAAATACACAATACAGTTTACACAAGCCAAGTCAGGGAAACCAGAATTCAGAATAACCAAGGAAAAGCCAAGATCAGGATACCAGGAAATCAGATTCAACTCTCAGGAAACCAGGAACAGGAAACCACAACACGGCAAGGTACTGGGGTGAGCTAGGGATTTAAATATCACGCGGAGGGCCGGCAGCCGCGACACCCTGTTACGTCCCCCTCATCAGGCCTTTTTTAGTCGAATGTATTGCCCACTGTCAGTCCCTTCGGCATCCATCCCTCATTCATCTTAATAAAGGTGAGGTAATCTAGACTTTTTTGACCTAGGCGACTTCTCTTCTCAGTGACAATACCTCCTGCTGCACTGAAGGTCCTTTCTGACAGAACACTTGAAGCAGGGCAGGCCAGAAGTTCTATCGCAAATTGGGATAGCTCAGGCCACAGGTCAAGCCTGCACACCCAGTAGTCAAGGGGTTCATCGCTCCTCAGAGTGTCGTTATCTGCAATTAAGGCGAGGTAGTCTGCTACCTGTCGGTCGAATAGTTCTCTGAGGGTGGACCCGAACGGCTGTGGCGATGCGTAGGACTTAAAAAGCTCCGCATGTCCTCCATCAACAACACGTCTGTAAAGCGTCCTGTCCTTGCCGGCGTGGTCGTGGGAGGAGGAGGATTACTTTCACCTCTTCCCCTGTTAGATTCCCGTTGTGCTGTGACATCACCCTTATACGCTGTGTAAAGCATACTTTTTAATTGATTTTGGAACTGCTGCATCCTTTCTGACTTGCCGTAATTCGGTAACATTTCAGGCACTTTCTGCTTATACCGGGGGTCTAGTAGCGTGGACACCCAGTACAGGTCGTTCTCCTTCAGCCTTTTTATACGAGGGTCCCTCAACAGGCACGACAGCATGAAAGACCCCATTTGCACAAGGTTGGATGCCGAGCTACTCATGTCCTGTTCCTCGTCCTCAGTGATCTCACTGAAGGTATGTTCTTCCCCCCAGCCACGTACAACACCACGGGTACCAGATAGGTGACAACGAGCACCCTGGGATGCCTGTTGTGGTTGGTCTTGCTCCTCCTCTTCCTCCTCCTCAAAGCCACATTCCTCCTCTGACTCTTCTTCCTCACAATCCTCTTCCAGCGTTGCCGCAGGTCCAGCAAGCGATGCTGATAAGGCTGTTTCTGGTGGTGATGGTGACCACAACTCTTCCTCTTCCTCTTCACGCTCATCTACGGCCTGATCCAGCACTCTTCGCAGGGCACGCTCCAGGAAGAAAACAAATGGTATGATGTCGCTGATGGTGCCTTCGGTGCGACTGACTAGGTTTGTCACCTCCTCAAAAGGACGCATGAGCCTACAGGCATTACGCATGAGCGTCCAGTAACGTGGCAAAAAAATTCCCAGCTCCACAGAGGCTGTCCTAGCACCCTGGTCATACAAATACTCGTTAACGGCTTTTTCTTGTTGGAGCAGGCGATCGAACATTAGGAGTGTTGAATTCCAACGTGTTGGGCTGTCGCAAATCAAGCGCCTCACTGGCATGTTTTTTCGCCACTGGATATCTGAAAAGTGCGCCATGGCCGTGTAGGAACGCCTGAAATGGCCACACACCTTCCTGGCCTGCTACAGGACGTCCTGTAAGCCTGGGTACTTATGCACAAAGCGTTGTACGATCAGATTACACACATGTGCCATGCACGGCACATGTGTCAACTTGCCCAAATGCAATGCCGCCAACAAATTTCTTCCGTTGTCACAAACCACTTTACCGATCTCCAGTTGGTGCGGAGTCGGCCACTGATCCACCTGTGCATTCAGGGCGGACAGGAGTGCTGGTCCGGTGTGACTCTCTGCTTTCAGGCAAGTCAACCCCAAGACGGCGTGACACTGCCGTATCCGGGATGTGGAATAGTACCTGGGGAGCTGGGGGGCGGGGGGGGTGCCGTTGATGTGGAGCAAGATGCAGCAGCAGAAGAGGACTCAGCCGAGGAGGTTATGGAAGAGGATGGAGTAGGAAGAGTAGAGGAGGTGGCAGCAGGCCTGCCTGCAAGTCGTGGCGGTGTCACCAACTCCTCTGCAGAGCCACGCATTCCATGCTTGGCAGCCGTCAGCAGGTTTACCCAATGCGCAGTGTAGGTGATATACCTGCCCTGACCATGCTTTGCAGACCAGGTATCAGTGGTCAGATGGACCCTTGCCCCAACACTGTGTGCCAGACATGCCATTACTTCCTTTTGCACAATCGAGTACAGGTTGGGGATTGCCTTTTGTGCAAAGAAATTTCGTCCGGGTACCTTCCACTGCGGTGTCCCAATAGCTACAAATTTTTTGAACGCCTCAGACTCCACCAGCTTGTATGGTAAAAGCTGGCGGGCTAAGAGTTCAGTCAAGCCAGCTGTCAGACGCCGGGCAAGGGGGTGACTTTGTGACATTGGCTTCTTACACTCAAACATGTCCTTGACAGACACCTGACTGTGGGCAGATGAGCAGGAACTGCTCAAGACGAGAGACGGAGGGGCGGATGGTTGAGAGGGGGCAAGGAGGACAGCAGTGGTTAATGTGGCTGAAGATGCTGGACCAGGAGAAGGATGGTGGCTTTTCGAGTTCAGAACTTTTCGAGTTCAGGATACGTGGCCTCTGAACACTGGGCATTATTCTAGGGCCAAAGGGAATCACAGCACCACGACCACCACGGTTTTTTTAGTGGTACTATGCGTGCAAGCTACTGTGACAACAGATATGAGTGGCACTGTGCAGTGGCAGAAGTTGGCAGAGTAGATGCTGTAGGCCTGACACACACACGCTTGCAGACAACTAACTGCTATTCAATCTATTACAGTCGAAATTGTATTTTTTTTTTTTTTTTAATGTTACACCAGATATGAGTTGCACTGATGTGACACTGTGCCCTGGCAGGCCCTGAAACGCACACGCGTGAAGGAAACTGACTGCTATTATATTACAGTCAAAAAAGTTTTGTTTTTTTTAAATGCAAGCTATTGGGACACCAGTGAGTGAGTGGTGGCACTGGGCAGGCCCTGAAACGCACACTCGTGAAGGAAACTGACTGCTATTATATTACAGTCTAAAAAGTTTTGGTTTTTTTAAATGCAAGCTATTGGAAAACCAGTGAGTGAGTGGTGGCACTAGGCAGGCCCTGAAACGCACACTCGTGAAGGAAACTGACTGCTATTATATTACAGTCAAAAAAGGTTTGTTTTTTTTTAAATGCAAGCTATTGTGACACCAGTGAGTGAGTGGTGGCACTAGGCAGGCCCTGAAACGCACACTCGTGAAGGAAACTGACTGCTATTATATTACAGTCCAAAAAGTTTTGGTTTTTTTTAAATGCAAGCTATTGGGACACCAGTGAGTGAGTGGTGGCACTGGGCAGGCCCTGAAACGCACACTCGTGAAGGAAGCTGACTGCTATTATATTACAGTCCAAAAAGTTTTGTTTTTTTTAAATGCAAGCTATTGGGACACCAGTGAGTGAGTGGTGGCACTGGGCAAGTGAGCACAGTATATGCTGTGAGCCTGACACACAGGCTGGCAGGCAGGCAGGCAGACAACTGCAATTACATTACACAGAAAAAAAAAGCAGACTGATGTTCTAGCCCTAAAAAGGGCTTTTTGGGGTGCTGTCCTTACAGCAGAGATCAGATGAGTCCTTCAGGACTGTAGTTGACACTGAATACACTAGCCTAGTTATCAATTTCCCTATCAAATCAGCAGCAGCTACACTGTCCCTCCTCTCACTAAGAATGCAGCTTCACAATGAATGTAAAATGGATGCTGTCCAGGAGGTGGGAGGGTCTGGGAGGGAGGGTCTGCTGCTGATTGGCTGGAATGTGTCTGCTGACTGTGAGGTACAGGGTCAAAGTTTACTCAATGATGACGAATAGGGGGCGGACCGAACAGCGCATATGTTCGCCATCCGTGGCGAACGCGAACAAGCGATGTTCGCCAGGAACTATTCGCCAGCGAACCGTTCGGGACATCACTAGTGAGGTGTGATTCAGAGATTTATGACAGATAACAGTGTTACAATGTCACTATTGATACATTTAAAAACTATATATTTTGAAACAGAAATATCCTACTTGTACTTATAGCCCTATAACTTGCAAAAAAAAAAAAAGCATGTAAATATTGGGTGTTTTTAAACGCAGGACAAAATTTTGAATCTATTTTTCATTAGCTTTTGTAAATAAGTAAAAGATTTTTCAAGTAAAAAAACATGCTTTTGTTTCCTCAATGTTTCACCATATTTTATAATTTAAAAAAAAAGTAAATTATATGACATGATACAAATAATGGTATGTAAAGAAAGCCCTTCTTGTCCTGAAGAAAACAATATATACTTTCTATGGAAGCAGTAAATGAGAGAGAGGAAAATTACAGCTAAACACAAACACCACAAAAGTGTTAAAACAGCTCTGGTCCTTAACGTACAACATGGTCAAAACAGTCCGGTCCTGAATGGGGTTAAAGATCAAATCTCAAAATTCAGGTTAAAATAGCCAGTATGTGAATTTAGAAGTGTAGTAAAATGTATTCAGGCCGACCATATTGACATGAACTCAGAAACATAGAATGTGACGGCAGATAAGAACCATTCGGCCCATCTACTCTGCCCAATTTTCTAAATACTTTCATTAGTCCCTGGCCTTATCTTATAGTTAGGATAGCCTTATGCCTATCCCACGCATGCTTAAACTCCTTTACTGTGTTAACCTCCACCACTTCAGCTGGAAGGCTATTCCATACATCCACTACCCTCTCAGTAAAGTAATACTTCCTGATATTATTTTTAAACATTTGTCCCTCTAATTTAAGACTATGTCCTCTTGTTGTGGTAGTTCTCCTTCTTTTAAATATAGTCTCCTCCTTTACTGTGTTGATTCCCTTTATGTATTTAAATGTTTCTATCATATCCCCCCTGTCTCGTCTTTCCTCCAAGCTATACATGTTAAGATCCTTTAACCTTTCCTGGTAAGTTTTATCCCGCAATCCATGAACCAGTTTAGTAGCCCTTCTCTGAACCCTCTCTAAGGTATCAATATCCTTCTGAAGATACGGTCTCCAGTACTGCGTACAATACTCCAAGTGAGGTCTCACCAGTGTTCTGTACAATGGCATGAGCACTTCCCTCTTTCTACTGCTAATGCCTCTCCCTATACAACCAAGCATTCTGCTAGCATTTCCTGCTGCTCTATTACATTGTCTGCCTACCTTTAAGTCATCAGAAATAATCACCCCTAAATCCCTTTCCTCAGATGTTGAGGTTAGGACTCTATCAAATATCCTGTACTCTGCCTGCGTGACTATAGTGTCCCTTTGAAAACAGCATGATGTACTTTAAGGGGAACTTCTCTGAAATTTGCACCATGAAATAAAACACTGAAAATGAAGCATAATGTATGCTAACCTTTCTTTCATGACATGCTCTGTTTGCTTTTACACTTATACTAAAGAATTATAAAATAAATATAATAATAATATCACAATCCAGTTTAGAAAAAGCAAAGTCACTGCAATTAGGGAAAATTATTAAAAGACACAGAACAAGTTAGCACTATATAAAAAATAATTTCTCTATGCTGACTAGGTGCAAAGGACAGAGCTTATAAAAATGATTAATAGGGAAGATGGAGGCATCAAAGGCATATTTTTCAGATTTCACAAATGCATATTTGTTAAATATAGGGATAAGTAAACATAATATTAAAAATCCTTGGAAATCACAGTTTGCTGTCATTGGGTTAGAATTGGATTGAGAACCGTAGAAGTTCCCATATCTATTAATTACGACTTGATCCCTATATTACTTTAATTGCCTCGAGTACTGTTTTTTGAACAACTTTTCACAGTCTTCTCTTCTAGAACTTTGAATATGTCCTCTAGTGACTGGTGCACGCACTGCACAAACTGTCCAACATCACGATCTGTGTATGCTCCAATGTTAAAAACCATTGAGTCATTGTGCATGCTGTATGAAATCCCAAATCCATCTGCTACTGGTGTTGCAAAACCCAAAAGATGGATAGCTGGACTGGTGAGAGTGGTGGTAGTGATGACGTTGTAGTTAATCTGAGCATAGGCAGGATCTTGATAGAACTCTGGGAGGGTCAGTCCATTGCTTTCTCTTAGGCATTTCATGGCATAAAGGTGTCGATCATACCCCTGCCCTGTAGGAGGAGAGATAAAAAAAAATAACCCAGAGAAGAATTATGCAAAACTGTTAAAAATAAATCTCATACAGGGTCTTCTTGAATTAACTGGGTTACGGTATTTCTTTGGTGCGACCTTGGAGTCACATGCCAAATCTGTAGTTGTAGGAATACTGATCTGTATTCCCAGTGCTAGAGTATTAATGTCCTTACTTCGTTTCTGGGCCACCCACGCCTGCATTTGCAAAACGAACAAAACCAAAAATAAATAATTTACTCACAAACTATAGCACTAAATTAGGGTGTTTTCTACTAAACAGCTGAAAGATCAAACGTTTAAAAAAATTTTTTTTCTTAATTTTGGTCTTTCAGTTGTTTAGTAAAATAGTGTAATTAATTATTAGGATTGCGCTATTAAAAAAAACAAAAACAACAAAATAAAAATATATTGTGATTCCCTCTACAATACATACTGTTGTGCCTTTATTCTCATTATAAAGATATAATATAGATAGTAAATACGTCACTAATGTGGTACCCTTAATTATGGAATTCCCACTTAATGATACCAAATTAGGGAGCCATCTACTAAAAAGATGACAGAGCACTATTTTTCTCTTCCAATTGCTTAGTAGACATGTCTCTAATTTGCTATCTTTATAAAAACAAATAGATCTAAAATAATCTGTTTTAATTTGTTCCAAATGCATCAAATTTGATTCAGAATAAATTAATTGTCTACTATTTATATTTCCTTAAACGGTTCACATGCTAGAGGGACCCGTCCAGGGCCTTTTGCTTAACTGAGTCTGTTATAGGATTACTGGTTGTACCCCCTTGATGATGGCCCTGATGGGGTACAGGGCTCATAGTAGTTTGGACTATGCAAATAAGCTAGTAATAAAATGAAACACATTAGTATGTTAAAGTTATTTTTCGAAACATTTGCTGAGAAATGCATTTCCATATGTTGATATTTTCCTAGCGTCTCAGTTTTTTGGGGGTTTTGTTGCTGCAGAATTCTATACTTTGCTCAACTATATTGAATCTTACCCATTGAAGCCTCCTGGATGAGTTGTTTGTGGTATTTTGAACATTCTTGCAGCATGCTACGGAGCTCAGCTACACTGTGTTTTGAAAGATTCCTTACAAAAGCTTCAGAGCATTTCTTGGTATAAACAGAGGCCGATCGTATGACCTCGGTGCGGCCATGTTTGAAAGCTGCTGTACTACAGGCCTCATATGTGGTCCTGGTGTGTCCGTATTGTCTGAAGTATGCCATCTGAAAGGAAAGCTGGGCTACTGCATCTGGGCTGATCTTCTGGGTCTGCAAGAACTCTTTCCCACCTCTTCTGTACTCCATGGGTACAATGGTGAATGAGCTCATAGTTGCATCAAACTTTTTTTTGGCGATGGAGATTGCAGATTTCAAAGAGTCATCAAGGTGGAAAACAAGTTTCTGTATAGCTTGGCTGGAGTCCACCTTAGCTGGGAGGGTTTGAGGAGATATTGCAGGTCTCTGGGTGCTATCCCTGAACACCTCATTCTGGAACCGTATGACAGTTATTCCATCTCCCCATGAGTGCTCAAAGTTCACAGCTGCTGTCCCATCTTGCGTCATGATGATGCTGAAGGACTTGTCGTACCACCGGTTCATACCTGATCCATGGAGCATATTGTGGGACAGGTGGACATCATCCTTAATGGGAAAGTCATCGAGACACAAGCAAAACACAGCAGAATCCACTTTTTTCAGGGCCTCTTCATTTCCGTTTTCAAGAAGTTTCTGTCTTAAAACAGCCCACGTGTTTCTTTCTTCACTTGTGAGATATCCCAAAGGAAACTCCGGAGCAGGGGTGGCATCCGATAGGATATACTGCAAGTGGGCGTGGATCTCTGAAGCCTTCACTATGTTCCCATCTTTGTCAATGACATCGAACACATAGAAATTCCCATTCCTTAACACCAACAGGTGCTTTCCGTTCTCATCTGCCACCAGTTCATCACGGTTAAGTTTCGGCAGACGAGTGGAGTTAAAGAGCCAAACAAATGGTGACATATCCATAGGGTAAGCATTCGCCATGTGTGCTGGACACCCAGGCAACAAGGATGGCACAAACCTGATAAAATTCTTAAACCCCTGTGTGTCACGTTTGTCTGGATTAATGTGTAAAATCTCAGGTTCAAGGTAACCTGCTTGAACAGTCTTCAGGAATCGCATGGCAGACACAACCATGTTAGTGGATCTGATCAGCTGGTTATTATATTCTGGCTGAGGGTCAGGGGCGAAGGACATGAAGGGATTAAAGTTCAGCACAATGGGTTCACGAGCACATAGATACATATCAAGCCAGTAATCTGTAAATAGAAAGGAGAAAATAATAATTAATTTACTTGGGGAATCAAATACAGCTATGCTCAAATAATTAATAAATCTTAATTTGTACCGAGAAAACGCTTTAGATCTGAATTATCTAAAAATCAGAGTTCACTATAGCCAAGACAGATCTACATTAAAGAAAGGGTCAACTATGGGGTAAAATTACCTTTTATGTTTAATTAATTACACAGATAAGTGTTAACCCTTTTCATAAAATGCTGTGTTTTCTTTCATATTTATTGTAAAGAATTAGTAAATTACATCACAATCTAGTTCGCTCCTGGCACAGCAAGGAGGGAAAACAAGAATATATATATATATTTTTGTTTCTTCTCCTCTCTGCATGCTTTATCTATGCTGAGTGACCCATGTAAATAGCGAAGCTTATAACAATGATGGACAAGGAGCTAGGATGGAGGCACTCAGAGCTAAACACAACATTGTGGGAAAAAAAGGATAATTAAACAAGAAGTTCTAATATGTATGCAGTTGCTTGGAATGTCTTCTTGCATAGTTTGCATTTGTAAAATTTGATTGAAGTGGTCTAGGTGCAATGGTCCTGAGCTTGTAACCGTGCAATGTAAAACATCGCAGTGTTCAACCACTTAACAACCACATAATGGTCTATGGCAATGTTTGATTGAAGGGTTAAATGATCCAAGTGGCTGTCTTCCTGGCAGCCACTGGAGGCACTAGCATTGCAATGACGGAGTTTCACTCTGTCATGTAACGTTTGATGTCCATGAAGACACTGAACGTCATCAAATGCATTCCGTGTTTCCCCGTGCGAAGCATTGGATTGGACAAGAAGCCAAGAAGTGACAACTCCAGGATGACGTCACAGAAGGAGATGCTAGCTGCAACACCAAGTAAGTCTCAGAGCTGGATAAAAGATAAGCAAACATTTTTATCACTATTGTTTCACAGGACAAAAGAAAGGGCTGTGGTGGCTGAATCTAAATAGGGATTAGGACATTATGGTTGTAGAACGATAAAAACCCAAGGGCAGAGTACAGAATATTTGATAGAGTCCTAACCTCAACATCTGAGGAAAGGGATTTAGGGGTGATTATTTCTGATGACTTAAAGGTAGGCAGACAATGTAATAGAGCAGCAGGAAATGCTAGCAGAATGCTTGGTTGTATAGGGAGAGGCATTAGCAGTAGAAAGAGGGAAGTGCTCATGCCATTGTACAGAACACTGGTGAGACCAGGGTAGTGGATGCATGGAATAGCCTTCCAGCTGAAGTGGTAGAGGTTAACACAGTCAGGGAGTTTAAGCATGCGTGGGATAGGCATAAGATATCCTAACGATAAGATAAGTATTTTGAAATATTTGGCAGACTTGATGGGCCGAATGGTTCTTATCTGCCTTCACATTCTATGTTTCTATGTAATACATCTTTGCTATAGTTCGTTTAATGCTGAATTTTGCTTTGTGCAGATCGGTATCCTCCTGAATCTTATTCTTACCATAAACATAACTTGTGTGTTCATTCTGTTTGTCGTGCAACAACAGTTCCTCGTGAAGCTGCTTTCCGATCCCATTCTGGAAGCTCTTCGCCAGCTGCTCAGTCTTCCTAGAACATTAACAGAACAATTCTATGTGTTGTCAAGATATTTTGAAGAAGAATCATAGATTCACACTATTAAAATGACGCTCACAGCACACAGTCACACACTGTTGGACTATAAGGTAAGTACCTGAATTGTTCAGAATCCAGAAGAGGTGTCTGTGCATTCAAATATCTTTTTATAGAATCTTCAAGTTTTGGAATGGGTAACCTGCAAACCAAGACACAATGATATTATTTTCTAAATGGTAAGATGATTCAGCCTGTATCACGATTGAATGTCTAGCAAGTTGCTGCAGAAGCAAGCGGGTAGGAGAAGGGAACTCCTTACATACTGACTGTTGTGTAACAGAGTGCATTTTATATTTTCAGGGAGATTTTCAAGACAAGAACAGGTGCCATTCTGGGGCAAAGTGCTAAATATGGAGCAGTTACCATGGAAACCAATAGAATTTCTCTCAACTTTGAGTACTTTGCACCTGAAATAGTGCCTTGATAAATCTTCACTTTTATCTTCTAATTTCAAACAATTTTTTTTTTTTTTTTTTTTTAAACACAGGTATATAATCCTAAATTAAGCTTTTTGAGGAGCTGACTAATAATTCCTAAGCTATTTTTTTTTTCTTGTCATGTACTCTGTGGAAATCTGACCTTTTTTTCCGCATGAGGACTTTTTAAAAAAAAATTGATTTAGTTTTTTTAACTAAAAAGCAAGGTCTTCTGAAATTAACAAGGTTTTTTTTTTTTTTTTTTACTGTAATTCACAGAAAAAGCAGTGATAACAGAAGAAATGTAAGCTTGATGTTTAAGGCAGTGAGTGCAAAAATCAAAAAATGTCTTCAGTACCCAGGTGTGACATGGCTTAGCACCTAAGGGGTTAAACATTCCTCTCGCCATGAGCGATTTACATTTCTATTCTGCAATGGGGAATATGTGCTCTGATATCAGAAACATATTAACGGAACTTGCCAAACACCATAACCACTAAAGCATGCTGTATTAGTTATGGAGCCAGAGGTGCCTCGGCAACCCCAAATGGAAGTAGTCAAACCATTTGCTTGCAGTGAGGTTTTGTGATATGCCAGTCACTGTATCTACCACTGCTTTAAGATCTCTTCACTGAGCTCAGCTTGGCAATGCAGGGCTTAGCTTAATACCTGAGACCGGCGTCTGGTAAAACCTAGGTAAGAAATCAAACCATTGATTGGTGTGCTATCAATCCTAGCACCATATCAACTTTAGAAACTATGTGCTTCCTTATATGACTTGGTCTCCGGGATCTATGGATACTCTAGAACAGGGTTCTGATGTTGCTGAACTCCCATTATTCTCTGGCTATCTATTTCATTCAAAGAATCATGGAAGTTGTAGTCCCGCAACATCTGTAGGCCTGAGATTGGGGAACCCTGGACATTGAGTGCCACTTCAGAGGTCGCTGAGTGTTCAAAGTGTCATCTGTGTCGTAAGTTATAATGACTGGCTGGGGCCCTCGTAAAGTTATCTTTTCTTAGTGAGTGTCTCAAATTTTGTGGATTTTTTTTCATTACGTGCAATGCATATGCTATGGATCTGCAGGTGATTTTGTCCCTGTCATCCTTAGTCCTGCAATGTAAAACATTGCAGTTTTAGAGAAACTACAGTGTTTACATTGCAATACTAAGGCTGCCTCCAGTCGCTGTGTACCAGAGAGCCACTAGAGACGCTTCCGGGAGTTTCAGGGAGTTTGACTCTGTGATTCGACACTGGACGTCCTCACGCTTTGCATTCAGGCATTGCTTTATTGTGTTGGGAAGGTCTAATGTGCGCCCGTCGCTTGCTGCGCATGCGCATTAGGTCCCCCAATGAGATAACATCGGAGAGGGCACTGTACTGTTAGGAATACAGCTTTGTATTCCTAAAACAATAATTTTCCTTTAAGAAAACTGAGCTGTTTTTTTCTAGTTCAAAGATTTTGCAGATTGGCGCTGGTTAGCTTATGGACAGTTTTATGTCAATAATTATTCAGCATTTGGAACAATATAAATGGACATAATGATTGTTGTAGAGTTAATCCATCACTTAATAACAATTATCTCCAAACCGATTAAATTATTTATAAAATAAAAGTAAGCCTGTAAAAGAAAATATAATTAAGCTAAATCACTAAATGTGAAACATCCACGTAAGAACATGCGCACTTATTATTACATTCAATGCAAATTACCCCTTTATTTTTCTTTAACCTGATTTTTTCACATCTTTGTTATTTTGTCCACAATTTGCTAGCTGGCAGTGAGTTCACTACAGGTCGCTGTTTAGTGAATAAAGCAGTTACAAACTAACTGAATGAAGATGAATGGAATCATGTAATTTGTCGCCTCATTCCTCACCTGGGCAGGTGTTCTTGGAAGTACATTGTGGGAATGCTGCTATTCTGCAGGTATTCTGTGTCAATGCTTCCTGTGCTGTACGCTCTGAGCAGAGTACAGAATGGGGAGCAAGCAGCATCTCCTCTCCTAAAACAGGACTTGGTCAGTAAGCGAGCCATGAACACTTCTGGATGGAGGAACAATGAGACCTAAATGGTGCTTTAAAAAGAGATACCGGGACTGGAACATGACAGGTACTTTGTCTAGAAATTAGATATTCATCACTTACAAGACCAATGTTTCATTTTTTTAATCATACATGTAAATGCCGGACACGGAACCTGACGTGTAAACATGGCTTTGATTTTCAGCTGAAGAGGCTTGCATTTCTTTGCTTGACCTTAAGTCAATTGGTCTACAGACTACATTATACAGAGCTCCAAACAAAATCTTACCATTGTAAGATTACTCTCTCTCCTTCCACTATTCCGTGGTCCGTATTTTAACACGGGCATATTATCCATCAATCCCTCCTGCCCTTATTGATTCTAAGTTCATTTGAGCTGACCCTACTTTACTGCTTGCCTCTGAGAATATTATGTATGCTAATTACTTGTCAAATATCCCCATTCTATAATTGTAACGCACTGCAGAATATGTTGGTGCTATAGAAATAATAATAATATACTGTTGTGACTAATACTGGACACTGTATAGTTTTCTACCCACCACACCATGTGTTATTTCCTGAGTGTGAGATCAGATGCTTCACATGTGCACCAACACACATTTGTTCTGGGAGCCCTGAAACAATGCTATCATACCGTACATCACAATCAGATATATTAAAAATCCAGATGTATATTAAAAAATGTCATCCAAACCCACCCTTTCCCCCCAAGACAGAATGCTACAATAGTTATGGTGCCAGGAATGTAGTCAAACTGTTTGCATACGGATTGACAACCTACCTGAGGTCTGCACGGCACCAACCACCTCCTGTAGTAGACCAAAAAGTTCTCTGTATTGAACTAAGATTGGCACTCGCTAAGCTAACGCAAGTTCCAGGCAGGAGCGTCCAGCTCTCCTGGAGGCTGTGACCCAAGGTAAGTTCAAACAATTTGCAAACAGTTTGACTACTTGTGCCTGTGAGCTCCTGTCACTATTACCTGTACAGCACACTGTAGTGGTTATGGGGCTTAGAGTTTCCCTTCCATAAATAAAATATAAATTAAAGAACATGAAATATATAACATTAGACAACTACAACGCTGCTCTTCGTGGTCACAATTTTATAATAATTCTTACTACCCAATGATTGACTTCCCATTTGCATTGGCAGTGATTTTAACAGTTTCAAATAGGTTTCTAGATCCAGTTTTGGACATGGTTTGAATGTCTGATATCTACATGCCCTCCAATGTTGACACACATCTTAAGGTTAAAAAAATTAAAAAGGAATATTTATTTGGAAATCTTTTCCAGCAAATCTGCTCTTATTATACACTCCCTGTATGCTATTAATGTTGCTGTTGGACTGTGGTATTTCTTAATGGGCAAACTACTGTATTTATTAAAAGTCAAAAATGACTGTGGTAGTTATTTAACTTACTGTGGTATTTATTAATGGGGAAACTGACTGTGGTATTTATTAATGGACCAGCTTACTGTGTAACATATTAGTGGGCACCACTAGCGTACATACCAAGTTCGCAGGGGTTGCAGCTGCGACTGGGCCCATCACTCCAGGGGGCCTGGCCGCCCTGCAGACCCCTGCAACCGCCTGCCTGCCCCGGGGGAGCCCAAAGTGGCCAGCTAGCCAGTTCTTCGGCTCCCAGAAAAGGTATTTGCCTGGGCATTTGGGGGGGCTGTACGTCCGGCTGCCTCCCTGCCCAGCAGCGCCACTGGACCCTAGGTGAGAAATCCACCCAGCTATCCCAAACGTAGGGAGGCTGGGTGAATTTAAATGTAAAAAAAATATTAATAATAATTGTGAGTGTGGGGAAATGTGTGTGTCAGTGAATGTGAGTGAGTGAGTGTGTGTCAGTGAATGTGAGTGAGTGTGTGTTAGTGAATGTAAGTGTGTGTGTGTCAGTGAATGTGAGTGTGTGTGTGTGTCAGTGAATGTGAGTATGTGTGTGTCAGTGAATGTGAGTGTGTGTGTCTGTGAATTTGAGTGAGTGTGTGTCAGTGAGTGTATGTGTGTTAGTGAATGTGAGTGTGTGTCAGTGAATGTGAGTGTGTGTCTGAATGTGAGTGTGTGTGTCAGTGAATGTGAGTGTGTGTCTGTCAGTGAATGTGTGTGTGTGTGTGTCAGTCAGTGAGTGCGTGCGTCTGTCAGTGAGTGTGTGTCCGAGTAAGTGTATGTCTGTCTATCAGTGTGTCAAATCAATGAGTGTGTGTATGTCGTTCTTTGTCAGTGTATATGAGAGTGTGTGTCTGTCAATGAGTGTATTCATCTATCAGTGAGTGTGTGCGTCTGCCAGTCAAAGTGCGGCCTTGACGGGAAGGGGTGGGGAAAATTTAAATTGGGTAGGGCGGGGAGGAGGTGGAGCCCGAGCACCGTCCTGCCTAGGGCAGCACAAATTCTAAATACACCACTTGTGTGTGTGTGTGTCTGTCTGTCTATATGTATGCCTGTCTGTATGTGTGTGTGTCTGTCTGTGTCTGCCTGTGTGTGTGTGTTTGTGTCTTTGTATGTGTGTGTCTGTCTGTGTGCCTGTAGGTGTGTGTGTGTCTGTCTGTATGTATGTGTCTGTATGTGTGCCTGTCTGTTTGTATGTATGTGTCTTTGTGTGTCTGTCTGTTTATATATATATATATATATATATATATGTGTGTGTGTGCCTGTCTGTATGTATGTGTTTGTCTGTGTGTATGTATCTGTCTGTCTGTATGTGTCTATGTGTGTGTGTGTGTCTCTATGCATGTATGTGTGTGTGTGTCTGTCGGGAGTGGTGGGGAGTGTGGGGAATAGGGAGGGTTGGGCCAACGGATTGTGTGTACGCCACTGTTGGGGACCTGGCTTGGCATATGTTTAATGGGCATATACGCTGACTGTGGCATGTTCTGTTCGGCAAAGTGACACTGTTCTGTGTCTGCACTTTATTACTCCCTTTTTTTTATATATACACAAGTACTCCTCACTTAACGACCCGGTTGTAGAACAAATTGGTCGGTAGGTGAGGAGTTAAGGGATTCCCTGCTCTTGTGCGTTTGTCTATGTTCGGGGAAATTTCCCTGAACATAGATGAATGTAGCAGAGCATGGAATCCCTCTAGTCCCCATGACAGCTCGTACTTACCACCCCACTAAAGAGAGCTGGTCGTAAGTGCGAGCCGTCGTAAAACAGGTTGGTCGCCAAATGAGGACCACCTGTATATTATACCTTGTGGTGTGCTGGGAAGAGCTTTAGTGTGCCTTGGGTGAGAAAATGCAGAGGAATACTGCTATAATCCCATCACACCCAGCCCAATAACATTACTCATCCTATAATCTCCTCATCACTCCCAGGTCCAATCACTTTACCTCATCACAAAATCCCATCAATCTGGGTCCCAATCACAAAACCACATCCTATAATACCAGCAACGCAAAACAATCCCAAATTCCTGCAAGAAACATGAAACACATTCATTTATAGATATCTGTTTAAAGGGCCACACATCCATAGAGAGCATTTAAAAGTGATACACATTAATGGTGACACTTCAATGGTCCTTCAACATACATACACAGCGTGCACAGACAGTTTTAAAATGCCGCCTGGTGGCAATCTGTGAACCATCTCCAACAAATAAATAAATAGTTAAAAAATATAAATAAAATGCAGGATGAGCACTCCTAATATTGTTCCCCTAATTTTTATGTTATTCTGTGTTTGCACTGAGGCTGAAATCATTTCCTATTTTTTTTTTTTTTTGTAATACATTTCCTTTTTATTAATTAATTATACAAACAAATACATCATATATATCAATACAGCACCATATCAAATATACATAATTGCATTGCATTGCTAATTTCCTATTTTAATGTGCCCCTGCCTGGCCGATGCTAGTACTACCCCAGTGATACCCCACACCAACCCCAGTCATACCTGTCCTTCTCCGATCTCTTCTCTCTGTCTGCAGTCTGTCTCCTGTCTCTGTCGGTTTCTTTTATATTTTGCCCCAAACATTCTCCTCCCACTGCCCCTCTTTTACTTTTTCCCTAAATCCCTCCCCCTCTCAACTTGTAAGTATTGTGAATAAAATACAGAATTACAGAATTCAGGATTAAAGAGCCAAGCTAGACTGCTAGCTCAGTTATTTTTTAAGGGTGAGGTCTGGTATGCCCATCTCTAATTACTGCCCCACAACATACCCAGACTACTCTACATTCCCTCAGGTACACACTAACAAGATGCACACTGAGGGCATCCCTTGGGCACATACACAGAACATGATGCACACTGAGGGCATCTCCTGGGCACATACACAGAACATGATGCATACTGAAGGCATCCCCTGGGCACACACACAGTAACACAATGCACACTGAGGGCATCCCCTGGGCACACACAGTAACACGATGCATTCTCTGTGTCTACACAATGACACTATTTCAAGGCAAGCACACAACGAATATCACTTACCGAGTACACAGAGCGAGAACCAAGTATATACAGCAGTTACAGCCGAGTACACCATGGACACAGTGAGAACAAATTAAGAGAGTATCCCGTGCACACAATGATTACCCATTAACTCATTATGGACTAATGCCATTCTCCATGGCATGACTTGGCAGCTTGACACAGCTCGGACTTTATGCACTGGTATACATTATGTAAGTCCAGTACTTCCAGAAGTCAGGAAGATGTTTTGTGAAAAAGGGAGACATGGCTTCGGGGGTGGGGTTATGCTACAGTGAGTACGTTTTTATTTTTAACCAAAACTACAGAGATTTATACGTGTCGAAAAATACATTATTAGGGTTATTCCCTAAAGTGTGAATTTAAAGTTTAGTAGAAAACTGGAAGCAGTCCAAATTTTCCAAATTGCCTCTTTTGGCCTTAAATTAGAAATTTACTTTGAATTCTCACTTTAGTGAATATAGTATGGCTATAAGGCCACAGCATATCTAAGGCTCTTAAAGGACAACTGTCACCTCAAAACAATTTAATATATAATAATCCTTTCATAAAGTTTTGCTAAACAATGCTGAACAGTCACAGCAAGCATTTGCTCCTCTACAATCTCAACATATAAGCTTCTAAAATGCTATTTTAAGCAGAATATGTATTCCTTATACTATAGGTTTAAACAGCTGTGTAGTCCATCAGACCCCCCCTTATCTCTGCTTAAAATGGTGATTTACCTTTTTACAGCGCTGCACGGGTCTGGTCACAGATGGCCCACCCTTGCTCCACCCCCTTGGCTGAGATTATCACACATAGGAACGCATTTGGAAGCTTTCAAGCATGCGCTGCAAAACATCGGCTGTGCCAATCAGCATCTTCTCATAGAAATGCATTGACCCAGTGTATTTCTATGGGGCACGTTCAGCGTCTCCATGCAGAGCTTGGAGACGCTGAACGTAATTTCTGCACTTTGTGCACCACTGACCCAGGAAGCACCTCTAGTGGCCGTCTCTGAAAAGGCAGTGTTTACATTAAAAAGCCTGCAGGGACTGACTATACTCACCAGAAGAAAAAAACATTAAGCTGTTGTTGTTCTGGTGATTATAGTGTCCCTTTAAGCTTCTCTATACCAGTGTCACTGCTCATCGGGCAACCGAGTTGCAAGCTGAAGTTCCTCTGTCTGGACCGTTGGGGCTAATCCTGGTCCCCACCAAGAAAGATCTTTCTTACCTACTCTTGGGCATACTCAAACACGCCAGCTCCCACACATACAAAATGGCTGATTCCTATGTCTCTGTTAAGCTCCCAGAGAAGTAGAATAGACAGCAGTGTGACAAAAGCTTTTGTGAGATATTTGATGCCTGCATGCAATTCTGGAAGATTGAATCAACCCAGTCCAATTGTTGCAGTTTGTGCCAAACTACTACTCAACAGCGGGCCTTGGTTCCGTAACCCCTTCCTGGGCAAGGAGCCACAAGGGAGTTTCCATCCAAACACTGTCCACATACCTGGGAGATCCACCATTGTCCAGGAGTTTCTCAGAACCATGCCCTGGTTATAGGGTGCGTGGCTCATCGACATAAGGTGCTGGCTCCTAATAAAGCCAAGGGCTGGAACATAGCTGCTCACGAGCAATATGGAAGGTACCTGGAGGAGGGCTCCTACTATACCCCGCATCTATCTGGGAACTATTAGACACTTTCTTCAAGCACAGGAATATGGTGAATAGGCTGACTCTGCACGGACTCATAACTAGGATGGGCTGTCTGGCTATGGCTCTCTACCAATATCCAACTAAACAGTTAATTTTCATTACTTTCTTTACTGTTATTTACTTATATCTTAGTTTATTTGCAGATGGGCAAATCGCAGTATATATTTGCAGCCCAGCACTCTATCTACTTGGTGGGTCTATCACTCTAATACCTAGCTTAATAGAACGCAAATCTTGTTATTGTACTAAAACAGCAAAATTAGGTATCACTTATGTTTCTGTTTTATGAGAAGTTACATATGTTACTACTGGTAACACCTTCGTTTCTGTATTCTGTACAAATACTTCAATAAAAAAGTAAATGACAGAAAAATGATGTATGTATAAAAATATTTTTTAGAAAAACTCACCCTTTAGTAATTGCTGCTCCAACCTACTTTTCCTCCCTAATACACATATGTGTCACACCTTGACCCCTGCACTCTGCCCAGACCGTCGCCTGTCCTTTGCTCGTACACCTCTGATGCTCGTCTTCAAGACTTCTCCAGGGCTCCACCGTTCCTGTGGAACTCCTTTCCTTTCTCCGTTAGACTTTCACCCAGTCTCCATTCCATTAATTAGACTGTTAACAGCTTTCCCTCCCTGCACCGTCTCCTCTCCTGCAACTGTCAAATATAATCTGCTAAACCCTCAGTGATTACTTTTCTAGCAACCTACATTTCTACCCCTACCTTTACCCTTTGTGTCATTATACCCCACTCCCTCTAGCATGTAAGCTCATTGAGCAGGGCCGTCAACCCCTCTGTCCCTGTGCGTCCAACTTGTCCGGTTACAACTAAATGTCTCTTAGTCCACCCATTGTGCAGCGCTACGGAATTTGCTGCTGCTTTATAAATAATAATAATATGACAGGATCCGTCTGCAATATATATACCTGTGAACTGACAGTTAGTCTCTATAGTCTTCTCTGCTTCTGTCAGTTTTCTTTTTTATATGAAAAAATAGTTTTGAGATGACAGTTGCCTCTTAAGTTGTTTTGGCTATTTACTTTTATCGCTTTTAAAGTGGTAATAATTGCAGTCATTGGAGAGAATCCCGAAAGGGTTGACATTAACCAATTTAAAAAAAATTCTGCAATAAATTATAATGTGTTCTGTTATTTATATAGTAAAATGTAAGTGTTCATAACACTTTGCATATAGTCTCAATTCAATGCATCTCTAATTTCATATGTATGTTGTTGTTGTTCAAATATCTTCTGATGTATTGTAAATATACTTATGGTAAAATGTCCTATGTTTGGAGCTGCTGAACATCCAATCCTTTTAGATAACTAAGTACAAATATCGCTGCCACATACAAGATGGCTGATTCCTGTGTCTCTGCTAAGCTCCCAGAGAAGTAGAATAGACAGCAGTGTGACAAAAGCTTTTGTGAGGCATCTGATGCCTGCATGCAATTCTGGAAGATTGAATCAACTTAGTCCAACTGTTGCAGTTTGTGCCAAACTGCTACTCAACAGCGGGCCTCGGTTCCGTAACCCCTTCCTGGGCAAGGAGCCACAAGGGAGTTTCCATCGGAACACAGTCCATATACCTGGCAGATCCACCATTGTCCAGTAGTTTTTTAGAGCTATGCCCTGGTTACAGGGTGCATGGTTCATCGACATAAGGTGCTGGCTCCTATTAAAGCCAAGGGCTGGAACTGTCCCACTGTCTGCAAAACTTAGTTAAATGAACTCTCTATATATATTAGGTATACAAAACAGTATTCTTGACATTATAGTGTTCCTGCCTCTAGTCAGAAATAGATCATCTTCAGTTCATAATAATAAAAAAAAAAATAATAATAATAAAGCTTTACTTACCTCTTTGCCTCCTGTGACATCACGGAGGAGACATGGCATTGGGGACATAACGCGCATGTGTGTGGGGAGTGCTCCACTTACATTCAAACTTCTCCATAGGAAAACATTGATTCAGTTGCATTTCTACAGGGGCTTCGGCATCACGAGTCATACTGACTGCCACTAGAGGTAGGCTTAACCCTGCAATGTAAGTATTGCAGTTTTTAAATAAAGGACATGGGCCCTGCACCCAGATCACGTCACTGAGTTGAAGTGGTCTACGTGACTATAGCGTATCTTTAAGTTTATAGATTCATTCATTTATAAGAGAAGCCTCTGTGTTTTGTAATGTGGGTTTAGCACTTTGAGAGAAAAGCAAGATTTAAAAAAAAAAAAAAAGTGTGTACAGTTGGTTCGAAAGGAATGTGTGAAGCGTACGTAAGGCCCCAATTTAATTTTTAACACATAAATATTTCATGAATGAGGGGGTTGACCTGACACACTTTTCATGGTTCATTTGAAGATCCATCCATCCATCACAGTTGTGCCACACATGAAAAAAGAAAACAACTTGACTCCAAAAGTGTGGTCAAATGTCTCCTTGGATAATTACGCCGATAGAAAACTTTTACAGCCTTTAATATTCTGCTTTCCAAAACAGCATCCGAACCTGTTTAAACCATCACTTAGCTGGCAAGCACAGAGAGAGATGTAAGACCTGTACAATTCAACCCAAAAGGCTCTTTTTCTGCAATATTAAAACTCTGTTTCTAGGCACCATTTATATATAAAAGCAAGTGGGAAAAGCAAGTCTTATGGCTTGACTGGTGAGCAGATTTTTGTTTAACATTGTATTAACTATCCACAGACTTCAGGTGGAAGGGGTTTTCAATCACAATTTTTCCCCACCATAACCTTTTTGGTTTTTGCTTCCCAAGCACTACCAAGCCTCAATAAGCAAGCCAGTAACCAACCTCAAGCTGAAGAGTTGCATTAACAACGAAACAGCTGTCAGCTATATCAAGAGATGCCACGGTGGGCTTGCTTCAGGCCTACCTTGAGTCGCATGGAGCCAGCTCCCGCAACTGCTTCTTAGTGACCTGCATGTATGGAGTTCCTTTTTGGGAAACTATAATGGTCACTTGTGTTGGTTCTGGGAAGCGACGTCCAACTTGAAGTTAGATCTTTTCACGAATATGTCAGGTTCTGTTGTGTTTGGTGCATATTTTCAGGGCCAGTGGAGTGTTGAAGAGTGGCCAGCCAGCTGGCGGAATACGGAGCTAATACGAAATCTTATGTTCTTGGAGTTGTTTCAAATTGTAGTTTTGGGGTGATGAACTTTTGAAATCATACTGTTGTTTTGCACATGGACAACATGAGCATTGTTCATTTGATCAGACAGTCTTCTTTGGCTTTCCCTCCGGTTTTGGTGTTGCTGTGGCGGTTGGTTTTGTTGAGTTTGCAGTTTAATGTATAGATCAAAGCTTGTCATGTTCCTGGCTTCTTAAATGTGGTGGCTGACTTTCTTTCTCGGTTTCAGTGGGCCCATTTTCGGGAGTCGGTTTGAGGTGACATTATTGTTTTTATCGGATGTGAGGTGGTCCAAATTATCTGTGGATAGTTTGGTTTGCTGTTCAAAGACAGACCGGTTAGGAAAAGGTTTGAGGGTCTACCGGGGCTAGGTTTTGTCCTGTTCAGATGTTTTTTTTTTTTTATTTGACAAATTTTTATTTTTCATTGTCGGTAAATATAGACATAGGTAAAATAGGGATACAGAAGAAAAGGAGGGAATAGGAACATTTAACATCATATTTGTCTGACCCCAAATTAACAATGTACATCGCCAGATCTAGTTATGCAGGCATCAAGTACAATTAAACAGTTTAACATTGTATTCATATATGTTAATTCAGTTCCTGCTTACTGAAGGTATCGTGTGTACCATTTTAATTACAATGTACATGCGTAGTAATGGTGGTGCCAGCGACATGTCACGGTAAGTCTGTTCTTTCCAATAGGGGGGCTTGGAGTGCTAGTTATGTGAAAAAAGGGGAAAAAAACTGTTTGGGGGGGTGGAGGAAAAAACAAGGGGGAAAGAGGAATTTGGTTAGTTTGGTCGCAGAATTTGTGATCGATTTTGTCTAGATTGTGATGCACTTAGGTTTGATTATGAGGTTGTGGGAATGCTTGTATGATGCTTAGTCTTCAACTCCCATTTATTCCATGCCAGAGCCCAGAAGTTTTTCTTTGTTTGCGCTTTCCTTGCTGCTGTTTCATACCGTTTGGTAGTTTCTACCACCTCTATACATGTTTGTATACAGGGGGGTGTATCATTCAGCCAGTTCCTACTTATGGCTGTTAAGGCAATAATAATATGGTATGCCAGATATTCGTTCGGTTTCTGTAGTGTTTTGGGCCATATGAGTAACAGATAAGATAGTGGAGTGTGCGGTAACTTTACGCCTGTGGTGTCCTCTATGAGGCTTGAGACGTCTAACCAGAGTTTTGTCAGTTTCATGCATCCCCACCAGATATGGGTCATAGACCCAGGCTCCACGCCACATCGCCAGCATACATCTGGTTTGGTAGAATCTATCCTATGCAGCTTTGAGGGCACCATATACCACCGATATAGGAGCTTCCTGCTTATTTCTATGTGTGCTGTGTTTAATGTGAGCGTTTTATGTGCTCTCTGTGTCTGAAGCCATTCTTCAGGCGTCAGTGTGTGGTCCAGTTCCCTTTCCCATGTTTTAATAAAGTTGAGTTTTTCTGTGGTTGTGCTGTGTTCAAGCAATCTATATAGAGTGGACAGTAGTCGTGGTGGTGGTTTGCCCGCCATACATAAGATTTCTATCTCGTTAAGTACATAGCCCCGTGTCTGGGAGTTGTCATAGTGTTTGGTTACCAATGATTTCAATTGTAGGTACGAGAAGAAGAGTGTGGAGGGTAGATTGTATTTGTTACATAGCGAATCATAATCGCTTGTATGTCCGTTTGTTAGTATCTGTGATATGTAGGACACTCCAAGGGAGTTCCAGGTTTTATAGTCAAATCCTGGGATCAAAACATTTAGTGCCCGGAGTTGAAGGTTTTGGGAGAATTGCGCCTTTTTGTTTTGTTTTTTGACCAGATTGTCCCATATTTTGAGTGTAGCTATTGTGGTTGGGCATATGTTTTTATAGTGTGGCCTTTTGTCCACAGGTATCCAGGCTAGGGCGTGTAGCGGCATTCCCTCGGTGTATGCCGCTTCTATTTAGTTCCATGCAAGTGGCGTTTTGTGGTGGTGTATGTTTACAAGTGTGCTTATCATAGCTGCCTCATAGTATCTTGAGATGTTTGGGACCCCCATTCCGCCAAGTCTGAAGGGTTTGTATAGAATCTCTGCTGCTGTTCTGGCTTTTTTCCCACCCCATATAAATTTATTTAGAGAGCGCTGGGCGTCCATGAGAAATAGTTTTGGGAGAGCTATCTGTAGGGTTCTGAAAAGGTATTGTAGACGTGGCAATACCATCATTTTTGCCGCTGTGATTCTGCCCATCCACGACACGTATTTCCCCTTCCAGCCCTGTATTTGATTTTTTATCTCCCGGAGCAGCTTCTCATAGTTGGCCTGGTACAGTTTACGCGTGGTTGGCGTGAGTGATATGCCTAGAAAAGTGAGGTGGTCGCGTCTCCAGTCATATGTGTATTTACTCTGTAAATTTTGGAGCCTTGGGATTTGTATGTTGAAGCTCATGGCCTGGGTCTTAGTGACATTTAGTTTGTAGTATGAGCAATTGCTAAATTGTTGTATTACTGTCTGTAATGTTGGTAGTGATATCTCAGGTTTGGTTAGGGTCAGCATCACATCATCAGCAAACAGCGTGATTTTGTGCGTTACATTGCCAATTGTTATCCCGTGTATGTTTTGGTTTTCTCTGATGTGTTGAGCTAGTGGTTCCAGAGCTAGAATATATAACAGGGGTAACAGTGGACATCCCTGTCGGGATCCGTTCGATATTCGGAATTGTCTGGAAGCGAAGCCTCCATTTATCACCTTCGCAGTTGGTTCGTTGTATAAGGCCGAGACTAATGTGAGAAAGCGTTGTGGGAAGTGATATTTCTGAAGTACGGCTTCAAGGTATCCCCAGTGCAGCCTGTCAAATGCTTTCTCAGCATCTAGTGACAGGACTACGCTAGGTTCCCGGGTTTGTTGGATGGTGTGGATGAGGTCAATTAGTTTTCTGGTGCCGTCGGAGCCCTGTCTGCCCCTGACGAATCCCACCTGATCGTTTTTTATTAGAAATGGTAAAAAATTCCCCAATCTAGTTGCATATATTTTTGCCATTATTTTTAGGTCTGTGTTCAATAATGAAATTGGGCGTAAGTTTTGGCATTTGTGTGGTGGCTTACCAGGTTTGGGTAGTGTTGTTATATGTGCAATCAACATCTCTTGGGGAGGGATTCCAGTGGATAGGATATGATTGTATAAGTTCACTAGGTGAGGTGCCAGCGTGTGGGAAAAAGTCTTATAATATAGGTTCGTAAACCCATCTGGACCTGGGGATTTCCCTTTAGGGAGCATTTTTATCGTCTGTTGTATTTCACTAAGTGTGATGGGTTTTTCCAGTTCTAGTTTGTTATGCAATGTTAGGTTAGTTAGCTGTACTTCCCTTAAGAAGTCCGCTATGTTAGATGTGAGAGGCTGGTGTGTGTTGCCGTCGTTTTTTAGATTATATAACCCTTCGTAATAGTCCGCCATCATATTATTTATGTCCTGTGGGTTATAGATTTTGTTTCCCTGCTCGTTGAAGAGGAAGGGTATTTTGGCATTCAGTTGTTTCTGTCGGAGTGTTGATGCCAGTGCCATCCCTGCCTTATTTCCTTGTGTATATGAGATGAGTTTTAGTCTATGCATGATGTTCATTGTCTTTAGTATATGTGTGTCATTGATTTGTTTCTGTATGTGTTGTATGTGTTGTTGTCTGTCCGGTGATGGCTGTGAGATTTGGGCTCTAGTTTCATCTCTAAGGGATCTAAGTAGGTGTACGTACTCTTGATTTGACTTGCGCTTGAGATAGGATGCTCTACTTATGAGATGTCCACGTATAACTGCCTTATGAGCTTGCCACACAGTGGCAGGTGAGATATCAGGAGTGTTGTTTTGTGAAAAGTATGATATTATTTCTGAGTTTAGCTTGTGGCTAAATTCCGGATTTTGTAAAAGAGTGTCATTTAAACGCCAGGGTGTTGTTCCTCGGAAAGCAAAATTATCTTTGATTGTTAGCCCGACAGCAGCGTGGTCCGACCAGGTTATATCGCCTATATCGCTATGGGTTGCGTGTGGTAGTAAGTCACCAGTGATTAGTATGTAGTCAATCCTAGAGTATGTATGATGGACAGACGAGTAGAATGTGAATTCCCGGTCAGCTGGGTGTTGGGTCCTCCAGATGTCATAGAGTCCATACTCTGTTGTCTGTTTACATATGTTTTTATATCTAGGTGATGTATGTGGTAAGGTGGTGTCTAATTTGGGCTGTAGTACGTGGTTGACGTCTCCGCATATAATTTGGCGAATGTGGGTCATATTCGGCAGTTTCGCTAATATCTTGTGGAGAAAATTTTTCTGATTATCGTTTGGCCCGTAAAAACTCGCTATGAGATATTGTATGTTGTTTATGTTGCAATGCAGTATGATATACCTGCCCTGTGTATCTCTTTTTAGTTGTAGGAGTTCAAATGTTAGAGATTTATAGATGAGTATGGAGACTCCCCTAGATTTGGAGGAGTATGTTGAATGATATTGTGTTGGGTAATCCCTGTAGGCGAATGTAGGGACTCTGTTGTGTACAAAGTGCGTCTCTTGCACACAGAGTATATCCGTTTTGTACTTTTGTGCTTCTTCCAGCAGTAGTCTGCGTTTATGCGTTGTATTTAACCCGCGGGTGTTAATTGATTGTACCTTCATCTACTAAGTACGGATGTGGGATGATTGCTAGGCATTGAAGCATGCGATTTACTGGTTTATTGTTTATGGCAGGATGTGGTGTCATGAGAATTTGCGCTAGTGAGGTAAAGATTGTGTGATATTGCAATGTTATAATATGGAGTCCCATTTTTCGTTGCATGTTATATCTTGTGCGTGCGCTATCTAGTGCTGCGTTGGCATAGATGTGTCTTATGTTTTTGGTTGATCTAATAGGGGTATTGACAAGGGGTTTAAAACTTGGTGGGGGAGGGATAACTATGTACATTATGTCTCTTTGCGAGACAAGGTGTGGAATTGCCACACCATGGGGGTTGGAGTTGGTTTTTATCTCCATCAACATGGTCCATGGGCTGTGTTTAGAAGTCACTGCATGATGCGCTATGTGTGGTTTGGTCATATATAGCTGAGTAGTACAATTATGGAGTCGGGTCTCTACCCACATGTGCCTTTCACTGTGAGCCCCCGCAGGGTATCCACGTTCGGGGCAGAGAGCGGTCGCATCAGGTTTGTCGCCCACCGGCCCTATGAGGGCGCCTCTACTCTTTGGGCATACTTATCGTCAGTTTGGGAGTCACGGAAGTTGTCGTCCTGTTGTAGACCGCTGTGTGTGTAGCTGAGTCATAGCTAGTCAGTGTGTTACGGCGTCCCTATACTCGCCGTTCGGGAAGGGGTCAGTCAGAGGGGACGTTCCTCACTAGTAGTGAGTCCACGTTAGGTCATGTCAATGTCTATAGAGAGTGTATCTCTACCTTAAAACCTAAACATTTTCATATCAAATGGCATGTTACATTACATCTCCCCAGTTCCTCCCCCCCCCTCCTGGTTAATTCACATTACTACTTTGAAAAATCTAAATATGAAAATGAAGCCCAGTTTAAGAGAAAAAGTAAGGGAGAATCAGAAATAAATCCAAGTCTCTCAATCTGTATGTCTCTGTGGGTCCCCATGTAACCCGTCACGGTGCCCGGACCTCCATGTGGGGGTGCCTGAAGTAGTGTTATTTGCTTACCCAAGATGGTCCCCCATCAGAGGCGCAGCCCCGGACCCGGGTCCCCCGCATCGGTTCCGCTGCTCTGCATTGCTTCGTCACAGGGGATGTTGGGAGCTCCGGATCCAAGGGTCCACCAGACCCGCACAGAAGCCGTTCCCAGCCAGAGGTGCAGCCCCAGACCCGGCCCTCCCGCACCGGCAACCCTGCTCTGCACCGCTTCGTCGCAGGGGGGTGGCGGAAGTCCCGGATCCGGCGGCCCGCAACACTCAGCGGGCTCGACTAGTCCTGGACCCGGCCAAAGCAGGTTCGTGGTTATGTTAAGGAGAGTATTTCTTTATAGGTCGCATTCGTTATGGGTGTGAGTTACATAGAGTAGTACGTCCAATTTTGCCGGTAGACCAGGGATCGTCCTGGATTAATGTTTCTTTTGGTTCATTGTCCATTCGGTTTTAAGTTTCCTGTTTGTCTTTGGTATGTTCTGGGGGTCAGGTGTTAGTTGTATGTCCCAGCCTTGTAATTTCTGTTCGCCATCTTCTGGTGTTTGTATCACTGTTGTTTTACCTTCTTTTGTTATGATGAGTTTAGTGGGGAAACCCCACTTATAGTGAATGCCCTGTGCTCTCAGTGCTCCTGTTATCTGGGAAAACTCCTTCCTTCTCCGGAGTGTGGCTGCAGAGAGATCCGCGTATATCCGAACCGCGGCATATTCCTCCGGCGGCCTGGCTCGTGTTTTGCAGCTTCTGAGTATATGCTCTTTAACATGGAAATAGTGAGCTCTCAGTAATATATCTCTTGGGACCGTAGGGGGGAGATGGCGCGGTTTTGGGATGCGGTGCATCCTATCTATCAACAGCATATCCGTCGGTATCTCGGGTGCATGGGCTTTCAAGCAGCCTCTAATGTAGGAAGGCAAGTTATCGTTGGTGATTTCTTTAGGGATTCCCCTTAGTCGGAGGTTGTTCCGGTGGGAACGGTCCTCTATATCCGTTAGTTTTTCTTCCATGTTCTTTAGTTGTGTGGATAGTTGTTCCACATTGGTGGCTAAGTCATTGTGCGCTGTAGCAAAGTCGTCATATGTATCCTCCATGTTTGTTGTCCTCCTCCCCAGTTCCTGGATATCTTTTTTCAAAGAATCTGCGGTATGTTGCCATGTGGTTATCAGCTTGTTTGATAGTATCTCCAGAGCAGCTGAAAGATCTGCCTTTGTGATTTGTGTGTCGTTTGTTTGCGTGCTGGGTCTTGAGCACTGTTTGCCGTCGTCGGATTCCGGGTCCTCGGTGTCAATTGAGGCCTGTTCCGCCGGAGCTGCAGACGTCGTTTTCTGACTGAAAAAATTAAGTTTTTCGGGTTTCGCTGAACCCCTTTTGTTTTTATGTTGTGACATCCTTGTTGAGGGTCGCTGGATGCAGTTTCTGCTATTAGGATTATCGCGGATTAGGTGTCCATATGGCAGAGCAGATTTCTATGCGGCCATCTTGCTCCGCGTAGGCCACGCCCTCCCGTTCAGATGTTTAATAAGCATTTGGGTCTTCAGTCGGGATTCCCTTCTAGCTCATCGGTCTTCTCTTACGCCTTATCAATTTTCTGCTATGTTGGGAGGTTCATTGGTAGCATGTGGTGTGGATTCTTGGGATTACTCGGCGTACTCTTTTTGTATTAGGACTACCACACAGTCTAGTTTGCTAAATTATATGTCCCTTTATTACTCCTATCTCCTCGATGCTGAATATTTATCATACCTTTTCGCTACTGAACAATCAGACCGTTCCATTATCCGCGATTTAGACGACGCATAGTACGATTCACGACACTGTGGTTGATCAGGAGCCTTTGATATGCCGCTTTCTGCGCTGTATCAAACTGTCCAGAACCATGTGTCAAAGTATCACTGTTGTGGGACTTTGATTTATTTCTTTTGGAACTAGTCAGAAAACACGGACCTATCCCTCCTTCAGCCATAGTCACGTTACTTTTCGGTCTTTTCGTCGGGTATCAGATGTACTGGAGTTTGACGTAGACGGTCTTTTCGGTATCACCGGAAGGAATGATTTCTACGGTGTCTCATAGAACTAAATGTTATCCGCGTCCGTATCTTACCCTGTTCCCGGTGGTTTCCCAGTCTTTGTGCAGTTAAAGCGGTACTTCGTTACATGGAGATCACGACAACACTTAGATTGTCACATTCAGGACATCTGCTGGTCTTATACCAACCATACAAGCCAGTTACCATGAACACTCTGTCTAGATGGGTTCATTGGTTGTTATCGCTAGCAGGGGTGGTGACGTGTTTTGGGTACTCATTCGGTACAAGGCGCGGCTGCTTCTCAGGCCTTCACGGGGGGCCTCTATATTTTACAGCGACGAATTGGACACGGATAGACTTCTTCCGTATATTTATTTTCGTCAACCACACACGCATCCTTCTCGCTCATACCACAGCTTTAAAAATGCAAAATATAAAGCCTGTCATGTGATAATATTGTGGATTATGCTAACATAGTGTACCTATAATCTTCATTTTAATAATGACAGGAGGTAAATATTTTCCCTCCCTGTTTCCCTCCCTATACTCTGGAAAATTCTAATATTCTGGTTTGTCATTTTCTCAGTGTAATAATAAGGTTTTGGTATTTCAGTATATTTATGGGATGCTTATCTGGTTGGCATGTGTTAGATCCGTGTTGATTACTAAGTATACTATGGTTGTTTAATGGTTCAGTATATTAACTTAATGTAAATCTAGTGTGATCTTTGTCTGCAGGTAGCACAGTCCTCTAGGGCAAAAACATGCACAGTCTTTCAATGCAACTTCATTCCAGGCACTTTATTTGTAAGTTTACATGTGAGGCAGCAGCAAATGAAAACATAAATATAACAGGTTTCCCATTAAACAAAAACCTAGCTCGTCTGAGCACTGACTCACTTTGTATATCCCTCTCTATCAGGGTTAAACTAACAAAAACATATTGCACCAACCTTATTAGATAGCAACACTCTGCTAGCTAGCCTGTTGCTTTCCTTTCTGCACTCCTAGTGCTCCAAGCCAGCCTTGACTGCTTCCTCCTGCACTCCCAGTGCTCCAAGCCAGCCTTGACTGCTTCCTTTCTGCACTCCCAGTGCCTAGTCTCCTTGACTCTCTATCTGGAGAGAACAGCCTCTCTCCTACCTGCTTCCTGGGAGGAAGCCAGCAATCCCTCTCCTTTTCCTGCCTAGCCGGGAGGGGTTTATTCCCACTGCAACAGCTCATTAACTGCAGCTGAGCAGTGGGTTGGAGACGGTCCAAAAAACCCTGGCCTGGATCTATGTCTCCCCAGAAAACCACTAAACTGTGGAGTGGAGCATTGGCCCACCCTTCTCTCCAAATGCTCCACCCCAGGGGCCCATAACTAAACAATGCTTTGTGTTGTGCAACACACAAACTACACGTACTTCCCCTTGGGTTAAAAGGCCTATCTGCCTTCACTTTATCACAATAGATACGTATAGTACTGGATTTAATGTGGGCAACAGTTGGTTTCCATCACCTTTCACGTATTTCTGTTCTTTTCAGTGTAATCATCATAGATGGATTCGACAAGATAAAGCTGGAAGGTTTCAAGTTTTGTTTCCAGTTATGTTCTACACGTTACTCAGGACTGTTATTTGAATTCCCTGACGTTATAATAGACTGTTTCCTCATCAAAGAAAGAGCAAGTCATGTGTCTGTCAGGGCTTTATATATGGATGTGATGCCTGTTACTGATTGGTTTAAAGTTTTTTCTGATTGACTTGTGCTGCTGGAGGCATGAAGTAAAGAAAGTTATGCAAAATATTCGCCTCCTGTCATTATTAAAATTAAGGTTATAGGTACACTACGTTAGCATAATCTACAATTCTCTACCTGAAGGGGTGGTTTTATCAGAGTCTATGCAGATGTTAAACAGCAATTGGATAAATACTTGCAAAACATAACATGCAAGGATATAATTTCTAATTTGTGGGGTAATACCTTCTTGATCCAAGTCGACATCTGCCTGCCATTTTGGGTTCATAAAGGAATTTTTTCTAGTGTGTTGCAAAATGGAAGTTGCTAATTAAATTAATATCAAAGTTACAGTATGCTTTCTCACTTTACCATCAGAGTTATTCATTAAACTCTGGATTTTGTCTGAAATTCAGTGAAAATTCCAAGTTGCAAACACTGGCCAAAGTTAGCGTTCATATTTGTTTTTGTGTGAAAAAAACACTAATATTTGGCCAGTGTTTGTGACTAAGTGGCTACTAAGAAAGACTGGACATACCCCACTTGCAATACCTTGGGTTGTCTACTTTTGCAAATGGTATGCCATCATGGGGGTAATTCTCATTCCTTGGCTACCATAAGCTCTCAAAGGCAACATAACCAATCTGGCAAATTTCAATGTCAAAAAAATGAAATGCAAGCCTTATATGTGACTCTCTAACTTTCCAAAACACCATAAAACCTGTACATGGGGGGTACTGTTATTCTCGGGAGACTTCACTAAACATAAATATTAGTGTTTTAAAGCAGTAAAACATATTACAACAATAATATAGTCCATAAAAGTGCCGTTTGTTTGTAAAAAATGCAAAAAACGTCACTTATACTTAAAATATTATCGTTGTAATACAATTTACCAGTTTGAAACGCTATTATTTGAGTTCAGCAAAGTCTCCTGAGTAAAGCAGTACCCCCTAAGTACAGGTTTTATGGTGTCTTGGAGAGTTACAGGGTCAAATATAGTGCTTGCGAATTAAATTCTCTGCACTTTCTCCCTGTGTTGTCAGGCATGTCAATCAAATTGTAATTAATCAAATCACATAATTATGTTAAAAGATTAATTAAATATACATGTAGAATTTTAATATATATGCATTTATAGGTATTTAAATTCTACGTGTATACTAATGTAATCTTTTAGGTAATGATATGTATTTATCTATATATATATATTTGCGGTTATTTGTATTTTATATATAGATAGATATATATATAGAATGTCATTCTAAGTGTATTTTGTTACCAATATATATATATTAATAACAAAATACAGTTAGAATGAAATTAGATATGAATATATAATTTATATTAAATTTCGTTTCAATATTTTATTTATTTTATGTATTTATTATTGTAATTATACGTATATATATATATATTTTAAAAAAGGCACTATACCTTGCACTCAAACTCCAAATTTCCAGACCGGGTGCACTCCCAGGGCTCCAAATATCCAAAGTCAAAGGTTGCACTCACGGATTCATTAAAAAATAACTTTTATTAAGCTTTCCCAAAAAAATCGACGTTTCAGTCCTATTCAAGGACTTTCGGCAGGATTATGTAAACCGTTTTATGAAAACGTCGATTTTTTAGGAAAGCTTAATAAAAGTTATTTTTTAATGAATCCGTGAGTGCAACCTTTGACACTGTTACTTATATATATGTAACGTCATTCTAAGTGTATTTTAATATAATATATAATATATATACTTTTATTAATATTAAAATACACTTTGTATGACGTTACATATATATAATATGTATGTATATTATATATATATATATATATATATATATATACATATATTATGTATATAAATACATTTCTATTTTAATTTTACACATGTTTAATATTTTTTTTTTACAGCTCCCACCAGCAGGGGGACTGTATGACATTTCAGACAGTCCCTCTGCTGGCAGATCCACAGCCAGCTATAGGGGGCCATGTGATCACATGGCCCCCGGGGGCTTCTTTTGCCGTGGGAGGGCTGCCTGGGCTGTCAGGCAGTCCTCCCGAAGCGGAGCGCCGGGAAGGTGAGTATCCCGGGCGCTTTAAAGGTCATTTAAATGGGGGAAGGCGTAGAACGCCGTAACGGCGTCAAGGGGTTAACTCCAACTCCGGCAGAATCATTGGTGTACCATCACACAGCTCAGAACTAGAGTGTGAATCGATGTAAGGGTGCAAACCACTGCTTAGTGATTTGCCTGATTACCAGGGAACCAGGCCAAGGTACTCCTGAAGATTGGAGTAACTCTTTAAACTATTTATTCAATATTCGGTTCATTAAAATCCTGTGAATAAACCCTACTGTCTTTTAGGTAAAGATTTGTGATAGATTTAGAAAAAACACCCAAAATAGAGATTGATTTCCAACTCCCCTATTCTGGCCTACATTTTGCAAATTACCGCATTAAAGGGACACTTCAAACCCCTAAAACACTTTACATTGCCTATTTATAGGCACACTATAGGGACCCAGACCACTTCATCTCATTGAAGTTGTCTGGGTTCAACGTCCCTGTTCCCTTAACCCTGCAATGTGAAACATTAAAGAATTTTAAAGAACTGCAATGTTACATTGTAGTGTTAAGACTGCCTCTAGTGGCTGTCTACTAAAACATTTTGTTACCCTTTATTGCCATGGTGGGGTGGGGGTGGGTGGGGGGGACAGGACGACTGGGGACACAAGAGGTATGAGAGGGGGGCAGCAGAGGGTATAGTGGTTCACATGGGTATAGTATGCCCTTTTTTTCTTCTTTACAATAAAGGTGCCGATTTCAGTTGAAATTGGCTCTTTTATAATTTCACTTTGTTACCTCCCACCTTCACCACACCAGCTGTCAATCAGACAACTAGCTTTATTACTTCCTCTTTGTATAGCTCAGTGAGTGAGCCGGCTTCGGAGAGAGACATAAAAAAAGCAGTGCCTCCCACCAGTCTTAGTTAAAAGCACAGCCTACTGCTATAAGAGTGCTGAGTTAGCTGGGAGTCGCGCAGCTCGGTGATAAAGCGAAATAATTACTGAAATCCAGACCACAGGACATTGGCCTGCTAGAAGGGGAGGGAGCCGGGGACATTGTGAGAATGGTGGTAGGCAACCGTTAGTAAAGCTGTTAGGCACAGCTTGCGGAGATGGGAATCCAGTTCCTGTGGGCTCCTGGCTTGGTAGGTAGTCCCAAGGTTGGAGAATAAAATGATTTTAGGTAACTCCCACGGAGCCTTGGAGCGAAAATATTGCAGTTGTGGCTGTACAGTTTTTCTTCAGGCCAGGATGCTTTTTCTCAGGTCCAGCAACAGCATCAGAGTTGAGCCCTTAAATATAAGCAGGGTTTTCCCTCGAGCAGCCGTTAACAATAGGTCTGCAGTGGCGGTGGTGGGCACTGATATTGGTTTCGGGAGATGAAACATCCTGTCCAGTTTCACATTTTTCTTCTGCTTTGGCGGCAACAAAGTGGTAAGGAGGCGCTGGATGAAGTGTGGTAACTCTGCAAGGTTTATTGCATCAGGTATCCCCTGGATTTTTAAGTTGTATCTCCGTCGCTGATCCTCCATTGCCTCGACTTTCTCAGCTGTCACTTGTTGTCGTTGGAGGTCAGCAATTTTCTGCTCCACTGAGGAGAGGCGAGTGTCACGTGTACTCGTTGAGGCCTCTAGCAGAGTGAGCCTCATAGTAGCGCCTTCAATGGTGTCATTAAAGTAAGCTAAGTCTGCCGATATGTTCTGGTGAAGATCAGCCAGCATATTTTTCAGCAGTTCTGTAGTGATCGTTTCCTCAGCAGGAGATGGTTTGCCTTTGTGTGCTGGTTGTGCACTCTCCTGGATCATAGGACAGAGGAGCCATCATCTTCCAGCACCATTTTCTCCCACGCGGCCCTCTGTGAGCTCCGCAGCAACTCTCCAATGTCACGGCTGATAGGAGATTTATCAGCTTTTGTTTTTTTTCATTTTCCGTCCCACAATGGATTTTCCGAGTTGGAGTCTGTTTTGTTGGAGTGTGTGCTTCTTAATTCCGCCTAGACATCGGTGTTTGGTCATGCGTAGCACAGAACTCTGCAAAGTGTGACTGCTCTGTTCGACAGCTAGCTCAGCTTCCAGAGGACACATTTTTTTAATCATACTTAATCCGACTTTACGGTTTTATTTGTGTTTTTATCAGATAAATACAGTAAACCATACATTTCAACATCTCAAATGGACAAAGAGGAGCATTTTAATTTTATAGGTGTAAGTGAGAGTTTGGTGAGAGTTTAGTCTGGGGTTGGTTTTAGAAATTCCAGGTGATTTTACTAATAACAATTTAAGAATTTATTATTATTATTATTTTAGTATTTATATAATGCCAGCAAATTCTGTAGCACTGTACAATGGGTGGACTAACATAACACATGATTGTAACCAGACAAGTTGGGCGCACAGGAAAAAAGGGGCTGAGGGCTAGACATGTGCAATTAGTTTCGGTCTGATTTTAAATTCGGATGAATTTTGGCAATTCGGACATTTGCATGCTTTCGAATTGCCGAGATTCCGAAGTGTCGAATTTCGGAAGTGCCGAAGTGCTTCAGATTTCTGAAAAGAGGCAAAACAGGAGAAGGAGGGAAAATTAAGGGGATAATGACCGGAATATAACCCTACTCCTACACCTAACTCTACCCTTAACCCTAACCCTAGAAGGGTTAGGGGTATGGGTAAGGCTAGGGCTTGGGTTAGGTGTAGGGTAAGGGGTAGGAGTTGGGTTAGGATTATGGAATTGCCGAAGTCCCGAAGTGCCAAGCCGAATCGCTGAATGGCTGAAGTCCCGAATTTCCGAAGTCCTGAAATTCAGAAGTGCCGAACCGTACCAAATTTTCTACCCATGCACATCCCTACTGAGGGCCCTGCTCAATGAGTTACATGCTAGACGGAGTATACAACCAGATGTAATTTAGAACAAAACAGTGTATCATATTTACACAGACTGAATTCTAAACACGTTATTTTAGTCTAAAGACGCATTACTGTGACTATTATTGCTGTGGAGCTCAGTTATACACTCAGACACAACAACAACGTCGGGCTCTTACAACAGATAGACAGGAAAGAAAAGAGGGACAGAAGGATTTGGGTCCTAAATAGGAAAACTTGGGAGTTATACATATGATGTGATTTTATTCAATATATCATAATGTGAATGACCATGCTACTACACACAGACACATATTAATCTTCTACAGAAGAAAAAAAATAAATATATATATATATATTGGACTCTTTCTATGGTGTACCAATGACATCTAATGGTGTTTTGAGATATAACAGAACAGAGCTAAAATAAAAATAAGATTGCACTTGAATGATTTTTCTTAGTTATGTTTTATTGTTATTAACAGCTATATAGAGCCAGCATATTCAGCTGAGCTTTACCATTTTACAGTTTTACATTTTTTTACGCTCTGCATGGGGACGCTGAATTTTCCTCATAGAGATGCATTGATTCAATGCATCTCTATGAAGAGGTGCTGATTGGCCAAAACGGCATTTGGCCAGCCCCCTTGCCAGTTTTCCCTATGGGAAAGCATTGGATTGGCTAAAAATTGGCAATTCTGATGATGTCACAAAGGGACAGGGTCAGTACCGTCGGACCCGCGCGGTGCTGGAAATATGGTGAGTTTTAATTCCTTTAAAGGAGCACTATAGTGCCAGGAAAACATACTCGTTTTCCTGGCACTATAGTGCCCTGAGGGTGCCCCCACCCTCAGGGTCCCCCTCCCGCCCGGCTCTGGGGAGGGGAAAGGGGTTAAAACTTACCTTTTTCCAGCGCTGGGCGGAGAGCTCTCCTCCTCCGATCCTCCTCCTGGGCTGAATGCGCACGCACGGCAAAAGCTGCGCGCGCATTCAGCCGGTCACATAGGAAAGCATTATCAATGCTTTCCTATGGACGCTTGCGTGCTCTCACTGTGAAAATCACAGTGAGAAGCACGCAAGCGCCTCTAGTGGCTGTCAATGAGACAGCCACTAGAGGATTAGGGGGAAGGCTTAACCCATTCATAAACATAGCTGTTTCTCTGAAACTGCTATGTTTATGAAAAAATGGGTTAACCCTAGAAGGACCTGGCACCCAGACCACTTCATTAAGCTGAAGTGGTCTAGGTGCCTAGAGTGGTCCTTTAAGGGGATAAAGGGGGATGGGCAAGCAACCTAAATGGTGGATTTAGCACTATAGGGTCAGGAATACATGTTTGTGTTCCTGACCCTTTAGTGTTCCTTTAAAAAAAAAAAAAAAAGCACTTGTGGATGGCACCTGTCGCATTTTGATGTGCAGCGGCCCACACACATACCTGGCCTCCTTCATGGTGGTCCACTTCTGAATGCTGTGGCATGGAGGAAGAGGTCCCTTTATGCGTGGGAGCTGCAGCAGACATCAGCACTTACCACCAGCGGAGCTCCAGAGACATGCCACGCCATAGAAGGAGCAGCTATTATTAAGGTTTGCTCCACCTCAGGTAGGTTTTGATATCTGATTTATATTTATGGGGGAGGAAATGGGGATCAGGGAGCAGAGGGAATACTGCTGTGATGTCCCAGCATGCCCTCACACCACCTGCTGTATTGTGGGAACTGTAGTCTCACGGCATGCACTATAGAGCCATTATCTTCACAGAGTACCGTAGCACAGGGGAGGCATGAGAATCAGAAGTCACTTCTAAAATATCAAAGTTGTTCTATTTGATGTTTAAAAATGTATTTCTTAATTTTGGGGTAAAAAAATAGGGGTCATCTTATACACAGAAAAATACGGTATTTAACAATGTGTTCTGTTATGCGCACCATACCTCCATGCATGGGAGGCAGCATGTAGAGAAGGAAGATATACAAAGAGTAAGCGTGTTAAATCCTAGCTTGCCCGGGGTAGCAGGATTACTGAAGGACTGGTTCAGTCTGTACATTGTACACTCTGCCTGCCAATACAGAGGCGAGTCGAAGGGCCATTACCAGGGTGGGATTATATTTCGATAGAGCACAAACTTTATACATTTAGGCATTTCAACTACAAACTTGTATATGGGGTTGATGGTTAAAGTAAAATAAATAAAAAATGTATTTGACACAAACTAAAGTGCACTGTGCAAATTTACAATGTTGTGCAAAAAACATATAAATCTCTGTGTTAACTTAAAAAGCTTTAAAAACTGGTCAGAAGACTCTCAGGATTAATTTTTACAAAGTGGAACATGTAACGAGAAAAAACATAAAGAAAATAATATCATAGTGCAGTATTTATAAAAAAAAATGACAATGGTAAAAAAAACAAATGGATAAATTCACAAAAAAGTGCTTTTGTGCTATATGTTCGTTGCCCACCAGGGGGCCACTTATTTATGGGCATATGCAAATATGACAAGTTTTTAGAATGAAAAGTTAAACTGTACTTTGTCTTTAAGAGATTCTGCAAACTGACAATTTGTTAGAAATGGAAAATGTTTTTCATACAATATTTTTTTAAATAAATGCTCTCTTACCCATATTCAGTGAATATGGTGTTCAGACTTTAGGATGCCATCTTGTCCTAGGTTAGTGGAATTCCTTAAAGGACCACTCTAGGCACCCAGACCACTTCAGCTTAATAAGGTGGTCTGGGTGCCAGGTCCTTCTAGGGTTAACCCATTTTTTTATAAACATAGCAGTTTCAGAGAAACTGCTATGTTTATTAATGGGTTAAGCCTTACCCCAAAGCCTCTAGTGGCTGTCTCATTGACAGCCACTAGAGGCGCTTGCATGCTTCTCACTGTGATTTTCACAGTGAGAGCACGCCAGCGTCCATAGGAAAGCATTGTAAATGCTTTCCTCTGCGACCGGCTGAATGCGCGCGCAGCATTCAGCCAACAGGGCGGAGAGAAGGAGGATCGGAGGAGGAGAGCTCTCCGCCCAGCGCTGGAAAAAGGTAAGTTTAAACCCCTTTCCCCCTTCCAGAGCCCGGCAGGAGGGGGACCCTGAGGGTGGGGTCACCCTCAGGGCACTATAGTGCCAGGAAAACGAGTATAGTGGTCCTTTAAGTCATGTGAACCTTACGTTTTAGTCTAAACATAGATAATGTGAAGTTATGGCCTCTTCTCTTTCCCAAGTTAAGGTAGGTCCTAACATTACCTAATTGAAAATCTACGGTATAAATATGTGTACTTATTAATATTAAGACACAGCGGAGTGATTTTATTTATTTTTTGTAAATATTTTTATTAAAGTTTTTTCATGATGTAAAATGCAGTTAGTTGGTAAATATTGTGAAACTCGCAGGTTTCTGATGTTTGTAGGAGCATATTAGACATTGAGATATGCAAATCTCTGCGTAAGCTTCAGTAGTAAGGAGACTCGCAGGTCTCTTAGCAAGGTGTATATCATGTTTACGTCCTTCAGATGCGAGATTGTAAGTCCCCAATACCGGTGTCAGGATGATTGACTTTAGTCGTTTACTTTTCAGTTAACAATGTGCAGATATGTGTTGCAATATGCTCTTCTATAAGCCTAGGGTTATATTTCTAGGTTTTGCTATGGTCTCAGTCCGATGATTGTCGGTGCGGTCGATTCTCTCGTGTCGTGGGGCTGTATGCAGTTCGGGTTAAGGGTCTTAGGGTATGGGTGAGGCTAAGGGAAGGGTGTGTCTTCCCTCTTTTGGTCCTTGTTACTCCAAATTGGTCAGCGGAGTGATTTTAGAGACAGACACTGCTCCATTTTATCATGACTGAGAGGTTGATATTTTTAATAAGGTATGTTATTCTATGCTGAACACCATAATCTTATAAACTCTGCTATAAATTATTGTAATGGATTTTATATGTCTGTCTATATTTATATTTTTATTTAATAAAATATTTAAAAAAAGACAAACCTTTATTGCGTCCAAGACAATCCCTATTTTATATTGTATTCTCAATTCTCATAAAAAATGAGGCAGACCCCCCTTCACTAGAATTACCACCAATTAGAAGATCATTCTGAATTAGAAGATTACTTTGACACACTTTTATAAGAAAACAGTTTACAAACATACACAAAAGAAAAAGTGCTATAAGTGTGAAATGTGCAATGTAAATAAACATTTTGTGGGGAACCTGATATTTTAGATCAGGCTACCCCAAACTCCGGCCCTCCAGATGTTGCAGAACTACAACTCCCATGATTCTATGAATGAAATAGATAGACTGCCTGTCTTAGCTGAACAAATCCTAATACTTCGAATAAATGGAGTATTGAAGGTCAGCACAATAATTGATAGATGTACCTTCACACAAAGGAAAGAGCCAAATTTCAAGATACAAATATAATAATGAGGTGATCAAAGCCTAGTGCAGGGAAAGGCAACTTTTGGAACTCCAGATATTGTGGACTACATCCCCTATAATGCTCTTACACCCATAATGCTGGCAAAGCATCATGGGAGGTATAGTCCAAAACATCTGCAGTGCCAAAGGTTGCCTATGCCTGGCCTAGTGGGTGCAAGAGTGAAAAGAAACCCTATTGTAATACTTTACAAACGTATCCAGAGGGTCTAAATAATATGTTCATACACACACCACAGAATTGGAGATGATACCCTTATTGAAGTATTAAGTAAAGCTTTAAAAAAAACTGCTCACTGTGTAATTCCAAGTGGCAAACCCCATGGAACAAAACAGAGGTAGCTTGCGGTTAGTTAAAGAAATGTTATACCACTATTAAAGCTCCCTGTGTATTGCCACAGATAAACATAAGTATTGATCAAGTTGAACATAGACCATAATAATAAGGCTCTATTATAGATATGGTTCCCATTAATAGTTGGTAAAGGCAAAGGGAAGGAGTACAGAGACAGCCAGGTGGTAAGTATATAAATCTCCCCTAAACTGACAAACGCCCCTCCCAAACCCTCTGCTTTGAGGCAGTACCCCTATTAGAACTATCAGAGTCCCCTGCTGAAAACAAGGTAATTATTTCATAGGTTGTAGTATTCATACAGGTTCCCCATTCTAACTAGTAAATAGTAAAATCAGTTACAAAGGGCACATCGGCAGCTAAGCTCGACGCGAGTTCAGGCGTTCTAACACGCCTTTCTTAAGAGCAGGTAAGCCTGAACCAAAAGAACGCCCATTTTTAAGGGGGAGAGAGTCCCTCCTCTCTCGTGCGTTAGCCAATCCGCCTTCCTCGCGTCATGGAGGAGTATCGGACACTCTATTCTATTCTGCCAATCGGATATCCTGCCGTCATAGGGGGAGAGGGAGATTGGACACTCGGTCCTGCCTAGCCGCTTAATCTAGCAGCTGTGCATCTGGCATCAGGGATGGGGTTTACTACTCATAAAGCCATATTATAGGGTGGGAGAGGTGTGGTCTAGCTCGCCTGTCCCCCCGATCGAGTATTATTCCCAAGCTAATTCAGATTTAGTGTAGATAATTATCCATTCCAGAGGCTAAGGATTCCTAGTGCAACAAGATAAATAGAAAGGACTACATGGGACTGTAAAAGTCCACTGACTTAGGTCCCCCCAAAAATAGATCCATAAATCTGAACAGGCTGCCCCTTTCTGGTACTTACAATAATTTACACAAGAATACCAGAGTAGGGACAAGGCTACTGGCATTATATTAAATACACTGTTTAAAAAAAAAAAAAGGAAAAAAGTAATTTAATGCAAGAGTTCCCCACAGAAGCGTGATCAAAAAAGGGAAGTATTTGAAATGCAGTGATTGTTTTGCTCTTGCTGAGGCTAATAGGAGTTGATGCACCCTACATATAAAGGGATATATGATGCGCTAAAATGCTCGCTAAGCATGTTTTATAATCACTTATGTAAACTATATAAGTGAGGGTTACTCGTCCAGATTCATAGATTTTACATTAACTAAATGGATGAATAGACTTGAATCTGGGTATATGCTTCCTACATGAAAGGGATATATGCAATCAAATCAGAGACCCAGCATACACAGGGCTGAAATTTCATCACAGGGGGAAATAGCAATACAGTACTTTACATTTTATGAATGAATGAGATCAATGTTATGTGTATAGATGTGAATAGGCTGGCATATAGTAAGAATAGACAGAATAAATTGAGAAGATTAGATAAAGGGGGAGAAAGAAAAGCCCTCGTTCAACCCCAAAGGGTGAAGGGTTTTCATTTTATCAATACACATACATTCTCGTTGTCTTAGGGTCTTATCAAAGTCTCCTCTTCTCTGATCCCATTTGACAAGTTCTAGGCCACAGAATATTAGGCCACTCGAATCCCCCTTATAGCAATCCCAAAGGTGTCTCAACCTTATTTTTGGGTGATCACACGTGTTCTTTAATGTGCCCCTTGAATGGCCGGAAAGTCTCGCCTACATACTTTGGATTACATTCACAGATAAGTTGGTACACTAAACCTGCCGTGTTACAATTGAAAAATGAAGTAATCTTAAAGTTTCTTTGTCCCACACTAACCGACTCATTCTTCCAGTCATGTTTAATAAATTTACATGCTACACATCTCCCACACCTGTTGGTGCCGTTGGGGGGCTCCTTAACCAGGTTCCCTTGGTTGTCGCTATAGATTGGAAATGACTCAGGACTAGAAGGTCTCTGAGGTTCCTCCCCCTGTGTGGGGGCGTGGAATCATTGGGGAGGAAGGCCTTCTGCTCATTGAGTAGCATTGGGGACCTAATGCCAGGGCCGATCCTAGGGTCACTTATAATATTTTTGGTATCCCCAGGTGGATGTGGCTACATCGCTAACTTCTCCCCTTTACAAACATAACACTTCTTACCACACCCATTTTCTATATAAACCACTCCAACTCTTTGGGCCCCCCAATTTCACCAGGTAACATGTCTCCAACTTCCTACAGTAACAGCTTTGCCCCCCAAAATCTTATCAGTGCCATCTTTGTGCCCAACTTCTCAGTGCCATCTCTATGCCCAAACAGCTTACCAGTGCCACCTGTATCGCAAATAGCTAATCAGTGCCATCTTTGTGTCAAAATAGCTTGTCAGTGCCAGGGGCAGATCCACAACCTAATCTCAGGAAGGGCACTGGTAGTGGGGTGAAAGTGGCTGTAATTGAGGAGTTAGGGGCTGTAGTAGGTGACTAGGGACTTTAGTGGTGGACAGGGGCAGTAGTTTTGGTATGGGGACTATAGTGGAGGGGATGTAGGGACTGTAGTAGGATGGCTGGGGCTGTATTGGGGGCATGTGTTATAATTGGGGGGGGGTTAATAAATCTAGTGGGGTATCGGGGCTGTAGTAGAGCCGTTATGGACTGATTTAGGGAAAAGGGCTGTAGTGGGGAGCATAAGGACTGAAGCTGGGGCTAGGGACTGTGGTAAGGAAATAGGGGCTGTAGTGGGGAGTAGGGGTGTAAAAGGAGGGATAGGGGCTGTAGTGCGGGAGCTGAAATTAGGATGATAGCCTGTATTTGGGGTGTAGTGACTGTAGTGGGGGAAAGGTGATACATTTGTGGAGTAAGAGCCTGTAATGTTGTATATGGCTGCAATTAGGGGGGTTAGGGGCTGTAGTAGGGCACAAGGGCTGCAATTGGGAGGACAAGGGCTGAAGAAAACCCCCCACTAGTTTATCCCCCCCCCTCCTAAGGCTTACCTTAGGCCAGGGAGGGGGGACTCCTGATCCTTGGTGGTCCCAGGCACCAAGTGAGATAAGCTGAGCCTAATACAAGAGATGAAGCTGAGTGTGAGAGGCAGAGCCTAGTGCCCAGTTGCGCCTCGAATCTGCAGAGGGCTTGGACGCTTTGCACCCGACAAGGATCAGGCCTGCGTAATGCATATGTGAGCATTCAAACTCATTGAGTCAATGCTTTTCTATGGGGCTTCCGTGTCATGTGCAGCGGAAGCGCCTCTAGTGACTGTCATAGTGGAGGACTTAACCCGGCATTGCAAATATTGCAGTTTCTACAGTGCAGGGTTAAGGGGACATGGATACTGCACCCAAACCACTTCATTGAGATGAAATGGTCTGGGTGATTATAGTGTCCCTTTGGCTCGAGTCCTGCAGGAACGCCATTCCCGTTAGTAGCCCTGCAGGACCTGCTCGGGGGTGATTGACCACTCGGGCACATCGATCATTGACCGAGGGCCAGAGACAGCACACAGCCATGCTATGGCTGGAGAGATTAGAGATCTTTCCAACTGGAATGGCACATTTCTGATGGAGTGCAGGGCCCCAGCAACCTACCGCTCTGCACATTACCCCCCTCTTCCCTCCCACTGAATGAGTATTACCTGCTCTCTACCAGCTCTCCATCCTGTCCCATGCGGTGCACTGTGTGATGGGAGAGGTGGGTATTAGGAAGTGACATCACTTCCTGTACTCTCTTCACACAGAGCCCTCTCACAGCCAAATAGGGGAAGGAGCAGCAGCCAGGGAGAGACCACAGGGAGCCGAGAGAGAGGCAGGATATAAGGGGAAGATGGGGAGTCCCTCACTCTGCCATCTGTCACCCCCTCCCACACTTTTCCACCAGCCACCCCCTCACACCCACCCTGTCACCCCCTCCCTTACCCCGTCACCTCCCCCACTGTCACCCCCTCCCTCACTCTGCCAACTGTCACCCCTCTGTCTCACACTGGCACCCCCTCCCACACTTTTCCACCAGCCACCCCCTCACACACCCACACCCACCCTGTCACCCCCTCCCTCACTCTGTCACTAGTCACCCCCTCCCTCTGTCACCCCTCACTCTGCCACTAGTCAACCTCCTCCTCACTCTGCCACTAGTCAACCCCTCCCTCAGTCTGTCACTAGTCACCCCTCTGTCACCCTCATTCTGCCACTAGTCAACCCTCCCTCACTCTGTCACTAGTCACCCTCCCTCACTTTGTCACTCTGTCACCCTCTCCCTCTGTCACTCCCTCACTCTGCCACTACTAATACCCCTCCCTCACTCTGTCACTAGTCAACCCTCCCTCACTCTGCCACTAGCCAACCCTCCTCACTTGCGTCACTAGTCACTCTCCTCCTCTGTCACCTCACTCTGCCACTAGTCAACCCTCCTCACTTCTGCACTAGTCACTCCCTCCTCTGTCACCCTCATCTGCTACTCAGTCAACTTTCCCTACTCTGCCACTAGTCACCCTCCTCACTCTGTCACTTCAGTCACCTCCTCACTTTAATACTCTGTCACCCTCCCTCCCTATGTCACCCTCACTCTGCCACTAGTCAACCTCTCCCCTCACTCTGCCACTAGTCACTCCTCCCTCACTTGTCACTATGTCACTCTCCTCACCTACCACCACTGTCACCCCCTCAACTCTGCCACCTGTCACCCCTTTGTCCCACACTGTTACCTGTCACCCCCTCCCTCTGTTACCTGTCACCACCTCCTTCACTCTGCCACCTGTCACCACCTCTTTCACTCTGTTACCAGTCACCTCCTCTTTCACTCTGTTACCTATAACCTCCTCTCTGCCACCTGTCCCCCGTCCTCCCACACTGTCACCCCCTTCCTCACTCTGTTACCTGTCCTCCCTCCCTCACCACCCCCTCCGCCCTCAATCTGTCACCCCCTCCCACACTCTGTCACCTCCTTCCTTCCTCTGCTACCTATCCCCCCTCCCTCTGCCACCCCACACTGTGCATTATTGATTGTGAGTTTTATTGCTTTGAAGCTCTGTGATACTCATTTCGCACATTACTGCAAGTTGTACTGCGTAGGAGCTCTGTGATACAGTCATATTGCACATTACTGTGAGTTTTATTGTTTTTGAGCTCTGTGATACACTCATATTGCACATTACTGTGAGTTTTATTGCTCTGGAGCTCTATGATACACTCATATTGCACATAACTGTGAGTTGTACTGGTTTGGAGCTCTGTAATACACTCATATTGCACATTACTGTGAGTTTTATTGCTCTGGATCTCTGTGATACACTCATATCGCACATTGCTGTGAGTTGTTTTGCTTTGGAGCTCTGTGATACTCATACTGCACATTACTGTGAGTTTTATTGCCGTGGGGCTCTGTAATACACTCATACGGTTGCACGTGTGAGGAGTCAATCCTGCAAAGCATTCAGGAGATTTGCAGCAGGGTTCGAGTCCTTCAGGAATGCGTGGGGACGGCGTTCCTGCACTTTTTCCACAGCAGAAACGCCGTTCCCGTTAGTAGTCCTGCAGGACAGAGGCGGCTCTCTAAGTAGGCGATTTAGACGGCCGCCTAAGGCCTTGCGCTGTGAGAGACCTCGCAGCCGCCTAAATCGCCTTAGGGCAGTGTGACATATCGGGTCCTTGGTCAGAGACCGAGGGCCTGACACAGGAAGGGACATGGTGGCTTGCCCTTTACCCGTCAGGTGTGAGGCCCCTCCACACCGCTGGCGGAGCTGCAGACCGGAGAACCAGCCCACCGGACCACCAGGAAATAATTACAGAAAACTAAAGGTATGTACCTTTTTACAGCCCCCTACCCACTTACAGTCCCCCTACCCGCTCAGAGTCCAGCCTACCCGCTCAGAGTCCCCTCTACCTACTCACAGCCCCCCTACCCACCTCACAGCCCCCTACCTTCTCACAGCCTTTCTACCCACACTTTTTCACAGCCATACCCACCCTGCCTCCCCACACACCATCACAGCCACTTCCACACACCCTGTCACAGCCCCCCATCACACACCCTGTCACAACCCCCTAACAATATTCTGTCATCTCTCCATACACACACCCTGTCACTCCCCCCACACACACACACTGTCAACCCCACACACACTCTATCATCCCCATACACACACTGACACCCCCTCCATACAATATCACCACTCCCAATCACTTAAAGCCCCCATACACTGTAGTGATTTTAACAGTATATGTTTGTGCTCCTGACCCTGTAGTGTTCCTTTAAATATATGGATAAGTAAACATGATATTAAAAATCCTAGGAAATCATAGTTTGCCTTCATTGGATTAGAATTAGATTGGGAACCTTAGAAGATCCCACACCTATTCTTTAGGACTTGATCCCTGCCTATATTACTGCTCTTTTTTGAATTTTCACAGACTTCTCTTCTAGAACTTTAAATATGTCTTCTAGTGACTGGTGCACGCACTGCACAAACTGTCCAACATCAAAATCCATCTGCTACCGGTGGTGCAAAACCTGGACTGGTGAGAGTAGTGGTAGTGATGACATTGTAGTTAATCTGAGCATAGGCAGGATCTTGATAGAACTCTGGGAGGGTCAGTCCATTGCTTTCTCTTAGGCATTTCATGGCATAAAGGTGTCGATCATACCCCTGTCCTGTAGGAGGAGAGACAAACAAAACCACAGAAGATTTATGCAAAACGGTAAAAATCGATCTCACACAGGGTCTTTTTGAAATAATTGGACTACAGTATTTATATTTTGCAACCTTGGAGTCACATGCCAAATCTGTAGTTTTAGGAATACTGACCTGTATTCCCAGTGCTAGAGTATTAATGTCCCTAATAAGTTTCTGGGTCACCGACACAACTGCATTTGCACAATGAACAAAAACAAAAATAAGTAATTTACTCGCCTTGTCTCTAGCCCAAAATGAGGGAGTTATCTACTAAACAGCTCAGAGATCAAAAGCAAGAAAAGGCTTTTTTGGACTTTCAGTTGTTTACTAAATTAGTGTAACTAAGAAACAATTATCATGAGGCACTATTGAAAATAAAATAAAAAAATTACTGTGATTCCCTCAATTAGCATTAGAAAGATATATAATATAGATAGTAAATAAGCCACTGATTTGGTACCCTTTATTATGGCAATCCCACGTAATGATACCAAATTAGGGAGCCATCTACTAAACAGCTGAAAGAGCTAAATTTTAAAAAGTCCTCTAAACTGGATCTCATTAACAAATGAGTTTGTTAAAGTTATGTTTTTAAATATTTGCTGAGAAATGCAATTCCATTTGTTGATATTTTCCTAGCATCTATGTTTGTTTGGCTATAGAATCCTATTCTTTGCTTCACTATTTTGAGTCTTACCCATTGAAGCCTCCTGGATGAGTTGTTTGTGGTATTTCGAACATTCTTACAGCATGCTACGGAGCTCAGCCATACTGTGTTGTGAAAGATTCCTTAAAAAAGCATCGGTGCATTTCTTGGTATAAAATGAGGCTGATCGGATGGTCTCGGTGCGGCCATGTTTGAAAGCTGCTGTACTGCAGACCTCATGTGTGGTCCTGGTCTGCCCGTATTGTCTGAAGAATGCCATCTGAGAGGAAAGTTGGGCTACTGCATCTGGGCTGATCTTCTGGGTCTGCAAGAACTCCTTCCCACATCCTCTGTACTCCATGGGTACAATGGTGAATGAGCTCACAGTTGCACCAAACTTTTTTTTGGCGGTTGAGATTGCAGATTTCAAAGAGTCACCAAGGTGGAAGACAAGTTTCTGTACAGCTTGGCTGGAGTCCACCTTAGCTGGGAGGGTTTGAGGTGATATTGCTGGTTTCTGCGTGCTATCCCTGAACACCTCATTCTGGAACCGTATGATAGTCATTCCTTCTCTCCATGAGTGCTCAAGGTTCACAGCTGCTGTCCCATCTTGCGTCATGATGATGCTGAAGGACTTGTCGTACCACCGGTTCATACCTGATCCATGGAGCATATTGTGGGACAGGTGGACATCATCCTTAATGGGAAAGTCATCGAGACACAAGCAAAACACAGCAGAATCCACTTTTTTCAGGGCCTCTTCATTTCCGTTTTCAAGAAGCTTCTGTCTTAAAACAGCCCACGTGTTTCTTTCTTCACTTGTGAGATATCCCAAAGGAAACTCCGGAGCAGGGGTGGCGTCCGATAGGATATACTGCAAGTGGGCCTGGATCTCTGAAGCCTTCACTATGTTCCCATCTTTGTCAATGACATCGAACACATAGAAATTCCCATTTCTTAACACCAACAAGTGCTTTCTGCTCTTATCTGCCACCAGTTCATCACGGTTAAGTTTCGGCAAACGAGTGGAATTAAAAAAACGAAAGTACTGTGACATATCTAATGGATAAGCATTCGCCATGTATGCTGGATATCCAGGCATCAAGGTTGGCGCAAACCTGATACATTTATTAAATCCCTGTGTGTCACGTTTGTCTGGATTAAGGTGTAAAATCTTAGGCTCAAGATAACCTGCTCGAATAGTTTTCAGGAATCGCATGGCAGACACAATCATGTTAGTGGATCTGATCAGCTGGTTGTTATATTCTGGCTGTGGGTCAGGGGTGAAGGGATTAAAATTCAGCACAATGGGATCACGAGCACATAGATACCTATGAAGCCAGTAACCTGTAAATAGAAATGGGAAATTAATCATTAATATAGTAGAATAAATGCAGTTTAAAGTGGAACGCAAATGGTATAATTGAAGATACTTATACAGATGACTCTATTGCTGGTCAGGGTAATCCCATGAACATGTGGACATAGAAACAAGGAACCAATAGTGTAATTCTGGCACAATATTAGCAAACACTTATAGATCGCATTTCTAAAATAATAATATCTTCAAAATGCCCATTTATATTGCAGAGATGTAGAAAAATGTAACAAAATGTATTTCACAAATACTTTTAAAAACAATAGTATATAAAAAAGTATATTGCACGTTTTACAATTGGAAGGGAGATGAGAATAGCCTCTTACTGGGGATAGTCTAGTAATAATTAATATACTTAGCTACAGCTAGGTACAAATACTTCATAAATATTAATTTGTACAGAGAAAACTCTTTAGATCTGAGTTATATAGCCAAGACAGATCTACATTAAATTAAAGGGCAACAATGGGGTAAAAATAACCTTTTCTATTTAATTAATTGCATAGATAATACCATAAAAATTCTCCTCCAAAAAAACAAAAAAAAAACTATTAATTGTTGATTATGCTAACGTAGTGTATCTTAATTTTAATAATGACAGGAGGCGAGTATTTTGCATAACTTTCTTTACTTTATGCCTCCAGCAGCACAAGTCAATCAATAAACTTTAAACCAATCAGTAACAGGCATCACATCCAGTTAATATACTGAAACATTAAACAACCATAGTATACTTAAACGTAGTCTGGACCAGTACTATAGCTGTCTAATCTTGACTCGAGTACTCAATGTTTTATTGTTCTTTTATTTTCTTTATAACAAAAAAATGGTGCCGACTGCATGACATAAAACAGTCTTGTAATATTGTATAAATCAAATTGCTGATATCTTACTTGTTGATCATGCTTCTACAAAGCACCTCCAAAAATAAAGAATATAATTTTTTTTTTTTCAAATCCAAAATTTAGACAAAAAAAATTATCAATCTGCTAATACAGCTCAGTTGGAGAATGCTTCCAGATTATCTACTTTGGTTTAAAAGGTTACTGCAAGCACCATGACCACTTCAGTGATTTGAAGTAGTCATGGTGCCTGGAGTCTGAACGTACACCAACAGTAGGGTGAGGGTAGTGGATGCATGGAATAGCCTTCCAGCTGAAGTGGTAGAGGTTAACACAGTAAAGGAGTTTATGCATGCGTGGGATAGGCATAAGGCTATCCTAACCTTAAGATAAGGCCAGGGACTAATGAAAGTATTTAGAAAATTGGGCAGACTAGATGGGCCAAATGGTTCTTTTCTGCCGTCACATTCTATGTTTCTATGTTTAACAGAGTTGAACCCCTTCAGTTTAACGCCACCTCCAGCATCATCACTGGGCTGTCATCACACAGCCTGGAACTGACTAATGTCAATTCTGTGCAAAAAGCCAGAAGCAGATCACCAGACCAACAGGGAACATTAGAGCCTGGTGTGGACCAAGGTAAGGGGGAAAACTCTTGCTTAATGGTTTATTGCATTACTGGGGAACCAAGCCAAGGTACTCCTGGCTTCATATGCATTACAGCAGACTATAGTTGTTATGATGATTGGAGTAAAACTTTATTATTCAACATTCACTGTATTCATAGTATTGACTAAAATCTTTTGAATAAACCCCATATTGTCTTTTTGGTAAAGATTTGTGATCGATTTAGGGAAAACATGAATAGAGATTGCTTTTCAACTGGCCTATATTTTGCAAATGAATTGCGACATTTGTAGCATATGAAGCCATGCAATATAATTTTCTGTTTGGAAACAGAGAATCAGAAGATATTAAAGGGACACTCCAAACCCCTAAACACTTTAGCTTGTTTAGAGGAATACTGGAGTGACAGGGTCGGTAGCAGGGGCGACCCCTGTGACTGTGGTAGGTACGCCACTGCCTGTCACCTTAACCCTGCAGCTGCAAGCACTGCATTTTTTGCAAAACTGCAATGTTTACATTGCAGCGTTTAGACTGCACTAGTGGCTGTCAGACCGCCACTAGAAGCGATTCCTGTTTCACGGAGTTTGACTCTGTGAAATTAAGGTGGGCTTCCTCACACTGTGCATGAAGACGTCCAGTGTCTTGAAAATCCCCATAGAAAAGCATTGAGTCAATTATTGTTTTTATGGGGAAGGTCTAATGCATGCACAGCACTGGCCACGCATGCACACTAGGTCCCCCTCACTTTACATGCCAGGGTGGGGGGAGGGGAGGTGTGGAGGCTACTATGTTAGGAATATGGTTTAGCTTTCCTAACCCTAGTTTTCCTTTAAGTGCTTTATGTGTAAAGAATGTGTCCTATTTTTATATTTTACAAAAAAGTGCAGATTTGAATTGAAATTGGAACTTTCATAAATTCACCTTGTTATACCTCCCCATCATGGATAGTTAGATGCATGCATGTTTTCATTGAGGGTATATCCAGTGGCGTACTAAGGGGGGGGTGGTCTGCCCCGGGTGCCACTCACTAGGGAGGTGCTTGGCAGACTGCAATGCCCCTCCTACGCCCATCGCCGAGACCAGTCTGCAGCTCCGCAGTGTGCAGAGCTACAGACCATGTGTCTTGCGAGCACTGCCCAATCAGAGCATTGCCGCGGGTTTCCACGGCAACGCTCTGATTGGGTCTCGCGAGATCCATGGTCTGCAACTCTGCGGAGCTGCAGACCGGAAATGATGGCCACCGGACCACCAGGCAGCCCCCACTGGACCACCAGGGATTTAAGGTAATTTTTTAGTCACCCCTGCCTCACCGCCCCCTCTCCTCATTACCCCCCCATTGCCCCCTCTCCCCATCACCCCCTGCTCCCTCTCACAATCACCCCCCGCTCCCTCTCACAATCACCCCCCTCGCTCACACCATTATCCACTATACAAGAACACACACTGCATTCACTATACAAACACACACAGACACACTTATACATGCGTCTGTGTATCTGTATGTGTGTTGGTGTGTGTGTGCCTGTTTTTGTATCAATGTGTCTGTATGTGTGTCTGTGCCTGTGTGTCTCTCTCTGTGTCTGTATGTGTGTGTTTTTATCTATAATTGTGTTTGTATCTGCGTGTCTATCTGTATGTGCCAGTGTTTGTCTGTGTATGACTGTTTCCATGTAACTGCATGTGTGTACCTCTGTGTGTGTGTGTGTGTATATGTAAGTATATGTATGTATGTATGTATGTATGTATATGTGCATACATCTCAGCATTTTGCCTACACTACACACAAATACAACCCTGCATCCAAATGTCAACACTACATAAAAACACACCACCATATTAAAAAACCACACTACAGAAAATTGCACGCCTGCATTCAAATGCCAATACGTGCAAACACATCTGTACATTCACTCACACATTCTCCATACAAAAACATGCTTACATTCAAACACACAAACAGTGCTTGGTGCCAAATACATAAAAATAAAAACACTGCTCAGTGCTAAAGATATTAAAAAAAATTTGCGAGTTTTTTTTTTTTTTTTACATTTTGTTTTGGGGGGGAGGGTGCCAAATGCTCCAGGTACGCTCCTGGGTATATCCACTAAACATTGATTTATATATATATATATATATATATATATATATATATATACAAACATGTATTTTAAAAAAAAATAAAATTTTTTATCTAGGCAGTGCAGTGTCCCTTGTCACCTTACTTTACAAAGGATTACAAAGAGCAGAACTGCAGGATAATCACAGCTGCATGGAGAATTTCGAGTACCCCTGAAATAGCAAACGTGTTGATGAAAAGAAGTTCAATCCCATTTGGTTGTATAAATTATCAGTAAGTCACCTAAAATTTCTTAGAACAGCCCGAAACCTGACCAAACCCGCACTCACATCTATAAAATTAAAGTGCTCCTCTTTGTCCATTTCAGATGTTAGAATATATGGTTTGCTGTATTTACCTAAAAGAAACACAAATAAAAATGTGGTCAGATTAAGTATGGTCAAACAAAATGGTCATCCTTCCAGTTGAACCATTATTGATTTCTCTGTAAGGTCTGCAAACTGTAATTGTCTAAACTGACTTGTTGGGCCTTGATCAGAGTCTAGCGGTGACTGTTTGTAATATTTATTTTGTAATACTTCTTAATTGGAACTCAACTGCAGAATTTCCTGGTTGCAGCAACAATAAGTTTCACCTCCTTTTATATTGATATGAAACAATGGTCACTGTACCTTTAAATACACATGAAGGAAAAATTAGGCTTTGTAGCAATCCCTTATGAATAAGAGGAATAATTAGACAAAGTGACACTTTAGTGAGTTTTAGATACTGTGTAACATAAATAATAGGAATTGGCTTGTTTGGTAAAAGTATTACTTAACTTAAAGGCAGTTCTGGCACTGGAAGGGTTAATTCACCCAATGAAGGAGAAATTAGAAGTCCGTTTCAACAAGCTGAGAACTAGGAGTGGAGAGTGGGGAAGTCCGTTTTAACAAGCCGAGGTCTGGGAGTGGAGAAGGTAGAATTCAGAGTTACAAGCCGAGGTCTAGGAGTGGAGAAGGTAGAAATCCGTTTACAAGCCGAGGTCGAGAAGTGGAGAAGGTAGAAATCCGTTTACAAGCCGAGGTCGAGAAGTGGAGAAGGTAGAAATCCGTTTTACTAGCCGAGGTCTAGAAGTGGAGCAGGTAGGATCAAAAGTTGAGCAGCTGATCTTTCTGCAGCACCTGTGCGAATAATCCAGCCCTTTGAATCTGGCGCGGTCTTCCTAAGTATCGTGGAGGGACCGCGTCAGAAAAAAGGGCGGGGCTGAGCGCCGTGAACCCGGAAGTGGGTTCCGGCGACGAAATACATGCCATGCTATACCTGACAGTACCCCCTTCTCATGGGGCATCCTCTGGGTGCACTATTTCGGTTTGGAGGGGTAGCGTTTGTGAAAGGCAGTAACTAACCTCCTAGCATGTACATTAGATGAATCTTCCCAAGTGTCTTCATCAACTCCATAACCTTTCCATCTGATAAGGTATTGTAAGGAGCCACGGTGGACACGAGAATCCAAAATTTTGTGAATTTCATATTCTTCTTCACCTTGGACAATGATAGGTTCAGGAGTTGTTACTATTTCTCTATAAAAAGGATCAGGGATGTGTGGTTTAAGTAAGGAGACATGGAATACTGGATGAAGTTTAAAACTTGGAGGAAGTTTTAGTTTAACAACGTTATCATTAATGGTAGTAATTACTTGAAAGGGACCAAGAAAAAGAGAGCTCAATTTCTTTGAAGGACGGCTTGTGGTAATATTCCTTGAAGAGAGCCAGACAAGATCCCCTACCTTGTAAGGAGGGGGAATTCTTCTATTATTGTCAAAAAACCTTTTCTGGTTATTTTGGGCGAGTTGAAGATTCTCCCGTAATTTGAGAAATAGAGAAGACATAAATTCGTTTTTTGATGTAACAGTAGGATTGGATGAAGTAATGGTTTGGATGGGGAATGAAGACGGATGAAAACCATAGTTGGAGAAGAAAGGAGTCATTTTCGTACTAGAATGAATGGTATTATTGTAAGAAAATTCGGCCATAGGTAACCATGTGGTCCAGTCATCTTGGAGGTATGAACAATAACATCGAAGATATTGTTCCAAACATTGATTAACCCTTTCTGTTTGCCCATTAGTTTGGGGATGATAAGCGGAAGAGAGTTTGCGTTGAATTTGAAGGGAGAGACACATCTCTTTCCAGAATTTGGAGGTAAATTGTGTCCCCCTATCAGAAATAATTTCTTCAGGAAGACCATGAAGTTTCACAATATTGTCAATAAAGACCTTAGACAATTCTACAGAGGAGGGTAATTTTTTTAAGGAAATGAAATGGGACATTTTTGTGAAGCGATCCACAACGACAAGAATAGTGGTGAAATGTTGAGAAGGTGGAAGATCAACGATAAAATCCATAGAAATGGATTGCCAAGGTTTTTCTGGAATAGGTAAGTTAAGTAGTAATCCAAAAGGTTGATTATGTTCTGGTTTAGACCTTTGACAGATAGGACATGTTTTGACATATAATTCAATGGTTCTATCCTGGCGAGGCCACCAATAATATCGTGAAGTTAGTTCAAGTGTTTTCTTTATTCCAGGATGTCCAGCTAGGGGTGAATCATGAACCATCTTAAGTAATTTATTCCTAAGAATGGGAGGAATATAAATTCTATTTTTAAAATAAAATATACCATCCTTTTTTGTTAGTATAGGTGTTTTGGGAAGTTCAAGATCCTTCTGATTCAAATTCTTTATGTCATCATGAAGAGAAGAGAGGATCCCTATTATTTTGTTAGGAGGATAATCATCAGTAGTAGTTTTAGAAGGAATTCGAGAAAGAGCGTCAGCCTTTTTATTTCTAGTTCCAGGTCTGTATATTAATTGGAAGTTAAATCGGTTAAAAAATAGGTTCCATCTAACTTGTCTAGCTGTAAGGGTTTTGTTAGTATAGAGATATTCAAGATTTTTATGGTCAGTATAAACTATTATAGGTTGTTTTGTATCTTCCAGAAGATGACGCCAATTTTCGAAGGCAGCTTTAACACTTAATAATTCTTTTTCACCAATAGGATAATTTTTTTCAGCAGAGCTCAAGGATCTTGAAAAAAAGGCAACTGGATGAAGTGGATCTTGTGGAGTCTTTTGTTGAGAAAGAACTGCTCCGATGGCTGCATCTGATGCATCAACTTCAAGAACATATAAGAATGTTGGATTAGGTAGTTGTAGAATAGGTGCAGTTGTAAATCTTTTTTTTAATTCGTCGAAGGCTGTTTGTGCATCTTTATTCCAATTGAAAGGACGTTTACTACTGTTGAGGAGGTTAAGAGGATGTGATACATCCGAATAGTTTCTAATAAATTTTCTATAGAAGTTTGCAAATCCAAGAAAACGTTGTAATTCTTTTGTAGTAGTAGGAGCGGGCCAGTCAATAATACATTTGATTTTGGAATTATCCATCTTCAAAGAATGAGGTGAAATAATGTATCCTAGAAAAGAGAATTCAGTAACCTCAAAAAGGCATTTTTCTGGTTTAGCGTATAATTTATGAGTTCTCAGTCTAGATAGAACCCATCTAACATGCTTCCTATGTTCATCCAAATTGTTAGAATATATTAAGATATCATCTAAGTAGATAATAACACATACATCCAGAAGATCTCTAAAGATATCATTTATAAAATGTTGAAATGTTGCAGGGGCATTACAGAGCCCGAAAGGCATCACTAGATATTCGTAGAGACCATATCTTGTCCGGAAGGCGGTTTTCCATTCATCATCCTGTTTTATTCTAATGAGGTTATATGCGCCTCGAAGGTCGAGTTTAGTGAATATAGTTGCAGTTCTTAACCTTTCAATTAATTCATTTATTAGTGGAAGAGGATAACGATTTTTAATAGTTATTTTATTTAAGGCTCTGTAATCTATAATAGGACGGATGGTTTGGTCTTTATTCTTCACAAAGAAAATACTAGAAGCAGCTGGGGAGGTCGAGGGTCTGATGAACCCTTTGCGTAAATTTTCATTAAGATATTCTTTTAAAATTTCTAACTCCTTTTCAGAGAGTGGATAAATATGACCATAAGGAATAGGAGCTCCGGGTATGAGATCTATTGGGCAATCATATACCCGATGAGGAGGAAGTGTTTCCGCTTCTTTTTTACAAAAGACATCTGCAAAATCGGAGTAGAATGGAGGTATAACTGGTTCTACAGTAGTTTGGAGAATAGGAATGTGTTGTAAGCACGTTTTTTTACAGAAATCAGAAGCAAAGGAGATGGAGAAGGGAGACCACTTAATTAAAGGATCATGGTTTTTTAACCAATTAATTCCTAGAATGACGGGATAAAGTGGAGATTTAATAATATCAAATGTAATGAATTCGAAATGTACGTTGTTGGTAATCATTCTTAGAGGGATTGTCTCATCTTTGATGGGTCCTGAGGATATAAATGAACCGCCAATAACTCTGATTGGAATAAAGTTAGTTTTTTGAACACAAGGAATTTTATTTTTTGAAACAAAAGAAAAATCAAGAAAAGTTCCATTAGCACCAGAATCAATGATGGCCTCAGTCACGATTCTTTTTGTATCCCACTGTAATATGAGAGATATAGAAAAATAAGTAGATGCTTTTCTTTTTTGAAAAACGTTCAATATAGAGGTAGATGAATGAAGCTTACCACCTTTTGAATGTTTCAGTAGAGGACATTCGGAAATTAGATGTTCATTCGAAGCACAATACATACATAAGTTTAGTTGTCTCCTTCTTATTCTTTCTTCAGAAGTAAGAGGACTTTTTATTATACCTACTTCCATAGGTTCAGTTTGTGGAGGAATTTTTTCAGGTAGTTTTAGAGTAGTGAAAGGTTTTCTCCAGGTAGAATTAGTAAGAACCCTTTCAGCTTTTCTTTCTCTTAGACGTCTATCAATACTGATGGACAGTTGAATCAATGCATTTAAGGTAGGAGGAAGTTCTGTACGAGAGAGTTCATCTTTCACAGCTTCAGATAATCCGAGACGGAATTGATTGCGTAAAGTAATGTCATTCCATTGGGTTTCTGTAGCCCATCTTTTAAATTCTGCTATATAATCCTCCACAGGACGATTCTTTTGGTGTAATGTTCTGATGGTTAAATCAGCAGTAGTTTGTTTAAAAGGATC